TTCTCTTTTCGAATTCTAAAACTTCTAGGGAGGTACCTATTTTGTAAAATAAGTACTACGTTAGTTAAGTTCTCATAAAACTAGATTATTGAGCCTAAAAATATTCCTTTGGGGGCTAATAGGAAATATAGAATTTCTAGGTGAGGGGCCTAATTCTCGGCTTACTATACTCATAGTATGCATCCCTGGCGTTAGTGATTTATATTTAATGTTAATATTCGATTTAAACATTATGTTAGCTAATAATAGGAGAGGGAGGACAGAGATAGGGAAGGATAGGGAAGGGTAAATATTAATTAACTAGGGTATAAAGAGCCCACGAAAGCGGTAAGGACTCAACTACTAGGGGATATAGGATTAGTTATAAAGATATGTCCACCAAGTAGATAGAATTAACAGCCTTTATATCCTTTAAGCAGAAGTTCTACCTTAATAGCTTTCTTTTATCTTAAGTTTTCTAGGTCTTCGCCTTATAGGTATATAATAATAATAATTAAAAGCTCTAAACCTCGATTACTTGTAGCTTTCTTTAGTGCGTACTATAATAACAAGTAAAGAACTAATTAGTTATTATATAGCTCCTACTATGTTATAAACATACGAGTAAAATGGTTTTCAATAGTTCTATACTCTAGGCGTGCTAAGTTTAGGTTAACTTATAAACTATAAGGTCCGATCTATATGTTCCTATAAATCTATCCTATAATAAGTACTATTTATAAAATTTCAAGGTATTATAGCCTTGAGGAATAAAAATCACGGCTCTAGATACCTTATGTAAATAAATACTTAGGAGAAGCGTTTTGTGCGTTACTAGCGTTGAAATGGGTAATTTAATGTTATTCTTTTAGACAAATGTTTAATTTAACATATATCTAATTCTAGAGATAGGTCTTTCGATCCTGTTCTAGAGTATACTAGCGTAACATAAATATTAAGCCTTAGATTAAAATATTTTATAAATAGTTTAGGCTGGAGCTAGATTATTATTATAAAGTAGGAGTTCCCTAACTTAGCTTATAATAGACATAACTAATTTATACCTTAAAAGGTCCTACGTTATGTTGGTAGCCTACGTTCAAAAGTATATTCTATAGTTAAGTAATAGAATAGCTATACTCCCTTAGTTTGAATCTAATTAAGCCCGTTTAGAGACTTTTCAAATTAAAGATCTTTAAGCTATGTCCTAAATTAATATAGGTATATAAAAAAGACTAGTTAGAAGATTAATAATCGTTTTATAAAGAAATACAGCTAACTAACGTTATATGTCTTATAAATAAGTTTTATATTAGATACCAGGGATAGTCTAATAGATCCCAATTCTGTTAACCATTCACCTCTTGAATGGCAACTGTGGGTGAGCGTTCCTGTATAGAGACAGTACCAGTGGGTTTCGTTTGCTGGTTTCTTTCGACATACTTGACCGTTCAATAGGAGACTTGCATCTCCTGGCCTCTGAATAGTCAGACTCGTGCTAACCTTGGATGCGTTCGGGACTTGAGATGAGAACGATGACCGCCGGTTTGTATCCCAATGACCCTAATTCTCAGCCTGCCAGATGATTTTGACCCCGCGGAATAAGATTCGCAATACGCCCGCCCCTACTCCATACTCCGACTCTGTGTATCAATAGCGTTTCCCGTCACCCCTACCTTAAAATTAATTTTATCTTAACGCTAAAGATATTTTAATTTCCAACTTCTAAGAACTACTAACTATATAATGCTTTCTAATTACTAAAACCCAAAATTATATTATAAGTGTCCTCTATACATATTCTAACCGCGAAACTCCTAAACTTTTAGCATAAGAGTTTAACGTGCGATACAATTAGCTTCGAATTCGCATTTTAGGGGCCTAATCACTCGACGTGCCCTATAACTATTTATTTAATAGATAACCAAATAAGGCCAAAGTATATATTAAAGAGCTAGGTGCTTCTATATAATAGCTATTGGAATCCAAAAACAGCGTCTAATATTAGACGCTATACAAGTTGAATATTCTCACGGTGTAGTTCTGATAATTGCTTTAAGCTTGATTAGGTCTATTGCTTTATAAAACGCCTACCCAGTACCTTCGACTATACTACTCAAAGCCTGAAGAGGGTAAGCGATGCAATACTAATAAATTGCCAGTAATTAAGAAGTAGTTGATAGCGTCGAGACACTGGGAAGTCGGAGGGCCACACCAGAGACCTGAGGAGCGAGATCATGGGTGAGAGGAAAACGAGTGGAGGGAGTTGTATTGATGAGAGATCTCCCAAAAGGGAAATCTTATCTATCTAGGTTGGTGGGTGCTTACACCTCAGGCACGAAACTCATCAGTAGTTTTTTAAATTTAAAGATTTAACTGATCTAAAAATTTAGCCCATCTAAAATCTACAATTCTAATAAATCTGGTTTCTAACTTGGCTAGAGAAAATCCTAAGGGTTACGACGTAATATAAAGAGATCAATAGCTCTATTCTGTCTATTAAAATATCCAAATTAGTTACTTTATTGAATATATTGCTATAGATAGGTGGATAATAGTGCCAATTCTCATTTTTGAAGCGTAGGTCTATATAGAGCGATATCATATAGAGATTAACCTCCTGGATGACTATTAGATTGTTTTATCAAATAATAGCTAACCAAATCTTATATAGGGCTATCAATAGCTTTCTTTATTTATGAGTAGACGAAATCCTAGGCTCAAGGGGGCCCCCCTTTGATAACTTACCGATAAGCTTCAACGTTTCGATCCTTAACTATTATACTACAATACTATTATAATATCACGAATAATGATACTATACGATATGGTAGATCAGTTGTTAAAGAAGATCCTTCGATAAATCCATAAAACCTGAATTAAATCCTTTAAGAGCTCTACTATGTGGAATACGTTTAGAAATTGTAGTATTTAGCCGCTTGATTTTTAAGTTAATTTATAAGCCTTTATAGAAAGCTAGTAGTTTAGTTATAGACCTTATATTCTATAAAGTTAGTCATAAATATTCATATATAGGGTTTTTCAAATTCTCTAATGAAGCCTAAATCCATCCCTCCCCCCAAAAAACTATGTATCCACTATAATCAATTAGGTTATAGAAGGACGAGATGTCTTAATTGGTCTAATAGGTAGGAGTTTGAACTTTAAGCAGCACTTGGATAATTACGTCGAATACGAATACTATTAGGATAAGTATAACTATAACTCGAAGGGTATATAAAAAACCTCCAGTAACTCCTACTTAATGTGTATTTGTAGTAAATTCTAGCCTGTAAGGGCATTCCTCTGATTAAACTTATCGAATTAGGAGAGAAAAGTAGTATAGAGCAGAACCCTAGCCCCCTACGACTAATATATCCGCCTTGCTTTAGTACTACTGTAAGGCACAGGATTCGTACAATAGCGAGAATCGCGTAGGAACGGGTATAGAAGAAGGACAAAAGTACAAAGTTTACCAAACGACTTCTAATCCTAACGAGGAAGGTTCTTAATTCTAGAGAGGACAAAAGAAAGTATTAGCATTAATCATAACCTAGATAAGGCTAAAACATTATTAGCCTCAACTAGTATTTTAAGAGATTTCCGAGAGTCGATTCACCTTAATACGTCTGTCTATATCTAGAATAATGGATTCTCAAGTATATATTAATAGAGTACCCCCTTTTCAAAGAGGAGCTGCTACATACTATACCCTACACTCCTATAGACAGGGATATTACTAACGCCCTAATATGACGATCTACTCTAGTACAGAATAGCGGTACCTACGTTCATAGGAGCGGATATTGAATTAGAAAGGGAACGGAGGAGAGGAGAACTTAGGGATGTAAGGAAGCTGGAAAAGAAGATAACAAAAGAGGGGATAGCATAGGTGGTAGAGATAGTTTTTGTAGTCGGCGTAGTCGGCGTAATATATCTCTATAGAGCGTAGTATAGTAACTTAATATCGCGCCGTCTTAGGAATGTATGACAATAAGAGCGGCTACTAATAGGACGGAGATCTAACTTTCTTTGCTATTTTTTTTTTATTATGTAGCCTCTCTATTCTTTTCTTATATTTTTGATTTTCTATCTTTCTATATCTATATTAGCGCCCTACTTAATAAGAGAGCCCGCTTGACTTTTAGTATATAGAGCGTTAGGGTACTACTCACATTCTCGCTACCGGGTAGGCCTAGCTACACTCCCCTATGGCGGCTATAAGGTAAGCTAAATGGAACAAACAACTACTACTGCTATTAGTAGCGATTTAAGGTTGCTACTATATAGTATATATACCTTGGAGTACCTTCATAAATAGAGTATTCTTTTACGTATTTAGCGATACTACACTAAGTATATTGGTTATACGGACCCTTACCGCTTTGGCGTGTCCTGGTCAATCAATCAATAGATTTATTCACGCTTCTCATATGAGAAGAACATAAAAGCATCAAAAATAGCAGCGAGTCTATCATGAAAACTTTTGCTTCACAATGCCGAGAAAGATCCTGCTATGTTTTAGTATATTTGAGACACAACTGCGCATGGCTTGTACCATATATGTTAGTCGAACGAGAAAGCTACAAAACTAGAATAATTTCAAACTTCCATCAAACATATTCTCAATACAGTAGTACTAAGATAGTCTGTTGAAACAGACATTGATTTGCTATCCTCAGTTCCTGCAAGCACGAAGGTGGCAGTAGAGCTGCGTCCCCATCAAATACCATTCTTACTGGCATTTTGAGAAAAGTAGAAGCTAATCAGCAATGATATTTAGGCCTGAAAGAGACTTAGCACCGCAGCGGCAATTTCCAAATCATTGAGACGACTATCAATTGTGGATTCATGACAGACGGGTAAACGATTTTGATCTGAAGGAATGGGCTGGTTAAACTTATACTAAGCAATTCAATGATCCTACCAGCGTTCGGAGGATAGACAATGAATCTGATAGCGACACTTCCTAATACAAGTTATGACATACATTGAATCAGTTTCCCAAGGGGTCTATCGGAATGCTGTATATCATAAAGCAGAGAACAGTTGTTTGGCGATGCCGATGATAACAGGGAACTATTTTTGTATTTCCTCGATTTTTCCAGTGGTGGCAGCGGCACAAAACGACGCGATTCTCAGGACGATGAGGCGGGCAGCCTTAGAATCCTCGACTATGGATATGCGTTTAACAATGGCACCATCTCTTGCCGACTGACACTGGGTGAGGTCGAACATGAAGTTGAGGACATTGATTGTGAGGATGTAATATGTTCGAAAGAAATTGAAGCGCTGAGCAACGAGGACCCGGAAGATTACCTTGTCACCCCAGGAACGACTCAGCTGGAAGCTCCCATCGCCAAGGAAGATGTCAAACCTACGCCTGCTGCATCCACGATGCTCACCATGATCATGCCACAGACGGGCGCTGAGACGATCCCGGATATGCCTTCCCCGCCGAGTTGAGATGTTTTATTGCTAGCGGCGGTTTATCCATCATTGTTCTTTTTTGCCGCATCTACGACATCAATATGCCAATTCATGGAACGAATCTTCTTCTCACAAGATTCTGGCAAGTATCCACCTTAGCTTTTATAATATCCCTCCCCTGTATAGTGAAGACAGCAAGAGAGTGGAGATTGAGTCCGACATAGACCAGGATCCGAGTGGCTTTTTCACGTCCGATTTCTACTCCGACAACCTCATCAAATACATCGACGAGCGGACGCCAGAGAACAAGGAGAAGCCGTTCTTTGCATACCTGCTATTTCTGCTCCTCACTGGTCTTTCCAGTGTAGCCGTGAGGACCGGGGGCGCTACAAGGGCATGTATGACGACGGCTCCGATGTGCTCCGGTTGAGCGACTCCAATCCCTTCAGAAGCTCAGGATAGTGGACAAGACATCACGCCCCATGAGGTGATCGCACCGGAGGCCATCAAGAGATGGCAGGATATGGATGCCTACGAGCAGAAAGCCTCTGCCCGAGCCATGGAGTGTTTTGCCGGCATGGTGGCCAACATGGATCAGAACGTGGGCAAAATTGTTCGCTACCTGAAGCAGATTGGGGAGTTTGAAAACACTTTCATCATATTCCAGTCTGATAATGGTGAGTCGAGCGAATCCCCGTCGTCTTCTCTCTGACATTCGCCACAGGAGCCGAAATGGTTGCGTACGAGGCCCTGCCCACTATGGGTGCCGATCTGATGCGAGTCATCCACACGTACTGTGAGTGGACCAAAGACCCTGTCGATTTGGAGATGTGCTGACTCTTGTAGATAACAACGAGCTCGACAATATCGGCAATCCCGACTCACTTGTGTGGTATGGCACCAGGGTAAGTCTCTTCTCGGCAAGGGCATGCCCCCCCTCGGCTGAAAATCTGATCCAGTGGGTCCAAGCCTCGACTGCACCATCGAGGATATCAAAAATATTATAGCACTGAGGGCGGAATCAAGGTGCCATTCAGTGAGTTTTCGCTGCACTGCGTTGTAGCCAGCGTACTCACCCGCTGGCAGTCGTCCACTACCCCAGATTTCACCAGAATCAGCAAGGTGGCACTCTGGTCAAGTCATTCTCCACGGTCATGGGTATCTGCGGGCGTCCAACATCCAGCCGCCCGAACAGAGAAAGGGACCTATCGAGGACGAGCCGTGGCTTCCATGCGCGGCCGGTCCCGGGTTAGTTTTTTGGCCTCTTCGCTGCACCGGACGAATCTGACCCGATGATGTAAGTTCCTTTCTTGCAGGATAATAAGAGCCTTGGCACGACGGCAGCCACGTTCATCCATGGGGATGATGGCACCAAGGGGTGGGAGCTCTTTGGCCGGGGAGCGGTGCGCAAGGCCCGTACAAGCTCGAGCCGTTTGCTGGGGGGCGGGAGGACGGGAAGTGGCAGCTCTATCATCTGGGGAAAGATCCCGGGGAGGTGGAAGATCTGTCGGACAGCATGCTCGACAAGGTGGAGGAATTGACCCAGATCTGCGAGGAATATCGGCAAGCCACCGCGGTGGTCTGGGGCATGTCGATCCGCTTTGCGGGGGAGGAATGGGATGGCTGTGACGATGAGGGAATCATCGGGGATGCGATTACGCAGACACAGGAGTGGATGCAGGTGCGGCAGGGGGAGACCGTATCGAGAAAGTGCCTCCCGTAGTCCACTGCCTAGGTAGAAGTATACCTGCACGTATACGTGGAAGTAGGAGACATCCCGTGGGCTACGACCAATGCGGATAGCGCAATCCGGGGAAAGTGGAGTGCTGCAAGGGGCGGTACGAAGCGGGTACTTGGGATGTCATACATTGGACTACGACGTCAGCAGGTATCTGGCTGGTATCTCATTCCCACCCCCCTCATCCAGTATGAGGTCACGAGTCACCCCTTCTCTGCTCATTGACTCTTTATCTCCCTTCCTTCCTCTCTCGTTCACTCACCCTCGCACCTCCCATTACCAATCATCTATCAAATAAATAGTATCTCTCCCTCTCCCCCCTCTCTCTTCATGGCCTTCCAACTGACTCGACCCTAGTGACTCGTTCTCACAAGCTGAATGACCGTGACCACCAGGTAGAGGGCATCGTCGCCCCCAAAGACCAGCTGCCCCGTTACTTTGCCAAGTCGGGTCCCACCGATGCGGATCCACGTAAGACCAAGAAGGATGGTGGCGGCAAGGGCAATTGGTCAGTGTGCAGTGGCATCCCCCAGAAAACAATGAGACTAATAACCCGTCAGGGGCCGCTCCGGAGACGAAGTCCAGGATTATGGCTACACCTTCACCAATGCCAGGCGCCGCTCCAACAGCAGCACCCAAGGCCTGGCCGATTTTCGCACCAAGTTCGAGACCGTCGATCCGGAGCCGGTCTTTGAGGAGCAGTTCCACGGCCCCTCGGATGAGGTCCTGGCCAACGAAGCCACCGTCACCAAGGTGGACACCAGCAGCAGCAATGACAGCGAGACCGACAACGGGGGAATGCGTCTCTAAGCTCGGGGGAGAGGGAACGGCGATGCGCCGGATGATCCGGGCGTCCCGACTTGAAAGATAGCTTGCAATCAATAATATCACTTGTATCACTGCCGATCCTATCCACCTTATTCCATGTAGAATGATTGTTGGTCTGCGACTAAGATTCAAGATATTCCGTACATGTGGTTACATACAATCCGTCCCTTTCGGAAAACGCCAGAAACTGCCCTCCTTCCCATTCAAACCCAGGTCAATCGCGCCTTCGCATCCCCGGATGTGGCGTCGGCGGCACGTGTTGCCGAGGATAGCGTGTCGGCAGAGGCCAGGAGATTTTGATACCAGAAATCGAGTTTGCCAGCGTCGATATACTGGCGGAGAAGATCGTCCTCCCGCTGGAGGTCCAGGGCAATGCGAGCCCGTTGCTCAGGGCGGAAGCGTGAGACCAGAACCTCCGATTCAGACTCACTCATCAGAGCTTCGGTCGGAGAAAGAGGCTGGTAGAGAGATGGGTGTGTCATCCCGCGGTTTTCTGTAGACAATGTTAGGCTCATCCCGGCAACATCGCGACACCACTCACCCAAGCAGAGCCCCAGCGTGTAATGGAGGGCGGTCTCGGTGGCAGACGAATCCGAATTGCCGTTTGCTTCCTCGGCCGCTTTCCCTCGAGCCTCCCAATCATCACGGATCATGCACCGCCGCCAGATCAACTTCCGCAAAGCCGACTCATACGACACAATCTGCTGGGCGTAGCGGCCGCGCTCCAGAACTTGTAGTGCTTGGTAGAAAGCTTCGTGATAGGTCTCGCTGTCCTTGTCTTCAGAAGCCTGCGCAGGACCCATCAGCGTCAACAGATCCAGGAGGTCATCAGCGCCAACCACCTGTCGGTTGATCATCGTCGTGAGAGTTTCATGAAGGATCTCGTGCAGGGAAGGCCGATCCTCCGAAAGATAGCTCCCGAAATAATCCAGGGCCAGCTCAACTTCTGCCTTCTTGTCAATTGCACCTTCAAACACCGGCCGGATGTAGTTGTAGAGATCTTGCTGGATCACATCGATCGCGGTATGATCGTCAAGACGCTGAATGTCTTCCCGTGAAGCAGGATAAGGGTCTTCAGGTTGAGACCGCTCCCATGAAGCCAGTCGACCGAGTTTCGCGAGCGAGATCTCCACCTGGTGACTCCAAAGGTTTGTTTCACTGCTGAGAGCCAGTTGCTCCAAGGACGCCGCAGCAGTATCATAATCATCCTCGCCCACCACGTCGTTGATCCAGCTCAGCCGCAAGTAAGCTGGACTCTTCCGTAGGAAACGAGTCACAAAAGGTTGGTATTTTTTCATAGAGAGCAACGCCCCTGGGTGGCCCATCGAGATTTGCCGCGAAAAATACGCACTGGCCCAAGCTTCGCCGAATGTCTCAAAATATTGCGAGATTCTTTGCTCAACAACGCCTTCACGGTCTCCAATGGGGGTAACATCTGCGGAGGAGCCTTGGTTCTTCATTTGATCCTGAAGTTCGATCACGAGTTCGACCAAAGCCTCCATGTCTCGGAATCTTTCTGCTAGACTGAGGGCATCCTGGAGGTGCCCAATGCCTGCCAGCTTGAACAATTGCCACTTGCGCTCTTTGGTATGCGTTTGCTCAATGGAGGCGCTTTCATCCACGAGTTGGGGGTCTTCTTGGGCGGCCAGCCAGCGAAATCGTTCACGATGCATCTGGCCGAGTACGCGCAGATGCCGGGCACTATTTTCCGCAATATTTTTCAAGACCTGCGCATCCGGCGCGTCCGCACTTGACGCCCGTTGTTGAATCCACGCCCGGCAGCTGTCAAGCTCCCAATCGAGCAGGTGCCCTGTTTCGGTGTAACCGACTGCCTTCGAGGTCCAGAATTCGGGGAGATCCTCATAGCCATCGGCCAAGACGCCATCCTCCAGAAAATCCTCGCCCAGTCCATACAATCCAGCGTGTTCATCACGGTATCGGAAGGCAGTCTCCATAATCGCCAGTGAAATCTCACTGGCCTCCAGGATTTGTTCTGACAGTTTCCGAGCTTGTTTCGAAGAGTTGCCTCTCCGGGGTTTGATCGCTTTCATGATCCATGGAATGATGTGTTCCATCTGAAATGAATCTTTCAGGAACCATTGGCGTACGGGGTCAGTTTCGCCCTGCTGGGGATCAAGCCGTGTTTTGAACCGATCGTTCATCGACTCAATTACAGTGTTGAGGAATGGTTTCTCGCTTTCTCCTCTGAAAGATTCTCCAACTTTCCACATGGCTTTTTGAGCAGCAATCTTTTCCGCAGCCCATAACAATTCCCATCGGGCTGGGCGGCTGAGAGGGTTGCCTTTGCGAGATAGCAGGGAGACCAGATCATCAAGGGCTTTCGCTCTAAGCCGCAAGTTCTGTTCGATTGAAATCGCTGTACGGGGAATGAATTTGGAGTCTGATCGCATCGTCTCATGGCAAATCTCAAGGGCGGCTTGCTCGATTTCAGCAGGAGGGAAGTCAAACCCACTCTCGCCTGCAAGGTTCAAGGGGTTCTTGGCCATTGTGCCAAAGAAAATTGCCTGCTCGAGCTTGTGTTTGGCGGTCGCCTGGGCCTCTTCAGCATCGCCTTCTACCTGATCGCGAGGGAATACGGTGACGCGAAGAACGCCAAAGTTGCGAACCATGAGGACACATGCGCCATACGAATCCCCACTAGGCTCATCTTCTGAGCCACAACCGAGGATTTCGTAGTCCTTGCCCGATCGCAAGTGAATGGTGTCCTGTAGAGGCAGAGGTGATTTGTTGGAATCCAGAAGCAATTGCGAGCTGGGCGTCTCCTCGACACTCATGAGCGACAGCATTACCAGAGACTGTCCGAGGAGAATGAAAGCGGACGCTTCCGACCTGGGAACAAATATCTTTGGCTTAAATTCGTTCAGCCCGGCAGACACACTGTGAAGGTCCACCGGGTGTGTTGATAGAATCCGACATTCGCTGCCGGACAAACAGATCTGGACCAGGAAGAGTCGCTTGGATTCTAACCATTGAGGGGAACCAACAACCAAGAAAAGCCGCCATGATTCTTCAGAAACCGGGGAGGTGTTCTCGTCGAAAACCTGCTGCTGCGCAGGAAAAGCAAAATCCATGACCTTAAGATCTGGCTCGCCGGTCGTATTCACATGATTCTGAGCGATCGCAGCTGCGATATCGTCCTTGGCATCGTATCGTTTTTTGAGGGCGTTGCCATGGTTCCAATGTGTATCCCAGATTTCGAGCAGACCAGCCGAAGTCACAATAACCACATCTCGTTGGCCTCGTTGGTGGGAGCTGCCCGTTCGTACGGCGGTGACCTCTTTTCTCCAGGAGCCACCCCCGAGAACATTCTTGATTCCACCGAGAAACCCGCCACTCCCAGCACCGACTGTGCTCCGAAGGAAGTTGACCAACACAGATGGTTTCCCTTGCGAATCCCTCACGGTGATGTGCGCCACTCGTCCGGAAGAAAAGGTTGCAATGATTCCAGAGGGCTCGCCGTTCATAATCTCTATAGCATGTTCACCAGAAAGCAAGCCAGAGATCGACCCCTGGATGCCATTTTGCTTTTGTCGAGACAACCCCAGCGACGCGATGCTGGATACGGTTTCCCAGTAAATTATTTTACCGGTAGAAGGGATGAGGACGAGAAGACCTGGATGTCCTCCTGTCACGGTAGACAGCAGAATGCCAAGTGGAACTGGGCCATTGGGGTCTCTGCATGACTCGGGGATCGAGACGGTAAATGTTTCTGAGGAGGACGGGGACGAAGTGGGTGCCGAGTAGGGCCATACAATTGCATGGGAGCGGGTCAGGGCCAAGGCATGGTCGTGGCCAGGTCCGAAAAAACATCGAAGAGGCTCTAATGTTCAGGGTCAATAACAGTCAACAACGACAAAAGAACGGTAGTTACCTGACTGCAATCCTCGAATCTGATCCGGCAACGCTGGAAGTTGCTCCACGGTGTAGTAATCTGTGCTGGACTGTTTTTTCGAAGGGTATTAGTCAACGTTACTTGCAAGCCGTAGGGAAGGATGTGAGAAAAGAAAAATCCACAAGGGCCACTGACTAGAAGAATTGCACCCTCCTTGTCATTTTTGAGGCCTTCAGTCTGTTTGCTGCCTCGGAGAGGTAGATGAAATTCCGTTTCCATCGGATCCGTGGTAACATCGCCAGGACCACTCAGTGGCAAGCCAGCTAATTGGGCGTCTGACGGGGAGTCATCCTTCTGCCGTAGAACTGAGCGCTGTCGTTTAGCCTTGGGGGGCTTGACGGAGTCGTCCGAGCTTGTTCGCTGGCGCCGGCGAGTGTTGCGTGCGCCAGGAGCAGCGGCTTTGGGGACGAACATTTTCGCGAACAAGCAGCGAAGCTCAGCAAGCACGCGCTGGCCGAGTTCAGGCCAGGTGAGGTGGGGAAGGAAGGAGGACGAGGAAGCGAAAGCAGACGCAGGAAAGGGAAGATGTAAATAAGAAGCAGCAGCGCGCCCATTATTGCCCGAAGGCGGTGAGATGAGCCAGGTATGGCAAGCCCTCCCACCACTCTCCGTCTCCTCCCCTCTCAACCGCAAACAACCATGAGTTGAATCGTCTACTAGTTACTCGACTGACTACTCCCACCATGTTCCTTCGCCGTGTTATCTCCAAGCCGTCATGGGTAGCCATGCGTTCGGCAGTCTAGTCTACATGTCTCCTTTTAAGTCCCGCCGCCTGGGAGCGGCCATGGCGATGTGGCGGCGTCCCTCATTCACCCCAGCACGTCTTACCACCACGGGGATCTCCCATCGTGGCCTATATACGGCTTTGTTCTTTCCTGGCCATGGGGTCCAACGAGTAGGCATGGCAACTGCCTGGATGGACAGCTTCCCCCACACCGCGTCCAGAATTCTGGATGAGATGGATACCATACTAGGATTCAAACTCTCGCGCATCATATCGGACGGTCCCAACTCCGAATTGAATCGCACTGAACATTCACAGCCCGCAGTCATGGCGGTGTCAGTACTCATCCTTCGCATTTTGGAGCGTGAGTATGGATTCGATATCCAGTCGCGCGTAGACGTGACTCTCGGACACAGCCTGGGAGAGTTCTCTGCTCTGGTCGCCGGCGGCTATCTCGGATTCGGAGATGCTCTGAAATTGGTTCGGTGCCGGGCCGAGGTAATGGCCCAGTGCACACGAGCGGTCGCCAAGCAATCGGGCGACAGCTACGGAATGGTGGCACTCATCTGTGAGCCCGACCATCTGGAGAGTTTGCTGAAAACGGTTCAGGACTTTCTCAGTCTCAGAACGGCCGAGGACGATTCAAACCACGCAGTGCCGTCAATCCAACAGGTGGTAGTGGCCAACATCAATTCGAAAAACCAAATCGTACTCAGTGGCAGCATTGAAAGAATCAAAACTCTTCTTGTACAGCTTCGTCAATTTGGAGGACACGATCCCCGCGCCGTGAGGTTGAAAAGTGATAGCCCATTTCATAGCCCTGTGATGGCACCAGCGGCGGAATATATGAGAAACGCCATGGAGGATATCGATGTTCGTTTCCCAGCATTGATTCCGTGCATTTCGAACGTCTCTGCGCGGCCGTTTCGGTCCAAAGAGGACCTTAAGGATTTACTTTCCCGACAGTGCATCGATACTGTCCGATGGTGGGACAGCATCCGCTACCTCCATCAGGACCAGGGAGTACGGCGGTGGGTGGGCATCGGACCTGGCAAGATCGGCCGGAACTTGGTTGGAAAGGAAGTTGGCCGCGTCGACACCAAGGGCGGCGGCGTCTGGGCGATTTCGAATCCTCGCGAGGTGGAAGAAACCATCCTCGCCTTGGAGCGGACGGAGCCCAGGTCTCCAGATGGCTCGGCCCCCATCCATGTATAGCTACGATACCATGATTTCATATTTTCCAATTTCCCTGAATCTATTCAATGATGATGATACAAATCTACATAACCGCAATGCCTGGCGCCCACGAGTCTCCAATGCGCTTGATATCGGCCACGAATTTAGGATTGAATATTTGGTGACATGCAGAAGAGGGTACGACCGTGTGACCTGGCAATGGTGTGTGATCATCGGGAGAATAGAACGGGTTCTGTAGCAGTTGGATATAGGCGCTCTGCAATGCTCGGAAGGCCTATCGATCTTGTCAGTGAGTGCGATAGAGGCGCTTTATACGAGAGAAAACCAACCGGCTTCAGATCGGAGTCCCGCAGGCCACTGATCGCGGAGCTTGCTGAGTTCCCCGCGCCCTCGTCCTGGCCGAATAGATCCACAATGATCAAGAGCTTCACTCCAGTGGTGGTCAGCCAGCCATAAGCCGCCAGTCTCTCGTCGATCGCCTGCAGTAGACCCAGATCCTGATCCACGGAGGTGTGTTTCTTCCGGATCTCAAAGATGTCCAGGCAGGAGTTCAGCAGGAAGGAGAATTCAATGGTCGAGTCCGAATAAGGAGGGAAGAGGGAGACGTGGAGAGGGTTGTCCTGGGATGGAATGGGAATCAGCAGAGGTTTTTCTTGTTGTCCAGGAGTATACATACAGCTTTCCCGATCACCCCGATGCAGGCAATCTTGGGGCCTGCCATGGTGTGTTCACATCAGGTACAGCTGATGTAGTAAGTTGGGGAGTTTCAGTCAGTTGGGCAATAATACTGCCTCAGGCCGCGGCCCGTCCGCCCTCCAATAGCGGTGCGCTCAAATTCCATTGACAAGCCACTCACCGCCTTTACCGTACTGTCACATTCCCCCCAATCAGCTCTCGTATATTGTATGACATAAGCCGTATGTTACCATAGTCTGACCTGACCCTGCTTTGAACTTCGTCCTCCTGGTCTTTCCCATCATCGCCGCCACATCTTCCTGCCACCCCCTCAAGCTCAACTCTCCCCTCTCCGAAGCCTGTGCCCATCTAGGCCAGGTTGCAATTGAACCCAGTCGCTGTCATCCGGGGGCTCGATTGACCTTCCAGCTTCTCCCCACCCCAGAAGGTGTCCCCCACAACCATGCTGCCCATGGCGAAACCGGCCATCTCGGGCGCCTTGTGCGGTAGGCTTCTTCCCCCATTCAAGGATTCCTTGCAGGACCACTACTGACATTGGATCCAAGCGGCTCGACCACGCCTGGCCCTGGCCCTGGCCCTCCCCCGAGCCCAGCCCATTGCCGCCCTCTCAACTTCGTCAATCAAATCTGCCACAGCACTTGAACGCCAGTCACAGTCTGGCTCGCAGCTTACAGCTTCTGGCAAGGCTCGCAAGGAAGTTCCATTGCCCAGCCAGGAGAAAAAGGAGGGTGCCATGCAATATGTCCTGTTCGTGCTCCTGTGCCTAATTCGACCTGGCCCGTATACTGACTGCCTGGCAGAACCACTCTGGATCAAGTTGCCAACTGGGCCCGCCAAAGTTCTCTGTGGCCCATGACCTTCGGTTTGGCATGCTGTGCCGTGGAGATGATGCACCTGTCCACGCCCCGATACGACCAGGACCGCCTGGGAATTATCTTCCGTGCTTCCCCCCGACAATCCGATGTGATGATTGTGGCCGGTACCTTGACCAACAAGATGGCTCCCGCCCTTCGCCAGGTCTACGACCAAATGCCTGAGCCGCGCTGGGTGATCAGCATGGGTAGCTGTGCAAATGGCGGCGGCTACTACCACTACAGCTACTCGGTGGTTCGAGGCTGTGACCGGATTGTGCCGGTTGATGTTTATGTCCCTGGATGTGAGTAATCTCCATCAATTCTACTGGATGTGACTAACTGGATCAAGGCCCACCCACCTCGGAGGCCCTGATGTATGGCATCTTCCAGCTACAGAAGAAGATGAGACACACCAGAATCACACGAATGTGGTACCGACGCTAGACGTGCCTCGGGACCCATGACTGGAATACCATGTCATACCTTCTTTTGAGGATCATCAGTCTGATAGCCCAGCCCCTTGTGGAGTCTTTGTGTTTTATTACGCTGTATATCAAATCAAGCTTTTTCCTTTGTTCCATTTTCAGGAGCTCAAGACGTCGTTTCCCACCATTCCCCAAAAAGCACTTACAGCTCTAGGCTTGTTTTAGTCTGATTGTTATATATGCTGACAGGGCAACTCAAAATATTGACATGGATCACTTTTAGGCATTTGTTCATCCAAGGATCTTCTATTGGCTAGAATATAGGACACTTTCTGCACTGGTTTGTATACAGCACACCGGTTTTTTCTTATATGCAAGAATTGTCTTGCTTCACTCGGCCCTTTCTCCTGTCTTATCGATTCCAATTTCACTTAGCCGTTGACAATCACACCGCCGTTGGGATGCAGACATTGGCCGGAGATATAGCTACTATCTTGGCTTGCCAGAAAGACGAAGCATGTGGCAACCTCACTGGGCTGTCCTGGCCGACCAATAGGCACCTCATGGAACTGTTCCATGGCAGAGGTCTGCATTGTCGATGGGATCAACGGAGTCCAAACTAAGAGCCTTGTGTGAGCAGCCAACTTCGCAATGGGAATATTGGAAACATACTGGGCCCAGGACATACGCAATTGACTCGGATGCCTTTTTTGATTTGCTGGTTGGATAGAGCTCGTGTGAATGCGACAATCGCGCCCTTGGTCGTTGTATAGTCTAGGAGATCACCACGTCCGATGTACGGGTTAACCGACGCACAGTTGATGATCGTGGAACCCTTCTTCATATGGGGCAGAGAATATTTGGCCAGATAGAAGAAGGGGTGGATGTTGGTGTTGAAAGTTCGTTCCCACTGGGCCCTGGTTCCCAGTCAGTACCCGCAGTGAGGGCGTATAGATGAACCTACTCATCCAGCTCCCCAATGTCGCTCAGCATATTCTGGAAGGCGGCATTGTTCACCAAGATATCAATGCCGCCCATGCACTGGATAGCCGTGTCGACGACCTTGCAACAATTGTCCTTATTCCGCAAATCCATTGCGAGGCAATGGCATTTTTGGCCGGCCGCTTCGACTTCTTTCTTGGTTTCCTGGGCGTCCTTTTCCTCCGAGGGTAAGTAAACAATCATGCTTGAAGCGCCTTCCATCGCATACAGGACGGCAATGGCCCGTCCAATGCCCGAATCGCCGCCGGTGACGATGACTCGTTTGCCCTGGAGCTTGCCCGCGGCCTTGTAGAGCTGATATCCGCCATCTTCTGTGGGGACATAGGAGGAGACCGGCTTAGGGTCCTCCATGTCCAGCTGCAGCCCTGGCTTGTCCAGATGTTGAATGGGGATCTTGTGCCCTAGGCAATGTTATAATGCGTTTCCAACGGTATTGCAGGGGAGTGATGTGATAGGTACCCGGTTGAAACTGGGACTTCTCCCCGCTGGCTGGTCTCTCAGTGTATTGGACCATCTTGATGTTTTGTCGGATACCAGTGAGCTTTTCAAAATGTAAAGGGAGGTATATCTCTCTGGTTTGGTCGGAAGGATAGCGGGTCAGCCCAAGCTTTATCTAAGGTCTCTCCGAGAAAACATGTCACCATGACGCCTTCCGCCGCATTTCCATCGCGCCTATTGTAGAGACGCTGTCTTAGCTGGAAAGCGCGCTCGGAGACCAGAGCCGCCAAAGATCAACCCACCCCAATGCTGCCTCCGTCTGGTCTAGATGCGGGTTGGCGATCCAGCGCAGAGCCGGTTTGGGCGGTGGCTGAATGAGATTTGAAGTGGACAGTCACATCCCACCACATCACGGTGACGTGGGTGTCCTGTTTGCAATGATTCCCTTTTGCAGTAACGTACCCATGTACTAGTTGATTTGATGTTTGTGATAGTATAGATTTGTTACTGCCTCAGGTGTCCGCCAGTATATATCTGCTTAGGTAATCCATATCTTATCCATTTTTTTTTTTTTCTTTCCTCTGTCTGCTCTATCCTGAAGTAACACCTCACTCCCTCCTTTTCGTCCTCCATGGCAAAACGACGCACGGACAGGGCATCAGCCCAACAGCAGAAGACGCTCCCGTCTGTTTTGTCGTCCCCGTGGGCCTTTCTTCGTCCTACCACCGATCTCCATTCCACTGTGGCCGACTCCGCCAAACAGTTCCTCGATCCCTTGGCTGCATCAATCGTAGACGCTCAATTCGCTCGCCGACAGATCAACAAGAAGCGAAAGAGGTCAGAGTTGGGACCGGAGGATTCGCAGCCCCTACAGCTAAAAAACCTTTACGTCGACGGCTTCACCTCGAATCAAATATGGGAACAAGCGACAAGGATCCTGGAGTCTGCCGGAGGTGAAATCGAGCGAGATATTGCTTTGATTTCAAAGCATCAGCAGCCATCTCTCGATATCTCGGACCCTGAGGACGCACAATCGGTCAGCGACAGCCAGAACAGCTTGTCAGGTGTTTCCGAAGATGAGGCTAGCATCGATGGGAGCATGGGGACTGGCTTAGAGTCTGACTTGGAGAACTCTGATCTGGACCTCGAGGATCCAGAGTTGGCGGACGAGATGGGTGAACATTTGTCCGAAGACGAAGACGACGACAACGATGTCTCGGCTGCCGAGGAGGACCCGGGCACCTATGCAGATGACAAATTTGGGTTAAATGATGGATTTTTTCTATATCGATGATTTCAACAGGCAGTCCGAACTGCTGGAGAGGCAGGATGCTATGGGCGCGCCAGAAGAAGACGAGGACAGCAGCGATGAGATTGATTGGCATACGGATCCGCTCATCGCTGGAAACGCTTCAACTATCCGCGAGAAGGATGGACGGAAAAAGCCAAGCAACCTCGAGGACGATGGGGATGATAGCAGCGAAGAGGACGGGCCAACTTTCGGCAATGCCGATCTCAATGCCGGCTCGGATTCTGACGACGATGAGAATCTTTCCGACGCTGATGGAAATGACGCTGCTGGCTGGGTTAACACCAGCGATATCAAATATGCTGATTTCTTTGCTCCGCCACCGCGCAAAGTGTCTACCAAGAAGGCGCGCGCACTCCCGAAAACTCAACCCAAAGAGACCATCATGGATGAGGATATCAACCGAGCCATGGAGGATGTTCGTCGCGATTTGTTCGATGATGAGCCTTCTGATCAAGGCGAAGAAGACGACATGGACGAATTGCCTGACGCTCAGGGTGAGCGTTCCACCCACGAGAAACAACGCGCACGCATTGCAGATGAAATTCGTCGCCTGGAAGCGGCAAATGTGGCGAAGAAAGAATGGATGCTTGCTGGAGAAGCCCGAGCTGTGGAAAGACCGGTCAATTCTCTCATCGAGGAAGACCTTGATTTCGAGAGAGTCGGGAAACCGGTTCCGGTTGTCACAAATGAAACCACCGAAGATATTGAGGAATTAGTCAAGCGTCGAATTCTCGCTAGTGAATTTGACGAAGTGCTTCGCCGTCGGCCAGGCGCTTCGGATGCGCGGGGTGCCAAGAAGAGTCGATTTGAGCTCGATGACACCAAGCCCCAGCAAAGCCTCGCAGAGCTCTACGAGGCCGACCATCTTCGTGCTACGGATCCGAACTTTGTCGATGCGAAGGACCGCAAGCTGATGCGGGACCATGCCGAGATCAACAACCTTTGGAAAGAGGTCAGTTCCCAGCTGGACACATTATCCAATTGGCACTACAAGCCCAAGGCCCCGCAGGCGAACATCAACGTTGTGACCGACGCTCCCACCATTATGATGGAAGAGGCGCGTCCGACGGCAGGCAGTGCTACTGCCGGACCCACGGGACTTGCGCCCCAAGAGATCTATGCGCCTGGAGACGATGGCCGAGTAGCGGGCGAAGTGGTCCTCAAGAATGGTGCCACTACGTCCCGGGAGGAGATGACTCGGGAGGAGAAGGCCCGGTTGAGGCGGCAGCAGAAGAAGAACAAGAGCAAGGAGAAAACCCAGTCCGTCGGACAGCGGCCCAGCAAGGCGGCCGAGAAGCAGCAGCTGGTGTCGGATCTGAAGAAGGGCGGCGTCAAGGTGATCGACAAGGAGGGCCGAATGACGGATCTCGATGGGGGCAAAGTCAGTGCCAGTGCAAAGAACCGTGCTGATACCCTAAAGTTGTAGATAGACATGTCATGTATATTTTGTTTCTTCTGAGCGCTTTCATGGGTTGATCATATTATCTATCGCATTACATGCTTCTATCCTTTAATTTGTTAACATCATGCTTCTCTCATGGCTGATCCTTTTCTGGAAGCTGGTTTGACCCTGATCGTATAGAGAAACAGGTTTTCACGATTATAAGTGCTGGCGTGCGGGTCGTCCTGGATCTCTTCGATGAGGAACACCTTCTTGACCATCTTCATAAACCGGAGGTCGGCGCGTCGGCGCCGTTTGAAGCAGAAGTAGCACACGGAGTTGGGGCCCAAGAGCTCTTGGAGGGTCGTGATGAGAAGGGGAAACGCTGGCTCAAAGTAGACGCAGTCGGCGGCCAGGATGATGTCCGGGTGCGAGGGGATGCGGTCTGGTAGGGGTTCACCCCAGTTTAGCACGCTGGCATCTACGGTCGAGGAGAGATGGTTCAGTTGAATGTTGGCTTGCATCAGGGAAAGCATCGGCTGTTGGTCGGTGATATAGAGAGGCGCTCGTCCGATCTTGCATCCATGTGCGATTGCGAGACCCACGAGTCCACCCCCGGCTCCGAGTTCAACGCTGGCGAGGTGTCAGTAGCGGACCGCACAACCACCACCAGAGAGAAAAAAAAATGGAAGGAAACGGACATGGTTTTATCGCCCAGATCCGAATTGTGTCGACTGATGATATATTTCGCTAAGACCATGCCGGCCGGCCATAATTGCCCGCCGCAGCCTTCCTTGAGATCCTCTTTCAAAAGTAACGGTACTGGCAGGAGACCATCGAGGGAGACACTGGTGGTCACCGCCGCTCTGTTGTCACGCCAAGGAGCCAGGGACTCGCTGATGGCGAAAGATTCCGGGTCTGAGTCAGTAGTAGGAGTGTCCATGATACATGTATATCGTCGTGTTTGTTGCAGGATGAAAAAGGAAGGATGCGAAGAACTGTCGATCTGCCGAGATTTTCATGCTGGGGCCGGGATCCGCTCGGCAGGGACATCCAGCCATTCGGTGCGTGGGTGCATTCTGGGTGGTGGATAGTTGCATACTTAGGGATTACCGGCTTGGGATTTTTTTGAAAGGGGGGAGGGGGGGGGGGGGGGTATCTGGGAAGAGACGAACAGTTATTATTATTGTTGTTGTTATTATTGTTAATATGAGAGGGAGGAAAGAAGTGGCGTAATCCAATATATATCGCGCGACCGCACACCATGATAGACCCTCCGATGCCATCCTGGTTGAAACACCTCTGTATCCAAAAAGAAGTTCCAAGTTGCCATCATCCCCATGACTCGACCACGCAGATGCCAGATACTGATTTACTCTGGAGTAGGTAGATCACTCACTGACTAGACATCCATCCGAGGACACTCAGCTTGCCCCGATCCATTATCACCACCGACTCCACACCCCAACACTAGACTGTTAATTCTTTAGCCTACTATATAATTATTATTATTTAAATCTAGATACATTCCTGCAAGGCACGGTGCTCAAGAAACCCAATCCACTTCCAAGGTGAAGCTGGCCTCGATCGGATGACATCACCCGCGATCATGACGACGTCACCGAATGCCAAACCGTTAATAAGGCGCATCGCCTGCCATGCTTTCCCTAGATCTTGACTTTCCATAGTTACTATCATCTCACAGCCCACAAACCCATCACCACTACCAATACCCATCATGACTACCCTGCACTGTGAGTTGAGAGGTATACTGTTGCGGAGCCAGTCTAACCACCGACCTAGATCTGCCCCCCGTGAAGCCCTCCGCAATCGCGATGGGAACCATCTTCACCCACACGGCCTCCCTCGGCATCCTGGCCCCCGTGTTCGGTGACACCTATCACCGTGCCCAGGCCGCCAACTCCAAGGAAGAGTTCATCAAGTCCAAGGAAGCCGCGGGCGCCGCTGCCGCGTGGGGAAGCTCGCTGGTCGGAAGCGCCGTGCAGACCTACGGTGTCGCGGCCCTGATCAACGCCACTGGCACGCTCAGCTACAAGGGCGCTGCCTACCTGGGAACTCTGGTGTTCATGGCCAGCTCTGCCCCGAGCGTATGTTGACCAAACTCAAACCGTCAACCCTTTGCTAACTCAGGCGACACAGTTCATCAGCCAGATCTTCACCGAGAAGAGACCTCTCGATACCGTCGCGGTCGGTGGAGTCGCTCGGGTGTTTGAGACAGTCGGTCTCAGCTTGTTCCTGACCTGGTGGGGGACTCGCACCCACCCGTTTGACTAGATAATCCCCGTTTTTGTCCATCTGGAGTGATATTTGTACAGCTACAATCGGATTTTCTCGATGTTCTGTAACTACATGTACACGGATTTGATGCCCGTTGCGTAACCATTTCATCCACACTGCGTAAATCACCTCTGTTCTTCTTCAAGATCGTCTCGTTGGATGTAGACCGTTGGCTACCGAGCGGGCACGGTAGAAAGAAAACCAATGCCCCTCGGATGCGACCAGAGGTCAAGTGCTGGTTTGCTCAATCACCATCAGTAACTAGGAACGTACAGTCAAGCCATGCCATTGAAGCACCCAAGACTCGTTCCCGTACGTATCTACAGTACAATGACACACCCGCAACTACACGGGTAGATGGAAAAGACAGGGAGCACTGTCATCGCAAGGGAAAAATGAACACTGAATCGATTGACAATAATACTACCCTGCCATCTAGGACAGACCCAATCATCTCATCTAATCAAACAAACGTGCGGCAGGGGTACCTGTGTCCATGGTCAGTATCAGACTCGTATCAAGTCACAAGGAGACATACACTTCGGGGTAGCCCTGATCCGAATTGATCTCGTACTTGGACTTGGGTTGTGAGGAAGAATTCAGGTTGCAGGGAGTTGGGGGCAGGCCACTGGCTCCCAAAACACCCTGGATGCTGTTCTTATCTTTCTCAAACAGGGCGGCCAGACCGCGCTCCTCACCCTCTTCCTTGACGGCGACCAATTGCTTCTCCCCGGCCTCTCCGATTTTCAAGACATTATCCTTGGGGGCTGCCTGGCTTCCGACCGTGAGAAGACCCACAGCATCGGCCTGCTTCACTGTGCTCAGACGGGGGTAGTTCCTCCGGGTGTCGCGCTTCCAGTAAGGGTTGTCGGCAATGTCAGCGGCCAGAAGGGTGACGGGGTCATCATAGGCCAGAGGGGGCAGAGATCCTGGGGTGGGCAGACGGTACTGCGAGTTCAATGGGACACCGGATGAGCGGTTGGGGTCGATGGCGAGCGCCCGACGAATCCGCTCCCAGACGCCGGTGGACGGGACGGTGTATTTCTGCGAAGGGAAAGGGGAGTGAGACATGTCCCGAGCATAGACTGGGCGTTTCCACCAACCTGAGCAACGGACACGACGTGCGATGCCGACTTGGCGGCTTTCAGGACATCGCGAGCCATGATGAATGGAAAGACTCTGACTGGGACCGAGGAAGTCAGCACATTGAACTCTAGAGCCGGGCCAAATTAGAAGCACAAGATCTATGCTGCGGGTTGGCGGTACACCTACCTCCTGAAATGGCGAGAGTCTGTCCCAGTGTTTGAGGTCTGGGAGTCTTCGAGAGTCCGTGGAGGTGTTGGAACGGGAGTGCGTCCGGAGCGGAACAATGGTATCTCCGATTCGATGGATTACACTATGTGACTTAGTAGTCCTAACAACCCTAACCAACCCCTACCTACATACTACAATGTATCTACCGTCTTGATGTACGGACTCCTGCCTTTCTCAGACCTTGCCGCTGGCCACCAGCTTCTGCACTGCATCCACGGTTGCATCCGGACCGCCCGCTTCACGCAGCAGCACCTTGCCCTTCTTATTCATGGCAAAGACTCCACGAGTCGTGCCCTTAGGGGCTTTCTTAAACCCAATGGCTGCAATTAGGGTGGCGCGGGTGTCGCAGAGCAGCGGATAGGGCAGAGTTTGCTTGGTTTGGAAGGTGGTGTTGGCCTTGGGCGAGTCGGTCGACAGCCCATAGATGGCCAGCCCTGTCGAGGTCAGGTGCTTGTAGTTGTCGCGGAACATGCACGCTTGCTTGGTGCCTGATCACATCGTCAGTCACAAAACAAGAAGAGATATAACTGCCGGAAGAAAGACACAAGGACATACAGCCCGGAGTTGAGGCCTTCGGGTAGGTGAACAGGACCACACCCGATTCGCTATCCGCCACCAGTTGCTTCAGAGTGGTCTTGGTGCCGTCGTTGGTCTCGACCTCGCCGCCAAAAGTCTCCAGATCGATCGTGTCATCCACATTAGGGGCTGGAGACGCGGGGGTCTGGTCTGTCTCAGCCGGCTTGGGTTTTGGGGTCGGCTTGGCAGGCTTGCTTCTCTTGTCAGGCACGGGGGGCGGCGCAGGGGCCTTGCGTTTTCGGAGTTCGACCATGTTGGGGTGATGGATGCGTAGGCGTAGATGAATATCAAGAAGTATAATTTGGAAGTACTACAAACAACAATAGTGCCTCAGATGTCAGCTGACCCGGATCGCTGACATAATGAATACCCACCCGGGAAAGCCCGAACGGGCCCTGATCCGGAAGAAAATCCATTTTTTCCTCTTCTCCTGACTGATTATTATTACTCATCTTCTTCGCCTCCCTCCCCACTGCTGCTTTTTTGCAGGTACGACTTGATTGATTATTGTTGTTTGCCTCTTCTTTTGCTTCCTCTTTGCGACCTCTCATCCCATCGTTCGTTTTGTTACTCCCATCGCCTCCGGACCATTTGTGTCCCTGCAAAAACATTCACTAGCTATGAAGGTCTTTTCGTCCTCGTGCACGTTCGACTACTCGTGGGACGAGGTATCCACGGCAAACTGGAGGAAGTACTGCCCGTGGAATGACAAGTCACCGCATGTCGTGGCAGTCGACACGCTCTCTCGGACTATCGACGAGACCACCGGCATCGTGAGTCCTCTCTCTTCCCGATTCTCGCTTATAACTGGCGTCGCGTGCTGACCCTTCTCCTAGCTGCGAACGGAACGTCTCATCACTTGCGACCAGTCAGCCCCGCAATGGGTCTCTTCGCTCTTCGGCGGCAGTGCCACCTCTCACGTCTATGAGATCTCCTACGTCGACCCGGCCTCGAAGAAGGTCACCATGTGCTCCACCAACTTGACATGGTCGAATGTCCTCAGCGTCCGCGAAACAGTGGTCTACCAACGATCATCGACCCAGCCCACAACCACCACCGACTTCCAGCAGGAAGCCAAAATTACCGCTCTGTGCGGTGGGTGGCAAAAGATCAAGAACAAGGTGGAGGAGGCCAGCGTCGAGAGATTCCGAGAGAATGCCAAGCGCGGCCGAGAAGGCTTTGAAACCGTCCTGGAGATGAGCCGTCGCGTGTTCAGCGAGCAGCGGGATCTCGAGAGCCAGCACATCCAGGCTTGAACCCGCCGTTGATCACTCACGAACCCACCACCACTCTGTCATTCTTTGCATCGAGCGATTGCATATCTCGGCGTCTCTTTTTCTGCATATCCGAAGCCTTTGGCGCTCGTTGGCGTTCTCTCTTCATTTATTGTTTTTCTGATGGATACATTTCCTACGCAAAGGACCACTCTTCGCTACGGAAGCGATTTCTGTTTTACGATGTGACACGTCTCCCCAAAAAGTCTTCCTTTTCTGTTTCTGAGTGCCCTCCTGTTGTTTTTTTCTGTGGAACCATCGCTTTGATATAGATCAGGGAATAGATGCATTCAGATATAGATCTCAGACTCTCTCATGTTCGTACATCGTAAATCATCCGAGGGCTGGATACCTCTAGGCTCAGTTCAAAGCTGCCAACACCGAAACACCGAGAAAACCATCCAAAAAAAAAGGAAAAAAGGCAGCATCCACGACTGCCTGCTCGCTGAAAGCAAATGTCACGACCGTCAACCCAGGAGACCTCCGAGGACGACCCGGCTCACGCCCGCCACTTCATTCTTGACGCCAGTCCGGCTGGCATCTTCAAACTCGCGTACCGCTCCCGCCACCATGATCTTGCGCAGTCTGGCATCTGCCTTGGAGAAGGCCTCTCCGAGGGCCACCGTACAGATGGTCGGGGTTGACACCAAGGTGATGAGTCGGCTATAGCAATCGATCAAGACATCACACAGCGTGGCAAAGGTCTCAAAGAAGTCCGGCTCAAAGGGCAACGACGGCGTCAGGAGATAGGTATACTCCTCGCCGGGAAGAAGATCTGCAGACTCCGTGAGAGGGAACGAAATGCCTGACCCAGCTGCGGACGTCGGTGATGTGATCGCTCCCCCCGCGCTCTTGAGATCAGACGGATCACTGAGCTGCATGGGGAGACCGATTTCGGTAGCCGAGCTGGCACGCCGTGTCTTGGTGCCTCCGTGTGTCGCCCGCTTGAACATTTGGGGGATGCGTGCACGCGCGAGACTCGATGAGGAGCCACCATCAGGCGGATGCACCTGCTGGAAAGCCTCGAACTCCAGCAATAGTGCATTCAGCGCTCGGAGGTACTCACTCGGCGAGGTATTGACGTCGAGGATCGAGGGTAGTGACAGGCCCAGCAGGAGATAATTGACCGCCCGACGGGAGAGTTTGCGCGGCTCGAAGTAGGGCATGCGTCCGATATCGTTTCGAGAGAAATGCATTGTATTGAACCAATATACCCGGCCCTCATGGCTGTGACCCGGGACCAGGGAGAGTTAGACAATGGACTGGACTCCGAGGATTAATCACATCACATACGCTTTTCTCAGGTACTCTAGGGTGGCGATTCGTTTGGCAGCCATGTCGTGAATCTGCTGGTAGATCGAGGTTGCGCTCTGGGGGCCAAATGCGCCGCCTCCGCCGCCGAGGACGGGCGCGGGAGGAGGCATATGAGAGTCATAGCCCAGGCCTGACTTGGCCGATTCTTTGCGGGCCAGACTGGGGGCAAAGGAGGACGAAATGTTCATCATCGTTGGAATGGGGGGGGAGGGCGTGGTCCAACTCAGGAGAGAAAGGGAGAGCTCAGCTAACTTGTTTGTTCCTTCCCCACTAATTGATTAATCACTGCCACCGATCTTCCCTTCTGCCCCTCTCCATTGTTCTTTCTGTCTCCCAATTGTTACTTTGATCCCGCTGTAATTCCCATGGACGACCAAATTCCTGCTATCCCTGTGCCCGGCCAATGGCCCGTCGATCCCCAGGAAGATGTGCCTATCTCCGAGGACCGCATCTGGGTCGACGGCTGCTTCGACTTTAGCCACCACGGTGAGTAGTGGTCCCCAGATGTGGGATTGGACGCATGGTCTGACCCTTTTTAGGTCATGCGGGTGCCATGCTGCAAGCCCGCCGCCTGGGCAAGGAACTCTTCGTCGGCATCCACTCGGATCAAGCAATCCTCGAGAACAAGGGTCCAACGGTGATGTCCCTGGAAGAACGGTTAGTCTTACTGTCTGCGCGAGCGGATCCGGATTGGACTGACATTTGTGGCACTCGAATTTAGCTGCGCCGCCGTGGATGCGTGTCGATGGGCCACTCAGAGTGTTCCCCATGCACCCTATGTGACATACCTGCCCTGGGTCTCCCACTACGGCTGCAAATACGTGGTCCATGGGGACGATATCACTTCAGACAGTGAGGGGAACGATTGTTATCGGTTCGTCAAGGCCGCGGGTCGCTTTCGCGTGGTCAAACGGACCCCCGGGATATCCACCACCGATCTCGTCGGCCGCATGCTCCTCTGCACTAAGAACCACTTCGTGAAATCCGTGAAGAACGTGCTTTCCGGGGAAGAAGGATCGGGAACTCCAGACGAGCGCAAGAGCTTCGGTGCCGATCTTCTGCAACGTGTCCGGGACTACGCGACGGATGAGAGTGGCCTGCAGCCGGGACCTCAGGTATGGACATGGGTTGGCTCCGCGCCCGCCAAGCTTGACCATGTGGTGGCGGAGGCCGGCGCATTTGAGACCCTCGTGGGGGGCAAAGACCCTAAGCCCGGGCAGCGCATTGTCTATGTCGACGGGGGCTTTGATCTGTTCTCCTCGGGCCACATTGAATTCCTGCGGAAGGTTATGCATCTGGAGGAAGCAAAGGGCCGCGAACGAGGCTGGTATGAGCCAGACCAGAAGGAAAAAAGACTCCGAGAGCACAACGAAGACTATGCGCCAGCCTATATCGTGGCGGGCATCCACGATGACGACGTGATCAATTTCTGGAAGGGTTTGAACTATCCGATCATGAACATTTTTGAACGTGGCCTTTGTGTGCTCCAGTGTCGGGTAAGTTACTGCCTCTGCATATTCAATTTTCGGGTCTGACTGTCTCGTAGTATATCCATGCCGTCGTCTTCTCCGCTCCCTTCACTCCGAGCAAGCCATACCTCGAGGCCCTGCCATTGGGCACGCCCGATGTCGTCTATCACGGGCCGACCACCTTTATTCCTCTGACGTATGACCCGTACGCGGCACCAAAGGAGATGGGTATCTTCTGTGAAGTCCCGCATCATGCCTTCCAACATGTCAACGCTGGCGAGATCGTTGGCCGGATTCTGAAGAGCCGAGAAGCCTACGAAGCCCGGCAGCGTGCCAAACTGGAAAAGGGGGTTGCGGAGGACTTGGTGAAGGCAAGAGAACAACAGTCTGCCTAGACGAGCGAAGGGAAAAAAAACGACCCTGTGTAATGATGATCAACTGTACATACAAGAGAGGCCCCATCAACTGAGGCTTGACGATTAGACATAAAATGTAATGCTATCTATTCACTCTTGGGCCATATTGTTTGCGGAGGGTATAGCATTTGATGTGAAGACTAATTGTACAATAACACCTACATGAACGACCCGTTATTGATCCGCCGCGACCAGAACGCCCTTGCCCTCGAGCATCTTGGCGAGCTCGCCGTTCTGGTGCATGGACATCAGGATATCGCATCCGCCGACGAACTCCTTGTCCAGGTATAATTGCGGGATAGTCGGCCAGTCGGAGTATTCCTTCACCCCTTGACGCAGCTCTGGGTCTTCGAGGACGTTAAACGCGACAAACTTCTTGGGATCCACGCCCTGCAGACCCAGGATCTGGATGCTGGCGCGAGAGAAACCGCACTGCGGCGTCTCGGGAGTGCCCTTCATGAACAGCACGACGGGCGCAGAGCCCACGGCCTTATCGATTGCCGCCTTAGTTTCGGAGGATAGCAGACGGGCTTGGAGGACGGAGGGCAGGCGGAAGGCCGGGGTTGGGCGCAGGACGGAGGTTGGCCGCGAGATCGGGCGGAATGCCTGTTGATCGATTAGATGGACTCACTCATCGCAGTCATGAGAGTCAACGCACCGCAAAGGCTGTTCGGGAAAACATGGTAACTGGTGTGGTTCGCTGAACAATAAACGTTGTTGGAGGAAGAAGAAGACGGAAAGAAGCTGAATGAATGAGTGATTGTTTAATAATCCTTGCCCCACGTCATTTCTGCTTCCTCCACCAACCCGCGATGATGGATTCGCAATCGAGCGCGACCTCCCTCACAGCCCAGCAATGCCTGGACGACGGCAAAATACATATTCTACTGGCCGCGTCTGGCTCCGTGGCAACTATTAAGCTCCCAAATATCGCAGAGGCCTTGTGCCGCCACGCCAATGTCTCCGTTCGCATCATCATCACGGAGAGCGCAGAGCACTTCTTGTTGGGACAGAGCGCGGAGCAACCTGCTTTGGACAGTCTACGGCAGATCGCCGGGGTAGATGGAATTTACCGGAACGAGGATGAGTGGACTACTCCCTGGCAGCGTGGAAATCCCATTCTGCACATTGAACTCAGAAAGTACGTTCCGGAAGCCACTGCTATCAAGGCCATAAGCTGACTGGCTGGTCAATAGATGGGCACATGTCTTGCTGGTCGCACCGCTATCAGCCAATATCATGGCCAAGATGACCATGGGAATGTCCGACAACCTCCTTCTCTCGGTGATCAGGGCCTGGGATACAACTGGCATGGTGGATGGCGAGTTCAAGCCGCAGAAACCGAGGATCTTTGTGGCCCCTGCTGCGAATACCGCGATGTGGAGACACCCGGTTACCGAGAAGCAGTTGAAGGTCCTACGAGACGAATGGGGGTGGAGCAAGTCGAACCCCGAGGGCTGGGTGACCGTCCTGCCTCCCATCGAGAAGGCCCTGGCCTGTGGAGACGTCGGGACTGGTGCAATGATGGACTGGCAAGCAATTGTCAATGTTGTTCAAGATCACCTGGGTCTCCCAGGACCCATGGCGAGTTCGTGAAAGTGCGAAACAATGGTCCTTCCGAGCTACTTCGTTCACCGTTATCATTCGGTCAACCCCGGCTGCTCCGAGGATCGCGTGCTATCGTACAGACCAAGGGATTGCGCCGCATACTCGCCGAGCAGGCCCAAGGTGATCCCTCCCCCCGTCAGCAGACACCCATTTTTGAACCACCACCAGCAATTCGGCACACTTTTCAGCTGGACCTTCCAGATCATGAGTCCCAGCGACAGAATGGCGCTACCGCAGCTGCCGGCGAAGAAGACTGGCCCACAGCCTGCCGCCATGCCTGCCGTCGCCAGCAGCGCCACTTGAGTTGCTGCCAGTCCCGTTAGCACAGCCTTGGTGTTGTGCTCATGGCGCAGGGCAATCGACTTGATCCCCGCGGCCACGTCGTCTTTGATGTCCATATGTGCATATATCATATCGTACAGAACCGTCCAAGCAATGCAACTGGAATAGAGAGCACCCGCAGCGATCAGGGCATCCTGATTAGTGAGCAGGTCCACGCCCAAGGCGGGAAATCCCATGATCGCCCCCCATGAGAATGCAAGACCCAGTACAAATTGAGGATAGTTGGTAAAGCGTTTTGCGAGCGGATAAGCCACCACCACCGGCAAGCTGGGGATTCCATACCAGAGGCATTGGGAGGGGAATTGAAGAAGAATGCCGAGGCCAACCAGTAGTTGTGAGCCCGTGAACAGCACGGCTTTTGGTGGTGAGAGGGCGCCTCTTGCAATGGGCCGGAACTTGGTGCGCTCGACGTGAGGATCCAGGTTGCGATCCCATAGATCGTTGATCGCACACCCGGCGCCTCGCATGACCACTGCGCCGCTGAAGAAGAGTCCCGCCGTCCCGAGCACTTGTAGTGGAGTGACACCGACTGCCATTGGCGCCGCAAGGAGGGTGGAGAAGAGCGTGGGAAAGAAGAGGTAGTATGTGCCCGTGGGTTTGTCCAGTCGGATCAACTCAGCGTAGGGAATCCATGATTTCGGTAAAGATGCAACTATGCCTGTCGTCGGCGGGTTGTAATGAGTCGCAGGGTTTTTGGCCGTCGCGGCGAGCGGTGGTGTTGTCGGAGGTGAATGTGAGTTGCGCCGGGCACTCGGCAGGTTTGATCGTGACCGGGAGACAAGGGGAAGTCGGGTATAGGAACATTGACTGTTGGTCAGCGTCCTCAACCGACGAACGGGGTCATGAAATCCCGAGAGCCGCGCATGATATCGTCTGCTGAGACCGGGCCTTGTCTGACAACATTGGCGGTGAACAAGCAAGGAGGGAGAGAGGGACATGGTAGAAGAGAGAGCGCAAGGGAAAGAAAGGGTCAGTCAGAAGAGGGCATCTTGGAGATTTCCACTGGATAGCTTTAAATGGATGGCGGCCTGAGGCAACCATTTCCGTTGTTGTCGCGTTCTCGTTCTCCCATTGCTCGTACCACTTCACTCACCTCTTCCACCCACGCTCGTCTTCTCTTCGCTCTCTTCCTCCCCACTATCGCACTGGTTTCATCGCAACATATCTCATGCTCAAAAGCTGTCTCTGAAGCTCTGCGATCCTTCCTTCCGCCCAAACCGCGTGTCATTTGGTCTGTTGTCTGTCGCATTGACTGGCAGCTCCGGTTTGATGCCTTCACGCCTCGGCCCTTTTCCTTGATGTTTGTTTTACACTCGCCCTACCAGGCGATGCACCCGCTAGCTCCTCTCGCTAGCCGAGAGGATCTCTGAGCAGCTGCCACTTAATGACATCCCAGCCAAACCTCACGGCTTTCAAGCCGATTTCTCCCTCTCTGGATGTGCAGAAGCTCATCGAATCGACTCCCAAATTCAGTCACGCGTGGAGGCTTACTGCCGATTCGATCAATGACAATAACCTGGAGGATTTTGAGAGGCTGGTGTTGTACCAGGTTGTGAGACGCGGACGTCCACTTGTGGTGGAAGGTTTCCACAAAAAGCTGAACAAATCTCTCTTCTCGGAGAAATGGTTACGGGAGACCTATCACAAAAAGCGTAAGCGATCATTTCTCATGGATTGAGTGCGTGGCGTGTCGCATTATTGACCAATTGAGTAGATGAAGTTGCCAGAGACTTGTCCAAGGGAAGCAACATGCCCCTGACCATGGGTCATTATCTGAAGAATATGCCGGGATTGACTGATAAAATGACGGCCTTCGACTACGCCAAACCCGAACGCCAGAGGATATATTTGAAAGACATTGATTGCCCCCCGGAATGGCGAGATTATCTGTCGGATGTGATCCCTCCTTCACTATTCTACTTGAATGAGTCGCGGCAGAAGAATTCCTGGACCCCGGTCGCAGCCGCCAATGATGACCCGATCACCAGAGCGGGCGATTTGATGAGCAGCCTCCCTCCAGAGATGCGCGCGGAAAATCTGATGTGCTATATCGGACATGAAGGCACCTACACACCCGCACATCAGGAGATGTGTGCTAGCCTTGGCCACAACCTGATGGTCGAGGCCTCCGATGGATCCCCCGAGTATGGGAAAGCGACCAGACCGGGTTCGTCGATCTGGTTTATGACCAAGACAAAGGATCGCCATGTCGTGTCCGAGTATTGGCTGTCGATTCTCAAACACGATATCGAACTTGAGGATCATTTTGCTCAATTGGACGCGTGGAAAGATGCCCCATTCAAAACCTACATTGTGGAACAGAAGCCGGGCGACTTCATTCTGATCCCTCCTCTAGCTGCTCATCAGGTATGGAATCGCGGCACCCGGACTATGAAGGTGGCCTGGAACCGCACCACGGTGGACACGCTGGAGATGGCTCTGGTTGAGGCATTGCCCCTTGCGCGGATGGTCGGTCGTGACGAGCAATACAAAAACAAAGCCATCGTTTTCTTCTCGCTCGAGCGGTATTCGAAAATGCTTCACCGCATTGATGATACCGTGGACAATCCCGAGGCTAAGCTGCTCTGGCAAGATTTCCAACGACTCTTTGTCTTGTACACGAGTATTCTTTTGTCCGAGACGTTTTCGCAAAATGCCAAAACGAAGCAGCCCGTCGAACTCATCGAATTTGACAGCTATATCACGTGCTCTTTCTGTCGATGCAATATCTTCAACCGATTTTTGACCTGCCCGTGCTGCGTGCTTACTGGCCCCAAGGGCGCCGAAGACAACTATGATGTCTGCATGGAATGTTATGTGATGGGAAGAAGTTGTGCCTGCATCTCGAGACTCAAATGGGTGGAGCAGTTCAACTGGCAAAATCTGATTAGGCTGCACGACTCCTGGAGAAGACAGATTCTGGCCTTTGAAAAATGGGACGACACCGACCCGAATCACTCACCAGTGCTCCAGAATAATGACTCTACTGGCGTCAAAGAGACACTCAAGGATCGATTCCCGCCTTGGAGTGTTGCGCGAGTCAAGATGGGCAAAAAGTCTTTGGCTGAGATCTGCCAGGAGCAGCTGAAATTAAGACCTTGGAACGATCCGAGCAAACCCGCGAAAGTGGTGGCAGCAAAGGGGAACGGAAACTCTAGTGAGCCCGATTCTGCCGATGGACGCTCTTCTCGCAAGCGTCGGAAACTTCGGTCGTCGCTCAAAAAAGATGAAGGTATCTGCCATGTTTGCAGAGAAGTTGAACCCGCCTGGAAACTTGCTTCGTGCGGGCACTGTGAGTTGCAATACTGCTATGGCACTTTATTCCGGGCATTTGATATCCATCCCCAGCAGGCTATGGAGAAGTACCGCTGGCTGTGTCCCAAATGCCAGAAAATCTGCAGTTGCAGTGTCTGTCGAGAGGATCCGGCTACGATCCCATACGAACCTCGGTGTTTGTTGCCGGGACACGACACCCAGAAGGTCGCGGATTTCCGCAGTGTCGAGTCCTTGGTCAACTTTCGGGTGTCGAACTCGCGGTGGTTGAAGCAGTCTGGTAGTGACTACTCGCGCCGGATCGCGCAACACCAGCAGGAGGCGCAGCGGCGGGAACAGGAAATCGCCGAGAATGACAAGGAGTTGCAGAACGGTCCATTTCCTATCAATGGAGTCTACGAGCCCTCCCTAGATCCGGAGCTTGGGGGACTCGACGAGATCCCCGTCGATCCTGCGTTGTTTGACAGTTCCTTTGCGGGCTTGGACAGTCCCGCGTCCGGATAAGATGTACACTTGTTTTATTATGACTAGGTGTGGTCCATTGTACGAATCTTGCTTTAATACCCCCAGGACGATATCATGATGAACATGTTCCATAGTCATTAATTAAATTCATGATTTGCTCAAGCACCTTTGTACTCGTACTGCAGATCCTTAAGAGACGCGAGGTCGACCGATAGCATAACTTCCCGAGCCAGCAGGATCGTCGCCAGCATCACTGTACCACATGGTGAGCAAAGATCTCCCAATAAATAAAAGTACGCACCTCCGGGCAGCAGATAGAGCATTGGTCGAACAGCCGAGGAGCGGCCGGCGAGACAATACACCGCCAGCACGGCACAGGCGACGACGTTAGCAGGTACCAGCGAGCGAATCCACGCCCGGCGCTCATCCTGTGCAGATATAGGTTTCTTGCCCTTTCGATCTCGCTGGAGAGGGGACGAACGCATGATACCCGCTGTCGTTGCCAGCGAGACGATGCTGAGCAGTGCGAAGAAGCGCTCCACCAGCGATGCTGAGAAGACGGCGGTCACAAATACCACCGCGGTGAGTAGTGGGATCATGGAGAAGACCATCTAGAAACGCTTTAGCTCTTGTCAGGCTGGATGGCGGGACCAGTTACATTGTACTGGCCATTGCGCGTATCGTTCTGCGTCTGTAGCTGCTGGATCAACTGGTGTTGTTCCTCCTCATCCAGCTCCTCGCGGCCATCGGAGTCCTCGGGATAGTGGAATGCCCGGCGGAGGCGGACTGCAGCCATCGCTGTGGTTGATAAGTCAGTTTGGTGTAAGTGGTGATAGTTCGGAAGTTGATAGTTGGAGAGGGTGTTTGTCTTGTTTGGCACTTCCTTTTCTTCTTCCATTTCGCAACCAACTTCTTTTCCCTCCCACCTCAATCAACATCCTTCCCGCCTCCAAGACAGTAATTGGCTATCTCCCACTTACTCACACACGCACTCCCGCGATGCTCATCTCGCGCACACTCGCTCGACGAGCAGCAGGCCTCGCGCCTCGCCGCCAAACTCTCCCCCAACTCCGCAGAATCACGCCTGCACCAGGCCCAAACACAGGGCCTATCATGGAACGGCGCGCAGACCGCGAGCTGCCAACAATCACTCCTCGGCGATGGGCAAGGACACTGCCGATTTTTGTGGTGGTGGTGGGCGCAGCGATGCTAGGCATCTTCAACTACCAAAAGTCCTCGAGCAGCGTGGTGAGCAGCACGCTGTATGCGCTGCGGACATCACCACAGGCACGCGAGGTCCTGGGGGATGAGATTTACTTTGCCCAACAGATTCCCTGGATCAGCGGCGAGATGAACCAGTTGCATGGTCGGATCAATATCTCATTCTGGGTCAAAGGCACCAAGGGGCAGGGCAAGATGCGGTTTCGCAGTATTCGACCGGACCGGATGAGTTTTGTGAGTTTTATATTGTCCCTGTTTGTGTCTTCCATTTTTACTGACAATTTCTTTTGTAGTTCCGCACGGAGGAATGGAGTCTCGAGACCGAGGACGGCACGGTGGTGCAGCTGCTCGAGAAAGACAATGATCCTTTCCGACAGGACTAGACGGGCTGGACAGCCGCTGGGGATATGTATAGAAGTATGTTCATGCATGAAATTTGGTGTTTCGGGGATATTTTTATGGAATTTTTTTTGACAAATGTAACATGGGAGAACAAAAGAGAAAAGGATATCATTTTGTATCATATACAAACGCCGCTCAAGGAAACAAAGATTGCACGATAGGAGTAAATAGTAGTACATGCGGCTCATACCCGAATTCTCTCTTTCAATCAAGCAGTCGCGGTCGCAGCCGCAGCCTCGACCGGGGGCTCTGCCACAATCGGGGCAACTTTCGGCCACGGCTTCTTGATCGCATCCTGGATCCGGACGACGCATCCCTTGGGACCACTAACGGTACCTTTATCATCATTGTCAGAGAGAGATCAAGATAGCAAAAAAGGGGCATGGGGTACATACCGTTCACAACAACAATACCATTCTCCGCATCCACTTTCAACACCTTCAGATTTTGGACGGTATTTTGGTTATTCCCCATATTCCCAGCCATCTTCTTTCCAGGATACACTCTCGAACCACCACCCTGACTGGGACCCGTCGAACCCGCCGATCGATGCGTCAAACTAACACCGTGAGTGCGGTCCTGGCCGTGGAAGCCGTGGCGCTTCATCACACCAGCAAAGCCCTTTCCCTTGGTGTTGGAGCGGGCGTCGATATATTGGCCTTCCTGGAACCAAGCGGCATCGATCGGCTGGCCGACAGGCGGGAGACCGGACTCATCCTTGACACGGAACTCCGCGACGTGACGCTTGGGCGAGACGCCCTGGGAAGAGAAATGACCTAGCATGGCCTTTTTCACATTGCTAGGGTGTCTCCAGCCGGCACCAATCTGTACCGCGAAGTAGCCGTGCCTCTGCCGCGTCTTGTGTGAGACCACCTCGACCCGGTCCAATTGCAGCACGGTGCACGCGGTGCGCTTGCCCGTCTCCGGGTCGTACACGGCTGTCATCCCCTTCTTAGTTGTAATAACGCCTGAGCGCAGGGGCAGCGAATTGGCTTTGCGTCGGAGCGCTGCTGTTGATGTCGACTCGAGAACAGGCAGGCCGGGCCCGACATTGAACCGGCTGGGTTTCGGGGGATTGAGCGAGCGGATACCGAATGACCGCGCCGCTGTGCGAGGCGCCAGCGATGGAACGCCCCATAGCGGGAAGGAAAGCGGCAGCAGCTTCCCTGGGAGGCGTGGCGGCATGGTGAGTGAGCGATGGGAGGTGAAGACACTCGCTCTTCCCGTGGGCTTAAATTTTGGTCGGGCTTAGTCATTCCACCCAATTAGACAGTTAACTTACTAGTTATGTTTGCTCAGTAACTCAGTTTTCTCCATACTATAACTACCTGCTCATTTTTTCATTCTTCCTTACAATCTCCCTCATCAAAATACACCCTACCGCAGAGGCTACCGGTCTCACCCAGAGCCAACCAGCTGATTCAATACCTCCCCAGCCTCGCGCCAAACAACGCTCGCAAACTCCGGTAGCCCGATCGGACCGGGTGGACCGAAAACGCCGAAACATTAAAAAAAGAGCTCCCGCCTGTGACTCTCACGAACTCTCTTATTCTCCCTCTCCCGATCCTCCCCAAATCAACCACCCACCCTTGCCACAATGGCTCTCCGACCCTCCCTTCTCTCGCGATGGGTCTCGTCTGCGCTCTCGCAACCCATCTCCACGGGCACTTCCTCCTTGTCGTCCATGCGCGGCCTGACAGTGCGTCGTAGCCATGCGAGGCTACTGCAGCAAGCTTCCGGGACAACGCGGCGGTCCTTGACCACCGCCATCCGGACTCCTTCACGAACAACCCCACTGAACCGACTACTCCCTTCCAGACAAAGCCTCCGACCAGGCCGCCGCTTCAATTCTACCGGTCCTAGGCCCCAGACGGAGCAAGAACCCACATCTCTATCGGCGCGGCTGAAGAAACTGTCCCGCGAATACGGCTGGGCCGCGCTGGGCGTATACCTGGGCCTCTCGGCTCTGGATTTCCCATTCTGCTTCGCGGCCGTGCGGCTGCTCGGCGTTGACCGTATCGGATACTACGAGCATGTGGCCATTGAGTTCCTCAAGTCGACGTTTGGCTCGGCGTGGCCGCAGCTCACAAAGGAAGAAGGGCAGACAGAAGTAGCCCTGGCGACGGAAGATGCCCAGCAGGGCCGGTTGGCTCGTGCGGATGAGCGGAATAGGGGAGAAGAAGCTAGTATGTTTTTGTTCTTTCGTTCACATTTGCTAAATATCAGCTGCTAACTATCTCCCAGGTATATGGACACAGCTCGCTCTGGCGTATGCCATCCACAAGAGCTTCATCTTCATCCGGGTACCTTTGACGGCGGCCGTGACGCCCAAGGTGGTCAAGACGTTGCGGCGCTGGGGGTGGAACATTGGGAAGCGGAAGCCTAAGAGCTCCTCTTGATCTCTCATGATTTTCTTTTGGTTTTCTTCTTTTGGTTTTAGAAGGGGGCATCTGTACAGCATAGCGAAGTGAGACGAGTACTGATTTGGGAACTTGTACATTATTCGTTCGCCCTTGGTTTAGATCTAACACGGCGTCTGCACGCCGGTTCTCCACTCATAAAGAAAGGGTATTTCTGGTCCATCTACAAGCAACGAGCATATCATACAGCCACCCAACCCCGTAAACGTAGCCACCCCAAAGTCCGTGGATCCCGATCTATTTCCAGCGCCGGTATTGAGTCGAAATAGCAAAGAAAAGAAAAAAAACCCCCAATATGGACCAGACTGGTATTCAAAACGAGGGCAAAGCAAAAGAATCCGCCCTTTTTGATGTCACTCGGTAAAAGCCCCTCCAAAAAGAAGAGCATGGTACAACATATTGGGAAAATAAGCAAGTGTAAATAAATCCGCTCACATGTCGATCATATCATTGAATCGAAGGATGCCATTGGCCTTCATCACACCGTTGACACCGTCGGGCATTCGGTAGGCCCATTCGGCGGCGACGCCCATCGCGCTGGCGGCCGACAGTGCGTCTGCACGGTCGGGCTGCCCGACCTCATCGGAGGTGTCAGCCACAAGGACCAGGCCGAGCTCTTTAATGGTTTCCACTAATGCGGGAACAACATTCTGGAAACAAATTAGCAAGAAATAGACCAACTAGAGTGTAAAACGTACCAGAAGACTCGACCGGCAGATCAGACCCATGAAGTTGTTACTTTGGGCAATCCGCGCAGACTCCTTGATAGACATCGACGCCCGTCCACTGCTGTCCACATGAGGCATCGAGCCCACATTCTGAGCCAGATCTCGGATCTGCCCGAGGTCATTGCAGAGAAGGACAGGATCTGAGGTCATGTCAGTAAGAACGCCCCCCTAAACATCAAGATAACTTACAATTCGGCTGCTTCCAATTGAGGGCCGTGCAGATATTCGGGTTATACGACGTGAACACCACGGACCGCATGAAGTCTGGGTTCTTTTCCCGAGCCACGCGAGCATGGTCAAAGACATCTGTCAATATCGAGTCGGCAAAGCTGTTGACATCTGCCAGCGAGCTCATGTCAAGACTCTGCTCCTCGGCGACAGATGGATAAAGGATTGTGATGTTGATGTTCAGGTCGACCGGCAGATGCCGCAAGACTTCCCGAAGGGACAGGAAGGATGTTGCAAGGAGTCGATGAGCCTGAGGCATGTCATGAGCCGCCTGGGTCTCCAGGAACTGCATCACTTGCTGGTGGTTGATGCCTCGTTCCGCGCCAACGGCCTGTAATTGAGCATACGTCAGGTGGCAGATCGGGATCGCGATGCCATGGTGGTCGATGGTAAATTGAGAATAAAGCACTGGCACTCGATCCCGGGTCAGCTGCACGAAGAGCTGCACATAGTCTCCCGACAGACTGGAGCCGGTGACCAGCCCATTATGTTCAGAGTCCAAAGCACTGGTCGCCTTCCAGTATGTCGCGAAGTGGGTGATCTCCAAGGGATCACCGTGATACGGCTTGATGACCTGGAAATTAAACCGCAGCTGACCGATCGCGCGCAGCCGTGGGTCGAACAGTGGCAGGCTGCATGTACCGGTGCTTGACGATTCGACGCGGAAGACGACCGGCAGAGCCACGCTCTTGGCAATCACCTTGGAGCCAAAGGTCGGGAAGATCTCGAAATCCACGGTGAAAGTGTCGAGGTTGTCCACGTGGAAGGAGATGCTTCGGGAATCGTCCTGGATGGGCAACATAATGGTGCGTGGAATCAGGTCTGACAGCTTGGATGAGATGGTCAATCGGGCCGCCGGGTAGCGTCCAGCTTGATCAAATGCAATCGACCCCGTATTCCCTTGGTCGAACAAGATTTGGACAAAGGTCTTCTTGTCCAGGAAGTTGTGGCCGTACCGCCTCAACGGGATGATCGGGGGCGGTAGGGACAGATCTGGGATACCGTCCGCGGTGTCCATCTCGGTAGACTCCTCTTGTTCCATCGGGTCCCCCATTGCATCGGCGGCGCCTTGCAGTTGCAGACCATTGAGCACATCCATTGCCCGTCGTCCTGAGATGACGCTTGAGGGCTTAGCCCAGAGAAGAAGCATACACTCCAGATGACCTTCCCATGCGGCGTAGTACATCGCGGACAGTCCCTTCTCGTCGGCCACATGCGGGTCCACGCCGAGCTCGAGGAGTGTGCGCAAACATGGCACGCAGCCTTCGCTCGCTGCATGGAAGAGAGGCGTCCACTGATAGAGCTTGTCTCGCTGGTTCAGGTCGGCACCGTGCTGCTTCAGGAGCAAGAACAGCTCCGGGGACTGTGAGGCGCGAGCCACCATGTGCTGTGGGTAAAGCCCCTCGGCGTCCGGTAGCAATTTCGCATGTCGTTCAAGGAGCATCTTGACAATCGGAATAGAGCCATATTGACAGGCAAGATTCAAGGGAATGTGATCCGTCTTGACAATCGGGAAGGCGCCATATTGGCTAGCATTTAAAGGAACTTGATCCGCCTCCTGGGTCGGGTCAATGCGGGCATTGTTGAATAGCAGCTGCTCCGCGCAGGCGAGCTGACCCTTGACGATGCTGTGGATCAAGGGAGTGAAGTTGTCGTGGTCCATTACGTCGACGGTATGCGGTCCAACGGCCAAAAGCTGCTTCACCATCTCCACGCGTCCGTGCATGCATGCGTAGTGTAACGGTATCCGTCCATACACGTCTGACATGGAGATATCCACCGAGGCAGCTAGACCCGCCCTGAACACAAAGTCACGACCGGAGATGGCGGCCTCGTGAAGGCAATTCCGTTCATTGATGTCATCCTCCGCGTGGATGTCCACCAGTCCACTTTCCAGGAGAAGGCCCAAAACATCATCAGAGAAGCCGTTAATCGCGGTCAAGAAAGTCCGGGTGCCGCGATCGCGGGCATCTGGCGAGGTCTTCAATTTCACCAACCATTCCCGCAGCGTCTGGAGATTGCCGGTCGAGGCAGACTGCAGGACCTGGAGATCCAATTCATCCTCCTCCGCCCCAGCAGACGCCGCAGCACCAGCGGGCGGCCGTGCAGCATCAAACTCAATGTTCTCTCCCTCCGCCCATGCCTCCAACTCCAGCCGAGCTGTTGTCGCACGGTCCGAAAGATCGCGGAGCACCTCCCGGTTGAAACATGGTTGCACTTCCACGGCACGGTGAAGGTATAGCTCTTTCATCCGAGACTGCAGAATTTATTAGCTAGAGAAAAGCGTTTGGGAGAAGTCGATTGAACCTTAGACGTTTTATCCCACTATTATAGCCATCAGTTTATAAATCCTTTTCTGTCAGGAGGATTCGCACGTACCTTTTTGAGGATTTTGGACATTCCCGTCTCATTGATCTCCACGAATTGCTAGATAGACAGTGAGCTTCCAGGAGGCATGTACCGAGATGGACCACGTACCTGGAGCTTGTTGAGGTCGCCGTCGAACTGCTGGAATCCCTCGAACAGCGCGACAAAGTTGGACGGGCGCTTGGAGTTGGATGCAGACCGCGACTGGACGACGCGCTTCTTATCGACCAACGTTTTGAGACGTAGGGAGAACTTGAAAAAATCAGGTTTAGTCGGGCTAGATACCATGTAGCACCCAGGTGGCATACCTCTGATTCCTTCTGTAGATAAAACGCATTGACTTTCTCGATCTCCCGTTCCTGTACCACGCATTAGTCCGGGTGATAATGCGATGAGAGGCGTTGAGGGCTCATACTAAACGGAAGAAGAAGACCTCCTTGTTCGCGCGCAGGGCGGCCTGCGCATCGAGTGTCCCCGTCTGGGCCACATCCTCGGCCGTGGTTTGAGCCGGGATGGTTGGAGTGGCGCTGAGTTGCTTGATCAGCTGATAGAGGGAGTCGTGTTAGCTGTTCGATCTGTTTCCTGGGTTGATCGCCGGGACACCCACTTTCTTCAGGGCCTTGTAGTTGACGAAGCTGGCGGCATATTCGGGGAGATCCAGCTGCCGGCGCTGAATCTGTTTCCCGAACTTCCTGCAAGAGGAGATTAGCACCATCGGCCGAGTAGAAGGAGGTGGTCAGTAAGGGGGCGGGTGGTCCCTTGTGCTCGTGGCTGCAAGGGACCAACCCCAGACTGTCGGACAGAGAGCACGTACATGATGCGTTTGCCGGAGAGAGCGTCAGCTCTCCCGGGCTCTGGGGGGCGGTGGCTGACTGGTTGGGTGGCCGGGGTTCACGGGCGACTGCGTATGACGGATCCTAAGAGCAGGGAAGGGAGATCTGGCAGGCGGGAGAGCGGGTGGTGAATTGGAGGATCAGGGAAGGGCGTGGGTGGGAGACAAAAAGAGAGAGAGAGAGAGGAGGAAGGAAAGAAGGAGGGGCAGAGGATAGCTAGGGTGTCTGGTGGGACAGAGTGTGTGGGACAGCCCGTGACACTTGTGTGTCTCCTCGACACTGATGGTTTCCTGAGGTAGTAAAAGTAGTCCGTTAGTTGGTTAGTTATCGCGATGAGGTCGGGAGTGGAGAGCTAGTTTGCACCAATGACAGTGGCTCCTGCACGCACGCTTTCGGCACGTTTGTCTGGGTCCGGGTTGTACGATCGAGGGGCACTTTGCACGCTTGTTCACAACTATGGATACTGAAGGGATCTTGTACGATGTGATTCCAATTAACTAACTATACGACCACTATGTCCAGTGCACAGAAGAAAAAAACCAAAGAAAAAGATGTACATGCGCCCATACCATCAGACAGGATATGCAACTGCGGGTCCAGATGCGAGGGATATATCAGACAGAACAAACTAAAGACAAACCCCATTACAACAACATACTAAAGAAAAATAGACGAGAGAACGTCCGTCGCGCCGGGATGGGCCCGTGGCCAGCGGGAATGTTCCAGCCAGCCGGGGCGGAAGGAAAGGAGTCGGCTATGATCAAGAGAGAGAGAGAGGGAGAGAGAGAGAGATTTGCGTGTATGATGGAGGAAAGAAGAAGGGGAGAGAGAGCGAGGGATCGCGGGCACCATGGACCAAAAAAAACAAGGGATGGAACTTTTGAAATCGCTTAGAAATTCTGCGCAATGCCCGCATTCCCTTGTCGCGGGTACACTCCGGGGTTCTCGATGTGCGTGTTGCGTCGCGCCTGCACATCGCGAATCACCGGCTGGTAGGAGTCATCGCCATAGGCCCCGTACTGCTCGCCGTAGTACGGGTTGTCTCCATAGTAGCCGCCCGTCGGATGCGCGCCCGACATGTGGCTCTCCTCCGACACCTCGGAGTGGTTGCCCGCTGAGTAGGCTGAGGACGCGTTCGACGGACCACGCTGGATGTCGCCGCGATTAGCGCCCGTGGGCACGACACCCATGGGGCCGACGCCCTCCACTTCCCCAGAACCGGGGCGCATGCCCTCGGAGTATTGGTTGGTGCCTTCGCTGGGCGAGGGGTGGTGGTAACCGGGGCCGCTGGTTTCCGACATGGCCATGCCGCCCATGCCACTCGACAGATTGGTCGAGGCCTTGCGGCCGGCCGACGTCGTGCCCCAGCCGCGATAGCCGGACGAGGTGTCGCCCTTGGGCACTGCAATACCGCCGATGCCGGGCAGGGTCGGGTCGTTGTTCGGATTGAAGCCATACTCCTCTACTTCCTTGCGGCGCTCTTCCTCTGCCGCCTTCCTCGCCTTTCGTTTGCGCCAGAAGAAGATCGCAGCGAGGATGATCAAAGCCACCGCCACGACGGGCACGACGACGGCGATGGCAATGGTGCCTGCGGCGGACAGGCCGCCAGAGCCATTGCTAGTGGTGGTACCCGACAGTGCCGGAGACGAGGTAGCTGTCGCAGAGGAGGTCGTGCTGGATGAGGTGGTGGGAGAGTCCGTCGAGGTGACGACGACGGTTTTGGTGGTGCCATTGGAAGTGGTGGTCTCGGCCGTTGTACTCGGGGCAGACGTGGTTGACGGAGTCGTGGTGGTCGACGTGGTAGTCGTCGTCGTTGTTGAGGTTGGGGTGGGAGTCGACGACGACGTACTTGACGACGTGGTGGTAGTGCTGGTGGTGGTGGTTGGCGACGACGTTGTGCTTGTGGTGGTGGTCGATGTGGAAGTCGTTGTTGGCGTGGGCGAGGACGACGAGTCAGTGGATGCTCCGTCCTTGCCGTCGGTGGCCGAGCCCGCTACGTTGCTGGCCGCTGCTGCTGCCGCTGCCGCTGCTGCCGTCATGTTGGAGGAGGACAATCACAGCGACCCAAGCCGGTGGGAAGAGTCCCGGTCCCAGGAGATGGATGTCTTTTGACAATGCCCGATGCCGAGGGTCGGGTGAGATGTTCGGCAGTCCAGCAGCGACACGAGGAACCGTGTCACAGTCTTAGGAGAGAGGGCAAAACGGGACCAAGATGCAGCGTCTGACGAGGCTGGCGGTTCAGGGGATCGCGGATGACTGGAAGTACATCCAAGAGTTGCGCGACCGAGCAAAAGAAGCAAAGAGGAAGAAAAGAAAAGAAGACGAGAAAGAAATCCCCAAAAGAAGAAAGAAGAGAACCAAAGCAGTCAGTGCGTCCGTCCGTAGGAACCTTGGAATGCACTCACAGCACACTGGCCGAATTGGGGTGAGCCATTGGGGGAAGAAAGCGAAAGCGTGGGAAGCGAAACGGCCGAGAACGGGTTGGTATCGTCGTATTGCGCCAGTACGGGTGGAGTGGGTCAGCCTCTCGCTGTAACGTTTGCAGACAGCGAGTCTGGAGTACCCATGCAAGCATCGATTTCGTTAATCGTCGAATCGCACGATGTAGTACCTCATTGCACCATTGCGCCGACCGCGTCGATCAAGGTCTGTCGCGGAGAGATCTATACCCTCCGACGTCGCTATGGCCCCCCAGCAGGACATTGATGCATTATGCCCGGAGTGCATCCTCTTAAGCGAGAGCATATGATTATCAGACGATAATAATAATTAATGATGATGCACTTTGTGCTCACTTGCCACGTCAATCCTCATACCACTAGGGTATTTTATCCGTGCTTAGTGAGAAAATAGATAACGGGCCCTTCTGGTTTGCGGTGGTCGGGCCATCTCTCTCCAGACCTTTCCTTGTTTACTGCTAGGTAAGCAATCTTACGGCCGTTCTCCGGTCCTCCTACCAGATTGCGTAGGGTCCGGTCGGGGTGGAGTCAGGGCAAGGCAAAACTATCATCCCACAGGGCTCGACTCTCGAACAGCGTAATCAACATGACGAGGAAAATCCATGGAATTGGTGGTCCGATCAGATCGAAAAAAAAGAATTCCAAGTGTGGTGCTGCTTATATACAGTCCAGATACCATTGCGGTAAAGATGCCAGAAGAAAGAAACAATGAAAGATCCGACCGAGTATCTATTTACGCCGTAGAGAAAAAGAGGAAGAAAAAAGACCCCCAAAGTCGGACACCGCCATGCACCGTGGGATGGAGGGACCAAGATGAGGAGCACAAACGACAGGTCATCAGTGGTGTAGGAGACAAATACAGAATTCAAACAGTCGTCACGGTCGGGGATCTGGTCTACCTGGACATGTCCCACGTCGGTTTCAGGCTCGTCATCAGGTCGTCCCTGGTGCCCACCACCTCGGGTGGCAGCCGACTGACGCGGTAGGCCCCCATGCGGATGTTGTTCATGTGCGCCGTCGATATGCCCGTCCGGGCGCTGCGGATGCTGCCGGCGTCGCTTCCCGTGTCCTGGTTCTTGAACCGCGGTGGAGGCGCGAAGTCCAGGTTGGTGTACGTGCCGGACTTGCGCAGTGCGTGTGGGCTGGGCATGGGAGCAAGCTCTTCAAATGGAGAGGCCAGCGGAGTGTGGGCACGAATTGCCGGACTGAAGGGTCGAAGTCCTCCCGTAGGAGTCTCTGGACGTCCCTCACGTTGGTCCCGGAAGTTCTTGCCCGGGGCAAACTCAATTCCATGCATGAACGCATCGTCCTTCAGCGCATGAGGAGTGGGCAGATTTTGCAGCGGGGAGGGAATGGGCATCGGCTTGCGAGGGGGTCCACGAGCACCCGGGAGACGTCCCGAGGCCGACGAGAACGCACGCGGGCCAGGAGCGTACCCACCAAAGCCGACGGAGCTGCTCGCCATATGACGGCCACCTCCCTGGAAGCGCGGTGGTGCACGCGGCGGTGGCGTCATGGCACGGCGAGGCATCGGCTCCGCGAACGGAGCCATAGGGGTGTGCGGCATCAAAGTACTCACCGGTGACCGGGTCGTAGACAAACCCGTCGCCCTCCCAGTATTCCTCATCGTAGTCCTCGTAGTATTGAGTCTCCCGGCCGCCGGCCTTGGAGTCGTCAAAGTACTCCTTGTAAAAGGATCGGATTCGGTTGGCACGCTGCTCCGGGTTCTCAGACGGATCATCCGGCGGCAGCGGGCGCAGGCCCATGGTCAAACGGCGGGTGTCACGACGGTTGTCGTAGGCCAGGTCCAGATCCAGGCTTTGCGCTGACTCTTCTGGCACCTCGGGCAGAGGAGTCGCATCGTGGTGCTTTTCTTCTACATCAGAGATGTTCACCGCAGGAATCGTGAATTCAGACTGTCGGTGATCATCTCCGTAGTCACTGGTCACATCGCTTGAAGGCAAGGAGATCCGGGGCAATTGCGTCGTGGAAGCTTGAACATGCTCGGAAAGTTCCGAGTCACGCGGAGAGGGAACTGGCTCAGGAAGAGGGAAGTTGAGCCGCTCCTCATGAAGAGTACTGTTGCTCTCCGCTCCGTGCAGCTCGGCCTCGGTCTCAACATGGATGGTCGGGGTGGGGAGAGGGGGAAGATGGAGTTCCTCGGCGTGGTCGTGGCTCTTGCTTTCCTTCTCCTCTTCATAGGCCGTGGCAGCAGCAGTAGAACCGATGGCCAGATTGAGTTCATCATGGTCCAGGGGGTACGGAGCTACTCCCGGGGTTGGTTCGTGATACTCAGGGCGAGGCGGAGAGCCGCCTGACCTGGGTTCGGCGGAGGGATTGTTGTAGAGAGGGGGGGACGAGCGCGACATTCGCTGGGCATTCCGCAACAGAGCCGATTTGGGCTCCTCGACCGGCAGTCGATGGGTGGAACCCATCATGCTGGATCCATCATCTCGAGGCGTCCGAGGGAATGAGCGGACGGAGCCATTGTCTTGCGTGAAGATCGTAGCCGGGCGGTATTTATCGTCATCTCCGGTCACTGTCCGGGACAGCGAATGAAGTGAATCTGTAGAGCCATGTATCCCCGGGGGCAGCAGATACGGGTGCATGATATCCAACGATAATCCCTTGCTGTGGGCCATGGGGGGCATTGGTCCCTGAGGTCCTGGCCTTCTCCTTCCTTGCGACGACGCCACTGGATCTAGCCCAAAGTCAAGCGACTTATACTTGTCATTGATATCCTCACGCTTCAATTTCCTGACCGATCTTCGGTGAAGTAAGTACAGGACGATGGCGGCACATAAAAGGGGCACACTAGTCGACTGTCAGCAAGAGAAGGGACAGGTAGATACATCGTCTCCAACATACCCTGCACCGAGTACAACCGGCAGGACTGTTGTGGTCAGTTCGCTCTCGGGCTTCGTACAGTTGCTTCCTTTGGCACAATCAGACGTTGATGAAGGTTGCGGAGCTCTTGCGAACAAGGCCGGCGAAGTCGAATCACTACTCGACATCAGCAGCGGCAGCCGATGAACCGGCACGACCTCCCGCTGATTCGGGTGATGTAAATTGGCATGGTGGGCGTGAGGCATGATGAAAGCGCCCGATAGGCAGAACTTGTTGTTGTGGACCGGAAGTTGACGAGCGGCGTTACCAGAACGCGAGGGGACCGGTCGACACGACGTTGTAAGGAGATGGCGAGAGCCGCAGCTAGTTTGTCGGATTCATGGGAGGGTCCAGATCACGACGGAATTCGAATCGACAGACTATGCACGCGGGCGCTTCGGGGTAAAGGAGTGAAAAGTGAAAACAATGGCTGGGGCGGAAGGGATCAATCAAAGAGCGAGGGGGACAGTGTGTCCTTGTAAAGGAATGGCGGCCAGCAGCCAGAAGAGAACGAACAGGGGTCGGAACACAGGGAAGTAAGTTGAAGAAGAGAAAGAGAAGGAAGAAAGAGAGAGAGAGAGAGAAAGAGGAGAAGGAGTGGATTCGGACTGTGTGTTACATACACTAACTATTAAACTAGTGGTACCCGTGCAGAAGTCGAGGTACTTAGGACACAGCAGCCGATAAGCAGGACACCCACGTACCAGTACAATGTCTTCCGGTACCCAGCCAGGTACCTGAGGCTAACCGCGTTGGGTTGGCACTAGCCCCTGAACTCTTTCTCCGTTTAGCTTTTCTTCCATTTCTCTTGTTCTCTTCCCCCAGCGGACTATGGATCTAGGCACATCATAGTAGCTACCTCGGTCCGTACATTATAGTCTCCTACCCATCGTCCAGTGGTTTGTTTATTTTGAATCGCCTGCTGTTGATGGCCCAAGCAAGGCGCAATGCGGGTTTCAGACCCGACTGGGTCCAGACTGGACCAATCAGGGCACTCACCCCTGAATTGGAGGCTAAGCGCAAGGAGATGATTACATACAGTACCGTCAGCCACGACCGTTTCAGGCGGATCGTAGTGCTGACCCAGACCCGTAGCGAAATTATCACTGCTCCACCGAAGGTTTCTAGAAGAATTATTCGCCTACCTGCATCATATTCATGGAAAGTAAGTATTAATACAAACTGCAGTAACTAGGTACTCAGCTACCTACCTAGACAGGTAGTGATATACTGCTCACAGGATAACAGTTAAATACAACCAGGCTAATATGAATAAATTCCTATACTTCTATCTTCTGGAGGTCCCCATGCCTACGCATGACTACCCCGACTGTCCTAAGTTGCTTTTTGATTATGACTATAATGAGCAGAATGAAAAAGAATCACATTCTATATACATCCTCTCTCCCAGCTAGGTTTCCTTCCGCTTCGGTGAGAGTGACGTCAGATTCCTCGAATAACCGAATCGGCCAGGAGCCCGCGAATATCCTCATGCACTGTGCAATATTCTTCAGTCATGGCCGATCAATTGAATAAATTGCCAAGGAGCTGTTGATAGTGCTGCTAGCACATACGACATTTCATCGATCTCGATCGCCATGGAGCCCGCCGATCTAGAAAAGGCCGATCCCTCCGAGAATAATGTACAACATGATGGCGATGACAGCAGTATTCATCACTCCTCCTCGGTCAGCTCCTCATACTCCTCATCCTCTTCTTCCCAACATGCGATAGACTATCTCTCCCGCGCCCAGACGGCTCATTCCCAGCGCGACGCCGGTCTGGAGCGCCACCCCACCGCGCTCAGTCGCATCGCAACACAGCGCAGCCAACACACTGCTACCGTGGGTGCCGGTCTCAAACCCCGAATATCACGAAAGCCATGGCCTGAATTCGGGGCTGGCAAAGCTTATCCGCCGCTCCTTCCAGCGAGGGAGGAATATGTCGTCGAATTTGTCGGGCCGGACGACCCATTGCATCCCCAGAATTGGCCGACTTTGAAGAAGTGGGTGGCCCCAATTAAACAAAAGAGAGATATACATGCTAACACTGCACAAGAATTGCTACGGCCATAATGCTGGCCTACACGACCTTCAACGCTACCTTCACCAGCAGCATCTACTCCACCGCAACCTCCGTTATCTCGCCAGAATTCCACGTCTCCGCCGAGGTCGGCACCTTGGGTCTGTCATTGTACGTGCTGGGATTTGCGACAGGTCCGATTCTCTGGGCACCTTTATCCGAACTGCGTGGCCGTCGTCTGCCCATCCTCATCGCCGTGTTCGGCTTTACCGTGTTCCAGTTTGGCGTTGCAACCGCCAAAGATCTACAAACGGTGATGCTGTGCCGCTTCTTTGGCGGATTTTTCGGCGCATGCCCCATTGCCGTTGTGGCGGCGGTCTTCTCGGACATCTTCGACAACCGTTTGCGAGGCCTGGCGATCACCCTCTTCACCATGACCGTCTTCACGGGCCCTCTGTTTGCATCAACAGTCGGCGGCTTCATTGTGCAGAGCCACCTAGGCTGGCGGTGGACGGAATACCTGACCGGCATCATGGGTGCGTCGGCATTGGTGTTAAATATTTTCTTCCTGCATGAAACATATCCACCGGTTGTGCTGATCGACAAGGCCGCGGAGCTACGGCGCCGCACCAAGAACTGGGGCATCCATGCCAAACAGGAAGAAATCGAGGTGGACATGCGAGAACTTCTCCAGAAAAACTTCAGTCGGCCACTGAAGATCCTATTCACCGAGCCCATCGTGTTGTCTCTCAGCATCTACATGGCCTTTTTGTACGGCCTGCTGTATCTCTTCCTGACAGCCTACCCGATTGTATTCCAACGGATCCACGGTTTTGGAAAAGGTGTGAGCGGGCTGCCTTACCTGGGACTCATCATTGGTGAATTCCTCGGCGGCATCTTCATCATCCTCACACAGCCCTGGTATATCCGCAAACTGGATGCCAACAACGGCATCCCGATCCCCGAATGGCGGCTGCCGCCCGCCATCGTCGGCAGCGTGGCATTCGCCGGTGGACTGTTCTGGTTTGGCTGGTCCGGTTTCAAAGCCGATATCCATTGGATTGTGCCGACTCTATCCGGTCTTTTGACAGGTTTTGGTCTGCTATGCATCTTCCTCCAGGCCCTAAACTATATTGTCGATGCCTATCTTCTCTTGTGAGTGCACCATACTTAGATTGATGGTGGTACTTATTGTTTGTAGTGCCGCCTCCGCCCTGGCAGCTAATAGTATCCTCCGCTCAACTGCCGGCGCGAGCTTCCCTCTCTTCGCAACATATATGGTATGTCACCTTGCCACCATTTGGGGAGCCATTCTGACCATTATCACCCAGTTTAATTCACTTGGCATCAACTGGGCCGGGACCTTGCTTGGTTGTGTGGCTGCTCTCCTCATCCCCCTGCCTATCGTCTTCTATCTCTACGGACCCAAAATCCGGGCCAAGAGTAAATTTGCAACAGACTATTTGATGACGGCACAAGCGCATACTGACGAGCGGATGGAATAAAAGTTGAAGCATCTCAAATGTATCATTATATTCTTTTTGTGATTTCCTGCGGTCGTTGTCAGTGTCTTGCCTGTTCTCAAGATACCCTGTGTCCTTCAGCATTGAATATCAGCCGATAATAATGTCATGGATTGGAGCTTCTAAATCTCAAACACTTAAGAGCCGCACGCCAGAATTGTGTCTCGGTAGTTCGGGCGTATCGGCCATATCGGGGGCTGGGAGCTCATCCACCGAGAATCTGCCTTAACCACAGGTACGCATTGCCCTGAAAGCGATATATCCATTGGAAGCCCGAAATCCATATAAAATGGCCTTTTCCAGTTTTCCTGTCCTCAATTCATCTCGTTCCCGATCAATTCCTCAATCTATCTTTCTAGACCATTTCCTGTCCTTCAACCCTAAGTGCAAGAGGCCATGTCTCAACTCAAAATCCTCATCTGTGGCGCCGGCATCACAGGAAACGCCCTTGCATTCCAACTCTCCAAGCTCGGACACTCCATTACTGTGATTGAACGCTTTCCTGATCTCCGGTCATCAGGGCTCCAAGTCGACCTTCGCGGCCCCGGCCTTCAAGCCCTCCGACGGATGGGTATCGAGAAAGCCTTTCGCCCTCATTTAGTTCCCGAGCAAGGCTTCGAGCTTGTTGATCGAAAGGGCAAACAATGGGGATATTTCCCGGTCAACAAGTCTGGCAAGGGATTGCAGAGTCTTTCGACAGATTTCGAGATCATGAGGGGTGATCTATGTCAGATCCTCTATGATTCCACTAAGGAGCGGGCTGAGTACCGGTTCGGGATGTTTGTGAAGGAAATTTCTCAGGATGAGAAATACGCAGAAGTCCTTTTGTCTGATGGTAGTCGCGAGCGGTTTGACCTCGTTGTTGGTGCGGATGGCGCCGGCTCTCACACTCGGAAGATGATCCTTGACAAAGGGGAGGCAGATCCATTTCATCCTCTCGGTGTATGTGCGGGTTACTTTACTATCAAACAGCCTGCTAAGCCCGGCGAGGGATATAATGCCACTGGATTCATTGCACCGGGAAAACGTGGTATCATGACTCGTCGAAGTGATCCTGACAAGTACCAAGCCTACATGTTCTGTAAGCCCAATGCATCGGAACATCTCAAGAACGCCAGGAAGGGCAACATCCAAGACGAAAAGGAAGGGATTGCAGAAGTTTTTCGCGATGCTGGATGGCGGACAGAAGAGATCCTCAAGGGTCTGGCTGACTCCAAGGACTTCTATTGTGAGCGCTTGGGCGTCGTCACCATGGATCATTGGTCTCGGGGCCGTGTTGTGCTGGTGGGAGATGCGGGTTACTGCCCAAGTGCTATGACGGGCATGGGCACAACCTGCGGCGTGACTGGTGCCTACATCCTGGCTGGCGAGATTGGGAAACATTGTGACTCGGATGGCTCCATGGACAACATCACGGCTGCTTTGACGCAATATGAAGGAAAATTGCGTCCATTCATCAATACCGTCCAAAGCGGATTGGCGGAAACCAAGGGAGACTACTTTGGTAAACTTCCGTCGTCGAAGATGGGGATTCAGATGATCTATATTCTCTTCTGGGTTGCCTCAGCTCTGAGGCTAGATGTTATTGCAACGTGGTTTTTGCGCGAAGATACCAAAGGTTGGAAACTTCCAGAGTATATGGAGACGGATTGTGCTTCGGAGTAAAACCTGCCTGGGCGCTGAGACTAGAAAAGTTTCCGCCGTGATGTATTATTGAATCCGTTGTGTGATTACAGGTTCCTGTTGACAAAGATTTATGCCAACTTGACTTTATTAATATCATTATTTAATTGAATGAGTTACTCTGGAATGCTTTTAATGAGCTCACTGCGGAAAAAGACTATCCGAAAAGCCCAAGTCAAAGCTGTCACCCAGAAAGTCAAAGTCCGTATCGAAATCCGCCAACAGGGGCATCTCCATGCCGCCGAATGGCCAAGTTTCCGTACCTGGATCCATTGGATTGGTGGACGATCTGGTCTGAAAGAGTTCATGGCATGTATCCAGACTCTCGTGCAGGACCTTCAAAATAGCCTCCTTTGATGGCTTGCCATAGAGACGAGACTCGGCTTGAGCCAACATCATATTCAGACACACATAGACCTTCACATTTGTTTCGCCGTACCACATCCTGTCTTTTGCATATTGGACCACGCGACGACCATCTTGCAGCAATGGTTCTTTGCGATTGCGGTCCCTTCCAGGGAAGAATGAAATGTCTCCTTCAGGCTCTGGACATAGTCCGAGAAAAATAAGCAATGCGCCTCGCGTGATGATGTCGCGAAACATACCACCACCGGCCAGGAGTAAACGGCGGTACAGGACATCTTCAAGAAGCGAGACGATGTCCTGTGCAGCTGCAAGACATACTTTTTGGGAGTAGCTGTACAGGGGATTTTTCTGGGCCGTGATGGCATATGAGAAGTGGAGGCACAGAGGAAAGCGGCGAAGGAGATGGCTGCAGTAGCTGGAGGCAAATTTTGCTGTCTTGTTCATAGAGGCAGCGTGCTCGATTTCGGTAGCGGCATCGCGACAAGCCTGGGCCAGTTCATTTCCAATGGCTAAAACTTGCTCGTAGGACGATTCCTCTTGCAGACTGTTGATTACTCTGGTGACCCGCAGCCTCAGAGGAAGGGAACTTGCCAATACCGGCTGAAAGGAAACATGGGTGGGGTGCTCCTCTGGATTCCCTTCATCTAGATCGTTGTCGTTGACATTGGACGGCGGCTGCGTATTGTAATCTTCATCCCTGATCATAGGTGACATACCCGAGTCTAATGCGGCTTGTACATTCAGTTCGAGAATGGTGTACCACAGCCGCCGTCGAATTTCTTTCTGTTGCGTACTCATCTCCTCAAAGCGGTTCGGATCTTGATGGAAGCCCATCTGCATCGCCATTCTCGTGAGTGAGCCCGCTGAGATCCACACCAAATCGGTTCCCACTCGAGTAACCTGACGGGCCAGGAGTAGGAGGCAGTGGATTTGGATGCCTTCAACTTTCAGGCGGTTTTTTTCCAATGGTGCAGAAAGCCATGTCTGGGCAATATAGATCCAAGATGAGCTTTTTGTGGCCATGTCATTGCGAACATTGCTATCATCATGGATTGTGCCCGCCAAGATCATCACAAGGAGAAGCCGCAGCAAGAAATGGTCCTTTGCGGTTTCTGGTTGATTAGTGTAGCTTTCGTAGTCTGCTCGGAAGGAGGGGAGATAAAGAATTCGGAAGCAGGACTCAAAAGTGGCGAAATACAGCTCAACCAGTTCATCCATCACCTGGCGGCTGGGAAAGGACCGATGAATGTCCGCAGGGAGATTTCCTCGTGTGGCACGTTTGCTCTTGATATCTCGCGCTAGCCGTTTACATTGGGCGACCTTCTCTGCAGTCTCGTTCTGACTATTTTCCAATTGAGAGAACACATCATAGCATTCTCCAAATGGCTCGAGGGGCGCCAATTCTTCCATCTGTGATAATTATCAGCAGGTGTACGAGGTAAACGGGAGACGAGGGTCTACCATAGAGAGAGAGCTCATCCAATGTCCTTGGCCAAAGACCCGAGTCTTCGAGACGGTGCCTCGGATGCGCGTTTCTGAAGGCCCTTCGGAACTGCTCTGTAATTCCTGCTGTCTCACAGAAGTCGTACGATGGTGTTCCTCGAACGTACATGCTGAGGCCACACCATGTGCGGTACACTGGTTACATGGCTGAGTCCGATCGCATCGGACCTTACGACGACGACACTCGACACAGGAATAGGCCGGGCGTCTGCGTTTCCGGGGGTGAGACGGGCTGGCCATTTGATCATTGAATTGGATGCTATTGACGCGGATGGACCGATAGCTCCGAAGTGTCGGCCGTAAAGCAGCCATGTTACATAATCCGATGTCTCCGGCCATCAAAGGAAACTTAGTTGAATACTGGCAGGTTGTTTAGAATCACTTGGATGTTTATGCAAGCTCATATTGGCAATAATGTCGAATCGATTATGGTTGATTCTAATGAAGGTGTTAATGGCCCTGTGTTCTGTAACTAAGACTGGCTAAGAGTTGGTATGTATGTAACTCAGGTAATTAACTACCCTCTACATAGATCCATAACTTCCCTCAATCGATCAACATAACATAGCCTGCCTCGATGAAGGCGCCATTGAATGAATGAGATGCTCCACTCGAAGACATGGCGGGAATCATTATTGTTAACCGGATTCAGCCAACAGGTCAACCCTGGGGGAAATACGTATTAGACGAGTCTATGGCGATGAAAATTCTACAATTTCTACAAACAACTATACACAGTGCTCCTCTTATTTGTTTTCGCATTGCATCCGCTCTGTAAGTAACTGGGATCTAAAATGCTCCAACACAGGACAAGAATAGACATGATGACATGGTTCTTTAGCGATCTTCGTGCTTGCTTCAAAATCATCATAAGGTTCAAATCATCCTCCCGCACACAGTCCACGCACGGGGAGGTATTACAGCGCAATTATCAAATATGGCCCGCGCATAATATGGAACAAAGACGAAAGGAATGAGGTGGCCGACTGTAAAAAGAAAGGGCCCGTGGGCGGTACAAATGAAATGCGACACAGAATTTTTTTGAGCGGGCAATGTACATGACGAGACGGTTGTACACGGAAAATAGGGATATGGCGCTTTTGCAAGATGTGCTATGCTCGGGAAAGGAGTCCGCGGAGGAAGGAGGAGTCGATGGATGGAAGGAAAAGGAGATGCTCATGCAAATGATCTTTCTTTTTCAGAGGTCGTTCACATCAACTCATGCGGCCGACGGTAAAACGTATGCGAATCAGGGTGTATAAAAGTTCGGAGCATCAGGTCAAGGTAGAATTAATGCATTTCGGCCATGGCAGCCTCGAAGCTGGCAAGATCGTCGTGGGATGGTTGGTCGAAGATTCGTCGGAAGGGTGGATCAGAAGGAAAAACATCTGGCGGACTCGCGGAGACACCTTCGGCTTTGCGAATTACCTCTTTCAGGGCGCGCGTGACGACGCCTGCACGGACGACTAGATCCCGGAGGGACGAGGTGTCGAAGGGGAGTTTTTGGGTTCGTGTCGCTGGATCAAAGTCGAGAGCTGAGGGGGCCGAGCCACGACTGGGTGACAGCATATCCAGCACTGACTTTGACTTGGGGGAGCGTCTGGTGAGTTGACCCAGAGGTGGACCAGACGAGGAGGGTCGATCTTGATCAGGGATATCTTGCCATGAGTTGTCGCTGTTTCGTTTGGACGAACCATTGGTGTTGACAGCTTCCTCATCGGACTCATCAAAGCTGAAAGTCAGAGAAGAAGGCGAGCGTGGAGGTGACCGGTGATCATCATCATCGATGGTGGCCAGATTCACAATGCCTTCTGCTTCTTTCCAGAGCTCACCGGATGGTCCACTGACAAGATCCAAGACACTCGCTTGATGTCGAAGGCGCTTGAGCTCTTCCACCAGGAGTGTTAGTTCCTGAACCTGGCCAAACTGGCCGTGGAGGCTGGCCTGGCGTTCGAGAATGGCTTTTGGAACTGTCATACTCTGACGATGATCGGACTCGGAGGGCTTCGAGGTCGGGCTGGCGTTGTTGGTCTCTTGCGGCTCGTCAAAGTCAAAATCGCTGTCCCAGTCTTCGCTGACCCCTTTGGTACCCAGACCCCAGGTGCCAAATTTGCCTGAACTTTGCCGTGACTCCGCCAGTGGCGGGTCTCGCGCCACGGGAACACTCTGGCTTCGAAGGTGTACGGTGGACGCTGCTTTCCGACCGGTGGCACGGCTGCCGCGGTCCACACATTCCTGCTTCCCATGAACGGTCCGGGGACGAGTCTCAGTGCCAGGCGGTTCGCGATCTGAAGAACGGGGTTGTTCAGACCAGTCGAAGATGTTCATCTTCCCCGCTGATCCAGTCGTCTCCACCGACTTGCCCGAAGGTGAGCGTTTGGGGACTGAATCGTTAGGCACGACACTGACCATGCTGCATGCGTCTCCCTCGTCTGATACGTCCGACAGGGCTGTCACGTTTCCACCCATCTGCTGGGGAAGTGTTGGGGAAGCCAGGAGGGTGTCGGGGAAGAGCGGGTTTTGGTCCAGGTGTGAGCCTACCGAACGGGGGATAAGGTCCTCCAGGGTCGCAACTGCCTCATTGGAGAGCCGCGGGCCTGCCTTGTCGAACATGGTCTCGATACGCAGTCCTTTTGCTCCGCTGCGACTGGACCCGCGTGTCCGCACCGAATCCCAGTAGTCGCTCACCAGGTCCGTCTCGTACTCATCACCGGACGTAAACACGCGCGTGTCGTCTGACCCGATGATGGTCGATGCCGGGTCTGAAGCGGCGATTGAATGCCGTTTGGGCCGATTACGGAGCGAGGGGGTATAGTCCGGACGATACGATCCATGCTGCCAGGAAAGAACATCGGAACTCAGCGGACGGGGCCTACGCAGCGCACTCGCTCCTAATTGATAGTCCTGAGACACCGACCGTGGACCGATGCGAGTTGAGAAAGCCATGCCGGGCTGCGCAATGGTGTGCGAGCGGCGAGGCAGACTGGGATCGGTGGTGTTTCGTCGTGGACGAGGCTGAAGCGAGCTTGGGAGTATGCTTTCAGAAGGGGAGAGCTCCGAACGGGGTATGGAAAACGTTCTTCCTTTCACGCGTTTCAAAGATCCCCCGCGAGGCCGCCCACTGAGCGGAGTGCCGGTGGCCGTAACCGTGTCGGCCACAACGGTCTTCTTCGTCTCGACATCGTTGAGGGAATACGAATGCTTGTGCTTCAGCTTTTCGGTCTGGTCGACCGGCGGAGCAATTCTACCAGTAGCCTGGATTGGATTGTGAACTTCAACTGGAGTATCTGGCACAGACTCGGGCTTGTCTGCAGTAGTCTTGACCGTGATCGCAGTCGCCAAAATCAAGGCCGGCACTGTGTCTCCATCAGACACGAGCTGCCGCACCACTGGAACCTTGGAGGTACCTGGAGTGGGCAACCTGCGGGCCAACTTCTCCGATATCCTGTCGGCCTTGGGGTGCAGATACGGTTTCCAGTCAGTTTGCTGGCTGAGCTCAAAGTCTCCCGCCACTGGGGACTCAAGGAACTGCCCAGAGAAACGGGAGGTGAACTCGGCGGCTATAGGGGTATTCAAATGCATAGTCTCAGATCGTTGATAGCTGGTGGCCGGCCGACGCAAGGCAGTCGGACTGGACAATGCGGGAGCCGGGTTGACGAACACATTGGAAATCTGTGATGACGAGCGTTTGACCAACTTGTTTGGAGCTCGGCGCTGGCTGGGAGGACGAGGCAGGATTGGACTGGCGGAGCCATTGAAGGACGGAGTCACGGGGCTATGGGCTGAGGCGCTATCTGTTTGGAAGGAGGCCAGTGACAGCCGCCGCAGCCAGCTGGACGATGGCCGTGATTGGGAGGCTTCCTCCTCCTCAGCAATTCGCAATGGCGGGTTGGTCAGAGTCTGACCCCTCCGCCGCAGCCTGGCCGCCCCGAAGGACAGTGATGCCCTCCGGAGATCTGAGCTCTTGCGTGGGTCCCCGCCATCGTCATTGCTGCGAGACCAGTCCGCCCCCGCGTCTGTCAGCCGGGTGGAAATCGAGATCGAGGTCTTTGGTCGTGCATCTGTAGCAGCCGGCTGCGTAGCACAGGGAGGCTGTTCTTGAGGCGGAAGTGTTTTCCGGCGAGCGAGGCGGGTGCGTTCGACACGACCGAGGGCGAAGCCGGACGGTGCGATGCCTACCGTGCTCAGTGCACAGAGCTGGGATGCAAACGCGTCAGTCTCGAGTATGTATTTGCCCGCGGGTTTCAGACAAGAGGGACGGGCGTTTGTCGTAGAGGGAGGGGCTGGAACGGGACCATTCGGGACCACCAGAACCAGTGGAAAGGGAACTCACCGTCGAGACGTGATCCATCCTCAGATGCGTGGAGGCGAGTTAGACGCCGCCGAGTTTAGCACCGCAGCGTCGACCTGGGCGAGCGACATCCCATTTGGATTGGCATATGGGGGGAGGGGATGGAAGAAGACAGAAAGGAGAGGCAGGCGACAGGGACTGGGCTGAAGCAGCGAGCCCTTGCAGGGGAGAGGGATGAGAGAGAGGAAGGGAGGGGGAGAGGAAACGGAAGGAGTGAATGAATAATGATGGGGAAAAGTAGTAGGTCCGTAGTCTAGTGTGGAGGCAGAAAGGAACGAGCGAGAGGTGGTGTCAACAAAGCTACGACCGACGGGGTAAACGCGAGGAAGAATCAATCATAGTCGATCGCCCCTTGCCGCATCCCTCGTGTTTCTGATCCCGCTCAGCCAATAATTCCCCGGCTTACAATCCACTCTGACACATGATTATTTCCCTTTGATCGATCTCGTCATCGGCCCACTTGGTCTGGTTCGTCAATCGCGAACCAAGATTATGTGACATAAGGACGCCCGGAACAACAGTTGACTGACAGCCAATGATCAATGGATCACTGGACTCGATACCCTCTACAGAATGGTCACGACCCAAGCCCACTGGCCCTCCGTGATCTATGACAGAGGGATCTTCGTCAGGTAATGAACCAGACTAGAGACCCTCGGCCAACCGCATACCGATCGCAGCTGCAACTGCCCATCGTCGCACAGGGGTCGTGTGGCTGCCTGGTCCCCTTGAACCGGTCCAACAAACGTCCCCAGCATGACCAACGGGACCGATGAACTTCTGGCCTGAATCTACATCCGCTAGTCCATTTAATTGAAGGTACAATGAAAGAACGATTCGGATTGTTGACTATCTATACTCTTGGATCCTAAACAATCACCTGACCTTATCGATAAGACAAACGAGCCCACTCGATGGCCGAGCCACGGACTCGACCTTCAAAGACACTCACCCACCATCGTGCCAACATGGAAACCGAACTCCAGGCGCAGATCCCCGGTCTCGACCGTGTCATTTCAGAATACTCGGTGGTATGTCTGCACCTCCCTCTAATACGGCCACAATGCGCAATGCCCCCGCGCTGACCATTCATCTTTTCACAGGGCTACCTGATCCACGCCTCCAACCTGTACGTCGAGGATGGCAGCGTCCAATCCCCATTAACCGAGGCCGCCGAAACTGTCACCGAGCTTCTAGTCTCCGCCTCGGGTGATTTCTCCCCGCAGAACCACGAGGCGATCGGCAACCTGGTGGAAAAGTTCATCGCCAAACTGAGCTCCTCCAATGGCGTGGATGCGGAGCGGCGACAGATGCCGTTCATGGCCAAGAAGCTGGATCAGGCCATCAACGTCGGCTCCCAGCGCAACATGTCATCCACCCTGGGCTTGACTGGCACCACCGTGGACTTGGAGTCGGCCAATGCCCGAAAGGTCGAGTCGCGCGTGGATAAGAAGAAGCTCGAAAAGGCCGAGCGCAAGATTCGGTTCAAGCAGGAGAAGAAGCAGATGAAGACCGTTCAGTATGAAGCCTCGCGCTTGCTGAACCCGACGGATGAGGCCATGTCCTATGAAGAGTTCTTCATGGCGGTCAACCCTCTCCAGCTGGGCGCAGATGCCCAGTCCAAGAGCAAGGATATCAAGTTGGACAACCTCGATATCTCCATCAGCGGTCTACGGATCCTGACCGACGCAGCCTTGACGCTGGCCTATGGTCGTCGCTATGGTTTGGTGGGTCAGAACGGTATCGGAAAGTCCACGTTGCTGCGCGCATTGAGTCGTCGAGAAGTCGCCATTCCAAGCCACATCTCCATTCTCCACGTCGAGCAGGAGATTACCGGTGACGATACCACAGCTATTCAAGCCGTTTTGGACGCCGACGTATGGCGGAAACACCTCCTCGCAGAACAAGAGAAGATCACAAAACAATTGGCAGCGATCGAAGAGGAGAGATCCCAGATGGCAGATACATCAAAAGATGCCGCCAGATTGGACCACGAACGGGAAGGCCTGGATATCACTCTCAGCGATATCTATTCCAAGCTTTCCGAGATGGAGTCGGACAAGGCCGAGTCCCGCGCAGCCAGCATTTTGGCGGGTCTAGGTTTCTCCCCGGAGAGACAGCAATACGCCACCAAAACCTTCTCCGGAGGTTGGAGAATGAGATTATCGCTGGCTCGAGCTTTGTTCTGTGAGCCAGATCTCCTTTTGCTGGACGGTATGCTGTCCCTTAAAAAGACGTGTGGATCAAATAGGGAACTAACCGTGCCACAGAACCTTCAAACATGTTGGACGTTCCGTCGATCACTTTCTTGTCCAACTACCTCCAAGGCTATCCTAGTACTGTCCTGGTCGTTTCGCACGATCGATCGTTCCTCAACGAAGTGGCCACGGATATTGTCCACCAACATTCGGAGCGCCTGGACTACTACCGGGGTGCTAATTTCGGTAGGTGACACCACAGCAGATTTCAGGTCCAATAGCTTACAGTTTTCCAGAATCATTCTATGCGACCAAAGAAGAGCGCAGGAAGACTGCCAAGCGCGAGTATGAGAAGCAGATGGCAGAGAGGGCACATCTCCAAGGTTGGATACCTGCCTCGGGTCGTATTGTGCATGCTAACCACCATCACTAGCCTTTATCGATAAGTTCCGGTACAATGCCGCCAAGTCCTCCGAAGCGCAATCGAGAATCAAGAAGCTCGAGCGGATGCCCGTCCTCGAAGCCCCCGAGAGCGAATATGTCGTTCACTTCCAGTTCCCCGAGGTAGAGAAGCTGTCCCCACCCATCGTTCAAATGACGGAAGTGTCCTTTGGCTACACCAAGGACAAGCCTCTTCTCAAGGATGTGGATCTGGATGTTCAATTGGACTCGCGTATTGGAATTGTTGGACCGAACGGTGCCGGTAAAACCACCGTGCTGAAGCTTCTGACCAACCAGCTGGAGCCGACCAAGGGTCTGATCTCGGCACACTCGAGATTGCGCATTGGATTCTTCGCTCAACACCACGTCGACGCACTGGATATGACGACGAGTGCCGTGAGTTTCATGGCCAAGACGTATCCCGGCAAGAGTGACGAGGAGTACCGAAGACACTTGGGCGCGTAAGTCAACCTCTTTCGACGGATCATCGAGTCGTTACTGATCTTCTATATACAGATTTGGCATTACAGGCACCACCGGTCTCCAGCGCATGGAGCTGTTGTCTGGAGGACAGAAATCCCGTGTGGCGTTCGCCTGTCTGTCTCTGACCAACCCGCACATCCTGGTTCTGGACGAACCGTCCAATCACCTGGATATCGAGGGTATGGATGCGCTGTCGGAGGCCCTGCAAAGGTTCGAGGGAGGTGTAGTGATGGTGTCCCACGACGTGACGATGCTGCAGAATGTGTGTACGAGCCTGTGGGTGTGCGACAAGGGCACGGTGACCAAGTTCGACGGCAACGTCGCCGCGTACAAGAAGATGATCAGCGCACAGGCCAATGAGGCTGGAGTGGCTGCTCCTCATTAAAACTGATAGAAAGTAGGTAGTTTATGAACGTAAAAAGGAAAAATATCCTCTAGCAACATACCCTTGAAGTGGCCAACCCTACCAGAATTCTATACATTCACTCTTATCTTATCGCCAGCCCCGTGACGACGGTGCCGCGTGGGGGTAATAGCCGGGGTACCTCTTTCTTCCCGACCACACTCATCGTAACTACATTTCCTCCGTACCCCATACCATGCCGACAGAGGACGACGAGCCCGATTTCCCCCACCAACCACTCCTCCCCACGGCTTCGTCCGACTACGATGTGGTCCATGCGCCCGAGCTGAGTTATGTAGGGGGCTGGTTCATCTGGGCCCTCACCTTCTCCGCCGGAATCAGCGGGCTTTTGTTTGGCTATGAGTAAGTCTGTATTCGTGATGATATGAGGCGAAGAGACATTGACCATCTCACGATTCAGTACGGGAGTGATCTCGTCGACCTTGGTGACCGTGGGCTCCGACCTCTCGGGTCGCGACCTCACCACTCTTGACAAGAGTCTCATCACCTCATGTACCAGTCTATTTGCACTCTTCGCGAGTCCCCTGACGGGGATTCTGGCCGATAAACTCGGCCGGCGCAAGGTCATTCTTGGCGCGGATGCTTTGTTTGCGCTCGGAGCTTTGATCCAGGCGGGTACGAGTCATGTCGGGGGCATGATTTTTGGTCGGAGTATTGTTGGTCTTGCGGTTGGTAGTGCTAGTGCCGTGACTCCACTGTATGTTCGACGGATGGCTTCAACCGACAGTGGTAGCTAATTGGTATCAGATATATCTCCGAGCTGGCCCCATCCCACGCCAGAGGACGGCTGGTGACCATTATGTGCTTGCTCATCACCGGCGGCCAGGTCGTGGCATATACTATCGGCTGGCTCTTCTCCGCCATGCCCGGAGGTTGGCGTTGGATCGTCGGCCTTGGGGCACTGCCTGCATTCCTGCAATTTGCAATTCTCGTGTTTCTTCCGGAGACGCCTCGGTGGCTTGTCCAAGCCGGATTCGACACCCGCGCACAGAATGTCTTGTCCCGGATCTACCGAGACTGTGACGACAGTGAACGCGTCGTGGAAAGAGTTATGCGCAACATTCGCGGGGAGATTGTTCAGGAGGCCCTTGAACTCGGACAGAACAAACCCCTCGACTCGAAACCGCAGTGGCTTCATGATACCATGGAGCGCGCAGGCGACTTGCTCCGTAATGGTGGCAACCGGCGAGCGTTGACGATCGCCATGATGCTGCAGGGACTGCAGCAGCTCTGTGGGTTTAACAGTTTGATGTACTTTTCCGCCACCATCTTCTATGATTTGAACTTCACTTCGCCGACCTTGATTGCGCTCTCGGTGGCGGGAACGAATTTCCTCGGCACGCTTCTCGCATTTGTCTTGATAGACCGAATTGGCCGTCGACGCATTCTGCTGTATTCCATCCCCGTGATGGCTCTTGCCTTGTTCGGCTGTGCTATTGCATTCTTTTCCCTCAAATCCTCCTCGCTGGGCGGGCGCGATGATCCAGGCACGCACCGATTGTTGATGCAAACTGCGTATCTACCAATGCTTCAGCGCAGTCCGGAAACTGAATCCCCCAGTTTGTTCTTCCCCGTTTTAATCATTGTCTTCATGGTCATCTACACTGCTGCTTATGCCTTGGGTCTCGGCAATGTCCCCTGGCAACAGTCCGAATTGTTCCCTCTGAATGTGCGCTCCTTGGGCTCGGCGATGGCGACGGGGACGAACTGGGGCTCGAACTTTATTGTAGGCCTCACCTTCTTGCCCATGATGCAATGGATTTCGCCGGGGTGGACGTTTACAATCTATGCGCTAGTCTGTACGCTGGGCTGGTTCGCTGTGCGAGCCATCTACCCGGAGATGAGTGGGCTCAGCTTGGAAGAAGTGAAGGGTCTGTTGGCAAATGGTTGGGGAGTGCAGGAGAGTCTTCGGCGTCGACATGCTTTGTCGGTTGAAATAGAGTCATAGAGCATCAAAATTTCATTACTTCTGCTTCCACACATCTTGGCCATTTCTCAGCTGGTGCACAGTTTCGTCTGAGCACCCAACATCAACTTCCTGTCAACGAGGAACATTCACTCTGGGTGCGCTGGTATATCCACTGCCGGTGCACTCGCTCTGCTCTCTGTCCACGGATCACCTACATCGATGATCTATATATCCCGGGCAAGACTGGTGGCACCATGTCTTTCCCTCCGAAGACCTCACTTGTGGATCTTCCCAACGAGGTACAACATCACCCTCCATTGTTCTCTTAGTCTCATATGCTAAATCCCAAAAAGATACTCCAAATCATCGCCTCCCTCCTCCCAACGGACAAAGACGTCACGAACTTCTCACTCGTCTGCAGGGACATCTCCGACACCGTGCTCCCATCCGAGTCAACCATCTGGCGCAGTCGCTTCGGCGATCTATACGATATACCACCGGGCCGATCCTCAAAGGAGTTGAAAACTGAATATAAAGTCCGCGCTATTGTGTTGGCCCAGAACATCGACTTCAAACAGGGCGAAGGTCCCCAACAATGCCTGTGGCTTGAAGTGGTTCACACCATGCTTCTTGAATCTTTGACTCTGCCGCTGAAAAATTATACTTCCAAGACATATGACCACCTGTCTGAACGACTCAAGAAGCTGAGTTTTCTTCGGAGACCGGTCTCTGGCTATGGCTTGTATAAGCCGCAGGAGCCATCGGAGCTGTTCTGTGCGGTGCAGTTGGTAAGTAGGATGAAAATTCACAAAGTGTTGAATCTGACTGTTGTCAGTGTCTCACTTCCATGGCCCTGCATCCAGCCATGGGCTTCTGCTGTCTTCGCACCGACTATGACATCGGCACAGTGTATGCCTGCGGCGATGAGGTCAAAATCCCCTTGATCCAGCCTGATGCTCCGAACCTCACGAACTTATTGCACATGCGCAACTTCTGGCAGCGACACCTTCGCAATCACTGCGAATGCACTTTCTTCGAGACCTTCGCCAAGTTGCCCGACCATCTGAGACCCAGTGCGCGCGTGTTCTCGGATGAGGAGTTTAGTCTGGGCACTTCGTGGCTGGGTTACTACTGTAAGTCAGGATTCTCCGATGTGTGTGTGTCTCTGAAATAAACTGATGCTTAACAAGCATGCCTTCATCCTTTACCCGATCCAACGGAGCAGCTTCAATTCAGACAAACATGCGCCGATCTCGATACTCACTGGGACCAGGTCGAGATAATGGTAAGGCAACTTGGCAACAAATCCACAGATAACCAAGTAACATGTTCTTCAGTCCCTCGAGCTTGAACTTCAGCCTGATGATGAAATGACCTGGCCCCCAGAATTCGACGCCATACTGCCCCGACTCGGCCAATCGAAGAATCGGGCATACTTCCGAGGTGTGCAGCAGACATATGGGGGAACCACCCCGGCCAGAAACGGGGTTATTGGCTTCACCGAGCCAATTGCGGTCCACTATGGTGGGTTTCCTGGCTGGACTCGCATCTGCTTTGCCATTCGGGACGAGGGTGGTCAACCAGCCCAAGCGGGAAGCAGTGCAGAGCAAGGACAATGGAAGCCCTGGGCACTGGAAAGAAGCGCTTGGCTGCACGGGTACGAGGCGGTTATTCTTCCTGGTGGTGCGGTGATGCTGGGAAGATGGGTGGATATGAAAGATATGACGGGGCGAGGACCGTTTATCTTCTGGGATGTATAAGCAGGGATCGGGGGATCAAATCAGATCAATTGGGAGGCTGCGTGGATATCAAAGTTTAGGGCTGAATTGCGAGCAATCTAGATTTTAGAGAACAAAAATAACCAAGAATAAACCAACACGGGTTGCTTCATAAAAATAGCGACAAAAAAAGAAAAAAGAGCTACTCTTCAATGTCCTTCACCTTCTCCCACTGTCCCTTCAGGTTCTCCTTCCACAAGCTGACCTTGTTGTCACCGCCGCTGACAGCCAGAATATTACCGCTGAGACTCCAGCTGACGCGCCACAAGACAGTATCGAATTCGAGTGTTTGGCTGGACCACTGGCCCGGGTTGGCCGCATCAGAGGTCCAAATGCGAACCGTCTTATCTTGCGAGGCCGAGGCAATGTAAGACTTGGAAAGAATACTTGGCGACCAGGCGACGTCGCGAACCCAGTCCGAGTGGCCCTCCAGGGTTTGGGTCAGGTTGTAGGATTTGGATTCGGTGCTGGAGAGCTATTAGCTAGAGCCACCCAACGATTGAAGCATAGCATACTTGTAGTCCCAGATTTTGATCAGGTTGTCGCTTCCACCGGTGACAAACCGTCTCTGCTGCCCCGGTCCGGGGTTCGAGCTGATCAGGCTGCCGGCAAAGGCAGCGGGCGCCCAGCTGATGGAATTGACGCCCATCCCGTGCGCGTGGAAGATCTGATGGGTCCAGCTGTTGTCACGGAACTCGAGGACACTGACATGGCCGTCGGAGGATGCGCAGGCCAGGAGACAGCCACTCTCGTGCGGGGCCCACGATACCATGTTTACGGACGCCGTGTGCAGGGAGAAGTCGAAGACCTTGCTCCATGTGCTGCCACCGACAGGGTTGGTCGCGTTCTGCGGTTGCTCACGCCAGATCAGGACCTTGCCGTCGTACGACGAGGAAGCGAGAATCGTGCCGTATTTCGGGTGCGCCTAGAAACACCACCAGAGTCAGATTTGCGGGTTTGGTCAGATGGCTAAATACTCACCCAGGCGATACACCACACCGCACCCTCATGGCTGTCATGACCGTGTTAGCAGCTGGATAGCCCGCGTCGAATGATGCCTTTGCTCACCCTTTCAGAGTCTCGACCAAGCGGTGTGTCTCGCCCTCAATCTCGAAAATCTTAATTGTTTTATCGGAGGAGCATGTCGCCAGCCGGCGTCCATAGTAGTCCAAACCGGCATCATGCTGATGAGACAAACATTAGCTTCACTAGGCGTTGAGAGCAGTGCGCATGTGCCACCGAGTACGTACGATCATGTCTTCGTGCCCTGAATTGGAAATCACCTGTGCGGCTGCCTGCAGATTCACGAGGGGGAGCTGTCAGTAAGCACCATAAGCGCAATTGAATGGACCACATACCATTTTGACGCAGCCCTGAGAGGGGAGGGGGAGAAAAGAGAGACCGAGAGAGCTAAGGAGTAATGGCGAGAGTGTGTGTTTGGGGTGAAGCCAAACACCCTGGCCTGTGCTTATCTTATCAGCCCTGACTCAGCAGGTCACGTTCTGGTCAGGTGACGGACCTCGGCTGATCGGTTGTACTACTCCCCCACGGCCGCCTTCTCACTCTTGCACATATCCTCAACCATCTCATACTGATTGCCGTCCATCATGAGCGACGCTCTCTGCGGCCCGTCGAATGCCCTGCAGAACTTCAAGAACCATGCGTCGGTCGATCGCACTCTCCAACAAGACCGCCTAGCTGCTCGGCACTCGCCTGCCCAGGTAAGTGGATAGCAAATCCGTCACTACGGAATGCTAATGGTCGACCAGCAGGGCTTCCGATCACAGAACCCCCGAGAAGGAATTCTCGACCCCGAATTCGCTGCATTTGAAGCCAACCTCGCGGGTCCAGCGGTTCCCGAACTCCAGCACCCCGCTCACTTTGGCCCGCCGGCTGCCCAGCTTCCCGCGCCTCACCACCCGGGAAACGCCGATTGGGCATCGGACTTTCAGAACCTGCAGATTTCGGGCCCTGCGCATCATGCGCCACAACTGCAGCATATGTCACCCTCCCCTGCGATCGCGGGAGGGTGGCAGAATGAGTTTATGCGCCAGCAGCAGCATCAGCCGCCGGCACATGCCCAGCAAGCTCCGGGAATGAATCGGGCCTTCCAACCAGCTTTTGCACCCAGCTATCAGATGCAAAGTACATCCATGATGCAGCACCAACAACAACCACAGGAACACCATGCGCCAGCCGAGAAATTCGACGAGTCTGCTTTTGAAGCTGCATTTGAACAAGCACGAGCGGATATGGATATGGAGCTACAAACGAACGCAACCGAGACCGTACAAGACTCGATTCACGAGACCGATGCACAAACCGCCGATTCCGTTGTCCACGAAGAAATCCGCATCGGATCCGACACCATCCCCCAGGCCGACAAGGGGCGAAGCGCCGACGAACTCGCGCGAACGGCCGGAGAGCTCCTCGACCGCGTCCAACACGACCAATCTCAGAAATTCCAACAAAGCAACTTCCTTGCGCTGATGCGCCGCATCCGAGACCGCGAGGTGCAGGTAGAAGGAGACGAGTTTCGCGAAGTCAGTACCAACCCGTAAACATCGATGTTGGGTCCACACCGGTATATTTCGTCGATCGATACGGGTGCCTGTGCGTGCTAACTGTCAGACTGGCAGACGTTGCAGTCTCTCCATCCGGGCGGACGATACTACCCGGGCAACGCCGATATCATCACCGACACTAGTAAGGAACCTTCCACCCTAGTGGCAGGGCCTGGAACCACGGTCCCATGAAGAAAGGCAACAATAGATCCTGACCCCCCTCGCTCAGCGCACACCCGAGCGCCAGCCGAAGAAGCCTCCCAGGCTGATCGCGACCTCGGACCCGGCGACACCAACGCCCTTTACGAAGGGTGGATCCATACGCAGGGTTTGGTAGATCGCCGGACCTTGCAGCCGACGATCTGTTTCGTGAGACACGGGCTGGCCGCACATACTTTCTCAGACTATTAGCCATCGTTTTTTCCCGCATTGGCCCGGCGTTTACATTCAATCAATAAACCATTGATTATTGTCATTCAATTCCCCTTTTGTTGTTTGTTTTGGTTCGTTAGAGAACAATCCATCACGTGACCCTATTGATGCCCCGAAGAACAATCAGTTGTGCATTGGCATTATTGACGGGGCGTCAATCGGAGCAGAGTTCGGCCTGATGATTGGTTATTGAGCCCTATTGATGGTGATGGAAATGTTTGCTCCCCGGTGCATACAAATACCCCTCTGTTGCGTCCGCTGTTGGCCACTACTCTCCGGATTTTGTTATATATCATCGCTTTCAATACATATTCTCTTGGGAAAAAATGCTTCCTCCCTCGGGCTCGCTGCGGCACCATGCCCACAAGCTCGCTGAAGCCCGTGCAAACCGTACTGAACGTCCCTCAGCGCCGCCGCCATACTCACCAGTTCCCCATGTCATCATGGGAGGGCATGGCCTGCTAGTGGATGAGGACGACAGCCCCAGCCCCATCACCATCACTATGGACGCTTCAATCCACATCCATGGCAATGGCAACACAATCGTGCTGCCAAGTACCAACCCAAAAGCTGCTGAGCAGCAGCAGAATAGAACTTCTTCGTCAGAAACAACAGCAACATCAACATCAGCGCAAATGACAGCACTGCAATCCGCGCAAAAGCAGCGCCAAAACAAACTCTCCGAGATGGCGAGCACGATCATCGCCGCATTGCACGAAGCCGACGCCCTCCTCGATGTCGAGAGCGGGCGCTGCAGGCCCATCGCCGTGCATCTCGACGCGGGCGTCAAGGTTGAAGGCAGTCGCAATGTGATTTGCGTGGGCGCTGCTGCTGCGCCGAGCCGGGTGGGTCGTAAGAATCCCCTGTCTGAGGATGGGAATGGTGATGGTGTGAGTCGGAAGAGACGAGCACAGTCTGTATGTTTTGTTCCCTTCTTTTGGATGGCTTTTGACATGGCTTCTAATGGATGTTATAGGAACCGCCGGGCTTTCGTGCGCCCAAGCGGGATATATCTGGTGAATTGAAATGAAATGGCCTGAAATGATGGGTTAGATTGAGTGTTCGTGTATTGACGAGATCCCAAGTGTACGCTGCTCTCTTATCTAGACTATTGTTGATGTTATTGTCTGCAGGATATCTCAGTGCCCTTGTATTTGTACGCGAGGGACGGAATCGGCGCAATGGACGTTGTGGTTGTGTTTCTTGCTTGAATTACGCAGATGAACTCAAAACGAACCCAGATTTCATATTCATACACTTTTAAACAAAAAGTCCCATCGCGCGCCCATCCGGTGCAGGTAGTAGTGTATCCCAGAAATCACAAAATAACCCCCTATCGGGTCGACGATCGACCAGACAAGACACCCGCCCCCAAGCGAGAAAGATTAGAATAAAAAACAGACAGGACCAGAAAGCGCCGTATATGGTATCCATTTGATGGAAAGATAGTGGGTGATCAAGTCCCGTGCATCTGTCATGGATATGAACAGTGGAGGACAGAAAGGTTCTAAAGAAGGTGGTGTATACAATCAGGTGTATCGGCTGACGGGGATGTCGTGGCGATGGAGATCTTTCGACCACTCGGGAGCAATCTTGTCTCGTTCGTAGAGGAAGCCGCAGTTGTGGCAGAGTGACTGCAAATCTGGTCAGTACAATAATTGAATAAGGCAGCTCTTTTTCTTACCCTTGGCCCATCGGGTCCATCCCGCACAGCCCAAACAGCCGTGCCCCAGACCATACAATTGCTGCATCGCCAGCTTTGCCGTTCCCTAAAACACGGTCACATTAGTATTCAGCTTCACATAATCGAACACAGAAACGTACCATTCGGATAGTGTGCCACCTCCACCGCCGTATCCGGCACCCGAGCCCGTCTCCGGGGTCCCTCGACCGGGCGTGCCTCGACCCAGGGGACTTAGACTGCGGAAGCGGCGCTTCCGCTTGTTCCTCTCACCTCGACCCAAGGGAGTCTCGCTGTCGACATCGAAATACCCACTGCTCTGCCTCGATATCTCTGGGGTGATACCGGCAGTAGAGGAAAACCGGGCGGTTTCTCGACGCAACCGACGGATTTGTCGCTCACGATCACCTTCACGTCTTTCAATTTCTTCCTTCGACAAGGTTTCCACCTTGGGCTCCCACTCATCTGCCAGAGTCTCCGGATCATATCGCCAACCGGCCTCGGTGCCGTTCGCTGCTAGATTATCAATCTCGTTTCCATAACCATTAATTCCGCTCACTAGGCCGCCGCTCTCGCAGACCTCTTTCTTCAGTCTTAGGACCGCCTCGTAGATGCCGTGCGCGATGGCGCTCACCCACTCGCCGCTGAGACTGAGGTCAGCGCAGGTGATCTTGGCGAACTCCTCGGCCAGTCCTGGCGGATGGAGAAGTGACCATTCGAATTTGTCCGTGTAGAGCTTGTTTTGCAGGTTGATGTTGAGGTTGATCAGACACCTATATGCATCGTCTGGATTCAGGAGGCTGTCATTGACCAGCGCCTCTTTCGTTACTGTCACTGCTACTGCGACCCCGTTGGCCCCCCGGCTGTCCGGGGTGGCCGCATTCGCCGCCGCGGGCGTCATAGAAGTGTCGCGAGACGGCTCAGTCTGCGGAGGAACGCTCGGGGCGGTCGTAATGGGCAGCGTACTCTGGAAAAGAGGATGTAGAGCCACTCCCGCGTACTCTTCCAGCTGCTGTCGAATTTGATTGCTGATCGTCATCGTGATCGCCTGTGGATTGGGGAGGTCGAGGTCCCGGACAAATCCCACCGCGAATTCCTCCGGGGTGGCTAGCGCTTCGTGCAGGTTCCACAGGAATGTGTCCTTGATGCGATATGAGGGCAATGGCTCTGGTTTCCGGTAGGCAGGGAGGGCTGGGGTGATGCTGGTATCATTGACCAGGCCGCGCGGCAGAGGAAATGGCTCGATGGGCGTGTGTGCGGGCACCTCCACGTCGATTCGGATGGGGACGAGTGTTTGTGGCAGCTGGGCCTGAATCTGTAACTGATCCGCACATCTGCATCAAGTGTCAGCGATACCCCCAATAAAATGCGGCTCGAAAAGAAACATACGCTGGTCGGAGCATCCTCTTAATCATCCACTCGCGAAACACGCCTTGCACCTCGACAGGCTCATGTGTTTCTCTACCCACCTTCCCAGCCTGCGGTACCTTGTCGGAGATGGATTCTTCACGCCGGAGGCTCCGCAGGCCCGTTGGTCGCCGGGGCCCATCGCTTTCATCGAAATCTTCATCGTCAAATCCATCTTCTGCGTAATTGACGGCTGTGGTGCCACGCTTTGTTGTTCGCGGAGTTGGGCCGGCCACTACTGGGGTGATCACCGGCGTGAGTAGCGCGTTGCCATACTGGCGCACCCGTGGCGGGTAGGATGTGATGTAGCCGCGAAGAGGGGACATGTTTTTGAGCGCTTTGCAGCTTCACGGACACATGCCCCTTCGAGTCAGGCTGGTGTGGAAGGGAGAGATCGAGAATTGCGGCGTTTGTTGATCTGCAGCAGGGTGGAAGGGTCGACCCGGTGGGGGGGAAGAGGATGGGAGGGATGGGAGATTGGATCAGAAGCACAATGGGAGATGTGACCGAAGACAAGCCGAGACAAGAGGAACACGCGGCCAGGCAGACAATTTGACAACGGACAGAGGGCAGGCGCAGAGTGCATTCCAGGTTCTTTTGCGCCAGTCGCGCTTTCCCAATTCAGCCGGGAAGACGCTAGTCTCAGTTGGGGCATCACATGATCATCCTCGATCTAGATCTACAGGAACAATGGATGTGGCATCAATTTGCTACTAGTGTCTCCCATATGTCCATATCCCGCATGTCAAAAAAAGATGAACAAACTGCTCAGTACGCCAGACCGGCTGCCGCGGGGAAACGAATGACACAAATCCAACAGTCAATGAACGGGGAGGCAGAAAACAGGTGGATGGTGGTATCGGTACAATGAAACACAGAAAGAGAAAATAACCACTACCGCAGTCCGATTACGCTCTGAAGAAAGTATTAGCGGAGAGTATGAGGGAGAGAAATCCCGGGAGCTTACCATTTCTAGCGTCCACACACGGCGGATCCAGACCTTGAGGGGGCCCTCCACGCCCTCAACATTCTCCAGCTCGATCCCCCCCCACCAACACCGCCGCGCGGGTTTCCTCCAGAATAGGAGAAGCTTCTGTGCCATGCCCACGGCATTGTTATTTGTCAGATCCCCTCGGATATCAGTGCGGAGTTTGGCCAGCGCCAAACTGCAAATCACCGCCTTGTTGGGCTCGGGAGCTCGATGGCCCCATTGATCCTCGCGATCAAATCCACTGCGCAACAGAATGAGTCTCGAGGTTCAAGTCATTGGAGAAAAGGGGGACTGACCCAGCAGTAAGCATTTCAATCAAGTGCTGCTCCGTAGAGCCAACCTCCTCGCTTTTTCTCAACCCTGAGAAAATCCCGTCCTGTTTCAAGAGTGCTCGGCCAGCAGCCCGCTTGACTTCCAGCATCTCATCATGGTCAATATTCGGAAACGGTGGGATCGTATAGAAATCGAGGTCTTCTCGAAGCACGATAATCCCCGCACGGTCTTGCAGCATGTCCCGCGTCGAGTTTTGCATCGCGTCGGGTGCTTCCAGCTCTGGCGAGGTCGAGCCCGACGGCAGGGAAGAGGGGATCGACTGAGCAACGTGCCGGAAGAAGTCCAGCATATATTGAAGCGAGGCCGGGTCATACTGCAGTTTGGGTCAGGCATGAATCCTTCAAACAAGATGCGCGCATTCACATACATCAACCGGGTAGACATCTCCCTCATGGAACCCACCCATGTGCCCATCCGGAAGAAGGCCGTTCGGAAACAGTGAAAGGAGCACGAATTCAGGCAACGTCAGCAACTCATCACGCGAAAGGGTGAACCGGGTGCCCCTGAGCTTCGAATCAGCATCTGCGAGTCTACTTTCCGGGTGTGTCTGACTTACCGGAGATCGAGGGTGATGTGCTCATCGCTGCCAATATCTATGTACGCGAGAAAATTAGCAACAGGCGTATCTTGACACACAAAGACACCCACCTCCAAGAGTGTTGATCGGTGGCCCTCCCGTTTGCTGCACCTGAGTAATAATACTCGAAGCGCCTCCGGCAGCAGCCATCACGTAGCTGAACTGCTCGAGGGGACTGTAACCTTCGGTGTACGGCGGCGGCGGTTCCCCGTCGTCAGCACTCTTCTCTCGCCCGTCACTCTTGGGCTCTTGCGAGAAGGACGCTTTGGTCTCTGCGACAACCGACGACGAAGGGGACGAGTCGAGAAGCTCCTCGACAGGGGGCGGAGGCGCGAAGGCGGGGAGCGACGCCGATTCGGGGGGCCCAGTGACGGCGAGCTCTTGGGCGCGGTGGCTGGGGTCTGTCGGCGGTACGACGAAGAGTGAAGAGAACGGTGGGGGGCCGAAGGAAGAGGAATTGGAGGCCGATGCTTCGGAGTAGGGGTACGAGTGCGGCGGTGGCGGCGCGGTGTAGTAGTAGTCGTCCTCCTCGGGGGAGTCCGTCTGGAAAGGCGGTCGCGCCGTGGTTGAGAATGACACGATGATGGGCCTCGAGAGGAAAGCTTGGGATGAGAGGAAGTGGGTGACGATCTGAGGGTTCCAGACTTGCGCCCTAGAGCGTCCGCTGTTGTCGATCAGGAGGCGAGCTCAGACAGACGATGTAATGCGCGGGACATAGACCAAGTGACTCTGTATATCATATGATATACTGAGTAACCAAAAAAAGGGACACAAACACAGACTGGCCAACAGTCTATCAGTAGTCAAAGGGAAAGATAGAGGAAGAGAGAGAGGAGAGGTGGTCGGCGCTTAGAGGCTGGGGGGGTTTGGCGGTCAGTCAGTCAGTCACGTTGCATCACCATGAACAATCCTACGTGGGATACACTATAGATAGAGAGAACGTTTGAATAGTTGACTTCATGGACTTAAATAATGCTGAACTCATAATTGCCTACACATGGCGCTCGGCAAAGCTCTGGATCAGACCTTCCAGCGTCGGCTCATACTCCTTGAGCGTGACCTGATCCCCGTCCAGGATGGTGTTGGCCTGCACAAACACCTTACGCGGCACCTTGTTCTTCAGCACCACCTCGCGCACCTGGGTCCCCCACCATTTGTCCACTGCGGTAATCCCATTGTACAGAGCCAGGCCAGCCTCAATGTCCGCCGTGCTCTTGTACACATGCAGCTTCTGGAGGTACTTCTCCACTGCTGGGCGACCATGGCTCAAGATCTTCGAGCGATCCAGATGGATCTCCAGGTCTGACAAGTCGTCCTTGGTATACGACAGCTTGACAAAGTCACCACCGGCATCAAGGAACGTGCGGAGGATGCTGTATCGGGCCTGCATATGCGCCTGGCCCCATTTCTGAGTCTTGGGATCCCAGAATTCCAATGCAACCAGACCCGCGCGAGCCATCTGGAGATATGCGGTGAACAGCACATCACCCGCCTCACCAGCCATGTCCTCGCTGCCATCGCCGAATCCAAAGATCTTCAGGATGCCGAAATCACAACCGAGAGCCATGGCCACGCATTCGGCGCGACACTCTTCGTATGACGAGGCAATCGCGCCGAAGACGGAGCTCCACGTCTGACCCGGTTTGTACCAGGTCGAGACGGGCTTTCCTGTCACGGGGCTGATCGGGGGATTGGCAATATCAAAGTTGTATTGTCCGGGAGCCGTTTCTTGCAACAGTTTTCCCGTACCATGACCCAGAAGCTCATGGATGCCGACCTGGACTTCAAAAGCCGGATCGCGGCAGCGACGGTATACCTCCTCATCCTTTTTGGCAATGAAAGGGATTGGCTCATTGGGAGCTTTCGCACTGAGAACGTTGCCCAGGGACACATTCTTGAATCCCAGGTTCTGCCGGATGTCATCGTAATTAGGCAGGTTGATACCGGCTGGCAGACCGGAGCATGCAAAGCTCAGAACTTCGAGCGACGTGAAATCCGGACTGAGGAACTTGTCCTTTTCAAAGTCCTTGCCCCAGGGCAGTTTGGGGATCATGCTTTCTGCACTGTCCACCAGCGTACCAAACGCCCGCGTGCGTTCCATATTGACCTAGTTGAGAGTAAGCAATTACTGAACATCAATATATCCAACACACATACCAGAGCGACAAAGCCTTCCCATTCTCCACGGACACCATGCGGATCGCGGTAGGTCTCCACGAATCCCAGATTCGTCTCCAGAGCCGGTTTCTGGTCCTTCACCCAGATCCGCTGACTCTCCTTGAACGCCTCGATCGACCCAGCACCAAAGGAATGGGCATACGCATCGAGCATTTTCTTTTGATTCTCGTTGGCGGCATTGAGCTCTGCCTGCTTGATGCAGTGAGCGATCTTGGCCATTTCTTCCTGGTAGTCTCCAAAAACCAGGCGCAGCGTCTTCCCCTTAAGCTTGCCATCGAGCTCGAACGTGTCTTCTTCCCCAAGGTCTCGGTGGTTCGCCCGTGGGTTTGAAATACCGGATGCGATCAAGAGTTCAAAGTCGCCTGACGCAGTCTTCCGCAGCCTGGTGTTCTCGAGGGCTAGCCCCTTCTTCTCCATCAAATCTCCAATCGCCGTGATCTCTTCTTTCAGGATCGACGGCGAATCGGGATAGTAGGTGGTCATGTGGCCACTTCGCGGATATCCCAGGTGCATCATTGCCTGCTCCCTCGTCTCGTAAATGCCGCCACCGGTGGTGTTTGCCTTGTGGAAGGCAGCCTTTGTTTCCGGTGTAGCGGAAGCTAGAGCTTCAAGAGCGGATGGCGGTAGACGGGGGATGAATTTGGAGTCCCCAAATCCCTTGTAGTTGCCGCAATTCCCTAGGAATTGCGCCGCATATTCGAGGAAGAAGCGGAGATTTTCTTCGCTAACGTTTGTTTTCTGCGCCAGGCTGTTCCAGTCGCCATTACAGGCGCGGTAGAGCGCAAGGATGAGGTCGTAGATCGGCTCCGACTCGGGAGAGACCTGGCGCAAAGTGACTCGCGTGCCTTCGAATGCGGCGCTGTATAATTACAGCTAGTTAGCTCACGATATGAAGCTGTAGGAGACCAGAACGGGCATTTACCGGCTCATGTAGTGGGCGTATTTCCGGAGACTCGGATCTTGCAGCGTCTCAAAGTGCGGCCTGATCTCCAGACGGACCACCGTCGGCGGCGAATCCGCCAGGTAATGCTGCTTAATGTTGTCATCCATGGCTGTTGCGAAGAGGCGGGACGAAAGTCGAGGAATGCAAACACGAGACGAGAGTGATAAAAGTGGCGAGCCCCGGGTCAAGCGGCGTAGGGACATGAGGGGGAAATGTGAGAGGTAGCTATGACACTTGCATTGATCGGGCGGGAACAGAGGTACCGCAAGGTCACTGTCCACTTTGTGGACTGTGCACGAGTACCTGTGGGTACATACCTCCGACCACGCCAGTATTTAGTTTTATTCTTGTCTGTCCATTATTCTATGTACAACTAGCGAAATGGTGCGAGAGATAGACTAATTACAATGGCGAATGCAAATCTCACAGCAGACTGTCGTACTTTGCTAACCCTTGCTTCGGTTGCTGGGGTGGTTGTTGCGGAGGGGGATTGATAATGTGGTTGGGAAATGCGCTCGACGCCGTGTTTTGTCCCGGTGGTGGAGACCTCAGAGCAATGTTGCTGCCCATGCCTCCGGATGGCGGAGGGGGGACAGAGAACGCAGAGTAATTGGGTCTCTGCTGCGACATGGTGGAGGTCATAGTGGACAAAGATGACAAGGACGCACCAGATCTGCTTCCCTGAGCTTGGTGGTGACTAGTGCTAGGCGTATCCCAGATTGATGCCGAGGATTGCCCCGCCGTACCTTGCATTGAGGGAAAGGCCGAAGCCATCGGTGAAGCCATGGGCGAGCCTTGTCGGGCCGTGGGCTCAAGCGACGGGAAGGAGCTCAGTTTCTGATCGGGCGTGATGGAGCGGAAGCCAGAACTAGCTTGTTGGTTATTGGCTTGCCACGAGAACGAGGGCGACAGGCTGGAACGCGAGGGTTTCGTCGGCTCCGGTTCCATGCTGCCCCAGATATCCATCTTGTCCTGGCCATTCGAAGGTGCAGCAGCGCCCTTGCCCAGAACAAGACGCTCAAAGTTGTTTCGGGCATTGTCCATATCGCCCGAAGTAAGATCAGTGGCAGATTGGGAGAAACTGTCACCGCCATTCCGGAATCCGGTTGAATCGCCACCAGAGGCAAGCTCCTGTAGCTTCCGGGTCTGTTCCTTTTCGACCTTGGAAGATATTGTCTTGATCAAGGCCATGAATTCATTGAATTGTTGGAGGTTCAGCAGCGGGCCCAGACTGAAGCTCCAGAGGATGGGCAATACTTCGAGAGCGAGAAAATCTGTATCTGCGACGGTGCCCACTTGGCGAAACACCTTCAAAGCGGCCATCATCACCCCAGGCTCTTTGGTCTTGATTGCCTTGAGAGATGGGACCAGTTTTTCTTGAATGGTGTACTTGTCCAGGATGGACGTCTTGACCGACTTCGACTTATTGGTCTCGACGGTGCCGGTCAGATCGTCATCCCATCCGTCGGTATCCTCGACAGTGCCTCCACAGAGGACACTAAAAGCTTCTAAGCTGCGAACTTTGATGGCAAGACTGCTGGTGCGACTGAAGGTACTAGCGATAGGAGGGAACACTTCGTTCTTCACGGTGCTGAAGTCAAGAACAGGGAGAACCACCGGCAGACATTTGATAGATGCATCCACGAGGGAGTGTGTTGGCGAGTCCAGTCCAAGTCGTATCAGAGGTAAAATGTCTACACAAGAATTAGTCGCGTATCCGGACCTTGGGAGAAGTCAACCAACCTTCTTTGAACTCCATTCCGGAACAGTTGTCCGCAATGAGTTTCATGTTTTCCAGCACAACCATCAGGCCCGCGTCCTTCTTAGAATCCCGTTCCACCGGTCCTTTGGCTGAGCCCGTTCCGAATACCTCCTTCAGACGAGGAATCACTTTCTCGGGAAACGCGCGGCGGCCATTAGGGATTTTTGAAAGAACCCCAAATACGTTTTGTAACAAGAGAGGCAGAAGCTCACGATCTTTCATCTCGTCGAGAAGCGCACCGAGCAGCTTCCGTTCCAACACAGAAGGGGGAAAGTCAGGAAGGACTCGCTGCAGGCCACGCAAGAATTGAGTTTTCTCATTCTGATTTTTGGCAGGCAGTGATTCCAAGAACCGGATTGTGGATACTAGGACATTGTCAAAGTATGGAGATTGCTGAAATTCTCGCGCATTCATACGTTGAGCGGCCCTTCTGGTAATCAGTCGCGGCAGGACATGCGACAAGACATCTTTCGGGATCGGTTTCGAACAGAGAAAGTTGTTCCCCTGTGACGGAGTTGTTGATGGCGAGCTGAGCAGCTTCTTGTAGGTGGTCAAGTTCGCATGGGTTTGCAGTGGTGAGACATGCGGAGAATTGTAGAGCGCGATGATGATAAGACCCAGGGAGAAAAGATCAGCGGATGAAGACACATTTGAATCCAGAGCAAAGTCGGGCGAGGTATAGTCGAGATTTAGCTGGACTGAAGGCGGCAGCCGTGGGTCTTGGTAGAGAACCTCGGACACGGCCAGCGGGGGAAGCGATGTTCGAGTCTCTGAGGAATCGGGAGGCCCAGCAAATCCCAGACCGGAGATTTTCCAGTCAGACTTGGAATTGATATAGATGGCTTCCGGATTGAGGTTGCCATGCACCAGGCCAGCGGACTCGTGAAGAAACTCAAGACCCTTGGCGACTTGCAATAGACCCTTTTGGATTTCCAGTTCATCAATCTCAAAATCCTTTCTTCGACGGCTGCCGTCGGGCTCTTGCACCATATATCGGCTGCCTCTCGAGCCGCCAGCGGTAGTATCTTGATCATTTTGCTCCAGCAGCAGGCCGGACAGAGACGCGGTGAGGGGCTCTGTTGCAAACATCAGGCCGCCACTGCGGGTCTCCTCGACCGGCTCGAGAACCTGCAGGATGGACGGATGCCTCAGCCGGGCGAGGTTGCTGGCTTCGCGCTTCAGCCGGTCAATCACATCTTCCTGTAGCTTCTTATTGGCGGAGCCAGAACGGCCGCCAAAGCCACCGGACCGCGATTCGAGAGTTTTGCGGTCAAAGATGAAGATGGACGCTGCAGTGCCGGTGGACTTTTTCGTGCCATCATGGATTCTCCAGGGGCCCGAGTACACGGTGGGGTGGGGAGCAATCTGATAGTTGGCCGTGATGTTGGAGCTCAGCGACTTGAGTGCTGACGAGAACATCTTGACTGGAGCGAGCCAAGGCAATCATTCCAGAGACCGGGGCTGGCGAATGGGCTCGTTTCACAGTGTCGTCACAGCGCGAACTCGATGCATTTCACCACGGTGTCTTGAAGTCGCTCCAACAATGAACGGATGAATTGACTATCGGGAGAGATCCCAGGTGTTTCTAATAGGGTCGGATGTGCCGAGTAGAAATTTGCATTACCGGGGGGGCCAGAGCGAGATCAGCCTCAGCTGTTGTTTTCTCCGTCGACCACTATTTGCTTGATAGGAGGGATGGCACTGATCGCCCGACCGAAGTCACATGATCAGATGGCTGGACATACAGGCTGCTACGGATCCAATGCTGGTTTCGTACGATGACCGGAATTGAGGAGAGTCCACGACGTGTAATAGGACCACTGCTTACATCCAGGAAGAACAACAACAAGAACAACAATAATAATTACGCTACATGGTACCTGTCACTATAGACGAGTGGTGATCCGAAGTCGGTCCAATAGGCCCTGGCTGATTGGCCAACAACTCGGTCTAGGCGGTGAAGCCAAACTGCCCCGGGATATCGGAGTTGGTGCCGCAGCTCCGGCCGATTTTACGATTGTCAGTCAGTCACGCAAAGAGTCATACTGAACTGTCGACTTACTTCAGTCAGTTCTCTCCCCCTCCCTACTTCTCTATTTAATCAATATCACACTCCCGGGTTTTCGATCTCGCCGCGCTGGTCTCTCTCTCTATATTTTGTCACTGACAGTTCCTTCTTCCTCCACAGCCATGAAGTCGCTTCACCAATTGGCTCGCCGCAAGGCCCTCACTGGACTTGCTGGCCCTCGTATTGTGCCTACGCAGACTATCTCGACCCGGCTATGGCAGCGAAGCTTTACTGCTACCGCCGTGGCGGCCTCTCAACAACTCCCCGGTCTGGACGCTTCCAAGCTGACCGTCACCAAGACGACCACCCCCAAGGAGCTCCAGAAGCCCCAGGATCTGGTGTTTGGAAAGACATTCACGGGTAAGAATGACAACATAATTCGGCTGATTCTATGTGCTGATGGCTTTTTACCCTTTCCCAAACAGACCATATGCTCTCTGTGGAGTGGACGGCTAGCGACGGATGGCACGCGCCTCGCATTATCCCCTATCAGAACCTCAGCCTGGACCCATCCACATGCGTGTTCCACTATGCGTTTGAATGTTTTGAGGGCATGAAGGCATACAAGGATAGCAACGGTGGCATCCGTCTGTTCCGCCCGAACAAGAACATGGAACGGCTGAACAAGTCGTCCTCGCGCATTGCTCTGCCTACCGTGGACGGCGAGGCTCTAACAAAATTGATCGGGGATTTTGTGAAGCTGGATAGTCGATTTATCCCGGAGTAGGTGTAGTTCTTGACATGAGGGAAATAGGCGCTGACTTGGATAGTGCTCGCGGATATTCGTTGTACCTGAGGCCTACAATGATCGGTACCCAGAAGACATTGGGTGTGGGCCCACCGGGCTCAGCACTTCTGTTTGTCATTGCTAGCCCCGTTGGGCCGTACTACCCGACTGGTTTCAAGGCCATCTCGCTGGAGGCGACCGACTACGCCGTCCGCGCGTGGCCGGGTGGTGTCGGTGACAAGAAGCTTGGTGCCAACTACGCACCGTGCATTAAGCCCCAGCTCGAAGCCGCATCGCGCGGCTTCCAGCAGAACCTGTGGCTCTTTGGCGAGGAGGAATACGTGACCGAGGTCGGAACCATGAATCTCTTTATTGCATTGAAGAACAAGGAGACCGGACAGAAGGAGCTGATCACTGCTCCTCTGGACGGCACCATCTTGGAAGGTGTCACTCGAGACTCTGTGCTGGCCCTCGCCCGGGAGAGATTGGAGCCCAAGGGCTGGGCGATTTCGGAGCGCAAGATCCGTATGGCGGAGGTTGCCGAGGCTGCCCAGGAGGGTAGAATGATTGAGGTCTTTGGTGCTGGTACCGCGGCCATTGTCAGTCCCGTCCGGAATATTAGCTATCAGGGCAAGCTGGTGGACTGCGGTTTGAAGAAGAACGAGGAAGCCGGTGAGATTGCGCTTCAGATGAAGCATTGGATCGAGGCAATCCAGTATGGTGATGAGAAGCACCCCTGGAGGTAAGTTATTCTTCAAGTCGTTTTAAGATCTGCATTAACCGTTCAACAGCTATGTGATCTAAATGGCACAGTTATATGAAGGGCTTAAGGTTTACTTGGAACAACTCAAAAGTTCCGAGTGGTCATATATTGGCATCTCACAGCTGAATATACTGTTTTCTACTCATCGATTGTGCCTACGGTTTTCTTTTTTTTATTTGAGGAGCATCGCAAGAGCGAGTTTCAGGCTATATCCTGGCCCCCGAGAGCTTTGAAGAGATTTATAACTAGAATATGAGGACCTTGTGAAGTCGACGCCGAAAATGACCGCTTTTGAGGCCAGGAACGGCCGCCTTTCCACCTCGTAATCCCCAGGGGCAAGCCCCTGCGTGACCGCTCACCACCCTTCACCATGAATATTTTTGCACCCGCCAAGCACTATTAGTCCTTCTGGCCTGGGATAACTAGGCACTCGACCTCAAACGTGTTATTCCTCTCATAATTTAACGTAAAACCCTCAATAGCAGGTGGATATCTACTCTGTACATAATCAATAAACACTGCTTTGTCCTTATACGGGCTTCCCACAAGTGGAGCGGATTGGTTGAGAAGTTTTGGTATAATAGATGGGTCGTCTTCGGCTCATTGTGGGATATCAGCGACAGTAGGCCCAGCCATTTAAGACCGGTCGTTCGTGCGCCCCACGCGAAGGATCTAGTTGGTGGCCCGTAGCTGCACCACAAAAAAGCCAATCCGAGCGTGTTATATAAATACCTCGCTGGCACCTGGATTTCAGGGGCCAGCGCTTAGTCTTGGAAATATACTCAGTCGCACCCAAAGTCTACATTCGGGTCTATGTTGCCAGAATCCGTAAAACAACCAAACCAGGTGTACAGTGAGGCACCTCCTGACAGAGGAGTCCGTCCGAGCACACGCTACCCAACTAGGCCAAAAAGACCACTTTGACGAAATTAGAGAACTTCGTCATGCCTGGCCAACTATACAATAGTAACGCGCTTCTCAGACCGCGTTCCTGATAATAGGGCCTAAACTTTGTCCTGATCCGCCCTTTCTGTCGGTGGGCTAAAGGGTAGCCCCCAAAATCCTGCGAAAATCCTGCGAAAATCCTGCGTTTGGATATTCAAACAGACCGTCAGGTCGCCCTGAATCTACAGTAAATATACAGTTCGCTAGCCCATGCTAAGCTGTCTGTGTTAAGTCAATTCTTGCAAGCGCCCCGGAAAGAATTAATTGCTCCTCTTTTTATATTCTTTTTGGAATGGAATAGCACGCCACCATGCATATGTCCACTAAAATCGTGCTGTTCGTAGTAACAGCACTATGGTCTTCGCTCGAGGTTACTGCTACTCCACTGCTATTGAAGGACGGCTTTAACAGTGGTGTGCTCGAATCACGATACAATCGGGATGAGACAGCCACGACTAGTGATGATTTCGGTAAGTCCACCTGGCATTGACTGATATTAGACGCAAATTATAGCCCGCAGGTCTTACATGCACGTGAACAGATGGCCAGGTGAGCTGGATCGATATGAACTCACAAGATGGCGTCGAAAAAGGTGCAGACGCAAACGGAATTCCATACATAAGAACCTTCATCGAATATTTCCTTGATAAAAGGGGATCAGATCGCACCACTATCTTCTATACCGCAGTTCCCGACGACAACGACTTAAATTTGGTCGACGACCTGGTTTGCGCTATAGGACGTGGCGTTCTTTATTCTGATGTTTTCCCACGTGCTGGTATCGAAACAGCCCTGGATTGGAGACATACGTATCGGGGTTCTAAAGGTACAAAAATTATATTGGCTTGCTCTTCTACCAGAAATTTATCGTGTTAATGTCTGTACTTTTTTAGCCTTCGCGTTAGGAGCAAATGGGAAGAAGGCGTATGTCCTATTGAATCCAGAAAATGGCCGCACCATTTTCTCTCCACCGTCGAAGAATCCCAGAGACTGTGAGCCCAAACTATTTTCTATATAACGATGACGGTTCTTTGCTTACGGACGTCTCTTGTACAAGACGACCCAGAACACGGAAACCAGGCTACCATAGGTGAAACCTGGCGTTACGCAGAACTACCAGCTCTAATGCGAAACACAAACATCGATCAAATCATATCTTTCTGGTGGACTGAGGATCATAGGAACATTCTGACACATATAGAGTGGGATATCAACGAGGTAGGTCTCCAAATCATTTCACAAGTATTATTGATACGTCATATTCTAATATTCACACATAGGACAGAGCAATTTACCCTAGAAACTATCTTCCTGATATACGCATGGATGCTGTTCCTATTCGCTTGCCTGAGCGAGGTCCAATGAAAAGGTCAACCATGTATTAACATTTGGGGAGCCGCGTATAATGTATAGCTACGCATTCATGCACGTTAACGCACCCAGCTTCAGTTTCGATATTTTCTTTAAGTCCATAGATCTAAATCTTATATCTATTAGATGAAGTTCTTAGGGATGCAGCCAGCGACTTGCTTTGCTCCAATTTCTTATTTTCTGGTACTCTCCCTTCTGTAAGCCGGCCGCCACCTGCCAAGGCTCCGTCGTTGCTTCCAGATATTTCTTGGTAGCTTGATTGGCCTCGACTCAGCATCCACTGATCTCGCCGCTGGCGAAAGAGTGTGCCCAGTACGTGTTGAGAAGATAGATCCTTTGAATAATTTATTCTACTATGTACAATAGGAGCATTCTGTGCAATTAGATAGCCTCAGTACTACCAAGGCAGTCGGCAGTATGTTTAGTTAACGTAATTTTCATAATCTAGAGTGATATTACCCTTCTGCAGCGCTCTCGGTATCCAAACAAAAATCAACCCCTTACTACTCTGTCAGGTCAGGTCCGACTCGATTCGAGTTTTGAATACACGATAGGGTAGCATCTAAATGTAGGACTTGACGAAGCCTTCAGGCGGTGATCGAAACTCCCGTCACCACTTGGGTCCTGGCGATTGGGAAAAGCGATATAGGATCGGTCGTTTGACACTACTGAAAGAAATGCAAGAGATCATCTAATGTCACCGCATTCATAAGAGCGAAGCAGGGACACCGCATTTTCCTGCTGATTCTTCTTCGCCGTATCGAGAGCTGTAGCACCAGTTCGATCCCGATGAGAGATACTAGCCTCATGTTGGAGAAGCATTTTGATGATCTCTTCCCGCCCTTTCTCAGCGGCGCAAATAAGAGCCGATATTTGCTTCCAGTGAATGGGCGAGGATTCGTCACCTATGTCGTCCGCATTGGCGCCGTTTGAGAGCAAAAACTGCACAATCTCTAGCATATCTCGATTCGCTGCGCTCCGAAGAGCACCTGTATTCTGAACCCAGGCACCGCGCTGTATCAGAAAGCGAAGGCGGTATATGATTGTTTCTAAACGGATTAGAAGAGTCACTATCATTTGAGTGAACTGTTTTATAAATACTCGTGCAAGGATTGAGGTAGAATCAAAGGAATATAAGAAGAACCCACTTTGGTCAAGAATGCTGCAGTTCACTATTAGTCGAATTGGACTCGACTCTGGGTATCCATAATTGATATCGTACCCACGGGCAAGGATATAATCAATATACGTATAATGACCATCTCGCAGAGCGACCGCGATCTGGGTGTTTGTTTGGACGCCACTCAACCTCAGTCCTGGCTTATGCTGAATTGGTGGCTCACGTATCTGGAAGCACTCTGGATCGTGAGTCCAAAACATCTCCGCCATAGGAATAGAGCCATAGCACGCGGCGGCCTTAAGTGAGAGCCAGTTGGCTTTCACCCCACGTGGCCCTAGAAATGTATCCCAGAGGTATTTTATGATCTCAATGCGGTTATATTTGGCGGCACTATCAGTAAGGCAGAGGAGGGTGTCTGAGCAGGGGATGTGGTCGCATGTGTAAAGTAGGCACATGCAGTATCGATCTCGGATTGCAGGAGGAAGGTAAGGGAGCTCTCCTTCAAGAAAGGCCTGAAGGCTATCGAGATTTCCAGTCGGAACAATGGTTTGTAACAGTTGGCCACGCGAAGGGGGCATTATGCGTCTAGCTCTAGGAATGTCAAGCTGAAGAGACGTTGAAGGACAGAAGTGGAATAAAAACAGCCGTACGAATCACGCCGTAGTATGGGTGACGAGAGCGGCCAATTCGCGGACCATCTGATGGAACGAGGAATCCTTGTTTGCACTAGCAATACTGCACTCCAATGGCCTGGTATCAGGTGCTGAACGGTCTGACTTGGAACCTATCTCAATTACCCCTATTTAGAGTCTGTGCCGGATTATTGATGATGCATGCGAATAGCGGCTGGCCCTCTGAAAAGATAGGAAGAGTGAGGATTGGAACCTTGCAACCGAAAGGAAAAAGGGGGCGGGTAGGGTAGATGGGCAGTCCGGTTGGGTATGTGAAATTGTAGGGGCGTAGCGACGAGGGCAGAATAGAGGGAATGGAGAGAGGTAGGAAAAAGAAACAGGGCGAAGTCGAGTCTCTTATGTTCGGGCGACCGAGGCAGAGTTTACTAGACAGCGTATTGAGGCGCTAAATCGGAAGGGGCAAAACTAATATAACAGGGAATTCACAGGTCCCCGTTTAACAGTTTCTAAATCGACACTAACCAGTTCACCGTTTTGAAGCGTATCTCCCAACAACAGTCGCAGGTAGCGGAGCGGTATGGGCGCTGAATGTCTCGTTGACACCCAGTTCCCAATCCTTCGATCTCAAGGAGAAATCATACCGCAGAAACAATGCGGCAACCACCAATTGCATTTCAAAGTAGGCGATATTCCGCCCCAGACAGCCTCTTCCCCCTTGTGAAAACGCCAGAAATGCCCGTTGCAACGTACTCCCGCCTGGCTGGAGCCAGCGCTCTGGCACATACTCCTCTGGATCCTCATGGAAAATGACCGGATCGCGATGAACTGTGTGTGTCGACACGGAAATCGTTGTGCCTTCGTCGAACCATTCCCCGGACACCTGCATGCCTCCTTTGGGTACTATTCGTGGCAACCCACCCGGCAAAGACGGCCGAAGACGCAAGCCCTCGTCGATGCACGCACGCAGATAGGGGAGATCTTTGATTTGCTCGTATGAAGGAATCCCCGTGGCGTTCAATCCACCCGGCAAGGCGTCATTTAGCTCGCGGCGGAGTTTCTCGACTACCCGGGGAGTTCGCATGAGCAGCCAGAGAATGTTTGTCAAGGCGATCTCTGTGTTCTCGCCGGCAGCGTTGAACAAATTCTGGGCTTCCGTGACCAACTCCCCGAATTCAAGACACAGAGGATTATTGTTTTTATCCCAGAGCAGCGTGGTCATGAAATCGTCCAGCGGCTCCTGGCCTGCACGAACCCGGTCTGTATCCTGGCGCAGCCGATTTCGAACAAAGTGGATGGTGATATCACGTATACGATCACTGTCCTTCCATTCATCGTGCCATCTCGTTAAGAACTTGATCCACGGAATGCATTTTGGCGCCCAGCCGACACTGACCGACATGTGGAGCGAACCACAAAGGGTCCTATGCAGGTCTGCCTCATATTTTTCTCCCGATATCGTCTCTGCGGTCACGACGGTACTATCCCGTTCCAGAAACTGGGGGTCCTGGTTGAACATGGTGACGCTGATGACATTGTACATCAGATAAAGCATCATCTGTTTCATATCTACTTCCTGGCCCTTCTTGTTGTCGAGAATGCGAATCAGTCGAACGAGATGATCGTGGACAATAGACTCGAGCTCAACGATGCTCTTCTGCGCAAAGGCCACGGCGAATCTCTTACGTTTTACGTTGTGGACGCTCTTGGTCTGGGCATCGGAGACGTTTAGATGTGTTGAGACAAAAGCGCCGTAGAAGTTATCCTTCATGGCCATGGTGCCGTGACCGTAGATGTCGCGGATTGCCTCGACGGTTGCAAATGACACATGTGTTGGGCCGACGCGCACGGCTTTGCCATGTTGTAGATGCGCCTTGTGGACGGCCAGCGTGCGAGTACGGCGGAACTGGTGGATGACGCCCCAGGCATTACTGAGGGGGCGATGGAAATACCAGGGAAGCGACGGAGCTTCTTAGGGTCGCGCAGGAAATCGTATAGTGGAGAGAAGATGGCCCAGACAGCGAGCAGCAGGAGAGCTGACAATGCAACCTGTTGTCCAGCCATGGCGGGTTTGATAGAAAGTGCCACTTGAGAGGTTCAATCACTATAAATGCATCACAGACGGTAGATCGCTGGTTCATGACGCCAAATGGGGGCATTCTGAGTGGTGTGTACAAAGACTATGACTCGGTGCGAGATTGCCAAATTGGGAATCCCAGGACCGAAGAGGGCTGTTGAACAGCCCCCAAGGAATCCATTGCCTGCCAAGCACTTTTCCATATACACCGGATAATGTCTGCCGCCCCGTGACTTGCTCTTTCCGTTTTAGTGCTCACTGCTTGCTCCCTGAGTAGAACTCAGCACGGCCCTGATCGCCCTACGCTGCTCACTGATCGCCCTGATTTGCTCACTGAGCCCGTCCCTGAGCAGGGGATGAGCGGCCTAAGTAAGCCTACCCCAATAAAACGCATCCCGCTAGCCTCGTCCCTGTACAATAATTCCCGCTTTGCATCGCTCCTATTTCTCCCATTAATAAAAGACTGGCGTCATTAATATGACCCTTGTTGGACCTGGTGGTTCGCCTCTTAGTGGCAAAGTGCCTAGTAGGTCCTGTTCAATAGATCTATCAATCCCTCAACATCCTATCGTAGTGCAACTATTTACACTAGTAACTCGAATCTATGATCGTTGTCTATCTGCAAGCGACGTGGATGAACAACCCTAGGCTTTATAATGAACAGTCCTAGGCTTTACACACCCTGTCTACAGTTGGCAAACATCAATTGACTCTAAGATTGAATCTTTCTAGTTTAATGTATAGAATACATTTTGGTCTAGTAATAGGAACTTCTCTCTAACTATGGTTCTATCGCGCTTATAGAGCAAAAAACGAGGTAAATACACGTAAGCAACACGTCCATATGCTCGGCCACACTGAGGCCTCTCACCAATACCCATCAGAGGTCACATAATCAAAAGGCGTACATGGTATCATCTCCATCAGTCCCGGTAACGGTTGGCTTCGATAGGGATGGGGCAGTCAGCAGGCACCCGCTGGTTCACAAAGTCATCAATCCAGGGACCATCACCCCTACCAGTCCACCATTCAGGGCCTCCCGCAGGGCCACAGAAGTAGAGAATGGTTCTGTCACTGTTACCGTAACACTGCTCAACACCATGGGTAGGCACATTGACGCCTCTTCCAGTGGTACTGCCAACTTGGTTTGCATTGGGCGCATAGATAATGGCCTGCCCCAGGTCTTCATTGGGAGGCGCAACCTCGCAGCCGCAATTCTGGACTCTCTGCACTTGCACAGTAAACGCCGTGACAGCCTGGTAGAAGATAACGCAAATCTCTCCTCCCTCGTCAGCAACGCTATCACAGGTGTACGAGTTGGACGTTGAGTAGCTCTCAGACTCTGAGACATCGAACCCTAAAGATTCGAACTCTGTGTTGACGCCTAGAGAAAAGCCCCATTCAAGCGTGGTGGAGTAGCCAGTACTAGTAGCCGATTCGGGGGTAGAACACTCGATAACTGAACCACTCTTCTGGGTAATAACGAAGTTCTGGTGTGGGAATCCATCTCCCACCAGTGTATAGCCGATACTGGCCGAGCATGGAGCGCAGATGCTGTGTTCATTCCCAATTCCCGTATTGTTGACAGAGGTACCATCAGCTCTCACTTGGATCTGTTTCATCCGCATAAAGTCCTCTGCGGTGACATCGAGCACTTTAGCTCTAGGAAGCGAGAATCCCACTGGGGCTAGTGCCAACAGCGTGCAGAGAACCCCAGGAATATTGCCGAGGAGCTTCATGATGCCTTGAGATAGCAGGTGGTATGCAATGGCAGTTGTATATGCGTTAATGATGCTTCTTGGAGCAATTGCGTGTAGATTCTTGTAGATCATAAGAAGTTTTAGTTACATGAATTGTATACGAGAAGGGGAATACTGACCTGTCGAGCAGTGGCAATAATAGCAGTAGTAACAGCCAGGAAGAAAGAATATTATCAGAGAAGACAGTTCGGATAAGTGGTGGTGTCAGTGAAGATGGTGAAGAGCGAGGAAATGGCAAGACTTATATAGATATATTCTCAACAGAGAAACGAGCGGGAACAGTCAACGACTCAGACCCCGACGTCTTGGTCAGATTGGTCTAGACGGGTCGAGTAGATACCATAGGACGCCGTAAATAGAGGTCAAAAATAGGCACGACAATAGATACGATTTGTCTCTTTTGACAGGGGCACGGGTTTAGATACTGATGGCCGGTCGACTCAGGGGAGGTCGTCGGACGTCACAGCAGAGACCTGGAGAGAGATCATGGAAAGGAAACGAACGGGTAGTGAAGTTGTATTGATCATGATCTCCCAGAAGGGAAATCCTATCTATCTACGGTGGTGGGCGCTGACACCTCAGGCACCCACCCATCAGATACTATAGACCGTAGTAGACACAAGACACCTTTCCTAACTCAGTATGCTATATTACTATTAATACGTCGGACCAGCCCTACAAACGACATAGCCATACTGGTGGCTGCGCCGTAGTACCGGTTGATGGCAGCCGATCCTGTGACGTGATTTCGGCTGGGCAAATGCAGTCGTTTGGATTCGCTATGTCGTCGCGATCAATCTTGGCGTTTGGGAGCCAACTAGGTCTTTTCCTCAGCTGCATTGTTAGAGTGATAGGATTGGCTCAAACAAGGTTTAGGACAAGGCGGAGCACTTTCCGGGGGCTTAGCTATGCACCGAGCCTTCATCAGAAGCTTTGGTCGCTTTTGTGGCTTAGTCCTCAACCTAGCGCGCCTGATGGTTGTTTTCTTGGCACCCCTGAATGGGTACAATCTTCTGGTAGAACAGCTTTACGGCGAGCCTTGTTGTCTCTAGCAGCGCACTGTATTCCACCCCTGACCTACAGTGGCACCGCAAAAGTCTGTGACTCTTATTGGACCTGTGGCCCACCTCTTACCTCAGTGGCGAAATGCGCGCTGGGTCCTATCAGTAGACATGTTAATCCCTCAACATCCTATGGTATTACAGCTATTTACACCGGTTTTTGGAATCTATGATCATTGTCCGTCCGCTAAAACGTGAATAAACAATCTTAGGCTTTCTATATACCTGCCTACAATTGTCAAATATCGATTTTCTTTAATGTTAAAGCATTCCGGTTCAATTCATCGTATACATTCTAGTCTAGCAACGGCCAAATTCTCCTTCCACTAATTTACGATGACCGATCGATTTTCTAGGGGCCATGTTATGCTCCTAGGAATACAGTATCACCCTACAAACTCCTTTATTTGTAAAAAACTAGAGCAATTAGTGAAGCGGTTTGAAGATCCACAGTTTTGTGTTGTGACCTTTCCCTACTAGTCTCATTCTCCTTGCAACAATAGGCCTAGCATCATCCATGCGACCAACGTTAGACCCTTAGGAGTTTGCCCCAAGGAGCCGTCGTGGTGAATGTGCTTAAGGCCTATTTAATTAACTGATCAACCTTTCAACATCCTACGGTCATTCCTCTTTGCACCTTTTTTTTTCTACTTATCTATTAACGTTATAGGAATTTGATTATCCTCTCACAATCACTCCTCTACTACACGTTTTTGCAAAGGATTCTCAAACTTCCTTAGACCATGAAGGGCATTCATAGTCATCACCTCCACCTAATAGCCCTATGCAAGTATCGCACTTACTTCTACCGATTACAAAACGGTTGCATTACTTTTATGCTAATAAGGCTATACTAATAGATTTATTTATTAATATATGTCAAAATCTGGGCGTACGACAGTCCCACATGGACGTGTAGTTCACGAAGAAATAAATCTCTGATTCAGATAAATCTGGGAATGCCCGACAATTTAGAGGGCTCACTAACTAGTAAATGACTAGTTAATACATAATAGGAAATATTGGTGAGGGGTAAAATCCCTGTATGTGATCTGTAGGAATTCCAATTCTTGACAATATATAATTTTTGATGAGATCGAGATTGCTCATTTAGGAAGAGTGTAGGTAACATCCACTTCCAATGGCTTTGCTATTGCTAACTTCGTGACCGGCACTCCCGCTTTTGCCATTCGCTCGACCTCGAGAGGCTTCAGCTTATTCTGATTCTGTGGGGTATGATTAGCAGAAGTCGGCGGTCAAGATCGTCCTGTGCTGCTTAGGCAGAGGCATTGAAAAGCAAGGAGGCTAGATATATATATGAAAACATAGGAAACGTACCTTTAACCGACCTGGTGTGAGCATCTCGCGAGGTGCTGTGATCCTCCACTCAGGCAGACCCTCAGGCCTACCTAGATCTCGAAGCGTCTTTTTCTCAACAAGACTGTATTCGTTGGGGTCCGAACGGTTGAAATTGAAGGGCTCCTTGACCGCAACAGGTGGGTTCGTGATAACTCGCACGGTTCCGAGCAGGTTCCGAGAGGCAGAGTGCAGCATCAAGGGGTGTAGGAAATACACGTCGCCGACCTTGCCGGTCACTTCATGGAAAGATTCATCGCGCGTGGCCTTTGGGTCGCTGATCCACTTCATCCACTGACTGCGACGCTCCGGGCCTTCTAGGTCCGGTGAGCCGTGGGGGGCAAGGAACGGAGTAGTTCCGCCTGGATGGTCGTACTACGTTATTATGTCGTTAGTATACTTTCCGCAACTTGATGGAAGCGCACTGAGTTTCAGGGTCATTCTGGGAAGAAGAGCAGCGAGGATAATATACCATGTGCTTCGCCACTAGGCCGATTCCATCGGTGCAGATAACCGTGCCACCGCCCTTGGGCTCAATGTCACTGAACAGCGGGATGACCAGGAGTGCCTGCTCTCCACTATCTAGGAAATGCACGAAGAAGTCTCCGTCATTGTGCCAGTTATCAAGCGTGCGAAAGTCCAGCGGATCGGTGGGTTTGAACTCTGGCTTTCCGAAGTTGACAATCCAACCATCCCTCCAAGTTTTGCACCAGTCTGCTATCCTATCTTCGCCGCCGACGAGCTCGCACATGACATCCCACGCCTTCGGTGCTAAGTCCTCAATACGCACGTGAGAGTGGGCTGGCATGTTCAACTTCTCAGTGGGCCACGTGGATTTGTCGTCGGGTGAGGCACCCAGACGAGTCCATAAAGAGGAGGTGAACTGTTCGGCGGCCTCGCGAGAAAAGCATCCCTCTACCTTGAGAAATCCATGTTCCATCCAATGCTGCTTCTGGTCCTCCGTGAGAGAAGAAAGGTTCCCAGCTGAAGCGATCATGGTTAAGAGCTGCCAGGTGACGGGGAATATGTCTGCAAATTATATTGCTCTGACTGGATGATACAACAGCTATGTCCGATACTGATGTCGAGTTGATGGTATACCGTACCTTCATGTCTATTATATACCATATCCCGCGGTCAGATCACGGTGGTTCTCTTGGTCATCATCCTTTACTCCGCACCAAATGCGTCGGCTATCAGTCCACTTGAATCCAACCGCCGTTATCCGGTATATTGCACAAATTTTACCCGGCGTTTTATCCGGACTTGAGAGACTCGCCCCTCATTTCTAGTCGTTTAGTTGTCTCAGATAGGACTTCGATGACTCATCATCTATTCCAAAGAAATTATCAAGCCTCCGTAGAGACTAGGATAAGCTATCTTGAGGTACGTAATTTCGCGTTTGCAAGGTTCCACCTTTCTTTCCGGTAATCCATCCCGAACCCCATCTCGGCGTTTTCCCCGCAACTCGGACAATGATATACTCCTTCGTGGTCTTGAATTGCCCTGCGCTAACATAGCTTCACAATGGCAAAGAAAACCTGGTAAGACTTTAGTGCGCCCTCTACTTTAAACACCGAGCTTACTTTTGCCTGAGCTTGACATGCCGGTCCCGCAAGATCCGCTGTGCGTTGATCCTAACCTCCGCCCATCATGCCGCAAACTAACGCAAACCAGGCGACGGCACCGAGCCAATCTGCAATCGGTGTATCAAGTCCAACAGAGAATGTATATTTTCGACAAAGCGAACTGGGCCCATTGCATTCCGGCATAGCAAACTGTCCGCGCTGGTGGCCGCCGTGGAGCAAACCGACCCGCGATCGCCATCAAATGTCGGCTCAGAGGAGTTACCATCAGGCAATGGATTCCGACTCGCCTCGCCACTCTCGGTGGCCGAGGTCATCTTGAAGTCCTCAGTGCCTTCGGTGAATGCAAACTCACCATCGTCTCAACAAAATACCATTTGTAGTATTTCCTCCCCAACGACCAGCCTAACAACCGCTACGCAGGGATATGACTTCTCGGATAATACACAGTCAGAAGATCCCAGCCTAGAGCTGCAGGCGGCGACGCCTTATTCGCCGTCTCGGCCCATTTTCGACAACCAAGGTGCTTCCAACTGCACCTATGATCAACAGGTCCCACGACCGCTAAATTCAATTGAGGGCGAGCTATTGCATTTTTATGTACAGAATATAGGTCCTTGGGTGCGTGAAGTTTCAACCAATGCTGATAATTACACTGACCTTGATTGGACAGCTTGATGTCACTAGCCCCGAGCGGCATTACACCTATACGGTGCCCCGGTGAGGATTATCCGCACTTCCACTAAATGTTGCTAATTTTCCAGGCTTGGATTGCACTGTCAACTTCTCCATACGGCTATCATGGCTTGTTCCGCCCATGTGATGAGACTGCTCGATCAGAGCCGCACCAACCTGACCGCAGTAGAAGAGCAATATCAATCTGAATGCGTCGGGCTGCTCATCCCAATTCTGGATGATGTCAGACTAGCAGTCCAAGACGATGCCGTCTTGGCAACGATAGTCATCCTGCGCATGTCCGAGCAATATGACGAGTATCACGTTGACCGACAGTGTCATCTGGTCCCGGGAGCCTTTTCCCATCTGGGACATTCGGTGACAGCCTCCACAGCAGCCGGGGGTCTGCTGCAAGCGACCTTTTACTCATACGTGCGCGCAGATATCCGGATGGCTATCCTGGGACAGTGTCGGACCAAGCTATCGGTCGACAGTTGGCCACTGGATGAAAGTTCCCCGTCCAATGACGCAGATTGGGCCAACCGCATTACCTGGCTCTTAGTGCATGTCATCAATCTCTGCTATGGAAACGAGGATGGCATGCAAGGTATTCAGTCTTACGAACAGCTCTACATGTTGATTGATGACTGGAAAGCACATATCCCGTCAACATTTGAGCCATATTTCTACGAAGACCGCGAAAATACAGCATTCCCCATTATCCGGCTTTTGTGTCCATGGCATGGTATGCGGTATTCTGGAAAAATTATGATCAATCAGCTCACTGTCAGTGCAGTGGTCGGTCTTCAGTTCTACCACACTAGCAAAATCCTTTTGGCCACGCATTACCCATTGCAGGGTGCATTTAATGATGCCCTTTCGTTCAATAAATTTATCAAGGTACATACGCAGCCTCTCAATTGAAAACGGACTGAAAATAACACTGAAATAGATAGCCATACTCCCGCATGTGCGAAACCTTTGCGCCCTCTCATTCTCCAATGAGCATTACGGATGCCGCATCAATTCCTCGCATTGTCTAGCAACAGGTACGTATTCCCACGGGAGATACAACGAAAGCTAAGTCCGATCAGGCTCCCGATTCTTCACCGGTCGCGAGGAACAGGATCGGATTTTGGATTACTTTGATATGCTACAGCATAAACAGGCATGGCCGAGCCGAGCATGTAAGGAGATGCTTAATGAAGCATGGGCGATATGATATCTATGTTCAGCTATGCTATTTAATGATGAAGTTATGTGTATATCCAGAAACGAAAATGTACAGTTTTCTAGAAGATATTGCAGTTGTTCTGGTTTATATTACACAATAAGCAATAAGCTATCCCTATAAAATTCATCGCACTCTCTCCCCCCTGCTCGACCGAAAATAAATCAACGCTTAACTTCACTACCTAAGCTCAGTATGTTCGGAGTCTTCTCTGTCTTCAAACTAGAAGGGGCTTCGTGTGCCTCAGCATCACTCATTGACAGTGCCAATACAGACTGCTTGAGTGCTTTGGCCTCATTGACTGCCATGCGGGCTCTGGGAACCACATTCCATTGGATAGCCTTGTGCCAGAAATGTTGGTGGGCCTCGATTTCCTGGTCTCGCTCTGGATTTGGCAGAAACAGCAGATCCACAGACTCCAGATTCAGATACGACGTCTCCGGGTAGAAGCAATACACGACAAAGGCGGCAACGAGATTGAAGACGGCAAAGATGATGTAAGTTTTGTAGCCAATGTTTTGAAGCGCTGGTGGTGTAATTTCGACAACCTGGAAGTGGTCATCAGTTTGGGAATAGTGTCTGACTTGGGATGAAGAGACTCACAATAAAGTTTCCAAGGAAGTCTGCCGCCGCAGCCAAAGCGGCGCCCTTGGCCCGGATCTTCAATGGGAGAATCTCAGCTGGATATACCCATACTGTTGCCATCCAGCCTGTCGGGAAAATTAGCGCGAATTCAACTCGAGATGCAGACCAGAAGCTTACCCCACGTGAAACAGCCCTCAAATGCAAATACAAAAAAGACTGCTGCAATGCCTGCTGCGGTACCTCCAATGGCAACGGTGATGGCTTCACATACTAAGACCACGCACATTCCAAGTGCCATTATAATGAAAAGGCGTCGGCGGCCCACTGCGTCAATCATGTACCACTATAGAGAGTCAGATGACCTCGAAAAACAACAATAGTAGAACTCATACCGTGAGAAACGAGGCGAGAATATACCACACCTGAAGAAAGCAGCCGAGAAACAAAGCTCTCTCCTGCGGCAGATTAGTGAAACAACGCTCCAAAGAAGGCATTTAAACGTACCTGCGAGAAGCCCAGGTTCTGTTCAAACAAGGTCGGAGCGTAGTAGCTAACAATATTGATGCCTGAAACAAATGGATCAGAGATGAGTTTGTCATGTAGAGTATAAAGCAGACTGTACCAGATGTCTGCTGCATGAATTGGATGCCGAGTGAGAGAAAAAATCGTTTGTTGGCGGCGCATCCTCCATCAGAGATAAGCGCTTTCCATCCGCTGTCCTCATTGGCTTCAATGTTGATAGCAGCGAGAATCTCGTCTCTTTCTTTGAGCACTATAGGGTCGTCCACGGGTTTGTTACGCAGCTTGGATAACACTAGTGTTCCGCGGTCAGGGGAGCTCTCGTGGTACATGAGCCATCGAGGGGTGTCCGGTAAGAAGGGTGTGATGATGAGGATGTAGATAGCAAAAACAGCCTGGAACAGCAATGGGAACCGCCATTGAATTTGACCAGGGTGAAAGTAAAACCCATAATTGATCCAATATGCCTATAAGCTTCATTAGCTCGGCTTGGGCCATCAAGACAGCACGAATACACACCAGCAGTAGCCCAAAGAGCAAAGTGGTGAGCTGACAGCACAGGTGCCAACCACGCTGGCTGGGCAAACAGATTTCACTTTGGTAGACAGGGGCCACAGAGGTCAAATATCCAATCCCTAGATTTGGTCAACAGAAAGCAGCTGAAAATAATTGAACCCCCTTACCGAGTCCCGTGAAGACTCTGCCCACCATCATCAATATTCGCTCCACGCAGGCGCCCATCAGGGCAGCACCAATAATGAGCAGACATGCGCCAGTCATCAACCCGCGCTTCCGCCCAATTTGTTCGGCTGTAAATGCAGCAAGGATGGCACCAAACACGGCGCCAACATCGTAAAGAGCGGTGATTGTGCCAGTCATGACAGTGCTAGGGTGACCCATCTCGGTCAGCCAATACTTGGATATAACAACTCCAGACATGACTCCTTGGTCATAACCGAACAGCAAAAAGGCTGAAGAGCACACAGTCGTGATGGCCACGACCAGAGACGGGCCCCCGGAGCGCATCGAGCCCGGTACGGTCGATCATAGTGAAATATTCCGAGTGGTTTCTCGGAGTTGTAGAGCGGAAATCCGATGCAGGAAGGCCCTCGGTCGACCGACGACATCATTATATACTATGTTAGCGCGGCGCATTGACGCGGTCCAGAAATCCCGAAGCTTGGGGGCGCTACATACCGTCCGGAGAATGCGGGGGACGCTAAGTTAGAGCGCGAAGGAATCGCGGTCAATTGTTACCTAAAGAGTCGCTCGGCCGCTCCACTGCCTGGCCTATTACGATTTCAGTAAGAGGAGACCGAGACCGAGCTTGGAAGATGGCATCACTGGACGGCCCGGGAGCATAAAAGAGTAGCTCGCCAGTATGGGATGTGTCAAGAGATGGCGTTCCTGGATAACGCGCTGGCGGCCGGGATCGCCATTGCGTTTTATCTGTTGTTCAAACAAACTCCCAAGCCGGACCCGCGATTCTTCGTTTCGCCGCAAGTACAGGACGGACTTGGTCCGAGGGGTTTAGGGTTGGGCCATTCCGCTCGCATAGAAACACGGAACATCAGACTGAAGCTTGATCATACAGTGTGTATACCCCAACTTACGAAGAGTTGAGGCAGACACTCATCGGAGATGGACTAGGCAAACCATGTCGTCGTTTTCTGGGGCTCGCAGAGTGGCACCGCCGAGCGGCTGGCCAAGGCGCTTGTGCGGGAGTTCAGAGATCGCTATGGAATGCGTGCAATCGCCGCGGACCTTGATGATTTCGACTATGAACACCTTGAATCGCTGTCCGCAAAGCATTATGTTGGGTTTGTCGTCGCCACGTTCGGCGAGGGAGACCCAACCGATAACGCTGCCGGACTGCATCAATATCTGACAAGCCTGGACTACGATCACCGAAAACTCCATAATCTCAATTATTTTGTGTTTGGGCTTGGAAATAGCACCTACCAGTACTTCAATCGCTTTGCCGGCTTTGTGGACCAGGGGTTGGGTACGGCTGGTGCGCAACGCATCGGCCCCGTGGGCATGGCGGACGAGATCGAACGGTCGGACGATGTCTGGAACGACTGGAAGCACCAGATACTGGATGAACTACTTGTCCGTGGAGTTGGCAAGAAATCAGACATTGACGAGCCTGTGCTGCCGGATCCCGATTTCAAGATAGTCGATCGACCATCGACTACACGAGAGCTGATCCACTTGGGCGAAAGAAACGGGAAACAGCGTGGCCAGTGGCAGCCCATTGTCGCGCCTGTCTGTCATGCTCAGTTGATCTCCCAGCCGGAGTCTGGAATATCAGTCCCACATGACTATTTGCACATCGCTCTGGAGCTGCCAAGCGGTCCATCCGGCTCGTACCACAGCGGCGATCATGTGGCAATCTGGCCCATGGCCCCAGAAGACGAAGTTCAACGTATTGCACGACTATTTGGCTGGAGTGAGAGAGAGTTACATACAACGATAGATCTGGTATCGTACAAAGACAGCTCAGGATTGGCGTGTTCGATTCCCTCTCCAACCACTCGGGACGCCATACTTCGACACTACCTCGATATCTGTGGTGCAGTCAGTCGTGAAGTGCTGCAAGTACTTGTTCAACTTTCTCCAACACCCACGGCCAGATCCTACCTTACATCACTGATGAGGGAAGACGGGACTGGTTGGCAGCTGGCTTGTTCCCGACACCTGACTGTCGGGCGCCTGATGGAGATTGCTGGTTCTAACCAAGAAGATAAGTGGCCAGCGACCTTGTTTGAGCAGTTCATCCAATGTCTCCCAGTGTTGCAGCCACGATATTTCTCTATTGCATCTTCTCCATATGTGGAACCCCGCCAGCTAGCCATCACAGTCGCCGTGCTTGTCCATGAAACACTGGACCAGCAAAGATTCTATGGTCTAGCAACAAACTATCTCTACTCCATCTACCAGTCTCTCAATCACATAACCGTGAAAGAACCCAGGCGGCCTCAATTTGCTATGAGCGGACCTGGAGGTTGTCTCACTAGTGGAGATATGTATATACAGATTCGTCCTTCCACGTTCAAGCTTCCACGCGAGATGCAGCGTCCGGTCATTCTGTTTGCATCCGGGAGTGGAATTGCACCCTTCAGAGGATTTATACAGGAGCGGGTAAGAGCAGCACTCGATGGACAAGAAATTGGGTCCATTTTTCTATTCTTTGGTTGCCGGAATACAGCGGACTGCCTCTATCACACTGAGTGGGAGAAGTTACAAGAAAGTTTGGCCTCCGTAGGAAAGAAGAGTCTTTTGGACGTGAACTATGCCTTTTCCCGAATGGGCAAAAGGGAGTATGTTCAGGACCGGATGGCGTCCCGCCAGCAGGATGTACTTCGCTTGCTGCTCGAGGATCAGGCATCGGCATACATCTGTGGAAGTGTGAAACTCTCCAGTGGCGTCAAAAGCACTCTGAGAGAGCTCATTGGCAACCACTGGGGGTGGGAAGAACAAGCATGTGCAAAGTATCTCGAGGATCTGAAGGAAAGCGGAAGACTGCGCGAAGATGTGTGGGCGTAGAAAATATTACGCCAGAGAATACACAATATTCTCTTTGTCCTGATCGAGCCCATCTCCACTTACCCCGGGTCTTAACTCGGTCTCCGTATACCATTTTGGGTAACCTGCCCCAGTGGCTGCAGTATAAATCCCCATATTTCTCGAATTTCTTTGCTATGCAGCAAATACAACAATGACCCGCAAATACCTTGGGACGAGTGGTCGAGCGCTGACTGTTTGGATTTCAGTCGCTGCCTCGACTGTGCTGGTGTTCTACGGCTACGACCAGGTCACTCACTCTTGAAAACTATGCAGTCCCTGCCTATACTGATTTTTCTCGATGTAGGGCGTCTTCGGCAATGTTCTCGTCAACCAGGACTTTTTACGGACCATGTCGCACCCCTCGACGGGCATGCAGGGCAATCTCACCTCCGTCTACAATCTAGGGTGTTTCGTCGGCGCCCTATCGACCATTTGGGTTGGAGATTGGCTCGGAAGACCGAACACTATTCTCACCGGGAGCAGTATCATTGCGATCGGAGGTCTCCTTCAAGCGACCAGTTACTCTGTCCCGCAGATGATGGCCGGCCGCATCGTCGCGGGCTCTGGAACAGGCATGAACACGGCCACGGCGGGCGTGTGGCAGGCAGAGACAAGTCAGATGAACAGCCGCGGAAAGCTGATTGTCATTCAAATGGCTAACTGTATCTTCGGGGTGGTCGTCTCCAATTTCTTGACACTGGGCTTTGCTTTTGCGCCTGGTTCTGTTGCCTGGCGGTTTCCCTTGGCTTTTCAGATCTGTACGTGGCCTTCCACTATGTGATAACTTTCAACTAACACAAAAATGTGAAGGCTTCACTGTGTTAGTGTGGTGCATGTGTCCCTTCCTACCGGACTCTCCTCGTCTCTTGATTCGCAAAGGTCGTGACCGTGAAGGGCTAGAGGTCCTTGCTGCGTTGGCCGGAGGCGGAGCCACATCAGCCAGTGAAGAAGTGCAGTCGCAGTACCGCATTATCAAAAAAGTTCTGGAGCGCGAGCAGGCATGCACCTATAAATGGTACACGATACTAGCTGGCAAAGGCCCCGCCGGACTGCTTCGACGCATGATTCTCGGTGCCTGGATGCTGGCCATGACTCAATTGAGCGGCATCAACATCACGAGTTACTATATGACATATGTCTTTGAGAACGCTTTGCATTTCACGACTTTGCGCTCGCGTATCCTCTCTGCCGCTGGTTCGATTGTCTACTTCGTCTTTTCGTTGTTGGCATATTTTATCATTGAGCGCTGGGGCCGACGCACCGTCATCATAATCTCTTCTTTTGGCTGTGCTATTTGCTGGATCATGATCGCCATTATGCAGGCGCTGGTTGTATCTGAACCCTCCGACTCCACGGCATACAACACGGTCGCGGTGGTGTTCTTCTTCGTGTTCTGGGCGGCATTCGGCTTGGGACTTCTGCCGGTGCCATGGATATATCCGACGGAGATCAACGCTCTGGAGAAACGCACAGTTGGCGCGGCACTGGCAGTGTGCACCAACTGGATACTTAATTATATGGTGGCCGAGGTGACGCCGCTTGGCATTGCCAATCTCGGATGGCGGTTCTGGGTCATCTGGGCTGTTATCTGTGCAAGCTTTATTCCGATTGTTTACCTTTTCTATCCAGAAACTGCCAACCGCAGTCTGGAGGATATCGATAAGTTCTTCGAGACTAAACCTGGGATTTTTGTGCATCGCAACAAGCTGGCCGTGCAGCTGCAGCGGCCAGCGATGTTTGAGGAAGAAGATGCTCGTGTTGCTCAAGGGATTGAGAAAGATGGCCTGAATGCCGTCGTGGAGCATGAGGAGAAGGTTGTCTGAATTGATTGAGACGCTAGCATGTCCTGAACAACCCAGGTTGCTTACTACAGGAGCTCCCCAGCTGTCGAAGCCTCCTATTCCCGCTCTTCCAAACGACACAACTGGTGGTCAAGCGGACAGCCACCATCGAATTCCAGATCGGGTGCACCACTGTCACTACGAGTTTTGGCTGTTACAAAATTGCCCCCCGGGGGTGGAGGGGGCGGGGGGGGGGGATATTCTTTTAGGATATATATGTCGTGCCGAATGGGACTGCGAGGGAGAATTACCTGAATGATGGACATGGTCCTCGGGTGGGCCCTGATCATCCGGATTCGCAATATACCTGGCGGGCCGGGGAAATGGAAGATGTTGGAAACGGAACTAATTCAAGTTCAATTCATGAGAATTCAAGAGATCACATTGAGGGATATCACAACTATAGACATATATACAGAGCAAATCAGTCTGCTCTTTCCACCTTGGCCGTAGAACCCGGAGTGGAGAGTACAGGATCCTCTGCCGGGACATCATCGTCCTCCGACCCACTCGAATTCCACACAGTCGGTTCCTCCTCGTCCGACTCTTCTGGCAGAAATTGATTGAGAATCACGCCGAGGAGCGCAGTAATGGCGAACCCGTTATCCATAACGAGCTCTACCGCTTGAAGCAAGCCCTCCAGCGCGTGGTTGTTCCCCGAATAGGTAAAGAAGTTGCTGAACCAGTTGGGGACCAGCGTAGCGGCCATGCCGAGAGAGAACGATGCGGTGAGCACGAAGCGGTTGCGTCGCGTGAACTCGATGGTGGCTATGACGCGGATGCCAGAGACGGCCACGGAAGAAAACAGGAAGGTGGTCATGCCGCCCAGTACCGCACTGGGGATGGCGACCAGCGCGGCGGCGAATTTGGAGAAGATGCCCATGATGATCAGGAACATGCAGCAGGAATACCCAGCTGTGCGGTTAGCGCATTTGGTCAGCGCGATGACCCCGTTATTCTGAGCGAAGACGCTCATGGGCGATATCGTCATCAGGCCAGCCAGCAGACAGGTCACGCCGTTGCCCAACACTCCGCCCTGGATGCGCGAGTCGAACATGGGCCCATTGACTTCCAGCCGGGAGACATCGCAGGTGGCTGTGATATCGCCGATAGACTCCATCATCACCACGATGTACAAAGCCAGTAGTGGTAGGATGAGCGGCGGATAGATGGTCAGCGGGAACGTATGAACCCAGGGGAACGATGCGACAGGCGCCTCAGCAATCCCGGACGACTCGAAATAGTTGCACCCCGCCGCAACGATTGAGCCGACCAGCAGACCAACGATCACGGCGCAGGACCGCATAATGGGCGGTCCGAATCGCTCAGCAATGATGATGGTCACATAGACCAAAAAGCCGAGCCCAACGAACTGCGCACTACCCCAGGGAAGGGCATGTGGTGCGGTCGCATCGGGACACATGCCACCCATACAGCTGCTTCCGCCGACCCAATCTTGGATGCCGGATTTGATCAAGCTGGCTCCGATGAGGAAGACCACGGGACCGGTGACCAACGGCGGGAAGAGCATCCTCAGCACCCGTTTGCTCATGAAGGACAGTCCGATTTCCAGCAAGCTGCACAGGCATGCGGTTCCCAAAAGCGCTCCGTAGCCCTCGGGGCAAGGGAGTTTGCCTCCGTTCGCGTCCGTGGGACAATATCCCGATTTATACATCTGACTAAAGGTGGAGGTTGCGACAGTGATGGTTGCAAATGATGTGCCTACCACCGAGAGCAGACCCGTCCCAACGTAGTATTTCGTTTTGTAGATGTGGAAGCGCGTCATCTGGATCGCCGACAGCATTCCCGATACGATCAGCGACGACGAGACGAGGTATTGCGATAGCTCGGAGCCGAAGTTGGCGGCGGCAGCGAGAATGATTGGCGGTGCAATAACTATGTTTTGAGTCAGACCCCGTTCGGGAATTTTGGCGATGGGTTCGCACTCACCACCGGCCAACATGGCCAACGCGTGCTGGAGACCCAGCAGGAGCACGAGTAGAAAGGGCACGCGATCCTCCAGCCCGAAGAAGGGAGCGGCCCTTCGGACCTGGCCCTTCTTGAAGGGCACCTTGGGGATGAACAGACGGGCATAGTCATAGTCCCCGATCAAGCCGTCCCTGCAAAGAGTGAGTCACGGTCGCATTCCTCTCGGGAGCACAGATCGTACCGCGTGGTGAAGTACTTGACGGCGCGGCGGGCCTTGTCGCCCACCGTCCGCTTGGGCGAGAAATCCGGGCCAATCTGATCCGGGCCGTCCATGGTGATTGAAACTGACTGCTATCTATCCAGCAAAGAAGAAACACGCGGTCGCACCGGGGACCTTATATATGATCGTGTGAGGAAACCGGAGCGAAAAACATGTCCGGGGCCGGAACGTGTGGGGAAAGCCACTTCGCGATCAGATCTCTGATTTGCCCACAGGCGCCTTGGGTTATCGCAGCATTAGCAAGCCCTTTCACCAACTGTTTCTTATCGCAGGTACCCGGTACTTCCCCACACCCGCCCACTCAGCCGTGGAGCCGAAGTACCTAGTACCCACACCCTTATCAATTGGCAGTTGAGATCGCTGAACAGATCCTGCGCGCAGGTGATCGCTGGCCAGCGACACGAAAAATGCTCGAAAATGAGTTATCTGGGGGACTGTGAAGCCCCGAACGGATGGTCGGAGTAGGCCGTGCAGATGGAGGGCTCCGAGTATCTTATATCCAACAGTCGGATAGAGCTGCCAGGTCCAGGCAAGCTCAGGGTCTGCCAAGTTGCTGGTCCGCCACGTGAGGAGCGGCTGCTATCCAGCATCAGCATCCTCCCGTCTCTCGCCGATGAGTGCGATGAGACGGTGTGGATGACACAGCATGATCGGCCTCATGTCAGAGTCCGGGGACGCGGTGGTCGGACCTGGCACCAGGAGATCCTCCACGCTTCTTGAATGGCCCTCACCGCGTCCATGACTTTGTGGATTGTCCGATGTACCTACCGGACTTGGGCGGTGCCACAGACTACACCCTGGGCCGAGGCTGGTCGATCGAAAGGCGGTGATCACGTGAGGGTGAGCTAAATGCGTCCTCCACCCTCTCTCTCTCCGCCGGATCCATTCATGTCAGACATCTAGTATACGTAGTGACAGGCAATCCGATCAAACCATCACATCACGACCACGTAAATAGCAATTGACGTACATCCCCCGTCATCGTCGTGCCCTCGCCGCTGTCGGTCCTCGCTCCCGTTCCTGCTCCTCCCGACGTTCGCCACCGCGAATCCTCGTGCTGCCTCAGGCACCGCCCACCTGATTGGCTCTCGGCCACGTGACCTTGAAAATGTTGAGCCGGGCGTTGGGGAAGACTTGCCACTGGGGACGAGGAACATGAACAATTCTTCCTTGGGCCGAGGAAGCATCTTGTGATTCTTTTCCAATCGTTTCCGGCCGTGGACTCTGATTCGTCTGCCTCTCTCGTTCGCCCTGTTTTGATTCTTCCTCGTCCTTTTCCTTCACGACTCCCCCCAAAGCGCCGCGGCCCACTTTTGCCTCTCCCCCAACGTTGAGTGGAGCCATATAAAAAGATCTCTCCCCTGCACCATTCTTTTCCTCAACTCACCCTCTCCCACATCATGTCGACCAAGCCTGAGACATCACGCCCACGGGCGCCAGACACCAAGAAGGTGCACATTGCTGATACGGCAATCACCTCGAAGAACTGGTACAAACATGTCAACTGGCTGAACGTCGCCTTCATCATCGGCATCCCGGTCTATGGGTGCATCCAGGCCCTCTGGGTGCCATTGCAGTTGAAGACCGCCGTCTGGGCCGTCATCTATTACTTCTTCACAGGAATGGGCATCACTGCTGGTAAGTTCTATTTTTCCTTTATCTTTTGGCACCCCCAACGAATAGTGGGAAAGAAATGAGACTGACTCCAATGGTCACAGGATACCACCGTTTGTGGGCGCACTGCTCCTACTCGGCCACTCTGCCCCTCCGCATCTGGCTGGCTCTCGTCGGCGGTGGTGCCGTGGAGGGCTCCATTCGCTGGTGGGCTCGCGACCACCGCGCCCATCACCGGTACACTGATACCGATAAGGACCCGTACTCCGTTCGCAAGGGTCTGTTGTACTCGCACCTGGGCTGGATGGTCATGAAGCAGAACCCCAAGCGCATTGGCCGCACCGACATCTCCGACCTGAACGAGGACCCCGTCGTGGTCTGGCAGCACCGCAATTACATCAAGGTCGTGCTCACCATGGGCCTCGTCGTGCCCATGCTGGTGGCGGGCCTGGGCTGGGGTGACTGGATGGGCGGATTCGTATACGCGGGTATCCTGCGCATCTTCTTCGTGCAACAGGCCACCTTCTGCGTCAACTCGCTGGCCCACTGGCTCGGTGACCAGCCCTTCGACGACCGCAACTCCCCCGTGACCACGTCATCACCGCGCTGGTCACGCTCGGTGAGGGCTACCACAACTTCCACCACGAGTTCCCGTCGGACTACCGCAACGCCATCGAGTGGCACCAGTACGACCCTACCAAGTGGTCCATCTGGACCTGGAAGCAGCTGGGTCTGGCCTTTGATCTCAAGCAGTTCCGCGCCAACGAGATCGAGAAGGGCCGCGTGCAGCAGCAACAGAAGAAGATCGACCAGAAGCGCGCCAAGCTGGACTGGGGAGTGCCACTGGACCAGCTGCCTGTCATGGAGTGGGACGACTATGTGGAGCAGGCCAAGAACGGCCGGGGTCTAATTGCCGTCGCTGGTGTGGTGCACGATGTGACCGACTTCATCAAGGACCACCCCGGCGGCAAGGCCATGATCGGCTCCGGCATTGGCAAGGACGCCACGGCCATGTTCAACGGCGGTGTGTACTATCACTCCAATGCCGCCCACAACCTTCTCTCGACCATGCGCGTGGGTGTCATCCGCGGCGGTAGCGAGGTGGAGATCTGGAAGCGCGCCCAGAAGGAGAACTCGGAGTATGTGCGCGACGAGGCCGGACAGCGGGTGATCCGCGCCGGGATGCAACCGACCAAGATCCCTGAGCCGATCCCGACGGCGGATGCGGCTTAAATCTGATGATGACATTCTTCCTTTCGCTCTTTGCATACTCGGTCCGGTCGGCGTTGAGGGTTGAAATTTTTGGTTTCATTTTGTATTCTGCGAGAGAGATAGCGGCTGTTGTGATTGTGATTCACTGTCCATAAAACATAGATAATCATATTATGAATTCGATACGACCTGTATTCTTTTGTTGTCAGTCCGTCCGTCCAATCTGTAGTCCAGTTGTCGTTGTAGTCCGTTCGACGAGGAACAGGGGCTGATGTTGTGGGAGCAACATCACGTGTGTTTACTCAAACAACCGGTCTCACCGCTCGCCAGCCGTACTGCGACCCAGCTTCCACCACTACGAACTACACCTAGTACTACCACTTCTCCCACCTCAATCGGGTATCAATTCCGCCCACCATTGCCTCTTTCACCGCCTCCCCCCGCCGCTTACTCCCTCATCTGCTTGTCGTCCTGGTGGCCGTCCTCCTCGCTACCACCGTGGCGCCCCTTCTCCGCTTCCCCGCTACCCGCCTTTCCTCTGTGCTGGGCCACTTGCACTCCTTCCGACCTACAACAACTCCTTGGCACCGCTTCCTGACCACCTCCAACATGGCACCCGCTCATCTTCGGCGGCCGCCGCAGGCCCCGCCCGTGTTTACGGCGACGGCCCAATCCATCGTCGCTGATGCCGAGCGTCTGATTCGTACCTCGCGCGGGATCCAGGATAAGGTCGTTGCGGAAGTGAACCCCGAGAGCGCCACGTTTGACAAAGTTCTCTCTCCGCTCACTCAGGATGAGAATGTTATGGCGCTAGAGGCGCATATTTTGGGATTCTACCAGGCTGTTTCGACGGACCAAAAGCTCCGTGATGCTTCCTCCAAGGCGGAAGAGCTGATGGATGAGTTCTTCATTGAGTCAGTCATGCGTGAGGATGTTTTTGGGTTGGTTGATGCTGTTCTCAAGCGCAATGAGTCTCTAGATCCGGAGTCGCGCCGTCTGCTGGAGAAGGAACACAAGGACTTTGTTCGCAACGGGCTGGGTCTGCCCGCGGGGCCGCAGCGGGCCCGCTTCAAAGAGATCAAGAAGCGGCTGAGCCAGCTGAGCATCGAGTTCCAAAAGAATCTGAATGAAGAGAACGGCGGGATCTGGTTCACCCCCGAACAGCTGGATGGTGTGCCAGAGGATGTCCTGTCCGGCCTGAAGAAGGGCGATGGTGAGAATGCGGGCAAGCTCTGGCTGACCTTCAAGTACCCGGACCTGTTCCCCACCATGAAATATGCCACCAACTCCGACGTCCGGCGACAGGTCATGGTCGCCAACGAGAACAAGTGCAACCAAAATGTGCCGCTCTTCCGGGAAGCCATTGTGCTCCGTGACGAGGCCGCTCGTCTGCTGGGCTATCCGAACCATGCTGCATTCCGCATCGAAGACAAGATGGCCAAGACCCCAGAGACGGTTGATAAGTTCCTGGGTGATCTGCGGACTCGCCTGACAGCCGGTGGGCGGCAGGAGCTCGAAAAGCTGATGGAGCTGAAGAAAGAGCTCGACCCCAAGTCTGATGGCCGCTACTACCTGTGGGACCACCGGTTCTATGATCGATTGATGCTGGAGCGGGACTACCAGCTGGACCAGCAGCTCATTGCCGAGTATTTCCCGTTGTCGACCACCATTGAAGGCATGCTCAAGATCTTTGAAGAGCTTTTCGGTCTCGAGTTTGTGGAGATCACGGGCGATGACCGCGCCGCGGTGGCTCCGACGGGCAAAGGCGACGATATTGTCTGGCACGAGGATGTGCAGGTGTTCAGTGTGTGGAACGATGAGGGTGAAGGCAGTGGCTTTGTCGGCTATCTGTATCTGGATCTATTCCCGCGGGAGGGCAAGTATGGCCACGCCGCGAACTTCAACCTGCAGCCGGTCCGTCCTTATCTCTTGATGTGATCGTTCATAGACTAATCTGCTTCCAGGGATTCCTCGACAAAGACGGTAACCGCCGGTACCCAGCGACCGCGCTGGTGTGCAACTTCACTAAGCCAACTCTCAAGAAGCCGAGTCTGCTAAAGCACGACGAAGTGGTGACCTTGTTCCATGAGTTAGGCCATGGCATCCACGACCTGGTGTCGCGGACGAAGTACTCGCGGTTTCACGGGACCAACACGGTGCGCGACTTCGTCGAGGCGCCCAGCCAGATGCTGGAGAACTGGTGCTGGACGCCGTCCCAGCTGCGGGCGCTGAGTCGACACTACTCGACGCTGACCCCGGAGTATCTGGCCGGCTGGAACGAAGCACAGCAGGCCCGCAGCGGCGGCAAGACTGCCACAGGCCCTCCGCCCGAGCGCATCCCGGACGATGTGATTGCGAACCTCATTCGCACCAAGCACGTCAACGATGCCCTGTTCAACCTGCGCCAGCTGCATTTCGGGATTTTCGACATGACGGTGCACCAACCGACGAGCCATGCTGAGATTGAGGGTCTGCCGATATCGGCGACCTACAACAAGCTGCGCCACGAGATCACGCAGATGGATGGGCCCGAGGCGCTGGGTGGTGGTGATGAATGGGGTCACGGCGAGGCGACCTTTGGGCACTTGATCGGCGGGTACGATGCGGGTTACTACGGGTATCTCAGCTCGCAGGTGTACTCGACGGACATGTTCTACACGGTGTTCAAGGCCAACCCGATGGACCCCAAGGCTGGTCGGCGCTACCGGTACCAGGTGCTGGAGAAAGGCGGCAGCCAGGATGAGATGCAAACGCTGACGGAATTCCTGGGCCGGGAGCCGCAGACCACTGCATTCTACCAGGATCTGGGACTGGCCTAGATATAGATATGATTTTGTAGTGACAATCAACTAGTGTTATGTTGCAAAGAGATATATATATCTTCGGACTTGGCTTAGCGTTCGGTGATAGTCTTGATAAGCCCCACCGCCTTCACCTCATCGCGATCAATTATTCCCTCTTTCTTCCTTTCCTCAACTCACCTCGATACCCATACCTACACATACGTATATACCAGACATTCCTCCTCGATTCAATCCCTCCGTCTGAATTCAGTATTCTCTCTATCCACCGACTACCAATCCCTCGGCCATCTCACCCACATCTATCTACTTCTCCAGCTCAACCACACCAAGAAACCGCACGAACGCCAGCTACAGAAAGAGCAGAAAGCCCTCCCAACCAAACCGCCACCACCATGGCCGACTCCGCATCCGCCAAACGAATCCACACACAACACTGCCGCTTCTGTAACCACCTCCTCCTCGCCACCACGCGCGACATCTCCGCCCTCCCGCGCCGAGGAGGCGACGCACAGGACAAGGCGATCATTGTGCCCATGACGCAAACACTGGACCCCGATCTGGACCATAATGAAAATAATACGCCGTCGGGCACTCACACGACACTCTTACTGTCGACGACCGTTCCCGATCGACGACCAACACTCATCCGCCGCGAGGACGGCATCGAGAAGCGGGTTCTACTCCGGTGTGGACGGTGTCGCGTTGTGGTGGGGTATCAGCTTGATCGGGTGCATTACCCAGTGAATGCTGGTACCACAGAGGGAGATGAGAATAGTCGCCCACCAGCGGTGTATCTTCTTCCGGGCGCTGTGGTGGAAACGGAGCAGATGGGGAGTGGTGTTGAGGACAACAAAGAAGGAGAATGGAGGCAGTGGATTCAAGAAGGTGTTGTATAGAGTGAATTGAATTGAAAGGAACCAAGTATCGATACAAATAAACGAGAGATACATAAGACATGAAAAAGGCGTTCAATCCGTCCGTCCCGAGTGCGCGCCAGACCAAACTAGAAGTCGGTCTTTTCCCCAAAAACAATAATGCAACAAAAAGAACATATCGTCAGGGGGTATCGTTCAGTTCGCCAGGATCGTGCGCACCAGGTCCGTGTAGTTGATCTCGCCCGAGGACGTGTCCACCGCCTTGAGGAGCTCATCCACTTCGTCGTCGGACATTTTCTCGCCGAGGTTGGTGAGAACTATCCCCAGTCAGTACACAATCCCGACCCATACCGAGAGGAAGACTTACTGTAGCGAAGCTGTCCTACCCCAATAAACCCTGTCATATCCTTGTCAAACACCTGGAATCCACGACAGTATTCCTCCGGGTCACCGGGCTCACGGAACCCGCCGGGGCGATTGAGGACTTTGAGGAAGGAGTCGAAATCAACTGGCCCAACATCAGCATAGATCCCGCCCTCCCGCGTGTGAAAGAGACATACAGTCATTCCCGACCGACTTCTCCAGGTCGGCAATTTCAGCCAGAGTGGGATTCTGCCCGCAGGCGCGTAGCAGGTCGCCCAGCAGTTCGCCGGACACACGGCCGGAGCCGCGGCGGTCGAAGAGGCTGAATGCTTCTTTGTAGTTGGTGGAAGCCTGATCGGAGTGGTTTTTGGAGTTAGTGGGAGCCATGATGATTGCGGGTTGTTATGATGTGTGGGGGAGATGTGGCAGGAGGGAAAGCTGAGTTTCAGGGGGGCCGAGGGAGGGATGGCGTGATACGTAATCCTGCCGTTGGGACGGACGCAGGGGAGGGAAGTACAGAGGGACCGAACACATACCATGGTAATCAATTTTGCGACGATGAGGTGTCAACAGAGGCAGCGAGAAAGAGGATGGAATGTGAAAGAGGGAGAAACTAGACTGGACACGGCTGGGGCTAGTTTGGTTAGTGAGTGGGCTGGTGGGATTCACCGTTGCCCGGACAACTGACGACGCTAGCACAACCGGGATCGTCGATGATAGTGTAGATATACAATTAGTTACCGATGTAGTTACAGACAGGAGTACTAGTGATTATTATGAGCCGCGGAGCTTCGCAATGCAGCTGTCCAGCAGCCGCGCCGCCTCCCCCAGCAGTTCCCACCGCGGCTGAGCAAAGGAATCGCGAACGAGAATCAACAGGCCCAAACACTCGTTGCACCCCTTCATCCCCGCCAGTTCGTTGGGCTCGCGCACTCCCCCCACGCGCTGCAGGAACCGTTGCATATCCTGCTGCTGCTCCGCCAGGCTGTTCAGCACCGGTGCCGGTTGCAGCGGGCCTTCCAGCGCGAATCCATAGCACCAGACCACCAGCGCGGCAAAATACAGCGCCCACGGCCGGTTCAGCAGATAATCGTCTCGTGCCATGTACTCGCCCGACTGGAAGGTCGGCGAATCCAAGAAACACGCCGACAGGAATCGCAGTGCGTAGAAGGTCGCGTCGCGCGCGGCCGCCTTGGTCGCCCATCGGTCGGTCATCTTTTCGCGCGCGTTCCGAAAGTCGCGGGCCGTAATGGACCGACCCATCAGACGGCCGGCTCCCCCAAAGATCTGGAGATCGGCAATGTCAACATGCGACGCCATGTGCGCCAAACCATGCAGCACGTCGCGCGACTCCACCTCCTGCGTCGACGGGCCGACCACTTCATCAAAGTCTCGCCGCCAATTATCGAACGCCCGGAGCAGGGCTGTCCGCCACTTGTCGCGCCCGCCGAGCGTCTGCCCGACCCCCAGCGAGCTGACCTGCAAGTCTCGTTGGTTCAGATGCCACCCAACACTCAACAGCCCGGCCATGAGGATCGTCCGCCCGAAAGGGTTGGTCCGCACCGCTTGCCCGTTCAGGGTGCGTTTGAGCCCGTCCAAAAACATGACCGGCCGAACACCGTGCGATTGAAGACTCGATTGCACGCGGGCCACTTCCGCGGCGCTCGTGGCCGCCCACAGCGCCTCGTCGCAGGGTAATGGTAATCGTAGTTCGTGAGCCACCATCTTGGCCGAATGCCCAAACATAGTCGCATGAGTCGAGTCCAGCACAAACGCCGCGAACGCTACGCGCCGGGTGGCCTCGGCTTTGATCCACTGCGACCACGACTCATCAGCCACCGAGTCCTCGATGCGGTCCTCGCGCACACTGCTCCCCGGGGAATCAAAGGCCGAGCGGCCGATCAGGGAACTGCCCCGACGCATCAGCGTCAAGGTCGTGTCGTGGTGGATATGCGCGCGCTCGTGCAGCGCTCGTGTAGATAGCAACTTCTCATAGACCTCTAACAACAAAAGAGCCTGGAAGATCCAGAGCCGTGCCGGCGGCTTAAAGTCGGCATCCATAAAGATCTCCCAGCGGAGATGCCATGCAATGAAGCTGGCCAGTTCAGCAGCAGTTTCTGTGGCCGCCTGTCCATGTATTTTGTCCAACGTTGCAGCACCAATCGCCATGATGGCCAAAAGCAATAAATTGGGGGTGCGGTCGGCGGCAAACGTCGGCTGATGCAGGATCGGAAACTGCGTGTGGAAATGATACCAGTACGACCTGATATACGTCTGCATCATGCGCAGGCTCAGCACATGCCGATCGCTGTTCAAGTCGCCATCCATCAGCGCATCCTTGCGCTTCGCACTTGCGGAGTAGGCCGCTTCGTTGAACCGCGTAGCCATCAGGTGCAGTAGCTCTTGTCGTTTTTCTTCAGAAACGATTGCCGGCGGGGACCCCGAATCGAGAATACTGGTGACGCTCATGGGATGTTGCGGGATGACCGTCATGAAATTGTAGGCTGGTTCGTTCATGTAGAAATTGTTCTGCACGGGATCCATATACCCCGGTAACATATAATTCAACGGAGCGGGCTCATTGAACAACCACGCCGCAAAGTCGTCCGCCATCGCAAAGGGTGATCGGTTGTACGTCTCGCCGCCGAAGATGGGGTATGCATTGGAGTCGAAGGGGTCGGGCATGACACCAGGGAGGGACAAGTCGGTATATCCAGACACCGTCCCTGCCAGGGACCCGTAGTTGGGGTCTGCATCGATGCTGCTCGACAAAGGATAACTGGCCGGCGGCTTGGGATTGAGATCTGTAGGACTTGCGCCTGGCGGGAGGTTCGGAGGACTGTACACGACCGGGGGAGAATGTACGGGGTCTTGTTTCGTAACCGAGTCATGCGCGACACGGGCGGGAGTCATGGTGGAGGATGGAGAGGAGAGGGCGACTGGTCGCTGAGAGGGATCATCATTGTGCGGGTTGGAGAATTGATCGCGTTTCTGCAGTTGGGAGCCGCGAGTGGTATGGCGCTCACGGTGCCGGAGACACAGGTCCTGTCGCACAAAGGACCGAAAACAATCGGGGAAGTCGCAGTGAAAGATCTGCTTGGGGGAGTGGTTGAGTTGATGGCGGTAAAGGTGCTCGGCGCGTGAGTAGCTCTTGCCACATCCCTCATGGGCGCAGTCGAACTTGCGCTCGGGCTGCACTTTGCGACTGCGCCGCCGCCGCTTGGGCGTGTGGTCGTCGACATTGGCCATGGCTGGGGTGCTGCATGGACGGATCTGCAGGAACGTGGGAGTGCGCGGAATGCGGGATTGGGGACCACCGTAGGAGAAGGAACGGACGGGGACGGAAATAGAAGAAAGGATCTAGATATGAGTAAGTCGGACACGGGGAAACGAGGCCTGCGTCGGGGTTGAACGTGGAGGCGACGGAAGGAGCAAGAGAGTGCGGAGGTGGGGAGTGAGATTGGTGCCTGAGGCAGTAGAAATCACATCTATAAAGGGACATCTGGGATGGATCTATAACTTTAGGACCGATGGGGGAAATGGTGTATGTCTATTTATACCTAGATACCTCCTACTAGGCATAGTCTCTCAATTCCCTAGTGACTCGTACACTTTGTCCCTCAATGCTCCCGTCCTCCTCGGAGGGCAACGGCTTTCTTCTTGATCGTCATCGTTGGGTCCGCGCCATCGTACCGTTCGTACCACATCATGGCGCATGGAAGAATAAGGACAAACACCTGGTGTGCAAATGCTCCGGGTTTCCGGGCCGGGTCCCTAAATGACGTGGCGCTCATCGTAGCAATAAAAAAAATGTACATGTAGGTTCAGAGGGATAATAGGAGAATTATCCGCTGAATCGGAAGCGGGTCGCCTCCAACCGACCCAGGCCATCCCGCGGCGCCACATTGCGGCGGCGGTACGAGTTGGTGAAATCCTGCAGCAGAGCTCGGATCTTGCGCGTCTCGCCGGCCTGCATCTTGTCGGAGACGTTTTTGAGGAGTCGCTCAGCCTCGCCGGCTTTGATCGAGCCGGCCGGCAGCATCTGCAGCGTGCTCTGGAGCCATGAGCCGGTTTCCTGCGGCAGCAGCTCGAATAGAGTCATCATGATCCCCGACGCATCGGGGAAGCAGTCGCCGGGGAACGTGAACATCATGCCCGTGAGCACGCGTTGAGCCAAACCCAAGCCCTGTGAGGCCAGGAGCTGCTTGACAGCTTCCCGGATCTCGGGCGGGTTGGTGTAGGGTTTGCCTTCAGGACTGGTGAATTCAGAGACGGTGGGTTTGTCGAACGCGAAGCTGAACAGATCCCGGTAGTAGTGAAGCGTGGCGATCAGTGGCTCTACCTGTTGCAGGGTGAGCGCGCTGACACCTGCGGTGAAGATAGGAACGGCAAGGGAGGAGCTGATGCATTTCTTGGGGTAATAGCGGACGGCATCGCTCGACAGACGGAAGAAATCCTCGATCACTAGAAAGAAACAGTCAGTATGGCCCCAAAAGATACGAGAGAAGATAACATACCATCAGGCAAATTTTCTGGTGGCAAGTCGTTCAAGATACGGAGGAAAGCAAGTGCCTGCTGCTCGTAAAACTGGTAGACAGCATCGCTCGTGGTTTGGTCCACGTACTCGGCTCCTTCCGAGAACTCACGCACCACCGCATCCGTGGCCCACAGGAAACAGCCCTCGCGCGAACTCTCAAAGCCGCTGGCGATGCTCTGAGCGAGAGTTGGCAGCAGAGGAATCATGGCTGTTCGGTAGGAGATGATCATGTAGCGCCAGCACCGGCACACGCGCTCCAATATGGGAGTCGATGTCGTGAAGTTCATGGCAATCGTCGTCATAATCGGCAGTATTTCCCCGCAGTACTTCACGGCCGGGTTCTCTTCTCCGGGTGCGACAATGGGTGTCACCACTTGCACGAAGATGGTAATTAGCTGGAGGTGATCGGCCACAGCCCGCTGGCCATCTTCGTCCGATGCGTTGTTGGCCAGGTTCATGATGCGCTGCATGATCGGGTCACAGAACATCTTGAACGATTCGTAGATCTTCTCCAAAGGCTGGACCGATACCACGGCGGCCACTCCCTCGGTCACTTCTTCCTGACTGGAAGCCTTCAGCTTATCCAACACGGACTCGAAGAACGAGTGAAGTTGAGTGATGTGTCCACCTAGCAGTTTCTGGCAGTCTGTCCCCAGGAACTTAAAGGCCAAGGCAGCCGCCTGCACAACTTCCGGGGAAGAATGGTGGAAGGCCGAAATGACATAGTTGAGCTGTGCCTCCAAAGTCTCGGGGTGCAGTGCCGTCCACTCCGTGTAGCGTGCCAGCGCCATGATGGCTTGGAAGCGAATCTTCTCCTGATCCGGGATCTGGACAATGAGGGGGATCAGCTGTCCCAGAACCGTGGATTCTTCCGGGTCGACCATGCGACCCATGGCCCGCAGCCCAAACAGAGGGGCCTCGAGCTCCTGCCAGTGCGGGACATGCTCGTGGCTGGCCTGCGATGCATACTTGCCCACCCACTGTTGGATCAACTGGTAGATCTTGCCCAGGCAGGCTGACACCCCCACGACCGAACAGCAATCCTTGAGGACATCGCCCATGGAGTGGCGGAATAACCGAAACTTTTCTTCCTGCTCGCGATCACCCCCAAACAAGTCGGTTTCGCCATCTTCGGGACTCGGATATTCCAGATGCTTGACCATGATATCGACCAGCTGGGAGAAAACGTCTTGGAAGTTGAGCCGCGCATCCACGTATCGGTCCAGCGTGATGTATTGCTTGAGCTCGTACCAGAAAATAAAGGTCTGGGAGATCGCATCGCGCTCCCAGTCTCGCGCACAACATTCCAAGACCGCTTCCACCAGGCCCCGAAAATCGGACGGAAGGCGAGCAATGAGCACAACCCATGCCTCACCGGCCTCGGCAAACATCCGTGTCACTCCCTTGAACGCCTCCAAATCTTCTGATTCGGCCGTCTCGGCGATCTTGGGGCGGAGGGCCATCAGTCGTGGATACAGCGCTTGGATGACTGGTAGGGATTCGTCGACGTCGCGGGTATCCCGGTAGAGTGTGCACACGCAGTCCACGCCGGCGTCGAAGGACACGTCATTGTCCAAAGCCTTGAGAATCACGTCCATCAGAGGCGAGTCGACGATTTTGGCAGCGGGGATCTCCCGCAACCACGAGGTAATGCAGTCCAGAAGACGGGGATTGGTTGCTGCCGTTTCTGCAAACAGCCAATTAGCATTCAACCAAAAAAAAAAATCCCCAAAGGAAAATACGTACGCGACGATTGAGCATATTGGATCATCAGTTGCATGACTTGGTCCGCATTGTCCTCCAGCAGCTCCTTGGTCCGCACGCTCAACTCGTCCTCCTATTCCTTGTTAGCAACAGCAGTCCCACAAACCCAGGAAGTACTCTAACATACGGTCAGATTGATTTTGCGGCCCTCGGTCACTTCCTCCGGGAGGATTTTCAAAAACTCCAGCACGCAGTCCCCCGCACTGCTGCCCAATGCCGATCCGACTGTGGCCAACACATCCTTCCACGTCACCATTTGAATGGCCAGGCTTACCAGACACACACAGAGCTGGGTCTGGATGGGCCGCGGGCCCGGCGCAAACGCGACCAGGAGACCGAGCACCGAATCCCGCAAGGCTACGATTGAATCTGGGGGAAGTTGGTCCAAATCAAAGACAATCTGCGATGGTCAGTCCCTAATCCATTATCTGTCGCAATATATCTCATAATACCTTTCCCTTGAGCGTGGTGGCCGCGAATAGTTTGGCTTCGACGGGAACATCGGGGGATTGTAATAGCGCGTGTGTCGTAGACCAGGCTTCGACCTAGTAGGATGCAGTGATTAGTTCGGGAGTTAGTTGACACCAAGGTGTGGGACATACTGATTTCTGGAACTTCTCCAGGAATTCATGAGCCTGGGTCTTCTCAGATCTCGGCACATTGCCCTGCATGGTTGCGACGGCGGCCAGGACCGGGGCGAAGGCCTGTGCAGCGCCTTCCTTGCTGGCCATGTTGAATTGAAGTGAAGACTTAGACCAGGCGCAGCATGGGAATTCACGAAAAGAAAGGGAGGGAGTGGGAAAGGGGAAGGAGGGGGATTGGATAAAGAGTTGTGGAAAGGTGGGATGGATTATGGGATGACTGTGACGGTATCGTATTGCCCGTACTGAACCGTACCAGATCACGGGATGAGAATCTCTCTCTCCTCTCTGTCTCCCGCCTTTTACTGCTTTTGCTTTTGAATCAACACCACCACATACACCACCCATCACTCACCATGGCTGGCCGCAAGACATTATTGGCACCCATCCACTTCATCTTCAGCCTGCTGCAGAAGCGCAGCACGGTGTCCATCTGGCTGTACGAGCAGCTGGCTTTCCGGATCGAGGGCAAGATCAGGGTACATGAGCCTGCCACTTTTCGGACCGATTGGATGCTAACGAATAGCGCTACTTAGGGCTTTGATGAGTTTATGAACCTGGTCATTGATGATGCGGTCGAGGTGCGCCTGCCGACCAAGAGTGAGGAGGAGAAGCGGAGGCCGCTCGGTAGGTGTTCATGTCTCTCCTGTCACCAGAATCGCAGCTAACGCGAGTGCGCGAACAGGCCAGATCCTGCTCAAGGGCGACAATGTCTCCCTGATCCAAGCTGTTTGATATTGTTTTTTATTTCTGCTACGATCTATCATCCGCTCCGAGTGAGATACCGCCCATCGCCCACCACTATCGCATCCACCAGCCAGTCATGCTCGCCCACGGGGATCGGGTTCGCGGTCATCATCTGCTCCTGGAGAGACAGGGCAACTAGAATTGCACGGAGTTCAGTGTGTGTCGGGGATTTTTTTGGGTGCACCAAAAAGGAATTTTGCTCATACCGAGGAATGGCATCTTCTGGGGGGTCTGGCTTGTCTTCTGGTTCCATTGGGAATATCGCGTTAGAAAATGATCATAATATCCTTTGCCATGTCCGAGTCGTCGGAATCCCTGATCGAAGGCCATGCCCGGCATGACGATGAGATCGAGTCCCGTAGCGGTTGCGAAGCAGTCGGGTCGGCCGGCGACCTGCGCGGGCAACAAGGACGGAATGCCCCATCGATCGGGCTGTAGGGCCTCTAACTCGGCCACTGATGCGAGGGAGAGCATGGCCATCACTGATGTAGAATCAACAGGGTAGATATAGGGAATGTAGACCTGTTTGCCGCGCTGGAGGGCGTCGTGGACAATGCCCGTGGTGGACAGTTCCCCGGCGGGCATCGACAGATAGACGGCGATGCTGCGGGCATTCTGGTACTCGGCCAGCGACAAGAACCGCTGAGTAGCCACGCGCGATTGTTGTGCGATCGCAGTCGCTGGGATCTGGCCGAGGATCTGGCGCATGCGCTTGCGCAGGTCGCGTTTGGCGGATTGGAGGGCCATGGCGAGGTGCAAAGATGAAGAAGGGTGGGTTGACATTCCGATCCGATTAGGGTTAACTATGGCATGCTTGTTGTGGCTCCACCCCAACCAAGGGATTCCTTCATATAGGCCGGAGTCGCCCATTCTGTTCAGCGTCACAGTTGTCAGGATGTTGTTTCTTTGGTCTCTCTTGTGTGCCGCGGCCGGTGCGGTTTCTGTTGATGAGCTGGTTGGTACCTGGACCACGAAGTCGCGCGAGGTCCTGACGGGCCCAGTGAGTATACCTATAATGAAACATAAGAAGAAGAGAGCTAACGCGTGCAGGGATTCTACGATCCGCTCAATGACAGGCTACTTGAACCCAATCTGACGGGTATCTCCTACTCCTTCGATGCGAACGGACATTATGAGGAAGCATACTACCGTGCCCTAGCCAGCCGTGAGTATATAGATGGACTGCATATCTCGATACGTTCTAACCCTTCTCCAGCCAGCGACCCAGCCTGTCCCACGGGGCTCATGCAATGGCAGCATGGATCCTATGTTCTGACCGCCGATGGCTCGCTGACCTTGACTCCCATCGCCGTCGATGGCCGCCAGCTCTTCTCGGAGCCGTGCCGACAGAGCATCGGCAGCTACACGCGATATAACAGTACCGAACATTTCAAAGTAAGTCCGAGCTCTGACCAAAAAGATTCTTCTAACCGCATCAGGGCTTCTCGGTGTCCGTCGACCGATACCACCACGTCCAACGGCTCGACCTGACCCGAGCGGATGGCCTCATCCTCCACCCGATGTACCTGGCCTACCGGCCGCCCAAGATGCTGCCTACCACCACCTTGAACCCAACCCCAACGGGCCGCCATAGCAAGCGAGACCGGTCCGAGGCGGGCCTGCATCGGATCGTCAAGGAGGAACTGATCAACCCGGACAGGTGGTGGTGGTTAGGCGTGTGGATGACTTCCGTGGGAGGCGTGGCTTTCTTTTGTTCGTGAATTGAGCCAGAGTGGCCCACGATAATGAGAATCTCATTTTTTTCTTCCTCCGTTCCTATCGTACACTATATATATCGTCTGCTTTATACTAGTCACTCACGCCGCGAGGGCCTCCTTGGCCAGCTTGGCCACCTCTCCCCGATCGGCGGGCTTGCCATCCAGGGCACCACCGGATGCAAACAGAGACTTGAGGAGGAGGCCCACCTGAAGCTTCTGGCCAGCTTCTTTGAGGGTTGTGATCTCCCGAGCAATCACTGCCTGGATTTCGTCCGTGCTCATTGTTTGGACTTGACTGGCATACTCCTCCAGGACAGCCACCTGCGCCTCTTCTTGTTCCTTCAGGTCGGGACGGTTCGCGGCGGCGAATTGCTGGGCGGCGTCCCGCGCGGCGGCGATGCGTTTTCGGACCAGCGACAAGAGCTGCAGGTCGGTCTGGATGGGCGATGTAGTTTTGGCAGAATTGTTGGTTTCAGAGATGAGAGCGCGCACCACATTGAGTCTTTTTGTGGTCAGTCAGTCAGTCTATTGCTAGCCCGTGTAATAGAACGGATGTCTGTACCTCGGGGTGTCCTTGGCGCGCATGGCAGTTTTCAGGTCTGTTCTCAGCTGGGTCATCAAGGGCGGCAGCGCTGGGCCCGTGGAGGACCAGCGAATACCGGACAGGCCTCGGGCGGGGAGTCGACGGAGAGCGAGCATTGTCTGTGTAGAATACTGGATGTCCAGCGTCAATGGCAATTGTTGTCAATTAATCGGTCATAATAGTTCGAATGAATCGGATGGAAGTGAAGATGGTGGTCTGTGCACGGGGTTTGTTGCTGTTTCCGCCTTCTGAACGGCCTGCTTCTTTCCTTTTCTTGACACCTTCTCTCTCCCTCTCAACCAACCCACCTTCGTCAAGAGAGCTGAGTCGGCATCCCTGAGCTAGATTCTGCCACCCTCTCTTTCTCTCATCTCGCCTGGGAGCTGCGCGTCCCTCCCTCCTCCCCAGCGTCGCGAGCGGCTCACCATGTCGTATCCCACACTCCCTCAAACGCCGCAGAAAGCTCTCCCGGGTGCCTACTTGCAGACTCCAGCTCCGGCCCCGTCACAGAATGCCGTGTTTGCGAAACCCGCAGTGCCTTCGCCGGCAATGCCGCTGCCAAAACTGCCCCCGGCGGCCTCCAGGTCCAAGAACCAGACCTTGAGCACCGAGGAGCGCGGTGCGCAGACGGTCAATGACACCCTATTTCAAGAATCGCGCTACCCCGACCTGGACAACTATCTGTCGCGTACGTCCCCAATTCCTTCTGGGTACAAAGGTGGCGGATACTGACATGCTGCAGAGGGCTTCTCGTCCGAATATGATATCCCTATGTCCCAGTCCTGGGCTCCCTTCCAAAAGGTCAAAATGTACAATATCCCTGACCAGATCTTCGACCAGTACAATCGCGCACAGGTGTCAACGAGCATGGGTCTCTTTGCCGAGCTGAATCACGCGTGGGTGGCCATTGACAACGCGCTCTACCTCTGGGACTTCACACATCCAAACCCGCAGCTGGTCGGGTTTGAGGACCAGCCCAACAGCATCAACTCCGTCAAGCTGGCCAAGCCGCGGGCCGGAGTGTTTTTGCCGGCCATCACCCATTTGCTCGTGGTGTCGACGACGGCGGAGGTGATTTTGCTGGGGATGGGCTGTGAGACGACGCCAAGCGGGACACGACAGGTCTCCTTATTCCAAACCGGAATGTCGGTTTCGATTCGGGGGCTGGATATTCATGTTTTTGCCTCATCGGATTCCACCGGCCGAATTTTCTTTGGTGGTTCTTCCGACAACGACGTATACGAGTTCACATATCAGCAAGAGGAGCGATGGTTCCAGGGCCGGTGTGCCAAGGTCAACCACACCAGCTCGCGTCTGGTGGCGTTCACTCCCTCGCTGAGCTTGACAAATTTGGCTCAGCGGGCCAACGAACACGTGGAGCAGATGGTGATTGATGACAGCCGGAAGCTCCTGTACACGTTGTCGTCGGCATCGACCATTCGGGTGTTCCATATGAAACCAGATGGAACGCTGTCGCTGGCCATCACCAAGCAAGCGCTGGATATCTACTCGAATATTGGGCACATTATCGCATCCAACGAGACGCTCAACCCGAAAGTCAAAATCGTGTCCATCAGCCCCATCCCTGCCGCCGAGGCATCGCGTTATCACCTGGTCGCAACCACGGCCACCGGATATCGCATCTATCTCAGTGCCACCGGATCCTACAGTTGGTCCCCGGCACCCAATGGTGCCAACGCGCCCACCAGCATGCAGGCGCAGCATGTGAAGACACCACCAATCGATAACAATGCGGACATAGCGCTTCCCGGTCAGGCTCGTTTCCAGCCAGCGGTCACATCCAAATTCCCGATCCATTCACTCTCCCCCACGCGGATGGCCGCGCGATACCCTCCCGGGTATTTCTTCTGTTTTACCTGCAAAGACGCCACCCAAAAAGCTGATACCCTTTTCATCTCGTCCCCGGACTCGGGCCGGATCGCCCGCTCCCAGGAGAATGTCCTCTCCGGCAAAGCTGCCGAGTCCGCCATCTGGCTGAACCTCGGAGGCCGGGCAGAGGATGTCGGATTGTGTTCTGCTCTTCCACCTACTACTTCCGGAGGATTTGGGAATGAGCTGGCCATCCAGTTTGATCACCCCGCCGCCGAAATTGCCATCCTCACCAACACCGGCATTCACGTTATTCGACGGCGGCGCCTCGTGGACATCTTTGCCGCATTGGTGCGTGGCGGTGGCACCACAGACGAAGGCCTCGAAGGCGAAGTCAAGAATTTCATCCGAACCTATGGCCGAAGTGAGACCCTGGCTACAGCCTTAGCGGTGGCCTGTGGTCAAGGGGTGGAGATCTCTTCGGACCAACGACTGACGCCCATTAATGATCCCGATGTACTGCAATTTGCCCGCAAGGTTTTCATTGACTATGGTGGCCGGCCTACGGTCAACGAGAACGCCGTGGCGGACAGCTCGACGTCCGCCATCGATGCTGTGGTGCCGTCTCCCCGGCATCACGGCATTGCTCTGTATATTTCTCGCCTGTTGCGCTCAATCTGGAAGAAGGAGATCGCCAAGGTTGGCAACGAACCTAACGGGACGCTGACCGTCTCTGCTTCTGTGAATGCGACAAAGCTGCAGATGGTCCAGCGCGATCTGTCATCACTGCAAGAATTCTTCAAGACCAACCGAAGTTTCATTGAGGGCCTCAGTGGACCGGAGGCGCTTGCGCGAGTGTCAACAAAGCAGGAGGAAACAGCATTGCAGGCGGAGCACCGCGCACTACACTCTCTCGTTCAGCTGGTTTCGCATACCATCGAAGGCATTTCCTTTGTGTTGGTTCTGTTCGATGAGCGGGTCGATGAGATCGTGGCGACGCTGCCGGAAGAATCAAAGCAACGCTTCTTGAAGCTGACCTTTGAGGAACTGTTCAGCACCAGCAAGGGTCATGACATTGCCAAGGAGTTGGTGAAAGGGATTGTGAACCGCAACATCGCCAAAGGCTCCAACGTCGAGACGGTGGCCGATGCCCTGCGCCGCCGATGTGGCAGCTTCTGCAGCGCTGAGGATGTAGTGATTTTCCGGGCCCAAGAACTGCTAAAACGGGCAACTGAGGCCGGTGCTAACTCCGAACTGGGTCGAAATCTGTTGAATGAAAGTCTGCAGCTGTTCCAACAGGTAGCAGACTCACTTCCCATGGACTACTTGGTATCAGCGATGGACAACTACATCAACAACCAATTCTTTGCAGGTAATTCTGTTTTTAATTTCCGACACTTTCACATACTGATATCTTGCAGGTGCCATCCAACTGTCCCTCAACGTTGCCCTCCGTTCCGATAAAGCCAATCTCGCGCTCTCATGGATCATGGACGGACGTCCCGATCAGGTGCCTATCCCTTTTCAATTCCAGACCGCCCACTCGCTCACTAGCCTCCAGGACCCCCGCAAGGACTACTTCTATTTCCGCAAGCAATGCTACGACCTGATCTTCAAGGTTGTCATCGCCGTCGACCAATTGGCATCCAAAGATCCCGGCTTCATCGATGGCCAAATGACCATCATTGCCAAACGCCAGAACGAGGCCTACGGCGTGATTGCTGACTCGACCGACGAAGTTTTTCTGACCAGCTTGTACGATTGGTATCTGGAGCAAGGACAGAGTGATCGCTTGCTCCAGACTCCGTCGCCGTTTGTTGTCACTTACCTCGAACGCAAATCGACCGATGATATCTCCCACGCGGATTTGCTTTGGCGCTACTATGCCCAGTCGCAGCGCTTTTTTGAGGCGGCAAAGGTGCAGTTCCAACTTGCGAGAAGCGCTTTCACTCTGCCGCTCAGTCGGCGCATTGAGTATCTGGGACGTGCCCGTGCCAATGCATCCACCTTCACACCAGATGTTGGGCGACAGTCGCGGCAGCGTCTGCTCCATGAGATTTCCAACTTGATAGACGTGGCCAACATCCAGGACGATCTTCTGCAACGGCTGAAGGACGATGACCGGATCGCTCCAGAGCGCAAGGCCGAGGTTCTCCGGGATGTTGATGGACCTGTCATGGATATCAGCACGGTTTGTTCATTTCCGCACCCCTCATCTTCTGTAACACCCACCTAACCCCAGTAACAGCTCTTCAACCAATACGCCGATTCGGCCAGCTACTATGACATCTGCCTGCAGATTTTCTTCCAGGCCGATTATCGGAACGCCGCCGACATCAAAGCAACCTGGCAGCACCTGATCCAAGATCTGCACTCCACCACCGTAGAGCGCGGGTCCCCACAACCCTTTGAGGCGGTGATCGACAAGGTGCGTAGCTTGGGTAGCCGGCTGCGCATGTCCGAGACGGTTTTCCCCGTGCGAGAACTTCTACCGATGCTGGAGCGGTATGCGCTCGAGCACCAGCGCCATGTTGGCCCCGCCACTTGGGTCGTCGATCTGTTCCTCGATCTGGGTGTAGCACACGAATCCCTCTATGCCGTGTTGGAGGCCATGTACTACACCGACGAAGCCCCCTTCCACGGCTCGAACCGCCGCTACATCGCACACGATCTTCTGTATCTGCTTGATAATTGGTTCCACGAGACTGTTCGGTTGGGGGGTATGGTGTTTGGCTCGGATGTTGTAGCCGAGCGCGTATCGGAGACTTTGTTGCTCCTGCAGCAGGGCGGTGGCATCACCCCGGAGCAACTGGAGATGGCGCATACACTGCGGTCGAGAATCGATGAACTCCTGCGGTGATGATCTGCACGTATATTGGGCTCCTGGGGTTTCAATTTTTTCCTTCCTTTTTGCGATGTTTCTTATTTCACGTTCTGGGTCATGTCATGTAACTCTACTGCGTCATCACGGCGTCCTGCTTCAGGGAAAAGGGATTGCGTTGCTGATATCCCTCTAATCTAGATATTGGGAAACGGATTTGTGGAATGGGTTTGTTCACCCGTAGTAGAGATTCTTGTAGAAACCCGGAAGGAGAAAATAATCTATAAAACTATGAACACGGAAATAGAAAGACCCCGAAACACCTTGCATGAGCGGATGCAGAGTCTACCAACCGGTCAGTCGAATCCCTCGTACACGGGAATCGGCTTCTCGGCTAGGGCACCGAGGCGGAAGATATGCCGCGATTGGGCGCCGTGATCGTCGTCCAGATAGTCTACGATGGCGGAATCTGGGGGTCGTCAGCAAATGATACACGAGAAGAAGAGGGTAGACATACGCAGCGTGGACCGATTATCAAACAAAACGATTGTCCGCGGCTGCCAGCGCACGCGAGCCTGGAAATCATGGCCCGTCATCATATGTTGCATCAGGAAATCCAGCATCCACTTCGACTCCGGCTCCTTCATCCCCTGGATCCGGGTGATGAACTCGCCATTCAGGAACAGACACTTCTCGCCCGTCACGGGATGCACGCGCACCAGCGGATGCTCCGTGTCAACGGGGTCCTTGCGCACCAGTCCCCCCGTCAGTCGTGTGTGACTGATCATCTTGGCCGAGGAGTGCATCGCCGACAGCGTGTCGAGGAACCCGCGCAGGGTCGGTGACAGCCGCTTGTAGGCCATGTCTGTCGCGGTAAAGACGGTATCCCCGCCGACTTGGGGACCGTCCAGGAGGCCAAGCATGACGTAGCCCGGTGGTTGGATTTCGTAGCTGACGTCTTGGTGCCACAGCGTCGTGGTCGTGCGCTGCTCGAGAAATCGCGCAATTTCCTCGCGATTGCCGTCCCGGTGGATAATGTGGAAGGCTGGATGGCCTTTCATACTCCCCGACACGGGCTGGTAGTTGGGTTTGCCGAAGTGGCGCATGAATTGTTCTTGGGCGTCGGGGCCGGCGTCGATGAGGTCTTGCTCGGGGAAGGCGAGCACCTTGCGTTCGGCTATGAGGAGAGCTAGTTCATCCTTGGCGGTGTCGGACAGCTGGCTGAGCTGCACTCCTTCCACCACACTACCCAGACTGGGCTGGATGTGGTTGACGGTGACGCCGGGCCGAAGCAGGTTGGGTTTGGTGCGGTCCAGTACGCGCAGCGCCGGGTCTTCATATTCGAAAGGTGGCAGTGGATCAAACCAGATGGGATCCCAGGAGGGCAGGTACTGCGGGTAATTGGTTTTGATCTTGGACTGCTCGTCCACGTCGACATAGGGGATGTTGATGTCGTAGCTGATGGGGACTTCGGCCTTGTGACCATTGGAGGCCTGCAGCTTGGGCCGCCGCACCGGGGCAGATGAAGGCATTGTCAGTGGAAGAAGATGATTCGGGGAAAAGAGTGGCCCGAAAAAAGCAATGGTAGAGACCGCCAGTCTTTATATATCTCTCACACCCACCACCTCCAGGGGGGCACATCTTACACAGACAGCACGGGCTTTTCGCTTAATCCCTCCCCCCCAAAGGTCCTTCTTCATCTCCGAGGCCCCCATGGCGTGTGGACAAGGTTGCAGCAGGGAAAAAAATAATGGAAGGAAGACAAGCGGTCAGCGTCCTCCAATCCTGGAATTCCGACGAGTTCCGACACTCTTTTCCCTTCTTCTTCGGGACAGCACTTTCTGCGGCATATTCTTCTATTCTTCTGCCGGGCCAATTCCCCGAGCTACAGCTTCGTGCAGCCGGGCGATAAGGCAGATGCAGGCGGGATGGCCATCCGGTTATCTGGTCTGATCCATGCATCTGGATGGGGATGGTGCGGCAGGGGGTTGGTTAGGGTTTGAGTGGCCGGGTGGCCCATTGGCTTGTGCAACATGCGGTCTGTGTCGGAGTCCGTGGACATTTGGGAAAGACCAGTCCGGGTTTCTTAACACGTCGCACACACGGCGATGCAGGGTGCGCTGATCGGCCCCAACATTTTCCCGCTGGGAATGATGAATTCATTCAGGAGTGCGTGGGACCATGACGTGTGTATCGCGAGCGATGGTAAGCTTAAAAATAGCTGAAGCTCCGAAAAAGCAATTATGCTGGATCGCCGAACGGCGGGGCGGTCAGGTGATGACAACAAACAATCCGTTCTTTCTCGTCCCGCGGCGAGGGTGTGAGTGTCTCGTTTCACGACATCGGGATCATTCCGGGACGATGACCATCCTCCACCGCAAGGCCGACCTGGCCTACCTGATCTTCTTCGTCATCCATGTCCCCATCATCTTCTGTCTGTCTCCCGCTGCTTGACATCCATCCCGTCGTTAAGCTAACCCAACCCAGTGGTCGACACCGTGCCGCTGCAGCCCGCGTTCATGCGGACGGGCATCTCGCTGCAGCTGCGCGAGTTCTACATCTCCAGCTACCGGGACAAGCTCTTCGAGGAACCGACGCCCTCATGGTTCACCGTCTTCATCTGGATGGAGCTGCTCTATCATGTTCCCCTGAGTCTGTGGTCCATCCGCGGACTCCTGCACAGTATGTGGCCCCCCCTTTCCGATGATGCCACCGGGGCCCTGCAACTAACCCTGTTAGACCATCCTATGGTGCCCGTGCATCTGCTGGTCTTTGGTGTCCAGGCCTTCGTCACCTCCCTGACCTGTTTGGCCGACGTGTGGACCTGGCCGGACCGGTCCGTGGCGGAAAAGCAGCAGATCACCACGCTATACGGCCCCTACGTGGCGCTGGGTAGGTCCCTCGTCTTCCACTCATCCATCTCCAATCATCTAACCTCCAGCAGGTGCGATCATGGCCCTGGATATGGGCATCCGGTTACGGAGGCAGCTCATGCCCAAGGTCAAAGACGAATAAAATAGCCATGGTTGATAGTACACAGTCATATCAGGGTGCATTGATCATCGCTGAGAAAGGAAAAAAAAATCACATCCCACCAACGCCGGAAAGTAGATGCAGAGCCCGCCTAGAGCAAAAATCCAATGGCACCATCCAAGTTCCCATTGGCCGCGTCCAATGCCCGCATAGCCTCCTCGCGCGTGAAGCCCAGCTCCGTAATCTTGGCGATCGAGTCCGCGGGCCAGCGGGATGCCGGCGCGGGCCGGATGTTAATCTTGGGGGCCGAGGCTGAGGCGGAGGATTCATTCTCGCCCGCTTGGTGAGTGACGGCCCCCGTGCGCGCGCCCACCTCGGCCCCGTCTGCCCCCTTCACCGTGGGCTCATCCTCAAACTCCTCGGTCAGACTTTTGGGAAGGTCAGCCTCCCCTAGAAACGGCACCGCCTGATCCTGGATGACCAGCGCTCCGCGCTTCAGGTCGATGCACGCCTGGTGCCGCCGGAGCATATCGAGACCGAGTAGCAAGTCGATCTGTTTTCCCTCCATGACCGTGAACGAACAAGGCAGAAACATCTCGCCGATCTTGATCTGGGCGGAATGCACCCGTCCCAGAATCGGGGCCGTGCCGACACCTTTGGCAATACCTCCGTACCGCCGGTCCACCAGACGCATGATGTTGCAGGCGACGGCGCACTCGGGCGACATGATGGTCACCTGGGCACCGGAATCGACAAAAGCATTGAGGCGGTGGCCGTTGACTTCGACCGGAATGTAGAGCATCGTCACGCGGCCAAAGGCTGTAGGCAGAACTGGTTAGCACGGAGATGAGTGTAAACAAAATAAAACGTACACTCCGGGTGGTGTTCCATGGCGTTGTGCAGGTTCTCTGTCACCGCTTCTTGACGGATGAGCTCCTCGATCTCGCGTTGATTCTCCGGGTTGAACGGATCGGCATTCAGCATGGCAATACGAGCCTCCTTCTCGGCATCGAGCTGGGCTTCCCGCTGCTGCTGCCGGACCAGCACCTCGCGGAACCGCTGAGCGTTATCGGCCGCCTCCGCTAACTCCGGGTTCTGTCTGCGGACGGCCTCCCGCACGCGTGGATCTCCCAGGATGTGTAGACGGATGGTCTCCGGGTCTGGCATGCCGGAACGGGGAGGGAGGTTCTGACGCGGGGCGGCACTAGGCCCCCCGCGCTGGTGCTCGGTGCGGCGGCGGGCGTGGGACCGCGGAGGGTGACATGGACGCCGAGCATGTCACCCTCAGCGATGCCCACCTGATCGAGGGTCTGGTCGGGGTTGCCGAGGAGCTGGTTGTTGAAGACGATCTGCTGGGCGGCGGGCGGGATGGCGGTTTCGCTTTCGACGATGGCCTTGAGCAGCGCGACAGTCATGTCCCCGCCGACCTCGAGGTTGATGATGTCGGAGTCGGCCTGCTCCGGGCGGATGACACTGACGGTGATACGCCTGGAGGAGATTAACCAAACCGTCGTGCTGACGGAGCGCGGGAACATACATGATCGGCGCAGGAGGGGAGGCAGAGGGAGTGATGAGAGGAAGGGAGAAGGAATCCGATGGTCAGGGCGAGAAAAGCGGAAGGAACACAAACAAGCCCCAGCCCTTAAATGACTTCCTCCTTACATACTCCTTATGGAATAATACTATTTTTAATCCTCATTAATAACTCACTAACTACTAACTAACTAACACTCATCTACTACTGCACTGCGACGAATCTACCCTTGGTCGTCATCGGTCTAGAGCCCGAGGCAGCAGCAGCAACGCGCGGGACACCGCTTAGGGTTAGCACCATGGACAGAAGTACAACATCATCACGACAATTATTATTCTTCCACTTCATTGACCAACTCAAGTGCAGACTTTCACTCAATGCGCATCGCGCTCGACACATCCGGCACTCCCTCCCCCTCGACCACTTTGGCATCCACAATCTCGTCCATGGGGATCTCACCCAGCCGACTAATGACATGATGCAGCGTCGGCAACGCATCCCAGTCCAGCCCGTCGATCTCGACCTTGGCATTCTTCGTCCGCCGTAGTCGCGTGACACGCGAGGGCACGACTTTGGACTCCTCAGCGTGCGGCACAAACACCGGGTACTCGGCCTCGGGCTTCCCCTTGGACTCCCGTCCAACCTGGGGCATGTACCGGTAGACAAGAATGCCATCGTCCGCCTCCCCGCCGATAGTGCCCTGGTCGCTGCTCGGGTCTTCGTCTTGCAGGTCCTCCAGCTCGAAATGCCCCCATACCGCCCCCTGCCAGCTGGTTTGCACGCGGTAGGAACTCCTGCGCTGGTGCACGTCAATCGCCGTGTATAGCTTCGGCATCCCGAGCTCCTCGCGGCCCGACACAATGGGGTCTGCCAGGCTCTCGAACAGAATCGGCATGTACGTGCCCTTGAGCACTTCCCCATTGGTCTTGGTGTACTGGACGCCGTGGATGTACAGCCCCAGGTGCCGATACCCGCCACCACCCAGCCAGTCCATCCCACTGAGCGTGGTCTGCGAGAAACTGGCCCGCGCAACGGTGCTCGGCGAAATGAAGCTGTACGCGTCCGACGGGAACAGATTCTGTAGCAGCGTGCGGCTGGTCTTGAACTTGACCGACGCCGTAGTGAAGGTGGACTGGAGGGACGGCACCGCGCGGTTTCGTCCCCAAACGTCCTGGCGTGGGCCGGGCATGGGTCCAAACACGATAGGCTGGCGCCAGTAGACGTTGGGGTTTTTGGCCCACAGATACTTGCGCAAAACCTGGGCCGAGTGGTCAAACTCATCATGACCATAGATGTAGTTGATCATCTGAAAGGCTGTGAACGATGTTGTCAGCGGCCAGTCCCCAAGAATGCATGGGAAGCTTACCTCGGTCGGGGCCCAGGAGCTTGCTGGACTCGCGGGTCATCTCTTGGATGGTCGTGGCCCGCTGGTGCCGGGCCTTTTCATAAACCTGCAATCGCTCGGGCACCTCGTGGCGCTCGATCCCCGCTGGCAGCATCACGGCTAGCGACACAGCGTCTTCGACTGCCATTGCACCCCCCGAGGCGCGATAGGGCAGGAAGGGATGTGCCGCGTCCCCCAGAACGGCCAGTCGGTCTTCCACCCAAGTCGGTAGAGTGTTCATGTCGAGCAGCGGCCACAGCTTGAGAGTTTGTGCGTCGGCCTTTTCCAGCAGTTTGCGGACCTGCGGATTAAAATCCTTGAACACATCCAGCAATGCATCCTTGCCAATCTGTTGATTGTACGAGTCACCGCTGGCATCAATTTGAGTCATAGTGTCCGGATGGATGCAGACAAAATTCAGCAACTGGTTATGCGAGCACGGGTAGATGACCACCCGTCGGTCATCCGCATCCCACATATCCACCGCCCCAAAGTCCTCAGCAATGCTCTTGGTTTCGGAATCATCCAGGGCTGCCTGGCGGCTCATGAGGAAGCGGAACGCATTCTTGCCCGAGCTGAAGGGCGTGATCGGGCTTGGTTGCGAGAGCTTGGATCGAGTCAGAGAGTGGACCCCATCGGCGCCGAGCACCACGTCACCCTCAATGACCTCGCCATTGTCTAGAGTGATGGTTGCTCCGTGAGGATCGACATCCACGACTTTGCTGGAGGTGTGCAGGCGAGCCGGCTGGCCACGTCCCTCCGCCAGGGCTGCGGCTTTCAGCCCTTCGTGGAAATGAGCCCGGTGAACGAGGAGCCAGCGCTATAAAGACGGTTACTCTTCTTTCTTGCGGTGATGGACCGGTCATCCTTACATGCCTCCACATTGCCGCATGTTCTTTGACCATGGTGATATGGACTGTCTCGCCGGCCGGCGTGTATTCGCGCAGCTGTATCTATCAGTACAAGACCTGGGAAACCATGGCAAGTGAAGCAACTGACCATATCTGCCTCCACAGCCCCAAACTCCTTTGCGTCAATGCCCAGTCGTTGTAGAACCCCATTGCAATTCGGTGACAAGTGGATGGCAGCTCCGATTTCGTTAGCGAAGCGCGAGCGTTCAAATAGCTGCTCCGGATCAGCTACAACCTCCTTTCTCTAAGACGGGTAATTTACCTCCACACGGTGACCCTGCTGTCGTAGTGCAATTGCAGCAACCAGTCCGCCAATTCCAGCACCAACGATCAAGACGCGGAGGCCATTTTGGCCGTTACTGTTCAGCTCTTTGAGCGTCATCGTTGACGTATTTCCAAATAAATGGGTTGATTAAACCTCGATACAAGGCCTTCGTGCCGACTATTATTTATCTGAGCATACCAATCTAACCCCTCCATTCGGTTCCTCCCGCTCGCCGGGCGTTTAGTTGATGTCCGAGTGTCGCGAAGCCTCGGGACGCCATTTCGGCTCCACGTCTGCGGAGACACCACCAGAACCAGAGTGGAGAAGAGACACTGATGCAATGTGTATATGAATTCTGGCAGTTGCAATCATTCCAGGCCGCGGGTTATACCAATTTCCTTGCATTATTCTTTGTCGTCGCCGCAATGCCGAACCAGATCCAGGACATCACCACCCGGGACGAGATCTCGTTCACGTACATTTTCGAGCAGAATGTGTCTATCTCGCTGAAGGACAAATCGGGCCTGGTCCGGTGCAATGTCTATAGACCAAAGACATCAGAGAAATGCCCCGTGCTTGTCACTTACGGTCCATATGGGAAAGATATCAGCTACGAAGCGTTCGTTCAGTTGCTTCTAAACCAACCCCAACCCAAAACCAGAACAAAAAACTGACCGAGCTTTAGTTTTCATCCTAAAAGCTTCAGCGAAGTAAATCCCGAGCAAAAGTCAGAGCATTCGGCCTGGGAGACCCCCGATCCCAAGTTCTGGACGGGCCATGGCTATGCCGTCGTCCGGGCCGACGAGCGCGGCACAGGCCAGTCGGTGGGTAAGCTCGACACTATGTCCCGGGGCACCAGCGAGGCGTTCTTTGATGTGGTAGAGTGGGCAGCCGAACAGCCCTGGTCGTCGGGCAAGGTTGGCTTGCTGGGGATTAGTTACTATGCGGGCAGCCAGTGGCGCGTAGCTGCCCGCCAGCCCAAGGGTCTTTCCTGTATTATTCCTTGGGAGGGTATGTCGGACTACTACAGGGATCGTTGTCGACATGGCGGAATTCTGTCTTATGGATTCATCAAGTTCTGGTGGGACCGCCAGGTTCTCAGCAACCAATATGGACTACCAGGCAAGGCCGCAAGGCATTGGGGCCCTGATACCATTGAAGGCGATTTGCTTGAGGAAGAACTGGTTCAAAATCGCCAGGATCAAACAGTTGACAATGTCGAAAACCGATTCCGAGATGACCTTTACTACGCCTCCAAGGAATACAGCATGTCGGACATCCAGGTGCCCCTTTCTATCGGTGGCTAACTGGGGTGGCATCTTGCTCCATCTCCGTGGTAACGTCGAGGGATACACCCATGCGGGTTCAGACCTGAAGTATCTGCGGTTTATCACTGGACGGCACGATCTGCCTTTTTACTATGCTGAGGAGGTCGAGCTGCAACGGAGTTTCTTGGATGCTTTCCTCAAAGGGGATGATCGTATCGGGTGGTCTACAGGTACTGCACCGAAGGTCGATATCGTCCTCCGCAAAGGTGATGTGGGATTTAATAATGCCGAAGAGGAAAGAAAATTCCCTCGCAGAGTCGAAAATGAATGGCCCATCGCTCGCACCCAGTACACACGGTTCTATCTGACTTCTCAGCGTGAACTCCTCGCCACATCCGAACCTCCGCGGGAGCCTCGTCCCAGCAAGGCCTCATACCAAGCCCTGGGCACGCTCGACAACCCTCAGCTCATCCAGTTCACCACACCCCCATTTGAAACGGAAACCGAGATTACAGGCCACGTCGTGGCCCACCTGAACGTGTCAATGAGTGCCAACCCCGGTCAGTCCACTCCTCAGGACATGGATCTGTTCGTTACACTCCGGCATATCTCTCCTGTCGGAAAGGAGGTCGTCTACACTGGCACAGCGGGCGATCCAGTTCCTCTGTGCAAGGGATGGCTACGTGTGAGCATGCGTCAAGTCAACCACGAACATCCGCGAAACCGGCCCTGGCTGCCTCACCGGAACTACTACTCGACTGATGTGCAGCCAGTGATCCCCGGTGAAGTGTATACAGTGGATGTAGAAGTGTGGCCAACAAACGTGGTTGTCGAGAAGGGTGGCAAGATCGTGCTGGAGGTCGCGAGTGGCGATACTCAAGGCTGTGGAGTCTTCCAACACCATTCACCCATTGACCGGTAAGTGCAAATCCCTCTATATCTTACTTGAATGTTTCTGAACAACTACTAGGCCTCCCGAGCGTTTCCAAGGTCAAAACCATATCCATTTCGGGCTCGGCGGCAATTATTTGACTCTACCTGTTATTCCAGCCAGCAGTCAATGAGATGGAAAGGACATAGATCATAGACTACTGAATGCTAGTATTTTTGCAAAGTCCCGCAAGATAATATGTACAATTGTCAGCCTTCTACTCTGATTGTAAGTCCTCCGAAACCGAGGACCATTCCCCCACTTCCGATGTGGTCGAAAGTGGTCCCGATGAGGGGATCTGGAGGTCTCATCGCATAATGGTGGGAAATATAGATCGCCAATCTCCGTGTCGGACTTTTTGCACTTGCTCAACGTCATCCTAAAACAGTCACATTCATTTTCTTGAAGAAGCACTTCCACCATGGCTTCTATCAGACCTTCCAAAACAATCCGCCCGCTCAATCGCTTCATCACCAGCCACAATAGTGACGGCAAAGCGATATTTTCTAATACCCTGCCCGATACCATGCCCGTGCAGCCCATTGGGGATGGCGCCGATTTCAGTCTGGCCTATACATCTGATCACTTTCCTGCACAGTTGAACAAAGATGCCGACATTGCAGAGTACAAGAACTACCTGGCCAATCCGCCGGGAATCACAGTTTCTGGTGGCTCTGTCTGTCGGATTGTGGATATGCAGCCCTATTCGTTGAGCCCTATGCATCGGACTGTCTCTTTGGATTATGGTGTTGTCCTGGAGGGGGAGGTCGAACTTGTGCTGGATTCGGGTGAGACGAGACTGATGAAGCGTGGGGACGTCGCTGTGCAGCGTGGGACAAACCATGCCTGGAGGAATGTTACTCCCGATGTGATAGATCCGGTCACAAGCGAAAAGAAAGGACAGTGGGCGCGGATGCTGTATGTGCTGATGCCGTCTGAAGAGATTGAGGTTGACGGGGAAAGGCTGAGTGAGGTGGTAGACGGCATTGGTGTTAGGAATAGTACTTAGGCCTACTTTGTACATACAAATAGACGAGCATGATGTCGTGAAACAATTTTGAGTGATCATTGTGGAAGTATATATGGAGCTGCAATTAGATCTACCACTCCCCGCCTACTTCATAGTGAAATAGTTTATCACTGATCCTCCCGCCGGTAAATCGCCAAAACCGTGCCGCCGACTAGACACTTCCGTCAATAGAAGGTCGAAGCAACAAGTCCGATAGGAAAACGTACCGCATTGAGCCATACTCCATGCAGCATCACCTGAATGAACACATACTCGGCTCCATTCGATCCAGCGGGACGCTCAATAAGATCCAAATTGCGGTTGGCTGGACGATAAGCTGGCATGCGACGGTGATGCGAGGGCCAGTCGGCCGGCTGGGTTGAAGAAGGCGCGAGATTCACGGTGGCATGATGTTGTTCGACACTGCTGTGATGGACCTCGTAGTCAGCGAGGATGGATAGTGACTGCGTAGTTGTTGCAGTGGCAGACATGTTCGCATGAGAGAATGCTCCATTGCAGACCTCGCTCGGTCATATTCAATTAGGGATAGGCCCGCGTCCGCCCATCTCCCCCACATCCCGAGATCCTGAATGTCGGACATGGGCTATGCGCGACGGAGGATGTGGAAGCTCCGAGATCATAATTTCGGGGAGCTTGGTAAAGTGAGCACGCTTGCTTCAAGTATCGCGAGGCAATCCACACTTCCCATCACCGTCGCTCACACTTGACATGGATTTCTCTCGTATTCTTGCGGCTAATATCGACGGCCGCACCCAAAACACCCGATATCGCCAGACGCAATTCTACCGATTGCAAACAAATCTTGCTCAACATGTTTCTGAAATTCAAGACGCCATCCGCGCCGACTCCGGGCATACGCGCGAGGAGATTCGCGCGGAGGTACTCTTTGCTCTGCGGGAGATTCGCACGCACTATTTGTCATTAAGTCTGGAGAAAGATCTTGAGAAAGAATACCGCATTGCCAATGGCAAGGACAGCCAAGATGCCTCGCGTGGCACAGGCATTGTCTATATCGAGCCTTGCACACATACCTTGTTCTTCTCAGTCATATCTGCGCTGAGTGCAGCTCTTGCAGCAGGGAACTGTGTGATTGTCGAGGTGAGTAGGCGAATCCTTGTGATTCCAACAATAGCTCTGTATTACAGAGAGAATAGTTTATATAATAACACTTTGCAGCTTCCTCAAAATACTATGGCTCTGCCGGCTCTCCTGCGCAGACTTCTTCTGGATGTATTGGACCACGACACATTTGCCATAACAGCACAACGACCCGATGCCGCAGTTCTGAGCAAAGTTCTTATGGTCATGCAAAATGACTCTGCCGATGCTACCAACGGACTTATCTCGCCCGCAGGGGCCAGGACGGTTGCTGTCGTTGACCGCACGGGCAATATTTCCGAAGCTGCGGAGGCTCTGGTAGCTGCCCGTTTTGCTCTGGATGGACGCTCGCCCTACTCTCCGGATGTGGTCTTTGTGCACGAGTTTGCCATGAAACCTTTTATGGGGGCCGCAATTCAACATGCCTCGAAATATCTAGCTGGAGAGAATGGAGATTTGAGACAAACTCCCTCCTCTCCGAGACGATCAACTTCTAGTACTTTGTTGAACTCAATTCGCAAAGACAGGGGTTCTCAAGTGTTAGTTTCAGGAGATAACTGGGGGTTGGTCGAAGTTCGGGACCGGTAAGCAGCTTCGGAGCGTTGGAGACTTATTCTGATTTGATGGACAGGAAATCGCCTTTGCTCCAGCGCAAGATTGATGAGAAAGTCTTGCTGGTTCACGCGGTCACCAGCTTAGATGATGCCATCGATACCAATTTGTATGTCTTTTTCCCAATCATTCCTCATATCAGGCTAATCAGACCAGCAATGAAACGCTAGCAGCGACTTATGCCTTTGCCTCTCCAGCTTCAGCGAAGTATTTGACCCAGTTTATCGACGCCCATATCTCGTGGGTGAACCATGTACCAAGCCACATGCTCAGTATGGTCCCTATTTGATAAATTCCTTGCAAATGCTGACCATGAATGTAGTCGGTCCTGCCCTTCCAGCAGACACGCCTGCTGATGCCCAAACCCGATATTCCAAATCACAGTTCGAGCTTTCGCGACCTCAATTGATTATCCCATCCGCAAACTCGAATGCTGTTCAGACCATTTTGCGTGACATCAATTCGACGAAAGCAAACGCCCTGTGGCAGGAAGCTCTTGCCCCGCTCCCATCAACAAAGCAGCGACAAGGATTCAAGATTGGATTCTTTGAACAAGGAATTATTACAGGCGGGCTGATTACTTTAGCATCGCTCGTGGCGACTGTAACGACTCTGGGGTACTATACATTACTTTACGTGCGGACTCGAGGGTAGGACGAAGCCTTTGTTCGGATAGGTAGTCAATTATACTTTCTCTTACTTTGCTTTGAAGTAAATAGTAACCATGAAAGGAGCAAGGATCTCGAGTGATCATCTAGAAAGAAAATCAACTAACTCTCATCTCTTGTAGATGAAAGACATACCGGCCACTGGTCAAAAGCTAAAATGTCGCCGGCAGTGAATAACTATGTTTGCTCTTCTTCCGATCGAGAAATGTGTTCAGGGCTTTGATCCAAACAATAACGAATAATATAAATATGGGTTCCAGATCTAAAGCAAATCACCCAAAATGTTTGCCAGCCCATCACAAAGCAATTTCCTTCGGCCACCGGCCTAGTGTAAACTGTGAGTTGCACATATTGGTCAGCTCCCAGTCCTCTGCGCCCATCATTGCCGGGGTATTCTGGTCCTCCGGGTCTCCTGCGGCGCCTGCAACAAACAAAGCTGCCATGAAATGGTCATCTGTGGCATGTGCATCTCGAAAGCGCGGGTGTTTCATCAATCGTGTCATCGCACGGCGCAGCTGCGGCCCCGAGGTCTTGGTGATGACATCCTCGACGGCCTGTCGAAACTCCATGGCCCAGTCTTCTGGGGGCGATTCCAGCGCGAAGTTGTCTCGGTATCGAAGCATCGGTGCCCAGCGATTCCGATACAGATTGTGAACTGCGCCTCCAGTGCCAATAATCAGGTAGTTCTCCTGGCGCAGGGGTCTTAGCGTGGCGCCGATTTTCATATGGAAATGAGGGTCATAGCGAGCATTGGCCGATACCAATGTGGTTGGTGGGCAGCCATCGGGGAACATGCGGATGAGTATGAGATAAACGTCATGAATCCATTCGAAGGTTGGATTACCGCCGACGTTGAAGCCTTCGCACGCAAGCATTTCAATACAGCGCTCGGTGGTCTCTAGGTCAGGATTGAGCTTGTAGTTGACATATTTTTCGGGATTCACATATGCAACAGGGCTTTTCCCTGGGCTAGGATTTGTTGATAGCTCGATTCGGTCCCCCATACAGTCCCAATGGGCACCCTGTCTGTAGTCAGTCTCCGTGAACGCTAGATAATCACACAGCAGACTTTACCATGATCACAACGCCCTTGATGTTGCGTGCCAGTGCTTCATCTCCGCATTTCTTCCAATAATTGGCACTGTCAGATTCTTCGCCCAGCATCATGGTTGAGCCATGCGAAAGGAAGTGAACTGGAGTGAGTCCTACATACTTGGATGAGCGGAAGATCTCCACAAACAGGAATACAACTGACCCATTGTGATATTGCAAATAAATAGTTTCCCACTGCCAGCCTAGAGGTCCCTCCTATCACCGATATATTGAATGCGATACTATTGCGACCTTGATGTGGATATCGGATGTGGCCCCCCACATCCCGACCGCTCGTCTCCCCTATCCCATTTTGTCCCTAGACAAGCCGTAACGAGTCATACAGTTGCTGAGCACAGCCATTGCTATTGGAGTGAATCTGATCACCTGTCCTAACTTACCCCTCATGTGCATTGCGACATCCTTGTCGATTGTGATTCCGGAGGCGGTGGTTCTCCGGCCATCCGGCAGTCTAGGCCAACGAAAGGCCTATGGGGCAAACTAGCATCTCACTAATTGAGCTGCTACGTAAGCCCAAATGCTGAAATCCGGGGAATCCCTTGACCCAAAACGGCCTGGGGCAGGCCAGTGGACCTCTGCAGGCTTCCCGCAACAGCCAGCATTCTCGGATCAATCTCGCTGAACCTCACCAGGAAAAGAAAAAGGTGGAACTGAGAGTGGCTGTCCCTCTGATCGTCCGCCAGTCTCAATCGCAGATCTCGCGGGATGGCCGTCTGAGTCTCTACCGACATCCAACAAACTCTCCCATTTGCCCCTCCGGACTACTCTACTTTCCCCTTTTCCCCTCCCCATCCTCTCCCAAGGCAAATGCCTTCCCACAATGTTAAAAGACCTTTCTGTCAAAGACGACCATCCGGACGCCTCACAGTCGTCCGCAAAGTTTCAAGAGGGAGGCTACTTTCAATGCGGTTTCTGTAAACGTCACTATAATCGCGCAGACCATTTGATCCGCCACGTACGATCTCATACGCGCGAAAAGCCCTATGTCTGCGATGTGTGCGACAAAGGCTTCGCCAGACCGTAGGTTTTCTTACATTCGCTTGATTCGGCCTGCTTCTAAAACGTTCCCTGAAGAGACCTATTAAAACGCCACGCCGCTGGACATGTGCATGACCGCGACCGCAAGCGCAAGCGAAGCTCTTCAGTTGCCAAACAAAGTCGGGTATCGCAGGCCTGTAAGGCGTGTGCCTCGTCGAAGCTGAAATGCGATGAGGACAAGCCCTGCCGCCGATGTCACGAGCGAAATTTACAGTGTGATTGGCAGGATGTCTTGCAGGATTCGTCTCCGGAGCCGCTTCAGCAAAGCCTGCCCGCAGACGGCCAACCGCAAAATCTAGCAACGCCTGTAGCAACGGCCTTTTCGCCCATTTCAACCCCAGTGGATGAATTCCCGCCCACGAATATACTGGTGACACCACGCGGAGCCCCGGAGATGGCTATTTCTTCAAACCAAATGCATACCGGTGATGAGCAGATTTCATTGGAATACGAAGGTAGGGCCGCCATGATTCAGCAACCCAAGCGCGCGCTGACAGAAGGTAGTGTCTCCCAACGACCAAGAAAGTGGAATTTTCAGCATCGATGGCACATTCTTTCCTAATTTCATCCCCGACTCTTTAATTCCCTCATTAGCTCGATATAGTGATCCGGATCCGTCCAGCATGGTTCCAGAGTATACTCAGTACGGTGCACTAGACAATGTGCAATTTGACTTTGACCTAAATGATGGTGACTTCGGTCTGATTGACTTTTATAATTCGCGAAATCTGCTTCCTGGGTTACATGAGAATCTCACAGAACAGAACATCGCCCACTTCGATGCCGACAGCGGTATCGCAATGGGTGCCGAAGCTTACCACCGCTCCTCTCTGTCAGCTTGGAAGCCTAGCCACGGGGACTATGCATGCAACGACCATGAGAATCTGTCCGTTCCCCAGACAATCGATAGTCCAGAGGCCAGTGTGACGTCCGACCGCCAGATTCTCTGTGAGCGGCTATCGCCCAGCAGCCGTGACCTGATCTTCGGTATGGTTCTAGAGACCAGTCACAAGGCCCACTTGAGTCGCATTATGCGATCTTTCCCCAGTACTGACTTACTGGACGGATTGATCCAACAATATTTTGAGATTCAAAAGCATGGAGTGGACTCTTGGATCCATGGACCAACTTTCCAGCCGAATGAGCAAGATCCCGCCATCCTTGGTGCGCTGGCGGCCGCAGCGGCTGTTCGCTCTACGGTTCCAACAATCAGAAAACTTGGATATGCCCTGGTCGAGATTGTGCGGCTGTATATGCCTGGGAGGGTAATTATTAATATCCCAAAATAACAGAGAAGAAAGCTCACACATAACAGTATGAAAGTGACAATAGTATCACTCGCGATCTCCGAATCTCTCAGGCTTATTCCTTAACCATCAACGTTGGAATCTGGAGTGGCAATCGACGCAAGACGGAAATAGCAGAGAGTTTTACGCAGCCATTAGTAACAATGCTTCGTCGTGCTCTGAGATTTCGTCGCTCGGTATATACTACGATTGTGCCTCTTGTTGAAGAGACCGGCGAGGCCTTGGAACATACTTGGCGTGAATGGGTTGAGCAAGAATCCTTCAAGAGGTAAGACTGACTAGACTATCTTTCCGAAAGCTGCTAATTTCGCAGACTTGTATACCATGTATTTTTACATGATGCACAGACAGCCATGGCCCTCAACGTCAACCCCCTCATTTCATATGCCGACCTGGAACTCCCACTGCCGGCAAAGCGCCAATTATGGGAAGCTAAGTCAGCTACCGAATGGAAAGGGCTTTGTCTTGAGTCGATGACTACGGAGCGTGTTCCATCACTCGCCGATTTACTTCGTGACATGTCTCAATTATCTGTCTTCCAAGACCGCATTGATACCCAATTGACGGCTTTGGTTCTTCTTCATGGCATGTCCGCCATGATAAATGAGTATCATCGACTGAGATTTATTTCAACTGGAGACTCGAAGCATTGGCATGCCCTGGTGACCAATTCTCGTCAGCAAGAATTGGACCGAGCGCTTCAACACTTCCGTATCGTGTGTTCCGAATTGTGTGTTCAATCCCGCCCGGAGATTGTGCTCGTTTGTGAGGTTGTTTCAATGCTCCTCCATATGTCTCTTGAGGAGCTACAGCTTTTTGCTGGGAAAGAAGACAAACAAGAAGCACGCCGTGTATACCATTCCGCCTTGGAGTGGATTACAAGCCCAGATTCTCGGCGAGCTGTCTGGCATGCAGGTCAGACTATTCGTGCGGCTCGCGAAATGGCACCTGGCTCCCTGACTGGATTTTTAGCTATTGGCGTATATTATGCCAGTCTGGCCTTTTGGTCATATAGCGTTGTATCTAAGGCCAAGAATGTTCAGCTTCTTGGAAGCCCGGCAGCTCACCTCGCCAGTCGTGGACCAGCTGTGTTCTTAGATGGTGAGGAGGCTGCGAACGTATCTAAATTTGTCACGTTGGGTTGTGGTCTTCCGGCCCTACAAAGCCCAAGTGGACCGGCCTTCCTGGAAGAACCTGCAGCGGTGATGCAGGTGGTCCAAGGCGTGCTTCGGGGACAGATGCCCAACGATACAATCCCACCTCTGGTGCAGAGTCTCGCTCAATTGATGGGCGATTTGGGACACTGTGCTCGCGGGGGAGGACGATGATGTTGTGGCTTATACCTCAAAATCCATTATGTACTAGTATGAGTATGTCAATATGATACCCAATATATGATTGATGAGCATGCCGCCTTACATGATTTTTCCTTGCTGCCGGATTCAAATGGTTTTATCAAATATGAAACTCGACATCATGGCCTTGGGCCACTATTGAATCATGAACTTACAATTCCTCCAAGTGGTTCTATCCGGGTCAAGATCTCCATGATGACTGCTTCGGGCTGTCTAACCACCTCTTGTTGCATTGGGCGCCAACACACACCGGGTCTGCACAGTTAATCCAGAAGTACTCTTAACATCTCGGCACAGATACTCCTCTGTATGACGGCTTGTGCTGTTGGTCTCAGCTACACGTTTATCTGTTCGATCTTTTAATACTTTTGCAGGGCTTGGCAGCAGAGCACTGCAGACTTGCCACTTCGTCAGTAGACGTTGCCACTATGATATTTCAGAGCCAAAGATCGCGCATCTGGAGCTCGGATGAAGTACATTTCCTGATACACCCGAAAAGGTGGAACACCATGAAATCAAGATTGGGGGAGGTCTGTTAAACCATTGACTTTCAGGTCTGAAGAGGTCACATACTCACACCCAAAGCATCTGCGCAAGTCAGAATGCCGAGAACGAAAACGCAAAGAGGAAAGACATACGACCTAAACCGCTTCCGCCTCCGTTCGGTGGATGGCTAACCTGCTCAAGCTGCTCTTAACCAGAAGAAACTTTTGGCTAGAACTCCGGTCTGGGTTGGTGACCAGACCCCCACATTCCGGTTGTAAAATCGTATCCCCACGTTCCCATTACATATTGAGGGAGCGGGGTTTGCACCGGGATCGGAGCCGAGGCCGAATTTATTCCTAAGCTTTCCACGGCGAATTATTTAGGAGAGAAAAGCTCTGCATTTGAGTAACACCGTATCATAATACGCTGTTGACTGGTCTCTAGTGTCCCTGCTTTCAACTTTACAATTCGGCAATATGGTTCTGAGATTGAAAGAACCAAACCGCTGGAGCGGACCTGGATCGGCTCCAGTGACGGATGTGCCTGCCATAGTTCGTTCCGTCATCGACGATATTCGTACCAGAGGCGATGACGCCGTGAGAGCTTACTCGGAGAAATTCGACAAATGGAGTCCCAGCAGCTTCAAGCTTTCACAAGATGAGATACAACAAATCATTTCCACTGTGCCTCAGCAGATCATCGATGATATCAAGAAGGCCCAAGAGAATGTGCGCGTCTTTGCTCTGGCTCAGAAAGCATCGCTCAAGGACTTTGAGCTGGAGATCCGCCCCGGAGTACATCTAGGACAGAAGAATATCCCCATCAGCTCTGTTGGCGCGTGAGTTTCGGCTCCCAGTGGCTTAATTCACATGATTACTGATGAATGATAGCTATATTCCCGGCGGTCGATATCCTCTTCTAGCATCGGCGCATATGACGATTCTTACAGCCAAATGCGCTGGTGTGCCTCATGTAGTCGCCTGTACGCCGCCGATCGCCGGAAAGATCCCCGCGAACACCGTTGCGGCAATGCACTACGCAGGGGCGGATGAGATTTACCTTCTGGGTGGCGTGCAGGCCATCGCGGCCATGGCTATAGGAACATCAACAATGAAGAAGGTTGATTTCATTGCTGGTCCGGGCAATGCCTTTGTTGCGGAGGCGAAACGCCAGCTGTTTGGGGTAGAAATAGGCATTGATCTCCCTGCCGGCCCAACAGAGATTCTAATTGTGGCCGATGAGCACGCGGATCCATTTGTAGTTGCGACCGACCTCTTATCGCAAGCCGAGCACGGCATTGATTCTCCCGCGGTGCTGATCACCAATTCGCAGAGCGTGGGTGAGAAAACGATCCAGGAAGTTGACCGTCTTCTCAAGATTCTTCCCACTGCTGACGTTGCTGGGGTGTCCTGGGACCGACTAGGAGAGGTCATTGTCGTCGAAGACTTGGGTCAAGCCTATAAGCTCGCGGATGAATTCGCGTTTGAGCATGTTCAGATTCTGACGCAGATGCCACGGGAAGCACTGGAGAAGATGTCCAACTACGGGGCGCTTTTCCTAGGTGAGAAGACGTGCGTTTCATACGGCGACAAGTGCATCGGCACCAACCACGTCCTTCCAACTCGTGGGGCGGCACGGTTTACTGGGGGCCTGTGGGTTGGAAAGTACTTGAAGACGGTTACATATCAGGAAGTGACGTCGCCCGAGGAGAGTGGCGAGCTGGGGCGTCTCTGTGGCCGGGCAGCTCGTGCAGAAAACTTCGAGGGCCATGCGCGTTCTGGAGACGTTCGCGCTCATCAGTATTTAAATGACAAGTTCGAGTGGATATAAGGCAAAAACATAGCCTATGTGAGCCAGCCACGAAGAATGAGGGGCAATAATGTGGGTAGTCCTAGTTATCTAACTATATGTAGTCTTGTACTTTCTTCTGTTGTGTTTGATTGACTTGCTTAGTCGGAATCTATTTTCCGTGGTTGGCGGGTATCTAGCCAAATGCTTCAACAAGCTTCCTACAAATGACGTTCGGTCTCCACCGACAGTCACATTTTGCTCCATTATTTTGCCAACAGAGCGTATGGGAAAATTTCTTCCATGTAAATCTTTTGCTGCGTTTTGGAAAACGCGATCTACTTCTTTATCGATGATCCGATTTTCTCTTTGACCGCACCGATTGCAAAGCCTCACGGGGGTTTAAGTCTACGCTTCCCGACAACAGAATGACACCCGGCGTAGACAGAGACGGTGCCAGCACCAAGACCGGCACCCATGTCTACCAGAATGACTTGGGGTCAACTGACTCTCGTCGTTCCCCCTCTCCGTCGAACAGCCTGGATACAACCAGCAGCAGAATGTCTGACGAATTCGCCCATCTGAGCAATTCTCACGATGTGGCCACAACTGAGCTGCACACAGTCCTCACGTCAAGGACTCGGCGAGATTCCCATATGGGTGAAGTGCTAGAAACATTTTCTAGAACGCTGTCCAATGTCGACCGGACTCCCGAAGACCATTTCGAGCTTCATGCCATGCCATCCCGGCGCAGTGAGCGGAGCACAACTCGCCGTTCTGTAAAGCATCATTCTCCTACCCGGATGCCAAATCTGGTAGAGGAAGCAGGCTCGCCGCCCCCAATGAAATCTCAGGGCGTGCCACCGGAACTGGGCAGCTTGGCCTCTGAAGTGATCTTTGTTCTCGTGTGCTCGGCCGGACTTTTATTTTTTGCCTTTCTTCTTGGGGATATCACCGTCAACCAGGAAGAGTTTAGAAGAGCGTTGGCCATCAGCAACAGCGAGCTTCCCTGGCTAATTGGATCTTTCAGCACCGCCAATGGTCTTTCTGTTGTGGTGGCAGGCTCTCTTACTGATTTGGCACCGCCCAAGTTACTAATGGTAGGGGCTTTTGGCTGGATGACATTGTGGAATGTGGTTGGCGTCTTCTCGGTCAAGCCTTCTACCGCAATTCTCTTTTACATAGTCCGTGCAATGCAAGGCCTATCCATTGGAGTGCTTGTCTCCGGATCTATGAGCATCCTCGGTCGGGTATACAACCCAGGACTTCGGAAAAACCGGGTCTTCTCAGCCATGTCGGCTACTGCACCCTTTGGTTTCTGGCTCGGGGCAATTCAGGGCGGTGCGCTGAAGGCACACCTTCCTTGGATCTTCGGCTCAAATGCCATCTTATCTGGTCTGTGTCTGATTGCTGCCTATCGCACGATCCCTCGCCTGCGTCCAGTGGCCGATATTGCCGGCACTGAGGCTCCGACCCTCCGTGAGTTCGATTATATCGGGGCCGCCTTCGCGGTGTCTGGCTGCGTTTGCTTGCTGTTCGGTCTTACCCAAGGATCAGTCACGATGTGGACTCCATATACATATGCCTTGACTGTCGTCGGAATTCTTCTCCTTGTCGGCTTTTTCTTCGTCGAACACTGGGTTGCGCGCCCTTTGATTCCTAACCGACTATGGAAGACTCCCGGCTTCACACCCCTTATGGTGGCATACTTCCTCGGATATGGAGCGTTTTCTGGCGGGTGGCAATTCTACGCTATCCAGTTCTGGCTCCGCATTCAGCATGCCAGCCCTCTGACAGTAGCACTCTTCCTCCTTCCCAACGCAATTGTGGGGGTTTTGGCAACTTGGGTTGTGAGTCGTACTCTTCACGTCATCCCGGGACATTACATCTATCTGGCCTCTATGCTGGCCTTTGCACTTGGTCCGGCATTTTTCTTGCCGCAGACTGCAGGTACCACTTATTGGGCCTTATCCCTCCCTGGAGTGGCTCTTGTTACCTTCGGCCCTGACCTATCGTTCGCTGCCGCATCAATCTACATTACAAGTAATGTCCGTCGGTCCTATCAAGGTAGTGCGGGGAGTCTGCTAGTGACCGTGCAAAATCTCAGTTCGGCAATCATGACATCGGTTGCGGGCGCCATTGGGACCAAAGTGGATCAGGGGCCTGATGGTGATATTGGACTGAAGGGGCTCCGTGCAATCTGGTGGTTTGCACTGGCGGCTGAGATCATTGGAGCACTGATCACACTGTTCTGGGTTCGGATTCCTAAAGAAGAGGAGAAGGAGCACGTCACTTGAAGGAAACAGTGCTATGACTGAGATGAGACATGATTCTGGATAGAAAAAGTTACATAGAACAAGACCGCATTTCGGAGTGAGATTTGTTAAACTAGACATCGTGCATTGTTGTTGGTTTCTGGAATAGTAGTATAGTAATTTATCAGTAATTACTATACAGAACGCCCACAATTGTGATCCTACGGATTGCTACCATATCATTGGCTCAAACCAAATGGCCAAGACTATAGTTGCGCCAATTTAGGCTCAGTTAGCGCGTCAGCAGCATGCATTAGCGGCGGATCTAGCAGCGGGGGATCTGGTAACGCCGGCATTTCCGATTTACATCTTGTCTTCCAAAATCATCAGCCATTAGCATTATTCTCTAGGTGATACATTATCAAAGATAGCGGAAAATCAACTTCTCTCCCCGACGCGCACGCCACGCATTGGTCGAGTTCATCAGCTCGGGACACCCGCGCACAACCCACTGCCACTTCTTCAAGAACCACTCGGTCATTTCCCAACTGCGCACATCCCAGGGCTCTCCCCAGACTAGTAGCCCGGAATCCTTGTCCGGTTGGTTCCAGAATCCCATGATGTCGGTGCACAGCTGCTCGTCGTCCCAGTCGTCACCGGCCTCTATCAGGTTGTCACGCATTTTGGGCAGAGGAAAGAAATCCAACCACGGATGGTGTATCACGCTTTTCTGAAGTCGAGTAGGTTGCAGTGTGGAAGGGATCTGATCTGGTAAAGAGTGCCCCGGCATCGGTATATTAAAGGGTGATATCGCATCGTCGTTCATCATTTCCATTGACCAACCAATCAGATTCATATTGTGTGCCAATGCTCGAAAAACGTTGATCTTGGTCAATACCAACAAGTGATCGGACGTCGGAGATCCCAACAAGTAGCCCTGGTATGCGTCTTGAGCGAAGTTTTGTAGTAAATGTTCTGCCATTTCAGCCACAAAATTGCAGTCGATCATCTGGTCTCTGCCATTTCGAACAACGACGGCATGCTGCCCGGTTGATTGGATAGCAGACACAGATGAGGAAGAGGATATCACCACGGTTTTCGGGCGAGGGTCTTGGTTCGCTTGTTCGCGCTTTCGTTTCCCTTAAAAAAAGGTCAATGCAGTTTTTTCTTACGAAGAACCGAAAATACTCACGATGGGCTCTCTGGTTGATCCGATTCTGGCGTCGACGGCGCTCTAGCGGATCTGCCAGTCCGGACCAGTCGTCGACCGTCTCTCCACTACCATCGGACACAAAGATCGGCTCCGTGGTCAGTGATTGCGGATGTTCAGGCATGGTGTCAGCACTAGAGGTGTCAGCAGGCTGTCAAGATGTGGACACACCGATCGTTTTTATCTTGAGAGAGGGCGAAATAATGGGGGCGTTGTCTCCACTCGAGATGGATTTGTCATTGGGTTTTAGGTCGGAGATTAGGATTATGTTAATGTATTGTAATTACAGGTCCTGACCCATGAAATCTATTAAACCCATTACCTATAGTTGGGAATTAGAGCCATGTAACCATCCAAACTGATTAAATTCGCAGAATAGCAACTGCTTCTATCGAAACTCAGCGTAAGCAAAGTCGGCCGGGGTCAAGCAACGTTGCCGTTCACCAAACGCATACAGGCCCAGCATCATCCCCGTAAAAGGCGCGCCCACAGGTGGCGCCTTGGTCGCATCCCGGTTGGCCACTTGACCCATCCAGTGAATGTGGCTTTCCGTCACTAGACGATATCCAAATTGATAGCGATGGCCACACTCGATCACAAGAATGACATCTGCGGTGGGATCTAGGTGGCACTCGACAGAATTGCCCTCGGAGGGTTGAAAACGAATGATACGACGGCCATCCTGAGCCCGAATGCCGAGGCTACTAAATGTGAAGTAATTCCACCAGACCACCGTTCCGGCCTCGGTGTGTTCAGAAACGGGAAGGAAAGACAGCTGTGTCTCCCAAGTACAGAACGGATGCGTTTGTTTCCGTAGGAACAGCGTTGGGCAGGCGGGCACGGAAAGATGGTATGGCCCCCCATAGAGCCGGAGGTGATTCGGACGTTCTGTGAGAGAAAAATCGGTCTTGAAGGGAGTATCTAGCACTTGGTGAGCTTGGGATTCGATTTCGAAAGGAATCTCAGAACTCACTTTTTCGATACCAGCCCATCTGCAACAGAGGAGATGAAAAGTCATCTTTCCATGAGACTGGCGTATTGAATTGATACAAGCCTGGGCCTTTTGACTGAAGGCTGATGTGCTGGCCACCATTAATCACGGGCCAGTCGTCCTTCCACTCGACAGGCGCCAGGAAGGTCTCTCGGCCTGCACGGAATTAGTATCGTGACACGATTGAGAGTCAGGGTGCATACCCAGGACAGAATCTTCCCACGTTCCTTCTATTCGCATAGGTCGAACTCCCAGTAAGACCGCCCACCACTGTCCGTGCGCATCTTCGACCAGGTCCGCATGGCCTGTGTTCTGTACTTCGTCTTCTACTCCATTATTCCAGAGGGGATTGTTCGGCCCGACATGCCATGGACCAAACGGACCCGTTTCACTGCGACTGACCCATTCACAGTGTCCACTTTCGGTTCCTCCTTCCGCGGTGAAGAGGTACCAGTAACGGCCGCGTTTGAAGATGTGAGATCCCTCAGCGACGCCCGAGGACGATTCACGGATCAATTTTGGCTCTGACGTCGAGTTTCCAGTAGAAAGATCGACTGTGCATATATGAATGGCAAAGTCTTTGAGGTTGGCATTGGGTGTGGGCTGCAATTTCCGGTATGTGGATGAGAGGTATACTGTGCCATCATCGTCCCAGAAGAGCTAGCAACGCAGTCAACTCACTGTTGATGAGGTATATACGCGATGTAACCTACATCTTGGTCAAATCCGACTTGATCGAAGTACACAGGTTCCGACCAAGTTGTATCATCCCAAATATCCGTGGTCTTGACGTAGAACCCCTGGGGCCATACACGGTCGTCCAGCTGTGGGCGATAGCGCTGGAAGCTTGCGGCAACTATATAGAATACACCGCGATGGTATCGTATCGTGGTCGCCCACACGCCCCCACCGGGCTCTGGGGTGTGGATCTGGAGTTGACTGGGCCTCGTTAATGCATGGCCGATCAATTTCCACTGGATTAAATCTTGGCTGTGATAGATGGGGGCGCCGGGGAAGTATTCAAACGTTGACGTCACCAAGAAGAAGTCTCGGTCGACGCGAACAATGGATGGGTCCGGATTGAAGCCCGGGAGGATAGGGTTTGTGTAGCTCATGGCTTTGAAGCTCGTGGGACAGGCGGGTTGCTTTGATCTTTATACCCCGGGCGGCCTACACGCATGATTGGTGGATAAACACGGCCATCATAATCTTTCTCAGAAAAGATCATGGCGCATGGCTTCGAATAATAATGGCTGATAGGATTTCCTTCGGCAGCTCTATCACCTGTTGGAATGCGCAGCTTCGAACCTAAGGCTCCAACAACGCCAGGACCTCCAACGAAACCGGAGATCAGCGGGTTCATCCGACCCCGAAGTTCTGCCGACCATCGATTAACTCGTTGTGGCGCGGGGCAACTGTCCGCCAAGAGACCTCCACCGTGATCGATGGGTTTTCTTCCTCCAGCCCATCAGGCTCAAGTTTAGACATCGCATCTTTGCTGGACTTCCCCGCCATGACATCGCTCAGTGTCGTGCAAGAGCAAGTGCCCGATGCCAACCATATTGCCCTGGAGGCTCTGCCCCGCGATGCTGAGTTGCCGCCAGGCTTAGCCTCTCACGATTCTTCGGAGAGCTTTCCTGCGCTGGAGAAATGGAACCAGTCTCGTGGCAACGCCTGCCGTTCCTTGTGCACCTTCTGGAGTTTTCTGGTTATGGGTGCCAACGATTCCGCTTACGGTGTGAGTGTCATTGTCCAAAAGATCTGGCTCGGACTACTGCTCACCAACTATAATTGCAGGCTCTTATTCCATATGTAAGATCCGCCTCTGTTATGCACTAAGTCGTGTTCGAGGACTCACTCATTCGCAGCTAGAAACGTACTACAATCTCTCGTACACAGTGGTATCGCTTGTTTTCCTGTCGCCTCTGGTTGGCTACACTCTCGCGGCATTTCTCAACCAGCGGATCCATACCACGCTTGGTCAACGTGGCGTGGGACTGATTGGGCCGGGATGTCACCTCCTAGCCTACATCGTCAACTGCGTACACCCTCCCTACCCGGTTCTGGTCATCTCGTTCATCTTTGCCGGGTTCGGGAATGGACTGGAAGACGCTGCCTGGAATGCCTGGATTGGTAACATGGCCAATGCGAATGAGTTGCTGGGCCTCCTTCACGGAGTCTATGGGGTTGGGGCTGTTCTCAGTCCGTTAGTGGCCACGTCGATGATTACCCGAGCCAATCTGCCCTGGTACTATTATTACTTTGTCATGGTGAGTGGTCTTCGTCTGTTTTTGTGTCGCCTCCGTGGTTAATGAATCAGATTGGATGTGCGACCATTGAGCTGGTCGCCTGCGGCGTTTGTTTCTGGAACTGCACTGGGGCCGTCTTCCGCGCCGCGAATATTCACTCGCACGGCGACAGCAAGAAAGGAGGCCTCAGGACGGCGCTCTTCCAACGCCCGTCGGCTCGCGTGACGTGGCTCTGTTCACTCTTTCTGTTGGGTTACGTCGGAGTTGAGGTCGCGCTGGGCGGATGGATTGTCACATTTATGATCCGTGTTCGCCATGGCGGTCGCTTTGCTAGCGGGATGACGGCCACCGGGTTTTGGCTGGGTATCACAGTCGGACGAGTTCTTCTGGGGTTCGTGACGCCGCGTGTTGGAGAGAAAATTGCCATTGCGGTGAGTATCGCTCTCCCCGGTAGCCGGGACCCGATCACTGACGACGATTGTTCTGGGAAAGGCCTATATTCTCTGCTCGATGGCATTCGGGATAGTGCTGTGGCTGGTGCCTCAGTTCTATGCATCGGCGGTGGCCGTATCCCTGCAAGGGTTCTTCCTCGGTCCCCTGTTTCCGGGCGCGGTGGTGATGGTGACCAAACTGCTCCCGCGTCACTTGCATGTCAGCTCCATCGGGTTCGCCGCGGCCTTTGGAGGTAGCGGGGCGGCCATCCTCCCTTTTGCCGTTGGTGCGCTCGCGCAGGCCAAGGGAGTTGGCGTACTGCAGCCGTTCATCATCGGGCTCTCGGGGGCCATCTTCTTGGCCTGGCTGGGACTGCCACGGGCGTCGAAGGAGACACGCAGCGAGTAGGAGTCGAGACTAGAGCTAGCATGTGAAATCCTGACTACATTCGGGATCTTGTTATCTGATCCGAATGAGATCATCCCGACTTCACGTGCCGTGAATTCCCTGTTTGGATGGGACGGAGTACATACATCGTGGGGGGAAACAATAGGACATAATACGCGAGTGCTGAGGAGCAGAGACGACCTAAATAGGGGCCAGGTAACCATCATATCATAGCCATAGGATAGAACTAGTACAATCATCATGTCTCGCCGATCTCGGTGGGCTGTCCCCGGGGCAGGCTGAGCCGACTGCGTAGGAGCTCGGCGGTCTTCGGGCGGGCCCTGCCTGAGGGTTTCCCGACCCAGCTGAGCCTCGGCTCTTACCTAATGCGGCAGCCACTTTTGTCCCTCGGCCTAAGTCGCCCTCATTATTATGGACAACAGGATTAAGTATTGCCGGTCGCCCTCAATTATCCCCATCATTCCCTTTGCTGCTCTCTCCAATTGTTCCTCTTGATCTCTCCTTCGCCCACCATGCCCTCTCCGCCGCCCGCCTGGGTCCAGGACCTCAAGCCGTCGGGCCCGCAGGGGTCCGAGCTGCTCCAGCAGGAACGCGCACAGTCAAACGTCAACGTCGCGAAGCTGTCTGAGTTGCTGCACACCAAGGAAGCCCTGCAGCGACAGCAGAAGCTCCTGGCCCTGCTCCAGCCCGAAAAGGTCTTTGACAAGTCCCAGAACCACTCGCTTGGCCGCGTTGAGCGCCTCCAGCGGTCCCTGGCCAAGGCCAAGCGTCTGCAACAGCTGTCCGAGCAGCACAAGTGGTCCATGGAGGAGCTCCATGCTGCCAATGATCTGATCGGCGAGCCCACTCCCTACGGGCTGCACGCGAGCATGTTCCTGGTATGTGACATTCGGGATAGGTCCCCGCCAACTTCACGCTGACTCTGTGTCTTCCTCCCACTATAGGTCACCCTCCGCGAGCAAGGAACACCGGAGCAGCACAAGCTCTTCCTAGAGCGCGCCCAAAAGTATCAGATCATTGGCTGCTATGCCCAGACGGAATTAGGCCACGGGTCCAACGTGCGTGGTCTCGAGACCACCGCCACCTGGAACCCAGAGGACAAGACCTTTACCATCCACTCGCCAACCCTGACGGCTTCCAAGTGGTGGATTGGGTCCCTGGGTCGCACGGCAAACCATGCCGTTGTGATGGCTCAGCTGTTCATTGGTGGCAAGAACTTTGGTCCCCATCCCTTCGTGGTGCAGGTCCGGGATCTAGAAACCCATCAACCGCTGGAGAACGTCTATGTCGGAGATATTGGGCCCAAGTTCGGCTACAAGTAAGTAACGCTGTCAGAGGATTAAGCGCCATTTTGCTAACAGGTCCGCAGCACTATGGACAACGGATTCCTGCTGTTCAACAACGTCAAAGTCCCCCATGTCAATATGCTGGCCCGCTTCTCCAGCATTGACAAGGACACAGGAAAGTACGTGAGGCCCGCTCTGCCATCCTTGGTATATGGCACCTTGACATGGGTACGGTCGAACATTGTGCTGCAGGCCGGCGGGGTGCTCGCTCGCGGTGTGACTATTGCGACCCGGTACTGTGCTGTCCGGAGACAGTTCCAGGACCGCGATGCCGAGGCCCATGCTGGCGAAAACCAGGTCCTTAACTACAAGATGGTGCAGGTCCGCCTGCTTCCACTGCTGGCGTCCATGTACGCGTTACACTTCACGGGTCGCGGCATGATGCGATTGTATCAGGAAAATCAAAACCGCATGAAGGCAGCCAGCTCGCCGGGCCAGGATTCCCGCGGGGCTGGCCCGGAGGAGCTTCGCGCTGGGGCCGATTTACTGGCCGATCTTCACGCCACGTCGTGCGGTCTCAAGGCGCTGGCCAGTACCACAGCCGGAGAAGGCCTGGAGATCTGCCGTCGAGCCTGCGGAGGCCACGGATACAGCAGTTACAGCGGCATTGGGCCGTGGTACGCAGACTATCTGCCCACGTTGACCTGGGAGGGTGACAACTATATGTTGACCCAACAGGTCGCTCGCTACGTACGTAAAATCCCCCTCTTGCCCTGACTGATCTGAAACTCACCGCAACATAGCTGTTGAAATCTGCTCGTGCGGTCTTGAGCGGAAAGCCTTCCGGCAACGACACCAGCCGCATTCTCCAGACCTACCTCGACCGACGAGAGAAGGGAGCCTCCTTTGACGTGCTGGAGGAGGATGCGGATATTGTAGCAGCCTTCGCCTGGCGGACTGCCCATCTGACATTCGAGGCGCTGAAGCATCGCGATGCCGAGAAGCGCTCGTGGAACAGCCTCCTGGTTGACTTCTGGCGCTTGTCGACCGCTCACTCCCAGTACCTGGTAGTCAAGAACTTCTACGAGTCCGTCTCTTCCCCGGAGCTGTCGGCATCCCTGGACCCGGAGACCAAGACCTTGATGCACCAACTGTTCCGCCTGTACGCGCTCCATACCCTTGAGCGTGAGGCCGCCGAATTCTTCTCGTCAGGTGCCGTCACGGTGCGCCAAATCACTCTCACGCGCACCACGGCAGTGATGAAGCTGTTGGACGAGATCAGACCGCATGCCATCAGCTTGGTCGATGCCTGGGCCATTCCTGACTGGCAGCTTGATAGCAGTCTGGGCCGGTATGACGGCAAGGTCTATGAGGACCTGTTCCGCCGTGCCAGCCAGGAGAACCCGGTCAATGATCTGGTATTTGACCCATACCCGTGGAATGAGGCACTCCTCAAGAGCCAACCGCCTAAGAGCAAACTGTAGACTTATTTCTGGTTTTGTATCTATTTTCTTTTTGACATGTGAGGATAGAAAATAGAGATAGAGATAGATAGATCTCATAGAGCGTTACACAAACAAGCATCCTAAAACGTACACATAATAATGTAATACACATATACACACACAGATAGAGAGAGAGAGAGAAGGGGAGGGGGGCAAACATGAAGGTAGGAAGATATAAAAACGGGCGTTTACAAAATACAGGCGCGTAGCGTACATTCTAAAATTGGATTCACTCATATAAATGGCGTTCTTCATCACCGGCGATGGTCTGTCCTTACGATCTGTCCTAGCATCTCAAACTTCCTCTGCATGGCTGGCGCCAGCAGCATCCTTGCCACTATTATCCATGTGTCGTTCAATCTCCTCGCCAAACTTATCATGGATTTCATTGGTGTTCCATGGCTTGACATCCATGTCAAAGACCATATCAATCTCCTCAAGGGTGCGACCCATTGTCTCTGGGTATGTGAAGAAAACCTGGAAGGTCATGACGGTACAGAAGACCCCGAAAATGATATAAGTTTTCCATTGGATGTTGTGGAAAGCTGGGGCGACAAAGTACGCGAGTGCAAAGTTGAAAATCCAGTTGGTGGCGGCTGAAATTCCAACTCCTTTGGCACGATATTTCAATGGAAAGACTTCGGCAGCGTAGATCCACGCAGCAGGGGCCTGTCGAGGTCAGTGGGAGCTGAAATCAACCACGAGGATCAACATACCCAGGTAAGTCCGTAAACAGCGGTAAATATGTAAGAGAAGGCAATAACCGCCATGCCTGCAGAGCCCTTGATCTCCCAGGTAAGATTCGAGTTACCGTCTACGTCCGGCACGGCATGGCCCTTGGTGGCCATGACCGCCGCAATGATAAAGTGGATGGCCATGCAGAGTACGGCTCCAACAAGCAGGAGCAATCTCCGACCGACGCGATCAATGATTGGAAGCATGACGCCTGTGGTAACCAGGAAAATCACGTATTGGATGGCGGATGACCAGAGAGTCGTGTTGCCGGTCTGCCTAGGTCAGTTTCTTCCAAAAGTAGCCAAATCCCGAGGAATCAAAAAAGACAAGGAAAGAAAGACATACCATGCCAGCCATCTCGAAGATATATACAACATAGTACCTGGAAGCTGAGTTAGGGACTGAGACCACAGAAAACGGACGAGAACATACATGGCAACGTTTCCGCCGAGCAATTGCTGCCACATCTGGACTGACATCCCGCACAGAGTGCGTTTCCAGACGCGAGGCCCAAACATTGACAGGAATGAAAGATCCTTAGCCTCATGAGCCAAATGGACAGCCTGCTGAACCTCCTCAAACTCTACTTGGACAGCGGGATCATCACGATTTCCCGTGGCATGGAGATCCGCCAGGGTTTGTAGAGCCTCCTCCCACCGTTCCTTGGAGGCCAACCAGCGAGGCGATTCGGGGAAGAAAAAGAGCGCGATGAACAGAACAAGACCGGGGATCGCTTGCACACCCCAGCAAATGCGGAATGCCGACGGGCCGGACAGGCCAACATGGCAGCCGTACGCAATCAGGAACATGATCAGGATACCCCATTCGATGGCCCATTGCTGCATGCCGACGATGCGCCCGCGGATCCGTGCCGGCGCCAATTCGGACAAGTAGACGCATGTCTGTGACGAGGTGACCCCGACGGCAAGGCCGCTGACCACACGGCCAGCTACCAGATGGGTGACACTTTGCGCGCTACACTGGACCATTGCACCGATAATCCACACCACTGAGGCGATCATGAGGGCATAGCGCCGACCAAGGTGATCGGATAACCAGCCTGCTCCGATAGCACCGGCGAAGGAGCCAGCAGACATAGACGCAGTGATCTGTTTTGTGTCGGCATGAGCTCTGTGTTCAGAGACTGGAGGGGTCGTGACATACTCCACCTTGGAGATCTGAATTTGGGGAGCCGAAGTAGTCCATATATTGCTCTGCGCCAATCCAGGCGCTCATCGAACTGGTTTTACCGTTAGCGACAAGTTGTCTTTCTGTTTCATAAGAGAAGATACGGTGAGATTCATACCTCACATCGAAGCCGAAGAGGGCTCCACCGATGGTGCCGAACGCAGCGAGGACTGAAGCATATTAGCTCAGTCTCTTGTGGCAACCAGGCTTAAGGAAACATACCGTAGATGTTGGTGATGCGATACATGATTGCGAAGTGACCCAAATGACCCTACCTGCAGCTGTTAATACAATGTGGACGCACGACGGAGAACCGTATATATAGTGAAATCGGCATAGATGTGGAGCTCCATATCGGGCCAACTATTGCGCTCTGCAGGCGACGACGCGGCCGTTCGGCACGTCATCGTACCACTCCGAGGCCAAGGCACAGCCGTATGAGCGGAATCGATCGACAGGCGCGAATGCGGAGGAGCGTGGAGCAGGATCCCGGGGAGGAGTACACCGTCGCGTCATTGGCGGAGACTAGGCTAATCGGTGGATTTGCTCGGTTGAATTTGCTCGGTTAAATTGTGATCGGGCCGGAAGGTCTCGCGCGGGATGGCGAGGATCCACTTTGAAAGTGTGGGAGGAGCAGTAGAAGACGGCCCTCGTGGAGCAAGGATGGCGACTTGTTGTGTCCGCTTGTCACCAGGAGAGAGCACGGGAACGAAAAGAAAGAAGATCGAGCGTAGCAAAACCCTTTTCAAAGCGCAGGATATGAAAGACGGAGGTAGTGCACGGTAGATTTATATCCACAGTTCGTTCTACACGTTTCACGAAATAAATTATAACCATTGTTGGGGTAGGTGAAGTTGTCAGCGGTCCCTGTCCCATTGACGAAGTCCGCATGATAGAAAAGATAGAGGATTCCGGCGCCTGTTGGCTACTAGCTTTTTTACCGAGTTTTCACCGGGCCTGTCTGATACTCGAAACTGATGATGGTGATTCTATGCACGAAATTGGTCTAGAGCGCCACACACAGCCGGCCCGCGTCTGGATCGGCTTACCGATAGCTCATTCCCGTCCCCTTTAATGACGTTCCAGTAAAAACATCCCCATATATGTACGTATATGAATTGTATTGTCTATCATCTAGGATGCAGATCCAGTTGCAAACAGTGTACATGACTCATCAATCGAAAATGGAACCTTTGACGGTGTTCGTCTTGAGATAGGGCTGACCATCACGCCGCCGCCCAAAGCCCCAGCGGATCTGGTTTGCCATGGCGATTTCGACGCCCAGCTGAGCCGCCCAAGTCCATACGATGGCAGGATCGCGCTGGAAGCCGCGACCGACCAAAGAAAAATCCAGCCCGTCCTCCTCCAAAAGCTTGTTTCCCAAATGGGCGGAGTCAATGGTGCCCACGGCAGCAACCGCCAGCCTGTCTCCTACCGCCTTCTTGACGGCAATGGCAAACGGCGCTTGGAAGCCGGGCCCCGACGTGACTTTCTGCGCTTCGTGGATGCCACCGGTGCTGATATCCAGGAGGTCGATAGCGCCCTGGGCAGCAAGCGCTTCGGCTAAGCGGACTGTGTCCTCAGAGCGCCAGCCAGGTTCATTTGGCAGGCTGTTCTCCAGCCAGTCCGTGGCAGACACGCGCAGGAAGACTGGTACCGACGGCCCCACCGCGTCCCGAGTCAATTTTGCGATCTCCAAGGTCAGACGAATTCGGTTCTCAAAGGTACCGCCATACTCATCGGTCCGGCGGTTGGCAGAGGGGTGCAGGAAAGAGGACAAGAGATAGCCGTGGGCGTTGTGAATTTCCACAAAATCGGCCCCAGCGGCCACCGCGCGCCGGACGGCAGCCACCCAGGCGGCCTTAAATTCTTCAATGTCCGACTTGCTCATCGCCTTCGGTTGTGGGAATGAGGCTGCGAAGGGCACATCGCTCGGGCCTTTCACCTGGTCTGGCCAGCCGCCCACCTGCTCGGTCGCAATAACAGCGCCGGAGAGCCAAGGAGCAATGGTGCTCGCTTTGCGACCTGCGTGGGCAATCTGCACGCCAATAATTTGGCCCTGGCTATGGGCAAACTCGATGGTACGCTTCATCGGTAGAACTTGCTCGTCTTTCCACAACCCCAAGTCCTGGGGCGTGATCCGTCCCTCTGGCAGGACGGCCGTGGCCTCAATCATGAGGAATCCTGCGCCGCGCTGGGCGATTCCGCCTAGATGAGCTAGATGCCAGTCTGTCATGGAACCATCTTGCGCCGAGTACTGGCACAGCGGGGACAGCTTTTGCATGTGTTAGCCGACGGTCATTTCTCATAATGCATGTTTGACTGCTTACGCCAATGCGGTTTGGAAAAGTTACACCGCGGATAGTGAAGGGCTGAAAGAGCTTAGGGGGCTCTTGGCCATTGGACTGCGGACGGGCTGCAGAGCCGGCCGCAGGAATCTGCGCCGGCGTGAAATATGAGATGCCCTCAGCAGGGCGGTTATCCACGTCAGGCAAGGCCATGTCGATAGTCGGAATGGTGAAAGAAGATGAACCCACATAATTAGCAGCTTCTTCGGCGCGGTTTACATATCACCGGGAGCTTGTTGAGCCCACCGTCCTGCTTTGAAATACATTTGATCCGCCAACCCGGTCGAGACGAATCGCCATGACTTCCGAATGGAAAATTGCGGGTCGTATACTGGGTCAAGCTTAGTATTGTATGGTTCTCACAGGAACACTCCGAAAGAAAATTCTCAGGAGACTTACACTCCTTGATGACGAATCGCGTAAGTCCCCGAGACGGAAGGTTATTGGACCGGTCACGTGAACACCAATTTGGGATGATTTCCTATTTGGGTTCTGCACCCAATTTCCCTCCCACCGTACTAAGGTAATAATTTGGTACTAAGGTAATGCAAAGGCTACCTAGGTACTCTGTGGTTGTCAATAGAGTAAACAGATAGCACAGGCTTAAGGTATAGATGTTATAGCTCTTAGAATCTGTGTGAGGGTTTCGGAGTTTGTTTTCAACCATCCAGGCCAACTACATACATTGCAGCAGTGGTTGTCCAATATATACAATTACTGACCAGAACTGGCTATAGATTAGGGGTTGATAACGCCCGGTCATAATGGACGAAAGAGAGCTGGTTCCTTGTCAGACATCCCAGTAAAGGCCTCTGCAACATCCCACAAGTCACAGATTGAAGGCAGCCATAAAAACCGTGAAAATCCCATTGCAGAAGTAGCGTCAATTAGCAGTGAGTGCAACCATCTATTATCGCTCTCCTTTCGTGGGAACACTCGCTCGCATGATCGACTTGAGTCAAGGTGGTGCGACTCGCTAAGATACTAGTCAATATGGCTACTGTTATTTTCACCGTGTTAGGCTTCAACAACGCCATCCACCTTTGTCGACGCTGTTTAGACAAGGAGACACCCTCTTTTGAAGCAGGTACAACCGACCATCACCACCCATGGCCAACCCTGAGCCCCACAGCGTCGTCAATCTGTGAAGAAGCGGGGGAAGCGGGTGGCTCCGCCAGGGGTGGATGATTATTGCAGTAAAGCACAGCGCAAAAAAACAAACAAACAAACAAACGTCTGTGTCTGGCACAGAGCATACGACATCGTGCTGATACACAACGATGTCACACATGGCACGGCTCCCTCGGCAAGCTGGATCAGCGTGCGCGTTGCCCGACTGGGCCCTGTTGGCGATGGAATGTGCACCACAGGCGCGACCCTGCTCTGGACGACATGGTGGTGCCCCTGCAAGAATCTCGCCAGCAGATTCGACGCAGCATCATCCCCCACTTGGGCCGCTACGACATGGCTGGTGCCAGATCAAGAGCCGATATTAGCCTGGGCCAATTCAATCCGAGCAGAGAGGGGGAAGGTGACGTCGAAGTCAAATTGATGAGTCGCGATTGTGCTCATAGCCACCCCCGAGACCCCGTACTATAAATTGAGTGGCCTGAGTACCAAGATAGACAGATCGGTACTGATTCAACCATCATTATGGGAATCACAACCTGCGCGTTGGGGCTACTGTTCAGCTTGTCTTTGTCCTCGGTCACTCACGCTGAAAACATTACCAGTGATACTTATTTCTATGGCCAGTCTCCGCCAGTCTATCCATCACGTAGGGCAATACCCCCTCTTATTTTGCACCAGCGAGGCTGATTGGAGTTGTCCAGCGGAGGGAACCGGCTCTGGATCCTGGGCATCTGCCTACCAAAAGGCTAGAGAATTTGTGGATAAGCTCACCCCAGCAGAGAAGCTGAACTTGACCGCAGGATACGCCACCGACAATGGCTGCTCTGGGAATATCCCGCCCATTGAGCGGTTGGGCTTTCCTGGGATGTGTATGTCGGATGCTGGGAATGGCCTGGTTTGTAGTGACATGCTTCTCTCTCAGGCTACGAACTAATGTGAACAGAGAAATACCGACTATGTTAGCAGCTGGCCCAGTGGAATCCATGTCGGAGCGAGGTATGAAGGCATTTCCTGTCCTTTGTCAAGTAGGCACTGACAACGACCTTTAGCTGGAACAAAGCATTAGCAAGACAGCGAGCAATCCACATGGGAGCTGAATTTGCTCGAAAAGGTGTCAATATGATGCTGGGACCCGTTGCCGGGCCGCTTGGTCGTGTCGCTGAGGGCGGACGCAATTGGGAAGGCTTCTCGGATGATCCGTACCTGAGCGGTGCGCTAGTATATCAGACTGTCCAAGGCGCACAGTCTTCGGGGGTTGGGACTTGTACCAAGGTATGATTCAAAGACCAGCAATATGCACTCTTGTTCACAATGGCAGCATTTCATTGCGAATGAACAAGAGACAAATCGATACCCCGGAGACAACGCACAGGGTGAGTATGTGCAATCAGTCAGCTCGAACCTCGACGACAAGACGATGCATGAACTGTACCTCTGGCCGTTTCAGGATGCTGTGCTGGCTGGTACTGCATCGGTTATGTGTTCGTACCAGCGCATCAACAACTCCTATGGCTGCCAGAACAGCAAGACAATGAACGGCCTTTTGAAGACTGAGCTCGGATTTCAAGGTTTGAACTAGTCTCTGGTGATAGCCTGATCAATGGACTGATTTTGATAGGATATGTGATGACGGATTGGGGCGCACAGTGGGCTGGCATCGCCTCGGCCAATGCTGGGTTGGATATGGTCATGCCTGAATCGACGATGTGGGGTAATAACTTGACTACTGCCATCTCCAATGGATCCATGACAGCCTCTAGGCTAGATGATATGGTGACCAGGTAATGAATTTCCTCTACACAAGGATCGCAACACTTGCTAAACAAGCTTCATATAGAATTATGGCGACTTGGTACCAACTGGACCAGGAAAAACGTATTCCCCATCCAGGTATTGGAATGCCCGTGGATGTGACTGCTGCGCATCAGAGAATTATTGGCAAATCGCCCGATTCCAAGCCAATTCTGCTCCAAGGTGCCATCGAGGGTCATGTCTTGGTCAAAAACACAAACAATGCATTACCCTTGAAGTCTCCCAGGCTCGTGTCAGTCTTTGGTTATGATTCCCATGGCCCAGATTTTCTGGATACGCAACCTGCAGGAATCTCCTCTTCCTCTGCCCAGGCAACACAGAACAGTACATTATATGTTGGAGGAGGTTCTGGCTTGAATTCAGCCGCTTACGTTGATACCCCCCTGGGTGCTATTCAACAACAAGCATATTCCGACGGTAGCTCCGTCATGTGGAACTTTGATTCCCAAGATCCCGATGTCGACACGACAACCGACGTATGCTTGGTTTTTGTCAATGCCTATTCCACTGAGGGCTGGGACCGTCCGGGGCTGAGTGACAGTTACAGCGATACTTTAATCACTAATGTGGCTGGCAAGTGCTCAAATACAGTGGTGGTTATTCACAATGCTGGAATTCGGTTGGTTGATGAGTGGATTGAACATGAAAACGTTACCGCAGTCATGTTTGCCCACTTGCCTGGTCAAAATACCGGAAGAGCCCTGGTTGATCTCCTCTATGGCAGGGCTAATCCGTCTGGTCGTCTGCCGTACACGGTGGCTAAGAGGGCGGATGACTACAGGTCTCTGCTTCGTCCCTCGGAGCCAGAAGGCAAATACTGGCTGTTCCCGCAATCTGACTTTAGCGAGGGTCAGTTCATTGATTATCGAGCGTTCGATGAGAAGAATATTTCTCCGCGGTTTGAATTTGGCTATGGCCTGTCCTACACAACTTTCGAGTATTCAGATCTGAGCCTGCGCAAGACAGACCGGCCATCATCACAGTACCCACCTTCAGCGACGGTCATGCAAGGTGGCAACCCACACCTGTGGGACGAGCTTATCACAGTCACTGCGGTTGTGCACAATACGGGCAGCGTGGACGGGGATGAAGTCGCACAGCTCTATGTCGGGATTCCAAACGGACCGGTTCGCCAACTGCGTGGATTCGAGAAGGTAACAATAGCAACCGGAAAGAGAAAGACTGTCTCTTTCTCGCTGACCCGAAGAGATTTGAGTGCTTGGGACGTGGAAGTTCAGCAATGGGCTCTGCAGCGCGGAACCTACAAGATCTGGCTTGGCCACTCGAGTCGGGAATTGCCCCTCGAGAGTACATTTACCATCTAGGGCACTCTCTCGAAAAAGGGAGGAGATTTCATTTCAGAGAAATGATATGGAAGGCGGCATCGTTCATATTAACACTCTACTACCATGCTAGCGAGTAATTTCAGGCTTTGTTGAGTCAGATCCATTTAAACGGTCGTGCCAGGACGCAAGCACCACCAAAAAGAGACGTAACACCCGTGAAGATAATAAGGCTTCCGTAGGTACCCCCGAAGGCGTACGCACTACTTAAAGGCCTGCTGGAGATGAGTGATTCGCTTAAGAACCCGCTCGCGATATTGCCGATGCCGCGACCGGCCTCCAGAATCCCCAGCACCATCGCCGGATCTGCCAGTTGCTTCAGCTGTTGTGTTTCTCGCGTGATGGCAGGCCAGGTGGATGACCACGAGCCGGCAAAGAAGCCATACCCTATGCAGAAAACATAAAGTGGTGCTAATGACACGCTGAATCCCCAGAGAAGAAACACCGAGAGGCCGCTGCCGATGCTGGAGACGAGGATGCAGGTTGTTGCGCGGTAGCGGTCCACCAGCATGCCCATGAAGATACAGCCCACCATGGATGCCAGATTGAACAAGATCACAGTGAGCGAAGCCAACTGGCTAGTGACCCCTAAGGACCGAGCCTGGGTGGGAAGGTAGACAGTAGGCAGGAAAAATCCCAATGCTTCCACGATATTGCACACCTGGTAGATGAGGAACGACCGAGTCCAGATAAAGCTCAAGTCAAAAGGTCGAATAGTGCTGGCAGACTCGGCTGTGACTGGAAGGCGTGGCTTGACGAAATAGAGCAGTGGCATTACCAGGAGAAAGAGGACGACTGAGCATATGCGAAGTGTTGTGCGGAATCCATATTCACCGAGCAGCCATTGAAGTGTGATTGGAAAGATAATGCCAGACATGCCAGTTCCTGCCTAGAGCATTGAGTTGGCACGGTGCAGATATCAGGATGATACAGGATGATAAAAACATACCCACAAGGTCCCAAAGGCAAGCCCCCGCCGTTTGACAAACCACTCATTCATGAAAAGAATAACGGGCGAATATGCCAGTCCAGCACCTAGTCCATAGGCCACTCCTTGAGAGAGAATGAGATGTGTCGTAGTTTGGGAGAACGAGCTCAGCGCTAGAGCCAAGCACATAATCAGGAAGCCCACCGGGGTGGCCAGTCGACGAAATCGAGGCACACCTAGGAGTAATGCAAAGTCCAATGGTGCCGATAAGTAAGAAATTCCCTAAATCTTTCTTAGCCAGTTTTATAAGGCAAAATGGCGAGATGCGCAAATCACCAATGCACAGGTGCCGATAGCGGCGATGTTCCCCGAATCGCGGAACGCGTCGACTGTGGAATAGTAGTCCTGGAAGACGCCGTATGAAAAAGCAAAGCCTAAAAACCTTAGCACTGGTCCGAAGTTACGCGCGGCTATGGACAAACATACCCCAGGTAAGACCCTCGATGATGAAGCCGGCCGCTAGAAACAGCCAGGCATCTTTGCCACCGTCCACCTGGGGGAGCTGAGTTCCTTCTTGGTGTGACAAGTGAAAAAGAGCCTGATCTTCCCAGCTGCGCTCAGGCTCATTCAGATTGAGAGACTCTAACTCCATTGTAGATTTCACCGATGGCCAGTAGCTGATGATTCTTCGTGTTGAAAAGTTTTTCTTTTCTCTTTTTCCGCCGCAGTGTGCCAGGAATAACCGGACTCATGTGGGTCACTCCCCAGCAGGTTACGCTATGAGTCATGCTGAAGCAAAAGAAAGTCTTTTTAACTCTGTCCAATTGGTTTTGGCTCTTAAGGTTCATCTACCAAGATGTGACAGTCGGCGTAACATAGGTTCCAGTGGCGGTGCCCCGCTGGCACAGAGTGGGCACTTTGTTGGCCCGCGATAATCCCCAGGAGCTTGGCACACTGCCACCACGGCGGGCGACAGCAGTCAAAAACGACGCGTAAGACCAGGTGAGATCCCGTGCGGAGGTTGGAGTGCCGTTGTCGCGGCTGAACTGTTCAGATAGAGTCCCGTTGTTGGGGATGTACTGCTGCACCACAGAGACGAATCCGTCTGCATACGCCTGAACAGCCTTCGTGACAGGTGGTGGAAGAGCTGGAGTAGTTTCCGGTGGCAGCAGACGAGACAAGGTCTTGAAAGAATGGAAGGCTTGTCTCTGTGATAGAAAGTGACCCTTGTCTTTTCCATTGGTACACAGCGTCGTATAACTGCTCCGCGGCGGCTAGTGTGCTTAGATACCTATATGTAGTACATGTGTCAGCAAATTACTGGGCCAGGAAGGTGATATGATAAGCTCACCATGGGTTTCCGCCCTGATAGGTATCTTCTGCATAGCGGCCGGTGGCAATGGTAGTCCCGGCAGCCTTTCTACTGTTGATCCCGTAGAGAGAGCGAAAAGAGTCGACGACTAGCTGTGGTTTGAGAGAGCACGTGCAGAGCAGGGCTGAAATGTGGTATCATTGCAACGCGCTGCAGGGTCGAAGATGTAGATCGAGCTGAGCAACGAGTTCGCATCCAGACCTGAGCGGCCGTCGTTCGCGGCCAGGTTGGAGATCACAGCTGTACCATTCCAAAAGTCTTGGAGGAAGCAAAGGACCTGCGGGGCCTGCGAGTCACAACCATCACACGATTGGCCGAGCGCTGCAGCAAAAGCACCGCCCTCCACTAATGCGCGATGTTGCGCGGCGATTGTAAAGAAAGAAGAGCCCTCTATTTCCTCTCACAGATCAAACCCAGCCTGGTTCCAGTATTCGGCGACGTAAGACAGATCGTGCACAACAGGCCAGATATTCGATTGCACCACCGACTGCTGCCCGGCAGCCATCAGGTGTTTGCTATAGGCAGTGAGAGTGGACGCTCGCAGAGCCGGTCCATCCCATTGAGAGCGGCCCCAGGAACCCAGGAACGCTGTGATATTAGCATAGAATTTTGGCTCGCCAAGTCCAGTGCCGTGCGAGAGGTCCCCGGATGGGTTAGGGATTGTCTGCGGCTTGGCTTGAGCGACAATGTACTGGTGGATAAGTGGATCTAGGGAATTATCACCAGCCAGAAACCGTTCAACTATCATGCTAAAGGTCACAGCTGCATCTCGGGTCCAGGTATAGAAGTCTGGATCTTGTTAGTTTCGTACGAGGCACTGTACTACCTTATGCAAACATACAGTCCGGGTTTGAAGTAGACGGAGAGGCTACCACGACGCCGGCGGAGGCTTCAGCCACATCAGATCCATTCGCACCGATGTTTCTCAGCACACTCTGAAGTGCAATGGGAGACTCTGATTGAGAAACACGGCTCAGGTCCGCTTGCTGAGGATGAACCGGTCGCAGCGCCGATGCCATGACGGACGGCACGAGGGCTGCGATCGCCACACTATTAGAAAACAGCATGATGTATAGACAGGTGATGCTGGTTGATACATCCGGGTTTAACTGGCTATTTATATTATGAATAATCGCAGCTCCCCTCTTCATGGGGTTCCACCATCTATGAAACATTACGGCTGGATGTCTGCGCGGTCTTTGGTTACTATTGGATCGTGCCATGCCGATCGTCAGGACTGATCTTTCGGAGATAACGCCATCAGGGTAAACGAGCGGCACACCCTCTAGGGCTGGCATTGGCTGCCTCAGGGTTAAGATAGCATCGAGTTGGAAAGAGGGTGAGAGTATCCAGCGATTGCTCAGTAAAAAACCGGACCGAGGGCCCCTGTCGATGGACGCTAGAGGGAAAAGGATGTCTCCAATAAACTTGAATGTTCCCTATAATATTTGCTGCACAGGAGATGGAAAAGAAATGGAGACAAGAAAAAGTATGAAAATGTATAGCCCTAGCGCCTCTAATGATGTGATATTCTATTTCAACGAAAAAGCAATCTAATGACCGGAAACACGAAGAACATACTCACATCTTAAGAGTAATAACCAAAAGTATATTTAAAAAAATTAATAATAAAGCAACAATTCAGTCTAACATGGGTATTGAACCTTCCTCTTTGAAACATGAATATAATAATAATGACCGGAAAGAACCTAACATGGACCTGGGTGATCGGGCCGACCGAGTCTGAATTCAAGTTCATAACGGCCTTCACGTGGGCATCACGCACATAACCAGAGCAATGCCTGGAACGATTCATGGAGCTTGCGGTAGATCAATAGACGTTGAGATCTATTCGCTGGTGTTCTCGCTGTCCTTCTCGGCATTCTCGCGGTGGGTCTCGTGGCTCTTCTTGTTTTGCTGGTTCAAGAAGCTAGCGCGACGAACAGCCTCATCCTCGACATCATCCAAAGTGCGAAGGAGTTCGCCATTGGGACCGTACATGTGCGGCTCGTTGCGAGCGAGCGAAACCACGTTGAAAACATTGGTAGTCTTGCGGAAGATGCGGTCCATCTCCTCCAGGGAGCGCGAGGTGGTTTCCGGGAAGAAGAAGTAGACGACAGGCACGATAAAGGCATTGCTGTTCTGAGTCAGTATTTCCGGCCAAGATAGAGAGGAAACAGGAAACTTACATCACAGCGAAGACCACGTAGGTCTGATAGCCGATATTGTTGAAAGCAACAGGGGTGATCATGACGACCATGAAGTTCCAGATCCAGTTAGACGAGGTTGACAGGGCGTTGGCCGGGGCACGAATCCGCAGGGGCACGATCTCAGCCGGGTAAAGCCAGGTCATACCGAGCCATCCGACGGCAAAAAAGGTGTTAAACACAAACAGGAAGACCGTTTGGGCAATACCAGCGTTGGCAGCGACGGAGGTGCCCAGGTTTTCGGGCTTGGAGGAGATGCTATCGGCAATGGCGAGGATGGCCATGGAAAGCGACATGCCAGCAGCACCGAAGATCATCAGAGTACGGCGGCCGAACTTCTCAACAGTGAATACAGCCACCCAGGAGGCCAGGAAATACTCGGTACCATTGCACGCAGAGATCAGACGCGACTCGGTTCCGCTCAATCCGACAGAGTTTTCCAAGATAGTGGGGATGTAGTAGGTGATCAGATTAATACCCGAGATCTGTTGGAACATCTGGTTGACGTAGGCTAGCATGGTACGGTGGAAGTGACGATCCGGGCCCATCGTGAACATGTCGCGCAGCGAACCCTGGGCCATTTCCAGCACAGTGGCCTTAATGGCGGTGAACTCGGTCTCGAGGAAGATATCATCGGTACCCTCGCCCATCAGGGTCGCTAGGACCTCCTTGGCCTCCTCCTCGCGGCCCTTCAGGATGAGCCAGCGAGGAGACTCGGGAAGGAACATGACCAAGGCAACGATGACCAAGGCAAAGAAGCACTGGAAGGCAAGCGGGAACCGCCAAGCGACAGGGTTGGGGTCCGCGAACATCAGACCGAAGTCAATCCAGTAACTGATGGTGATACCGCAGGTAATCATGGCACCTTCAATCATGACCATCTGGCCACGGCGGTGGGACTTGCAGCACTCCTACACACCAAGTTAGCGAAAGGTCCCCATCTCCATAGACCTGATATGGAATTGAGACGTACCGATTGCCAAGTAGGAACAGTGGAAGTGTTGATGCCATTTCCGAATCCAGTCACCAGGCGGCCAACGATCAGCTGTGCCAGGTCGTACGAGGTGCACTGCAGAATTGCACCAACAATCATGATGGAAGAACCGATGAAGATCGCACGACGGCGACCCAGCATGTTACCGACCCAAATGGTGGGAATGGAGCCTGCAAAACATCCCAAGTTGTATGCGGCCACGACAATACCTTGCTTGGTAGTCCGATAACTGGTAACCGATGGTGGAAGGTTGTCCCAGGAAGTAAGTTTACCGTCATGCATGATCATTCCCGAAGTCTGAATGCTAGGGAACACGGAGTTGAACGATGCCAGTGTCAACAGACCACCGGTCACACCCTGGTCGTAGCCGAAGAGCAGAAAGTCCATGCCGGCCAGCAGACCGATGGCGATCTGCAGCTTGGTGCCATCGAGGCCCAAAAATTTTCGAACCATATTGTCGATTGCCTTGCCGTATACCTCTATATCCCGATAGTCTAAACTGAAAGCCGATCCAGCCGGAAGTGGGTATAGAGAAAGGGAGAAGGGGTATATCAAGGAAAGTGGATGAAGAGAAAGATCTCCAGACGCGGGGGTCCAGCCGGGTTTAAAAGCAGTCTCGCAGGTTGATTGATTATCACACGGGGGCCGTGAACTTTTGGGACCGGGGGGCGTCTGTTAGTACTTCCTCTTCTCGTCACTGCCGAGCCGCAGACGCCCGTCGTTGATTCGGAGACGGGCGTGAACAGGGTCCACCACATCTCGCACTCTCCCCACGCCGGCGAGCAGGGCCGGCCGTGGTTGGCCACCCCCGGTCATATCCAGCTCTTGCACGGACACCGGGAGCCTGCCAACGGCCCCCAGTACCCCGATTCATCTCGCGCAGTTGGGTATTTTGTCGAAACTGGGTCTTGGAGGAGATCCACAGCACCACGCGATGATGCACCCAATGAGTGCGGGCCGTGTCGGCCAGGCCATGGACCACGGCTTCGGCTTCGCCAGAGACGGTTAGCGTCCACTAGATTTTCGGTTTTGGCCCTCCGGCTCCCTCCCAGTTCAGCCCCTGAGGTCGTCCGGCCTGTCAACGCCCGGTTCTCCAGGCGGAGTGGAGCCTCTCTCTCCCTCCCCGCGACTGACTCCGCCGCCCCGGGCGAAGATGAGATAATGGGGCCTGCGATCTGGGGGAAGGACAAGAAACGAAGGATAGCTATCTGGGGCTAACGCCCATGGCGAATAACCCCTCAGAGAGGAAATCCCGTTGCAGCTAATAATAATAGTAATAATAATACTATGTTACAAATAATGAATAAAGCGCGGTTATAGTTATCATACATGGTGCCTGTGTGCGTGGCCCATCTGCGTCATTGGCGCGAATCTCAGGGCCTCCTTCTCCCGTCAGGCCATCTGCGGCTTCGGGATTGTGGCCGGAAAAAAGTCGCGGAACCGAAATGAATCCTCCCGGTCGAGGTCTTGGCGGGTCGGAAGGGCCGCAGCCAGTGACGGTGGTTTCTCCCCCATCTCGACCTGTCCATAAGTAATAGAGGGACTCCCCGGGAGGCCGTCGCCGCCCAGTAATAATAATGCAATAGTACCGGAGTTATGTACCAGGGATCGCTATGTGGCGTCACACAAAACAAGGAAAACCCACCATCGACCAAGTGCTATTTGACCACCACCCATCATATCACACGACAGTAGTATATAGTCATTTATTCTCCGAACTGCCCCAGAAATAGAAGGAGTGTCACGCCTCTTTCCGACCCAAAAAAGCAACGTGCGCCTATGCCCTTCCGGCTCTAGAAGGTGGTTTTTTTTGTCATACCTGGAAAGGATTCACTGCACGCTAAAACAGCCACGATCTCCACTTGCCCCTGATGAGCCAACGACAGGCCCCTCTACTCTGAGCCATTAGGTCATAGGCGTTGTGCATCTTTCTTGCCTCTTGTGTTCTCCTCACCGCGGTTGCGGCCGAATCCTGGGGGGGGGGGGGGAGGACAGCCCAAATAGGCAGTTCCGGGAGATTGTCCATGGAGAGTAATCCGCGGTCGTGCCTCGTGTCCCGATCTTGTCTTTACGACGTGTTTCATTTGACTCGTTTGCTCCGTGGCACGCATCCTCAGCCCCAGAAAGCGGTTTTCTAGAACAGAATCACGCGTCCTCATAACGCCCTGCCGCTCAAGCCTTGTGGCGCCTCCCGGCCGCCACTGAAGTCACCCAGTAGATACAGTATGCGCGTGCGGTTCGAAAGTTTGGTCCCGGCGCGCACTGACCCATCGGTCGCCCAAGCCCGCGGCAGAAACAGCTTGTCTATGTGAGAGGGACGGCTGCCAGCTTCATAATATCCGAGTTGTCCCGATTGGGTATCGCGAATTTCGAGCATGGTTTTGAAGATGCACTACTCTTATCTCTCACTGTAGTGGTTTGATGGTCTGGCGAATTGGTGGGATGCTCAGTTGCGTCACATTCAAGACAGCTAATACCTTTGTGTTGGTCGATCTGATTCAGACGTCTTTGTGGATATCTGCAACGCTTTGCAAACTCTTTGTTTCGCATCTTGTCAAAATAATAATAACATGGCTCCCTCGACGTAGTGAAGCCACGTTGGTCCACCGAGGGCGAGCGATCATTCCTACCTTTATCTTCATCTCCAGCGCTCTGGCTGCTTCTTCATGAGCCAAAAAAGCGTCCACGGCCCAATGTTCGCTGCGAAAGCCGATCACCGGTTCGTATATCTGAGAAAGAATGCCATAGGCTGTCCCCCATCGGGCTTTAGACACGAACGAGGAATCCTCCAAGGAACCGATCCGCATAGTCGGGACTTCCAAGAAGGGAATAATGAATATCGTGATCTAATTATCAGAAGGACCTATAATTATTGCAGGAGCCGTACTATTGCAGTAGGATCCTTCCCGCAAAGCCCGGTCAAGGGATTTGATTTCTGTGGACCCAAGCAACCAAGGATTATGTGCTTCTGGAAGGAATGGAAGGAATGGAGCACACTGGCTGTCCAACAAGAACCGCTGTGAGCTTGTTGGTTTTCTTGGGAGCTAATTATAGAACCTACATTGAAACAGGCCCCAGATGATGGTATGGATCCTGACTTTTTGTGCTAAATTGCCTGCAGAGCTGGTTGTGGGGGTATCCTAGTATCCCAGTCGATGACATCAATCAAAGGGTGCCAATCGGGACTGTACTTTAGAAGCAATAGCTAGGACTTGTACCAATATATGAATATTTGGTCTGGTTTTGATGGCTCGTTATGACTTCTTGCTTGTGTAATCGAGCATACCGATGAAAAATTGATAATTTGTGGTCGGGTAAAGACATTTTATGAATCATCTAAAGGAAAGGGTTTCACTTTTTCATAAAGACGTTTGTTTGATTTCATTGTTTTTAGTTTTTGGGTCTTGATGATAGATCATCTTGCTGTACTCGGTCTTCATGCAACTGGTGGCCTCAAATGATGTGCAAGCTTGCAGAAATAGCGCGTTGTAGTTTTTGCCTAGATGATGTAGCCGAGGACTTCGATACCCTGAATTTCGTTACGCTGTCGCAGAAGGCTCCAGGTGGTCTCATCTCGCATAAGAATACAATGTAAGCGTCACTATACAGTAAATGAAGCAAGAACCGCTGAGATAGCAATTTTATACTCAGCCAGAATCATTATATAACTTCAATTTTTTTTATCATAGCTATATATTTTTCGAAGCCTACGCAAAAAGTAGACTCAAATGAGTAGACTGCCTGGAAAACCGTCACAGTAGCGCGATGTTCCATGGACTCCCATTGATCGCCGAGTCGGGATTTAGCAATGCCTTATGCTTACTGGTCATTCCTACAAACCTTTACTAAAAGACATGCGGCAATCACAAGCGCCGTGATACAAACTATCACTAGACCCTAAGGGCTCACCTTATCTAGGTTAGCTGCATAGCCTTTCAACCTCTCCGTTCTTGACTCAAACTCTCTACGCCTGTTGAAAATACCTAATAGTTGCTGCATTTAAGGTAAAAATTATATCCAGATTCTGCGAGAAGCCTGTGGTCCATATAGGGTATCATGATGGCTATGTTGTTCAACATGAGATCATGAGGAGAAGTTCCTTGACTGAATTGTCACCTGCTTACGAAATCAAATAGTGGGTTCATGATGACCGTGATATAATACTGAAGCTAACTCGAGTATTGTATGAATCAGGATACCAACTCTAATTTACAGAATTCAGGGCATATAATTGTTATTGTACATAGTGCAGCCGGGCTGGCGCTCTGAAGCCACGTGATATATTTTGGCCTTACAGATAGGGCGTCGACATGGTTGGAGGACGGAATTACTGTATTCTAGATTCTATCATCATACACACGCTCAGTACACAGAAGAGAATACGTCGTTCGATTGATTCATCATTCTACGCAGTTAGTGCACTCTGCGCTGACCGAATTCCACCCTGGTTCTCCTGTCGGTCTGCCAGTTCTGACCTGACATGCCATTGTGCGCCCTATTCTCCCCCTCCAATAGGTACTGGACGTTCGCCCTGATATGTCACATCTTGAAGCAATTTCGAGCAATTAAGGCTCCTTAGTGGCATCACTCTGAACGAATACTCGCATGATCGCAAGATTTTTCGGTGGTTGAGGTTATTTCAGGCCGCATGAATTTGCCGCTTTAGAAACCGTATTATCTGCGGTCACTAGTAACCAGTCACGTCTCAATGAAATCCATGCAAAGAAGGACAGTCTTGCCAGGTTACTGAGAGTCTGGAATGTAGGGGCTCATAGAGTGAGAGAACCACGGAGAATCTTAGAAATCAAACGCCGGCACAATGCAAACGACAGTTGATCGAGTTTCTTCGCGTCCTTCACCACTTGACATAAAAAAAGAAGTTTACTTGTAGCCTTTAAGGCAGTCGTACTGAATTTGGGTAGCACGCGCCTTTCTGAAGTTTAGATTGATACATACCGGGGGAAAGGACAAGAATGCTGGAAAAGGAGAGCCCCGGAGCGAAGCGCCGATACATCCCTTGCATTGGGTGAAATATTTGCCCTATTACCCAGCTCATCTGGATCGCAAGTCAATCTACCTTCAATCTCCGCTTTAAGCTTGCATGACTCGCAAAAATATTCTTCCAAAAAGAGTTCAACGGGCTGAATGATAACCGGAGGGCTTAGCTTTGAGCTTCATGGCAGACAGCTCAAGCACACAAGAGTCTCGAGATGAAGGCCTCGAGAGTCGCGACGACATCCCGTTGAAAGAGTCTGGAAGTGACCAGAGTACTGAAGAAGCAAATGATGATTATCCGTCAATTTTGAAACTTGTACCTATTTTGATTGGACTGTGCTTCCAGTCCATATGCATTGCCTTAGTGAGTTTTGAGTCTGATGAAATTGCGTCGGGTTTCCCGCTAATGGTGACAACAAAAGGATAATACCATCCTTGGAACCGCAGTGCCAAAGATTACGGAGGAGTTCAACTCACTCGAAGACCTCTCATGGTACGCAAGTGCCTATCTGTTGACGACATGCGCTGTAACTCTCCCTTTCGGCAAGATTTACACTCATTTTTCCACCAAATGGACGTATATGACAGCTCTGGCGCTGTTCGAGATAGGCTCCTTGATCTGCGCCGTGACACCTACATCAAAAGGTCTAATATTTGGAAGAGCCATTGCTGGAATTGGGTCTGGCGGACTATCCCCGGGTGCTTTACTTGTCCTTGCGACCAGTTTGCCACTTCACCGTCGGGCATTGTACATGGGAATTATAGGCAGCACAAGTGGCATTGCCACCATTACTGGGCCGCTGTAAGTATTGATACCATATACCGTGTGTCTTACCTACTAACTGATGGCATAGACTAGGAGGAATATTTACGGACAAAGTCAGCTGGAGGTGGTGTTTCTACATCAACCTTCCCCTCGGAGCTATTACAGGGATCTTCATTATTCTTTTCTTCAAGGACAAACCAACGAGTAACACTCAGCCCTTAAGCCTCACACAACTGAGGAAGATGGATCCAATTGGTTTTCTCATTTTCATTCCTGCCGTTGTCTCCATTCTGTTGACGCTCCAATGGGGTGGCATTGAATACGACTGGGGAAATGCGCGCGTCGTTGTTCTTTGTGTCCTCTTCGGAGTTTGTGCGGTCATGTGGTGCTTTGTCCAATTTTGGAAACAAGACAATGCTACTGTGCCCCCTCGCCTGCTTAAAGATCGCAATGTCTATGGTGCAGTCATTCATGCAACGTTCTTGGGTGGCTCGTTCTTTGTGTTTGGCTACTATGTAAGCCTTGACTCGCGGTCCTCAAGGTTTTGGCTGCTAACAATCACGAAAAGCTGCCAGTTTGGTTCCAAGCGATCAAAGAAGTTTCAGCCTCCGAGTCTGGAGTCAATAACCTTCCACTGGTTGTGGCGATGATCCTTTTCTCTGCCCTCGGAGGTCTGCTAGTAAACCTAACTGGCTACTACACTCCACTTATGTTCGCCGGCAGCGCTTTTCTTACCATTGGATCCGGCCTTTGCACAACTCTTAGAGTTGACACGGGATACGGCAAATGGATTGGATACCAAGTCATAATAGGCATCGGGGCCGGCCTCGGGTTTCAACAGTGCATCAATGCACTCCAGACAGTCCTGCAAGTCCACGATATCCCAATTGGTATTGCTATCATCACATTTGCGCAGAGTCTGAGTGGGGCTATTTTTATCTCAATTGCGCAGAACGTTTTCCAGAACAGGCTTGTGGCAAGTATTTCTATGTATGCTCCAAGTATTAGCCCCGCTGTGATTATCAAGGGAGGGGCGGCGAATTTGTCGAGAAGACTGCCTGAAGATGCCCTCCCTTCAGTGCTTCACGCCTACAATATTGCGGTCACACAGACTTTTTATGTGTCTGTGGGCGCGGCAGCGCTCTCCTTCCTGGGCGCGGGTTTCGTTGAATGGAGGTCCATGAGAAAGCCACAGAAAATATAGCTACAAAGTAAGTAGGCAGGCTTTGTGAGTACTTTTGAGTCATCTTCTCAATGCTTTTGCATTTCGAACCTCCTCAATTCTAGATATGCGCTTTGTGTAATAAATCAGTGGAATTGACGCAATAGTCATTTGAAAGTCCGAAAATATCCTGAACAGACTAAAGCGACCCCAAGTTAAGGCTTGTTCAGTATCTAGGTCGGGTTGAATAATACCAGTGGCTCAATACCGTTGGATTTTCCAAAGCGGACATTCCTGCAGAAACTCAAACCTTGGTTTTAATAGCCTCAGGATCTCAGTCATACTGGGACCATTTCTTCTTCTGACATTTCCTAATGTTCTTCTAGTACGGGTTATGTGTGGTGCAGTCGCTTTCAGGGAGCGTCGCCATGTATGTCTGGGAGAAGAGTTGGAGAAGGCGATGTGCACCCAGGTATATTCAATTTTTGGCTGAAAGGGGATGTAATGTTTAAGCTACATTAGCTTGTATAGGTAACGGAACTAACGCTCGCTTGAAATCATACATCTCGTTTCTAACATATCTCTTTATCAACTGCCCATGGCTTTTCATGGTATGGTCAACTCATTGGTACTTCATCCGAAAATTAAATATGTATTCTCTGTTTAGGCCCCCAAGAAAGTACCCGTTTTTAGCACATGGACAACTTATGCATATCTGATTTGTTGGTTAAAAGTGATAGAGTCCGATTAGATAAGCTTTTTCTTTTTAGTTTCTGCCGAAAGATTGACCCAGATTTGTAAACCATAATGACAACCTCATTAGCAAAGTATAATACGTGGACTAACCGGATAGTCTTCTCCGATAAATATGCATGATATAATGAGGATATAGTGTTGATATATTGTTTCCGGCTGATGAGCTCAGACCATTTTTCCATCACTCTTCACCCTGTGAAAATGACCAGCGCGTGACCACGGGAAGTGGGCAACAGGGACGGTGAAGAAGCTATTGCTGGTGTTCATCAAGCCAGCCATGGCATTATACCAAGCGGCTACCGCTGCTAAAAGTCCAAATAGTCCACCTGCCCTCTGAAGGGGGGTTCGAATATTGCCATTGGGGTCGGTTTTGAGATGAGCAATCGCGAGAAGGAGGTAGTTTAGGTCCAAGAAAAAGAACAGAAAGAATAAAGCAGCGTTCGACTTGAGTGTGCATAAGAGCAAAATGGTCGTAAAGAGGAACCATGCCTGTAAGCACTGTTAGTGATAAACCCCCCAAGACTCAAGATCATATTTTGATAGTGAGACAACATACCATTAGGAATAGACCCATTGAGGTTTGGGATTGAGTAATATCGCTATTCAAGTTCTCCACAGTCTGGAAGCTTTCGAGGAGTGAAATGATGGAAAATGTGATCCAGAAAGCGCCATATGAAGAAAAAGATGTAGCGCTGAAAGTGTTCCCAAGAGCCATTTCCCTAACGGGTTATGAGCTTATAGATTTTCAGGTTTATGCTGAGAGCAAAGCATACCACATGCCAGCAAGTAATTGCACCAATCCACCATAGCAAAATGCCAATGCCACCACAACATCTGGCGTTATATTGCTGTGCGCGCGAATGTTGATGACACTTGAGACGAATGAGGTAAGTGCAAAGGCCCCCAGCCCCAAAGGAGCTGGATTTGCAAATCTGCGCGGTATGAGAGAACCAAATTTATCGGCGCGAGGCACTTCATTAGAGACTTGGAGCCTTGCAATAATTTGAGACATAGTGAGATCCTCAAGGTCATTCACCAAGATTCCTGCCTTGCTCTGCTCTGACACCGCAGTATCGATATGTTTCTCTGATGTATCCATGGCATCGATTCTATCCAAAGACATGACGTGCCTTTTAAACTCTAAATTTGTCAGATCAGAATGATATACCTTGATTTGATAAAATGAGGGACGACAGGTAAAAGTCACACAATAAGCCCAAGTACTGATGACCGAAGACAGATAGCATGAAGCGCAAGTATCGCCATCCAGCTGAATATTCCGAACCGGGAAACAGAGGTGCAGGTAGAACGATGGAAGGATAATACCAACTTGTATTTGAACCCAGGGACAGACAGGGAAATTGATTCTTCCTTCCTAACTGTCAGGGAGTCATATGTATTAGTATCGTTCTCATGACAAACGAGTAATGGCCCTGGCTAACTAACTTTAGACAGTATTGATTTGAAACAGTATCCTGGGCGAATATACCACGGACAACAGAGACCAAAAGAGAAGGGAATTAATTGTAGTCCTCGTGGAGAGAAAACAAGAGATGGCCTGTGTATGCTTTCTGATAATCTGCAAGTAGGAATAGTGAGGTGGACATCTGCTAATTTATGTGTAGCGAGACTATGCGTCCTTTCATCCTATCTTTCCCGAATGGGTTCTGTAAAAATTTGAACTCAGCAGCCGGGGGCTTTGCTTTAGCCACAGTAACATCAGTAAGAGCCAGGTTAGCAGGATAGTGATCTGATTCCAACTCTATAGCTGCCTGGATCATTTAATGAAATTCAAATTGCGAGCAGCTACTTTCACTTGATAAATGATAAATACTGACTATTTGACAGTACGACCAATTTTTTTTTTTCATACTGCCCGGGAGTTTCCGCATATTCATAGTAGAGAGTACTTTCAGAGTACACAGTGGCGAAAACCACAGGTCACCATATGGGCCGACACCTGTATTTCTTTGAAGCAGGACGAATCATCATTATCGATTTGTCCGGATTACCACATAAAATAGGGCCACGGAGGCCTCCGCGAAGCTAGAGGAGATATCCGTAACCCAATTTCAACAAGCGGCGAGACCCGACACCGAGTGGAGACATCTCAGGTAATATTGTAGAGCCAGCATCATGTGCTTGGCTGTTTAGACGATTAATATTTTGTCCGCATTCAATTCCTCAAGCAATCACCTCAATCATTTAGCTACTCAGACATCATTTCAGGCCTATCTTGTCTCTCACCTACGCCAGGGATTTCCCAACTTTAATTAAAATCTTTGGCCAGATTATTAATCGCACATTAAGGGTCAAGGCGAAGAATAATTTTTTAGACATCAATTATCAGAAATCCACTCATTTGTTCAATGTAGACTGCCTTAGATTCAGCCGCTACACGCAGATGCTGTCAGGCAAGCCCGACAGCCGAGAAAATGATTTTCCCAGCCCCATTTAGTCCAGGAATGCTCAATCTAAACCAGAGCACCCGACCACTATAGCACAGAAATAATGACAAAAGAAAACCAAAAAAAGAGTGGTGACCGTCCTCATCCCCCGAGTTCACGCGGCCCAATAGCACACGGATCCACCCTGCACCATTGGTCTCTTGTCTACCTCCTGCTTCCACTAGCGTCCCCGATCCACCGAGGACTCGCATCAAAAATACCTGGAGGGTTTGATGATATCATCTTTTGTCGGTGAGTAATAAACAACAAACAAGAACGAATTCTTATATGTGCTTGAATTTCGGGCTCTTTACTTTTGCAGACCAGGACAATTTTCACTGGTCTTTGCCGTGATATTGGAGTAAGGGGAGGGATCAGTCCAGATAATGTCATAACTAAATGGAAATTTAGTATAATGGTACTCTGGTCAACAAATCTTCAAAATATAGCTTACCGGCCATCTGGATATGAAGGCGCATTGTCATCGCCTAACTCTTGGACAATGTCCGTCAAAGCATCATGTTCCCAGCAAATCAGAATGTTTCCGTCTCCATTGTAGTCCTCAACTACATCTTTTACACATTTGGGATCGTCGCGATCGCAAGAAGTATCAACCGTGATACCTAAATCTTGGGCCAGCGGCTCCACAGTTTCATACGGACGATCTCTCTTGCCGTCTTTGCCAATCTTAGTCAGCAAATATAATGACATTTGCAAGCAATACTCTTGCTCGAATAAAGAAAATAGTTGTAAGTTGATTATATTACCTTTTTTTGGTGTTTCTGCCATGATATAGCCGATATCATAGGCAGAGTTTGCGCCAAACACAGACCGAAGACATTGCGCGCGTCGAAGGCCTTGTGCACTCAGGCCGGTACTCCCGTTACTAGGCTTTTCGCCATGCCTGATCAGATAAACAGTGGGGGAGCCAACTGTAAACGCAGCTGTCGCCAACAGACAGTAGAGCAGAATGTTGTACATGGTGAAAAGTGTCTGGAATTCTAAGGAACACAGCACGAAAATTACAAGAAGGTGGCGCTGTACATCTTTTATCCTACGGAGAATTTCGAATGGCCCCCAAGACAAAAATGCAACGCTGCTCAACCGTCTGGTTTCCGCAAGGCCATAAGAATTAATGATTCGCATGCCATGGGCACATGGTGGTCCGTGATTTGCCACAGACCCCTTGGCCGACAATCAGGTCCAGATTATGATGCGACCGTCGAACTTGGTGATTCAAGACCTCGGTGAACTGGGGAACCCAGAGAGGAGGTGAGGGGGCTTAGGAAGTGCTGATGGAAGCAGCTGGTGCAGTTAGCCCATTGGATCTCGACCGAGTGGAGTATGGCGATGGGGGATGGTGGGAGAGCGACCATACTAACAGGACGAAGAGCCGACCTTCCTTTTTCTTACTATTTCCCCTTTGTCATTTGACTTCTGTCGCTCTTAGGATTTCTGATTCCTTTTGTCTTGTCTACATATTTTACATTCATGATAATGGCCTCGTTATTGCTGAGAGCCCAGCACCTGCCTGCAGCGCATTATTGCAGGCCTGATTGCAAACCCGCACAGCGGCTGTACCTAATGCAAGCTACATCGGGAAATTGAATACTACTACTATAGCTCCAATGAAGTAGCGGTTGATCGCTTATCAGATCCTCATTTACAAAAGTTGGCCCACTTGACTTAAAGGAGCGCGTTGGAATATTCTAGTTAAACCATGGAAGTATATATAAGAAATGAAAGAATGCCAGGGGATTGTAAAAGTCGGACACAATCTTCTTTCCACGTGCACCAGTTCCGACTATATATATTAGGTTAGTATCCCTTTAGTAGCGGTTAGTTGATTTGAGGAGGCGATCATATTGCCAGATATTCTAAAACTTCAAGGAAATGTGAGGAGGAAAAGGCAATTCGAATATTGAACGGTATCATAGTAAATATTCAGAAGTTTTCTATTCACTAATATAAGAATATGTAGAGAAAGTCAAGGCTGAAGGTTGAACAACTATGCACAATTTGCCTTCTTGAGCGTACAAGATAGGGATCGTTGTTTGATATAGCATTTATGTTAGAGTCAAATTCCCTTTGCCTATTGAGCCTTCTTTTTTCATTTCAACCTTTTTACTCCTCCCAAATTTGTTTTTCAAACGATTTTTCTTCATATCCGAGGTTACTTCTTGGAATTGGTGAACAATGTGAGCGCGCTCCTCGTCGCTCAGTTTAGCATATTCACTGCGTCCTTGTTCCACCAACTGAACATCCATCGATGACACGTATCTCCGGGCAAAATACTGAGAGACTTCGGCGTCCAGGCCCCACAGAGGATAGGTTATGATGGCCGAAAGCCCTAATTCAGAATGTCAGTTGACACAATATATCAAAATAGGGGGAGGCGGAATCACCAGATGTTGCCTTGGAAAGAAACGACAGTATGTCGAATCCAATTCCGGATAATACCTTCAGCGCATTATGGCGCCGTGACACAAGATTTGTGCCGAAGCTTGTCACGCCATCGTAGGCACCAAAGTACATTTCCTAGTGCAATTAATATCCCCAGAAATCTTCTAGCTCCTGAGACACCAGGGCGCTTACTTTGCCACCAGCTTTCACCCCACTGGGAAAATCGCAAAATGCCTCAAGAGGTCTTACTGTACAATCTCCCCAGATCTTCGGGGAGTTATGTAGACCTTGTGTGAACGCCATCCCCACGTGGATTGGGGCACGTACCAGGCTTGATGAGGCCCGGCTCATGCCCTTCAGGCAAGTGCCAGCTCTCGAATCCCTGAATTGATTGAAATATCCTGGGGCGGATGTTTTCTTTTTAAACTCTCTACTCATGGAAGAGCCAATCTCCCCGAAACCTTTAATAGCTGACCCTGCTGAATCAAGCATAGCCAGAGCGATGCCAGATACAGGATCCCTAGGTCCAACATGAATATTGTAACTACAGGGTCGTAATCTTATGATCTTAGAATATTGTATACAGAGGGAACAAGGAATAACTCACAGCTCAAGCTTGTCCAGATCAAGCAGACCCATATCCATTAACAGCGCGGAGGAAGTTGAGCCGAGTCTGACCTCGGTCTTGCGAATTCGCCATGTCGCCGCACTCATTGGGGTAAGTGAGCACTTCAACATTGACAGATCTAATTGCTGGTAAAAAGAGCGTATGCCAGATTGAACCCCGTCTTCATCATTGACAAGGCCCCCCAGGGAATGCGACGTTTTCCGCACACAGCAGTTAAGTGCGACTTTGATTGCGGCCGCAAGACTGGGGGCTGTGAGCTTCTTGAAGGGTATTGGCTCTGGCCCTGCCCCCGCTCTCGCAATCATACTGCCCCAAAATGGTTGATCTCCAAAAAAAGGCACGACGACCGATGGCTTCCCAGCTGCTATCGCTGCTGCTGTGGTGCCAGCCCCCCCGTGATGTACCACGCAGGAAACGTGTTGGAAGATCCAATCATGGGGACAATCTTCTAAAATATGTACTTCAGGTGGCATCTCCATATCACCTAAGCCGCTCCAGCCAGTTGAAATGACGGCTCTCACTCCGGCGAGTCTCACGGCCTCAAGCAGTAGCAGGGTGAGTGATTTCGGATCATCAATGACAATCGATCCAAATCCGATATAAATTGGCGGACTCCCCGCATCAAGGAAAACTTGCAGACTTTCAGAAGGGGTGTATTCGGAAGCTAGTGGCAAGAAATAGAACCCTGACACTGATATCCGTGCACCCCAATCTTCAGGTTTTGGAATTAATGCTGGCGACCTGAGATTGTTAGTGACAACATTCGAGGGTGGAGGGATTCATACCAGCAGTACGTATGTGGAATGCCCAAGCGTGATACCAAATGTGGCCCTGACGATCTGTCGATTGTTGGCAAACCGAGAGTCTTGCGCCTAAATGAATTGATCGTGTCCCCTAGGCCTTCCCAAATTAACTCCTCAAGCAGGATGTAAGAAAGGTAATTTGTGATCTTCGTCTCTAGTGAAGAGGACCCGATATTGGCTAAAGGATGAGGGAATGCTTGTGTTGGCGACCACGGCATTCTAGTCATATTAGCTACAATCCAACAAGCAAGAGAGATAGATATACGTAAACATGAGATGAAGTGGTATCCCTAGTTTCTCTGCACAATGTACATGCGCAAATGAAGGCGGGTTCGCAATTATGGCGTTGGCAAGGAACGGTGTTGCTTCCTGGTTGCCAGGTGCAGGCAAGAAACATGATTTCCAGCACCCCTCGAGGATTTCGCGCATGTCGTCTCTCTTCTCTCGAATACTCCCTTGTCGAAGACTCTTCATGCTAGGAAGAAGCCCGGGGTTTTTGACCATGTATGCCATCAGTTTTCTCGGATCGCCACCGACATTAAAGAACTCCAGTCCGACGTCCTGGACAAGGGAACGAAATGTCTCATGTGTTGCAACTCGGACACGATGGCCTGCTTCTTTCAGGGCTACCCCTATAGCGACAAATGGCTGGATATCGCCCCGTGAACCAACGACCTGGATGACTATGCTCATTTGCGGTGGCGTCACGTTGATATTGCCGGTCTCTTTCATACTCTGGTCTTCCAACAAGGGCAGCTCCTGTGATACACGCCAAACGTGTCGCAGACCGAGATTGACCCGGCCATCCCCTGTGCTGTCAGTAGTTGTGTTTGATCCAAAAAGTGTAGCTAATACCTAAGACTTCAGCGTGATTTGATTCATTATGAGAATCTCGGCCGCCATGGTCCATCCTTTTCTCCATGGTGTTCTCTGAATTTTGATGGAATTCTTTGAGACAAATATATGTTAATCTAACCAATTATGAGGAGCCAGCCTTGTTTTTATGTTCTGTATCAGGGACTTGACGATTTGACTTCACGATCAGGTCTTTCTACTAAGGCTCCAGGGCCTATCCGATTATGATCACAAATTATTCAATTACTCAGAGTCGAGACTCTTCAGCATGACGTCAAAGTCGGCTGGAGCGATCGAGGGCCTCCTTTTTCTGGGTGAACCTAATTGTATCAAGTCTTGTCCACGGATCGCCAAATCACGGAGCTATGTATCTCCTAACCCCGCAACTGGTATTCCGAGTGTGCTCATTACCAAGGTCGGCCGCTATACGTCTAACCTTTTTGACAAGATAGTCTCCTAAACTAAAATATTATCTGTCTTGAGGTCTACATTATCAAAGTTAGTGGGGTCTAATTTTAGATAAGGAAGCGGATATTGGTACAAGAGGTCGGTAACGTTAATACTAGACACTTTCATATAAATATGCGAGTTGAAGTCCCAGAAGCTGGCGGATGCTGTGGCTTAACATATCAGCCAGTGGCTATGTGCAGATGCCAAGAAAACGAGCCTTTCAACTGAGCCAGACGATTAAACTATTTTGTTACCACAAGTCAACTTGAGCGGTGCGACTCGGGGTGATTTTCATCTTAACTATTGTGTACTTACTCTTCTCAGCCTCTTCATATGCTCTATCGAATAATTCTTGCCAACCTAATGTGGTAAAATGTTCTCCGACTCTTACTTTCATGTGAATTGGCTATGATTGGGCTGGTAAGAGTGATACTAAAGAGCCTTGGAAAGCGGTGCGGTATGACGTCACCAATTCGCTTTACATCCGACCTGATTTAGGCTGGATCACAAGACACTTCTGCATCATAGTAGCACTGTTAAAAAGGCTATGGGACTGAGGGTGAATGGATATATATCCATCTGTCCAGAGCCAACGGCCTTGCAGAAAGCCTTTCACGCCAACGGCATTTATCAAGTGGACTTGTGTCAAATATCCTCTCAGGTGGCTCAAAACTTTTTGACAATGTCTTTCCACAACAGCGCTTGTGATATTCACCTTAACGCCGAATCTGGGGAAACCAGCCTTGTTGCTATTTGCAACAACGAGTGGGGTAGTGGTCTTACCAGCGAAATGCGACTTGATGATTGTCTCGGTAACAAGAACGGTAGGATGTATTTTGTTCTATCAATAATGGTTAAGTAATAACCATATCATCCCCTGCTAGGCCACTTCGATTGGGGTGGGCACGGATTCACTCCGAGTGCCCGGAATATCACCCTTTCTGTTGAAGGGCCGGATCGATGCCCTATTCTTCATGCCGAACTTCAGAATGACCTTGGCGACTATCTGGTTAATAATCTAAATCTGGCTAAACATATCGGCAATATAAATGGCGAGCTGGTATTTACAAGGTAAGAGACTACATTTGACCGTGTGCTACTATTCTTTAATGAAGATCGCAATAGTACACTAGGGCCGTACAACTCAATTCGTCGAGAAGGTTTAAGGAAGCACAAGTCTGTATCACATAAGTACTATATCCATTGACAATAGCTATCGTTGGGAATGATCTATCTAGCTAAGGGGAATATTGTATCATTTGATAAAAACAATTTATCTTGGGTTTCAGCAACATACAACTTCTTTACTACCTTGGGTAGCTTGGAAGAATGACACAGGCATAGCAGCCTTGGAAGCCATAAGTTGCTAGTTATGATCATCGTTTCTTCTATATTTTCAAATTATGATAAAATTACGATGATCATAACGTAGGTAATATGTTCACCAATAGGTGCACGCTTTCGCTTGCTAATAAGATACTCTGTGATTCCCATTACAATCACCGCACTTGACGATCGTAATAAATACTCTGTTGATCAGTAGGACAAGTCGGTGCAACGAGGTTGAGAAAGGCGTTTTGTAAAGTAATCGAGTTATCCACTATAAAAAAGTGGCGTTCTCTGTTTTGATATATTTGATAGCCTCAAATTATAGTTCAAGTAACACACAACCTTGGAAATCATCGTCACTGCAACAGCCAAGGTGTTCTAGCCTGAGACAGACCAGATGATCTTATCATCAGGTCGGAAGTCCGATATGAAAACTCGTTCTAGTCAAGCCCTATTATGATAAAGATGATGATTTCAAAATGACAATTTTGTATAGACAGCCTACAGCCATATGCCATATTCAGGCATAAGAATCATCATACTAGTATTTACCTTTGTGAATCAGGGATACATAGATAGAGCAGTCAGAAAGGATTACATGGTAACTGGCTTGGCAGATACGCTATACCCAACGGACTTCATATCGTCAACTGTAGACATCTTGTCATACGTTCTCAACTGCTCCAGTCTCCGAAAAGAATGGTTTTTGACACATTGGACAAGTGTTATGCCGATTTAAAACCCACTGTTGGAGACATGTATCATGAAAAGCATGGTGACAACTCAATCCGTGAATGTTATCTGTCTCACGGATTTCCACAAGACAAATGCAACTTCACGACAATATTAGTGGACTCGTAGACAATAATAGGATCGCCAGACACATACCAAATAACTTGTGTGTTTTCTTGCTGCGATAACTGCAACTCTGATTTTAATGCTTTCCACCATGAGCCGAAGGCTTGGCGTGGAGAGACGCTCTCCAGTCTACCTAAAGCGGCTTCTGAATTAAAGTCATTTCTTTTTGCTGGCTTCGCGGTCTCAGTGCGCCTTGCACGTCGTTTACGCAAGGTGTAGCAGTAAGCTCTGCTTATAATATCAGTAATATTCAAATGGAAAAGATCAAAGTCACATTTAATTTGCAACACATGGTTAAAACCTTTTCTTAACATGTGAAATTCTCTTATACTCACATTATAAGAAAGAGAACGAGCGGCGAAAGAGCCAATGGGACAACAGCGCCCACAGGGACTGGGCCGCTTGTTGGGCTGTTTTTGTTTGCGTTGTCCGTATTGTTACTCATGATAGGCTGCTGGGGGGTTTTGGCAATAAAATATCGGTCGAGTCGTACTCATGAGTTCAGAAGATTGAATGTTAGAGCTGATTTCGAGTTGAGGTCTCTAAAGAGAACATTTAAGTCTTTTTTCCTCGCCGCTTAGGCATCATTACTTTGGTTTAGACATGCTTGCTTCTTGACCTTTTCTTTGGCAATGAAACCGTCATCCTGTTAAATTACAGTGGTCAAAATGGCAGCCACCTTAGTTGAGCCATAAGTTTCATCGTTTTCGTATGGGACTGGACCAATAAGAAAGCACAGCGCAGTAGTATGATGTAGTGGGGCCGGGAATTTGGAATTCTTTCGTGGTCTAGAGCAACGGTCTCCGCCCACCTAACCGCAAAATCGTATGGAGCGCCCCTATGTAAATTCCAGTCATTATATTTGCCACTAAATTCCACCTATAGGTCGGGTTCGATTGGGCAGGACGGTTTAAGATATTACAGGTTTTCCATTTTTGGGAAAAGAAAACGGTTCACACATTTCCTGAAGTAGCGCAATTTTTTAATACGCGTGACCGCCCAACCTCATACCAACTTAATCGCTAGACACGTTACCTAGCGAACGTCACACGGTGATGTGTATTTTGTTGAAGGGGTGGCGAGGTGGTCAGCACCCACTCTCTAGCTTGGATAATTTCCCTCCCCTATAGGGACTAACTAGCATAATCTGCTCTCTCTCTCCCCGAAAGGTAGCTTACAGTTCGTCCTTTGAACACCCAATGTTCTTGGGGCTCGGGAAAGGTTCCTTAGTACTATCCAGTTTTGCAACTCTTAGATTAAAAAACTACCAGCGTAAGTCTTTGGAGTGAGTGACTTTGAAAGCTCTGTGTTAGTCAGATGATCTCTACTAGAGATAGATATAGGCCAACTGAGATGCTGTAGTATGATGCTTCCCAATATGGAACCTATTTTCTTCCCTATGGCATATAAATCTTGCTCGTGATCCCCAGATTATTTCGAGCCCTTCTCCAATCTTTTCTAGGCCGTACTTTGAGAGGGGAACAGCGAAAATGAAAATTCATGTTCATCGTTGAGCCTTACAGGCCATCATATTATAGACGAAAATAACATCTTGTATCACACATAAGATAATCAACTTTATCTCCATTCAATCCAAATATCCCCATATGTTGTTCAGACTCTCCGCAAGAGTGGGGTGCGCCCAGATTGCGTCTTGCAATTTTTGATAGGGAATTTTTCCGATCATAGCCATCTCCACAATGCTCATTATTTCGCCGCCTTCTAGACCTAGACAGGTGAACCCAAGTATAAGTCCTGTATCGCCATCCACGGTAGCCTTCATCCATCCTCTTGACTCGTCTGTCTCCAATGCGCGCGCGACATATGCCATTGGCATCTTCGTTGTCTGGATCTTCTTGTTAGGAAACTGTGCACGAACCTCCTTCTCATGGAGGCCGACGTGCGCTAGTTGTGGATCTGTGTACACGACATATGGGACAATGCGCTGTTTTATGGAGAGTTTCGTAGATGATGATGACAGAATATTAGACCGAATGATACGAGAATCGTCGTATGAGATATGTGTGAATGCGGGAGGACCCTTCACGTCGCCAATTGCGAAAACTGAAGGAGACGACGTTTCGAGGTACTCGTTCGTCAGGATATATCCTTTACTATCGGTGTCGATAGCTGCAGCCTCTGGCTTTAATTTGTCTGTATTCGGAATGCGACCGACAGCGGATAGGATATGCGTTCCTTTGATTGTTTGATCACCACTGTCGGTGTGGATACTGAGAACAAAACCACTAGGTGATGGTGCAATCCTCATAAAGCGGGAGTTCACATGCACTACCAGACCGTCTGCCTCAAGAATTTCTTGTAACGTGTAGGCAATTTCTCTATCCTCACGCGGGACTAATTGAGACCCACGCTGGATGATAGTGACCTGCGAACCCAGTCTGTGAAACAGCTGTGCAAATTCCAACCCGACATATCCTCCGCCGATAACCACGAGGTGGCTAGGAACCTCGTCAAGCTCTTGAATTGAGGTTGAATTCAACACTCTTCTTTGATCAAGCGACTCGATCCCCTCAATGCGTAAAGGTGCCGGCCGTTCTCCAACGTTAATGAATATCTTCTCACCCTGAACAGTCTTGACTGTACCACCGCTATCTTTATATTTAAGGGTTTTCTTGTCAACGAAACTTGCTTCACCAATCAGAACATCCACTCCAGCATCTTTAAGTCTGTTCTCGCTCCCACTGCGAAACGAAGAGACGATGTCGCGTTTTCGTTGGCGGATATTGAGCATGTCGGCCACGACCTCATTCGCCGCGGTTTTAGTATTTGAAGTGTGTATGCCATAGTCCGGTCCCCTATGGGTGAGATTCGCGACGCGACCTGATGCAATCAATGTTTTCGTCGGCGTACAACCCTCGTTAATACAGCATCCACCAATATGATCGCGTTCTATGAGTGCTGTTTTTTGGCCTGTTGTCGCGAATGCAGTGGCTAGTGGGGTGCCAGATTGGCCTGACCCAACTATTATGGCGTCGTATTTTGTGATTGTTGACATCTTGCGAAAATAATCACGGCGGATCGATTTGATCGCATTCGATCGGTAGAACATCCACCGCTGTCCAGTTCAAAAAGTGCTTGGTTCGAATAGGAGAAAGTGCAGACTTTGGCGATCAGTACTTGGTCCTATCCTGGCTCTGCTTCTCTATATAGGTTACCGCGTTTCATAGATAAGTTTTATAGTGTTTATGTACTATGAGATAATCATGTGTAAGAAGTACATCATCATTGTCCGAAGTTTCTAGATCCTTAGTAGGCAAAAGAGAGTCTTATACGTCATGACAATCAAAATATCTGAAAAACATCGAAGGACTAATACATGCATTCAGCCACACAACCACACCTAAACATTGCCATTTATCGATTCTATGTTAATATCCTAACTTGGGCTATGGCTCACTAATACCAAGACGTTAAGCAAATGCTGATGTATTCAATCATATAAAATACGTAAGCCGTACAAAATTATTATGCAGTGCGAAGGCTGCGGGGAACCAATGGCCCCACTTACCATCAAACTACAATTGTCATTTACTAACAATGAGACACTTCGAAATATGTCAAACAAAAGTAGGCTAAACCACCAGACGCAGGCTATGGCCATTAATAGTGTTGGAAGTGAAGTTCGCTTAACTATTTGTAAGCATGTGAGCCTTTAGAGCTATTGCTGTCTGAACGTTGACACATTTGACGGAAACATCATCTGGTCGGCTAAATACTAGTCTGATCTAAATGTCTGCCGCTGAATGTCCTCTGGACATTGTAATATTCAACTTGCTAGATATCAAGAAACTACACAAGGCGAAGCCTCTAGCCCAGTGAATAAAGCTAGGCGGGCACGGCAACCATCCTGATGCGTTCCTCACAATCTCGGATCTGCCAAGATATATCTCCACGATACGGTGATTACACCTTACCACCCGTGTGGCACCTCGGCAATGATCCAAGGAAGAGCGGCAGAGTAGTGGATGAGAAGCTACGGGTGTAATTTGCGGGTCTGTAGCGTTAGTAGCTTTCGCCGATTCCAGCAGCCAACGTCAGTCTACAGTCTAGGTCGCCGCTGAACGCGCTTAGCTGGGATTCCCTCGCCACTGGTACCCACAATGTAGTAGATTTAAATATAGAATGTAATCATATGGCCCGACCCATGTGGTTAGGGCATTATGGTCCTTGCAGCTACCAATAAAGCTCCATTGGGAAAACATCCAACGGTTCACAGCCTGTCGCCGTCAATCGCACAATCCGCTCTGTCCGAAGACCTCCAACACCCGGTACCGTGATAGTACTCTTCAATGTAAACACCATGTTCTCTCTCAGGATGGTTTCATTCCCAGGGCCAATCCACGGCTGCTCCTCCTCCGGATCCATACCCGTTCCATGGCCTGTTCCGTGTCCGCGCGCCTCGCTGGAGTATTCCTCGTAACCAGACTTCACTAACGCCTTCTGGATCACCACGTTAAGATCTGAAGCCGTGATGCCCGGCCGTGCGGCTGCCAGACCGGCTTCGACGGCAGAAGCTGCCGCTTTCACAATCGCTATCTTTTCTGCGCTCGAGCTGCCGTACGTGAAGCCTCTTCCCCCATCAGCAACGTATCCGCGATAACGAGCGCCAATGTCAGTCATGACCAAGTCTCCGGGCTGAACAATGCGGTCAGTAGGTCGAGCGAGATTGAAGGCCGATCGAGGACCGCTTTGCACCATAGAGTCATAACCGGTTCGCTCAGCACCTCCAGCCAGCATGGCGCGATCGGCAATCAAGGCCAGCTCCCGTTCTGTATGTGGCATGCCATCGGCCAATGTATCACGGATGGCAACCATCGCCATGTCTGTTAATGCAGAGGCTTTCCGGATCAACCCTACTTCGCGAGCGCTCTTGATTGCCTTGATCTCGGCCAGAACCTGGGTCTCCTTTAGTCTGAGCTCTCCAATCGATGCCCTCACTCTGCGAGCGAGATCTTCTGGGAAGTAGAAGGCACCAGCCAATCCCAATGTACCGGTCCGAAACCGGGCCGCGAATGCTTCAAGATGCTGTTTCATTTCGTCAAAGCTGTAGACAGGGAAAGTAGTGACTTCGGAGGCATAGTCAACGCATTGTTTAGAGACGAATAGCGCAGGGACTTCGTCGTCCACACCAAGAAAGAAGATAGTGTTGGCGATATCAGATACTCCGTCCAGGGGTCGGAATTCCGTGAAGTAGCAGATGTTGGCACCCCTCCAGCAGTCGCCAAAGGAAATCAACCCAACCAGGCCAGCAGACTCAAGGGCTTTTCGTACCCTTCGAATGCGTTGCTGATATTCCTCTGCCGGAATGGATTCATCTGAAGCTCCGATCATGTTTGCAGATTTCTGTTTGACAAGTGCTGTGCAATGAAAACGAGAGCAAGAGTTCTGGCCTGAGGTGGGCTTTATGATGATCTTAATTCAGTATTGAATTGTTAGGCCGATCATTGTGAAAACGAAAGAGGATTCATCCCCGCACAATGCGAAGGAATCAAGGATGCAGTCGAGAATCACACATGGACATCAGATCCTTCAATTCCCGCTTCGCCTCAAAATCCAAGCCATGGATGAGAAGTCAATTTAGTCAATTTAGTCCATTTAGTCAATTTCCCCCTTTTTAGGGTTGCGTGCTAGTGTCCTAAGGGGCGGGGCTGGGAAGGAATCGATGTCTGATCGTCGGCAAAAAAGCCGAAGTTGATCCCATCGCCAAAGATTTCCTTTTCTTGCGAGTCAAGTTCTGGCCACAGCGCGATCAGAGAAACCAAGACTCCATGGGCATGTGAGTAACGGTTCACAATCAGCACTTCTTCTGAATCGCAACACGACTCTTCCTGTTGAAGTTCATGTCCATGGTATGAGTAAAATCGTCTCCCCGACTATTGCCGCAATGAGAAACCATGGTGTTCAGATAAGTTCAAACAGGATTTTATCCTATTACCAAAATTTCTATCATAAGTATTAGAATATCATGAGTTGTCTTGATGGAATATTACATGACTGCATTACAGAAGGTAAAAAGTTTCACCTCCTAGCATCGCTACTGACAGAAACAATAAAAAGTTCTTGTACCCCTTTTAGTGGAGATAATTTTCATTATTTGTATATTGAAAGGTATGACACATAATCAAGTCAACATCTCAAAACATATCCGACCTTACTTCCTCTTCAAAGCATCCTCATCAATGACAATCACGCCCTTACCCTGGTATTTCCCACGGCGGAGCATGTCGACCGCTTTCGGAATCTCCTCAATACCATAGAAGATGTTGGTATTTACTTTAATATTATGCTTGACAACAATATCCAACATCTCCTCGGCCTCCTTTGGAGAGCACAGAAATGAGCCCTTTACGCGGATGTCGCGAAATATCATATCCTGGAATGGGATACACACTTCGTGGCCCTAGAGTCAGCTCTAACGGTCAGCATTTCATCGCCTCCGTCTATACTCATAGAAGGAGTCTGGAAATGGATTTTCAGGGCTACGTACCACGGGAACATACACCATTGTGCCGTGTCTCCTTGTAATGGCGCACGCTGTTGATATTGCAGGTTTAGCATCGCTCACTGTGACAGTGGCATCGACGCCTCTGCCATCAGTGGCTTTGAAAACCTGGCGAACTATCTCCTCCTTCCCCAGTCGCGCATCAAGAACCAAGTCTGCACCAACCGCCCGAGAAAGAGAGAGCCCGTCGTCTCGAGCGTCCGTCCCAATCACGTTCAACCCTTTGGCTTTGGCGAATTGGACTCCAAGATGGCCAAGTCCCCCTCCCGATCCTACAATGCCAAGCCACTGACCTGGTTTAAGCTCTGCATGCAGCAATGCTCTCCAGATGGTGATGCCAGCGCAAGCAAGAGGAGCAGCAGTAAGAAACGACATCTGATCCGGGATCCGACACGCTTGTCGTGCATCGACAACGAGGTATTCTTGAAAGGCACCATTCCTCTGGGTGCTCATCATCGGGCCCTGTTGTTCACAGTAATGCTGGTAATTCTCTGGTCCTTTGCAATCATCGCATTCTCCGCAGCGGTCGAATGTTTGCCCAGCCATGATTCGATCACCGATGACAAACCGAGCCACGGCGTTTCCTTTGGCGATCACGACACCAGTGCCTTCATGGGAGCCGGTGACAGGAAGAGTACAGTTGAGGGTGCCATTCTGGTACTCCAAATCAGAATGACAGAGAGAAGAAACCGCAATTTTGAGAAGGAGGTCATGAGGCTGAAGAGTGTCAGGGGTAGGGATCCTTCTTATTTGGTGTGGTTTTTTAAACTCGAGGATCTGGCATGCTAGCATGGAATCAGGAAGACCATTGATTGTTGCATGTTCCCTGGAATTGGTCATTTGGAAGGCTCGTAATCGTTTTCCCGATCTTGAGGTACTTAATTCTCTAACGAATATCCTCCTTTACTGCGCAGCGAGATTTAATCAGTGGAATACGAAGATGGCGTGAATAATCAGCTATATATGAAAAGAAATAATTATACTAGCGGACATTTACCGATATTCTTCGTATTATCTCACCCACATCTGCCCCTCTTCTCCGATGCTTGTTGCTTGAAGCTTGGCATTCATTCCTGCAGCTTTGTCTTTGCATTCTGAATGACATGGGGAATCCATGATCCATTTGGCAAACCTAGTCCACGGAGTCGTCACCCATTTCCCAATTTGCTCAACCACTAGTCTCAAAGATATGGATCTGGCTGGTCCTACCGTATCTTGCGTACCACACCTCGGTTTTGGCAAAAGGGTGCGACGCTTAAACGCCTGTATTTCAAAGTTTGTGACTCCCAGGGATGTTTCAGAGGTTCCTTTCCGGGCTGTTGGAGGCGGCAGGCTTTATGAGTCGACCCGCTTTGCCAGTTTCAGCTTCGATTCCCTGGACTCTTCCAGATTAGCAGGCTTCAGGCAAGAGCACGTCATTTTCCTTTCATGTGCCGGCTATTGCATTTGTACCACGAGTTTTAGCAGGTCTGGGTTCCAGTAGTGAGCTGGCAACACATCCGTTGGGTCCCTCGGACTTCACTGCCCAAGTATAACAATGTAACGCTCTCGATAATCCTCGCAGAATGATCATAGAATTAATTGAGAAATAATTCAGTTACGACGGAAAGTACCTAACGTGATTTTTTTTTCTTTTTCCCCTCCCCAAAATGTTAGCAATGACTTTTCCATTTGGATTATGGGAAGTTGCTGCCATCGCCTCTTTCAGCGTCATGCTGTTATGGCCCATCTCAAGGTACTTCTTGGATCCTAAGAAACTGCGTCGCTTTCCAGCTCCTGGGATCGCTGGATTTTCGAATCTCTGGATGATGTACCATGCATACGGCTTCCGACGGCCAATGGCAACCCATGAAGCCCATCAGAAACTGGGGAAAATAGTGCGAGTCGGCCCGAATCACGTCTCCTTCATCGGCCGCCAGGCCGTGAAGGACATATACGGCCATGGAACGCCAGCTCAGAAGGACAAATTCTATATCTCTTTCACGGGCACACACGAAAGCAGCCTGGATGTCACGAATCGTCAAGCACACAGCGATAAGCGCAAGCGTCTTGCTGCTGCATTCTCATTGAAGCGGATTGAAAACATGGAGCATTTGGTGGTAGGGGATGTCCAAAAGCTTCTTGATCGCTTCGACAGAGCAGCTGAGACCAAGGAGCTTATTAACGTACGTTGGTACATAAATATGCTGCTATTCGACCTCACTGGACATCTGGTTTTCAGCCAGAGTTTGGGATGTGTAGAGCGCGGGGACGACATGATGGTCGCACAGAAGTTGGATGGAACACTTTATCAGACCAAACCAGCAAACGCTCTTCGCAATTCCCTACGCATCGGTTCCACCATGGGATGGATGCCATCACGCTTTGGTCTTCTCAAGCGACTCACCTGGTGGCATCCCGGTTGGAAGGGTGGAGCGGACTTTACTTCCATTGTGTTGCACATGGTCCGCACCCGGCTTGAGATGGAGAAAAAGGACGGCGAACGGAACGACTTCTTCCATTCCTTGGTCTGGAACAAGGATCACGAACCCTTGAGTCTAGAGATCGGGGAGATGGTTGCGGAATGTGGTCTTCTACTGAATGCTGGCTCCGACACTACCATGATCGTTCTCGTCGGCACCATTTTTCTTCTGACCAAATGGCCCCGCGTCGCCGAGAGGCTCCGAAAGGAGCTGGATGAAGAATTGGATTCCGAGGATGGCGTCACCGCCTACGAGAGGGTTAAGAACCTGCCATATCTGCGGGCTTGCATTGACGAAGCGATGCGCATGCGTCCGCCACTCCGTGGTGGTCTCCCCCGAGTCACGCCTCCGGAGGGGATGATGGTGGAGGGAGAGTGGATTGCTGGCAACACCACGGTCTCTGTTCCCACCTACTCTCTCCACCATGACTCAGACCTTTTCGAGGACCCGTACACATATATGCCAGAGCGTTGGCTTACGGAGGATGCGCCCAAGCTGCAACAAGTGTTCATCCCTTTCTCTGCCGGTGGAAGAGGCTGCAGTATGTTTCGGCCCATTGCCTGCATTCCACGACCAAAAAAATTGCTAACGAGTTTTCTAACCTTTAGTTGGCCGTAATGTTTCCTATATGGAATTGCTGGTCGTTATAGGAACACTGATGCGTCGTTATGAATTCGAGTTTGAATCGTCGAGCTTTGAACTCGAAACCAATGATACGGTCAATGCACATCCTGGCACTATGATGATGCGAATCCGTCGGCGATTTTCACCCGAAAAAGCTATTTCTAAAGCTTGAAAGGATATATTCTTAATATGGTGAGATGATGTTCTTGGGCTGAGCATCAAGGTAGGAAGACCTACAGAGGGAGGTTGAAGCCGGGTAGGGAAAGTGCTTATTGCCCGTGGACCTGTGTCGGCAACGTAATCGCAGAAGAATGGAGATCCCGCTACGATATCAGTATCCGGTATTGATCGACATAACGAATTATCTGATTGTGATGTTGAGATTTGAAGTTATAGCTAAATTTGATCCATCGATCTCTTTAAGTAGTTAATCCACCCCCCCCCCAAACAAAACCCCAATGTCCCTCCATGCTCATCCCCGCCATCACCAGTCCCATTCTTCCATTAATCCTTGAATTAGTGATTCCATGGGCCGTGCACTCTCTATCTCCGTCCGTCGAAGTAATTGAAGCAGTAGTTCCTGCTCCGCTCGAGGCCGGTCATGAAACCATGGCCCGCAGGCGATAATAGCCGTGCACGCTGTCAGCTGCACCGCGACCAGGGATGTTGCGAAGGCAATCCCACACACGGCCTCAGCATTTTGAAGGACTTCATAGGAGGTCCTTTTGCGGTGCTTTTGGTATCCCAGCCCAATTCGAGGCACAACTGGATTGTACACCGCGAGGAACAGTTTCGCAATGTAATAGTATTGGATGCCTGTGACTGTGCAGTCGACAAAATGGCGATCAGTAAATATGGAATCAATATACAACAGCCAGCGTTTGTGGCCAATGGACACAGAGAACGAAAGTCGAACTTACCATGCCAGGGATGTCCTAGTCGGATTTCCGGGAAATATCTTTTCGCTTGCTCATCACGATCGATGTACAGAACAGGATCAAACGACTTTGGTCGCGTGAGGTTCCATCGCTCTGTCTTGGCCCGGGCAGCCTCCCAGTTGCTATAGCTCAACTGATCGCCAAAACAGAAAGTCACAATCTCGGCCACAATCCAAGTCATCCGATTGGCCCATGTGCAGTCCGTGGTGGCATCGAATCCCAAATCGAAAGACAAGCGCTCCTCCCATCCTGTAAGGTCCACCTTGAGCGGCCTCTGGCTCAACAAGGACATGTAGATATCTTGTCGCACAAAAACCCAGAATGCAGCATGGCCCAAGCCACCCCAGGTGCGAAATTCAAGCTGGGCGTTGGCAAAGACCGATGTACCAGTGAGATGCCGTTCAGGCTCGTCGCCCATCTTCGACTCTGCATGCCTACTTAGTTAGTGGGTCAAAGTGGAATATGCTTTGAGTAAGAGAGCTCCGCACCATTTGTCTCCTCAAATGCTCTGAGAATGACTGCTGCCGCGAAGAGAGTTTCGTCCGCGACGAGATCCTTTTGATCCAGCATTGGAATGATTAGAGAGACACATTCATGATGGTAATGATCAGCAACTGCCGAGTCAAAACTTGAAGTTCGGCTCAAATGACGAGCCGAAAAAGCCATGAGGGAATTTAATAGCACAGGACAGCTAAGCGCAAGTTCCGGCACATCGACGGCAAAGTGTCGCTGGATGTCGGTAATATCAAGCTGCAACCCGGAAAAGTTAGCACTTCAGATAATTCTCAGCCGTTGAGATTGCCGAATCAATATCCTTGTGCGAACTAGGAAACAGGACGACCGACCAACGCTGCCAAAGCTTCCATGTAATGATGGAAAAGCAAGGCTTCTTGGGGAACCTTAAAAGGTAACCGCATCCGGTCCTTGTAGAGAAGGAGGCCTACTTTGCGATGAAGTGCTTCTGGACTATTCAACATTTCAGATGAAACATGAGAACGGTCATCCGTGTGGTCGATCGCACTGACGTGATCGCTGCCATGGGCAGAGGCGAGAGAGATGCTGGAAATGGACTGGTGTGGAGATATTAGATGAAAGTAGTCCGGCGTCGATGTGGTTAGAGGGTGCAGGGCAATTTCTCCCAAATTACGACCCGAAAGGTCGCAGGGATTCTCATGTTCGCCGAAACTCAATCTGGCTGCGCTGTGAATGGCAGCAGAACCTTGAGAGATGGCTGGTGGTGAGGTGCGTCCCTGCGCTGCCAATGGGAAGGGTTGTGTGGAACCGGGGGAGACAGAAGACAGAGGATCTCTGCGCTCAGGTGATCCAGATGGACATCGTGAGTGGCAAAGTATGTGCTGATGGCGAAATTCTGCAGTTATAATGGGTGTTTCATCCACAAAAGTTACTGTGAAAGTTTGTAGTCAGCATCTGTCCAGTCAATATGGGTATCTACAGTTGCCCTCACGCATTGACGGCGTCGCAAGCCATTGGTGGTCTTCTGCGAAGATGTTGTTGTTTTCTGGATCCTCCTGAAAACTGTGGTCACTGTCCCTGAGCAGAGCAGCTGTGCTGCCTTTTCGTCTGACTTGCCCTCGAGCAGCCACCCTTTGCGCACTTCGAAAGGTCAGCAGGGCGTCTGGGATGCACTCTCTTCCGGTTCGTCGGCAACGCCCACATCGGGGTTTTTCTTCGTCGCATTTCAGGTGCCGTCGACGACAGGTCAAGCTGAACAGACGCTAGATCAGATACAGAACTCACACCTATTGTACAAATGTACTTGCTATTATTCTCACCATCCAGTCCGGCCTCTTCTATTTATGGTCTGTGCCCTTGCCGTCATTAGCATTGGCAGCACAGTTGACATCTGATTGTGCAGCAAGGTCAAAGGTCAAGGATGGGATGTGGAACGGAAAGGAACAGATATTTGCCAAAAGCGATAATGTCTTTTGTCTTTTGGTGTCGCGGGAAGGCGTTGGAGATCGAAGGTAGGTATTCGACTCGAATTTCCCTCGCAGGCGGAAATCCCCACCGATTCCCCCGCGCCAGGGATGCCTCCACCTCTGTGGGGGCAAAACATAGGGGAGCGAATCCGGGGAAAGAGTCAGCCCCGATAAACGGATGGGAAATCCGACCGTACTTGTTCATACGACCGAGAGGCCGTGGCGCCTCGGGCCTCTGGATATCTTCTGGAAATTACGACTGGCACCAACCATCGCGTTGTCCTCTCTCAATTTTCACCCGAACCTCATACGATTAATTATATGAAACATTGTTCAAAAAGAATGTTGACGTTTCTATTCCTGCTCGGTACAGGGCCGCTACGACATGAGTGACATAGGAAGCGCCAAATAACATTACCCTAATTAAGCCTTTTCTTGGTGCTCGAAGACCTTAGACCCGACTTGAGAGGGCGAATTGGATCCAGACAAGTTCGGCTCGCCAGGCTGGATCTCCCGATGGTACGCTCCTTCAATATCAGTTCGTCGGTCTACAACGCGCCCAATCTTGGACAAAACCCCACCAGTGATGCCACCCTGCTCAAATATATGATCGATGTCCTCGAGACGCATGCCCGCAGTTTCCGGGAAAAAACTGTAGACAACGGGCACAATGATGCCCGCATTCAGAACCGCAAACAAGATGTAGCTAGAGCATAAACCGAATAAATGAATAGCTCTTAAACAGGGGGGAGAGGGGGAAAGAAAACTCACGTTTTATATCCAATGTTCTGCACACAATATGGGGTGATTTGGACGACCATAAATTCAATACTCCACGCGCCGACCGAGGCCGCCGCTGCACCTTTGGCTCGCAGTCGCAGGGTCGTGATCTCAGCGGGGTAGACGAAAGGGATCGTGAGCCATCCAAATGCGTAGAAGGTGTTGTAGCCAAAAATCATGACGACCGCCACGATACCAGCAGCGAGTCCACCGTCCCGTACGCAGCCAGCCAACACCGCCATGGTGATGATCTCGCCAGCGCTTGAAAGGAACATCAGTGTCCGGCGCTTGAAATACTTGACCAGGAAGATCTGAATGATCGAAGCCACGAAGTACTCTGTGGTGATGATTCCAGACATGAGCAGAGACATGTGTCGCGACATGCCCACGGAACCCGAGAGCACTTTGGGGAGGTAGTATGTGATGACGCAGATTCCACCAAGTTGCTGGAAAGCATCCACGGTGAAACAGATGCACATTCGGCGAAAGTTTTGTAACTTGCCGCCCTGAAAAAGTTCCTTCATCTTGAAGGGCCCACCCGCGGACTCGAGTTCAATTGTTGTTACTATCACGGTCGATAACTCCAACACACGTGGATCGTCGGCCATAACGCCCTTTCCGATCAGTCGTGCAATGATTGCATCTCCTTCGGCGTGACGACCCTTCTTGTGCAGCCAGCGAGGGCTTTCGGGTAGGATCACTGCCAACGCTAAAACAATGATGATGAATACCAACTGGAAACCGATGGGAAATCTCCATTGAGCTGGCCCGGAAACATGGGCAAAGCCGTAGTCCATCCAGTAAGCAATCAGGATACCAAATATCATCAAACAGCTGTCGACCGCGACGAGTTTTCCGCGCTCCTTGGCTGTGCTGGTTTCGGACTGCCACACCGGAACAGTCGACGTATTAGCTCCGTTACCCTATTGCAGAGATTAGTTTTGAGTCCAAGGCGTCCTGAGGATGCTCGCACGTACGATTCCGGTAATGACTCTTGCAACGTACATCATTCCGCGGTTGATGGCTGTAGTTTGCAGAATCGCTCCAATGAGCATAATGGTGGTCGCATAGACGATCGATTTCTTTCTACCAAAATAATCACCCACAAAGAAGATGCCGATGGATCCAGCCACATTCCCCAATTGATAAACAGATACGATTAGTCCCTGAGTAGTAGCATCAGGATGGTTGAAGTCTTGGCCGAACTGGTTATCGGCACCGATGATCCCCGACAATACTCCCTGATCATAGCCAAATAACATAAAACTCATCGAACAAGTAAGGGTGATGAGGACAACGAGAGTTCTCCCCGTGATGAACTTGAAGTCGAACATGATGAAGAGATAAACTAAAAATTTCGCACAAAGGTAGAGCGATGGTCCAAGTCCCTTGCAGTTGGTGACAGAAAGTCCAACTCCCTTGGGCGAAGGAGAATGATAACCGATGTGATGGGATTAAGCCTAAGGATATAGATTCCATCATGAGCTAGTCAAGGATGATTCGTTTACCGTCATCTGGATGCAGCTAACACACTCAACTCCCGGATCTGGCCCCAGATGACAACAAAGATGTCTTTCATAAAGTCTCCAGACGGCCATTTTCCGGTGGTTTGGTGATCTAACATAAGAGGGAAATCTTGACGAAGTCGGGGCGCCAAGGCCTTGTTCAAAATCTGGTCAATGCGCAGTCTGAACCAGTGATCACAGGGACAACCACGTGCAGGTCACTGTTAATTAACCGTTTAGCCTGGCCCCGCTCTGCTGACGGTCGAGAGCGTCGATAGAATCTTGACTAACCGTCTTCAGGGGAACAGCGTGCATTGACGGGACAGGAAATAACCATCGAACTCGCGCAGAATAATTTCTTTCCCCGCGTTGCCCCCACGCTCATCCGAGCGCGTTCTCCGCATTTGAAGTATACTTCCTTTTTATTTAGATGCAGCCTGACAATAGTAGATCGCCATCACAGATCCGCCACATGGAATCAGCCCGACAGATAGAGTGGAGTACTAAGAAGCACACGAAATTTTTAAGGGTCTTGCAGGACTAAATTTTATCAAAAAGTTGTAGTTCGCTCTCTGTGTCGTATTTTTCCCCCTTGTTTATTTCGACCGACTAGGTCAACACAACAGAAATGTCTACCCAGCAGCTTACTGTTCCAAACTTCTTCGTCCAAGTGCTATCAGAGGCATACATTCGACTGCGGGTCGGTGATTGGTTGGTGCTTCTTTTTATCACAGCAGCCTTCGGATTTTACCTTGGAGATGGAAAGCTGTGGTTCATACCAGATCCTCATACATATATCATGTATGTTGCGCCGCAGAAGTCAGGTGAACTTAGGATTCCACTAAAGCGGACCCGTGACATCGGGCAGAGGTTGCAAGAAAAGGTAAGAGATTTTGATAAGGTTTCAAAAGGCCGTGTCGATTTGACATTTTGAACAAGGAAACGGATATTGCTATCTTCTGGGCCTCACAATCAGGAGTCTCGGAACAGTTTGCTGAGAGATTATCTCGAGACTGGCGGTCTCGCTTGGCTCTCAAATCCCTGACCTCGGATTTGGGTGACTATGAGCCTGAGTACCTGGCGACGTTTCCCAGGGACAAGCTTGCCGTCTTTCTGATGTCTACGTACGGGGAAGGAGACCCGCCGGACAATGCAATCAGTTTCTGCAGTGGGCTCGAGAAAATGCACAAGAATGGAACCAGGCTAGAAAGTCTTCGATATTGCGCCATGGGAATGGGAAACAAGAACTACAAGCACTACAACCAGGTGATCAAAGTAGGTCGTCCAAATTTGAATCAAAATGCATCGGAACTAAAGTAACTCATTATCTCCAAGGTCCTGGATAACACTCTGAGGAATCTTGGAGCTCATCGGATTGGCCCGGTCGGACTCGCAGATGAGAGCCTTGGGGCAACAGAGGATAATTTCATGGAATGGAAAGATGAAATTCTGGAGAGCCTGGGCGGCATATTCACACTGCATGAACGTCAGGTCACCTACGAACCCAGTATCAGTATAACGCATACCAGCGTTGATCCCAGCCTCATTTACCTAGGGGAGCCAAACGAGAACGAGCTCCATGGCATCAAGGATAAATTGACCTACAATTCTCAGAATCTTTATTCTGCGCCTATTTCACAAAGCATAAAGCTATCCAGCGTGACTGACCGCGTCTGTGTCCACCAGGAATTTGACCTCTCTGCGGTCCCCGCGTTGCGCTATCAGACAGGAGACCATCTTGCAGTGTGGCCTATCAATCCTGACCGCGAGGTAAATCGTCTTTTGCGCGTCTTGGATCTTGATGATGAACAGCAACGCCAGCAACCGATCATGCTAGCTGTCCTCGAAGGGTCGGCGTTAAAGTGTGGTCTCCCTTCACCGACCACGCGAGAAGCATTGCTCAAATACTATCTCGAAATCGGTGCTTTGGTCTCGCGCGATTTTCTTCTTATTCTCTCAGAGTATGCGCCAACCAGCGTCGCGAAAGCGGCTCTATTGCGCCTGGGCAACTCCAAAGTCGCTTTCCGCAGGGAAGTTGCTGCTCATTTTCTCTCTGCAGGTAAGATTATGGAAATGGTCGAGCCGAATACGAAATGGACCGGGGTTCCTTTCTCTCTTTTGGTGGAGAGCTTCAACCGTATCCAGCCGCGCAAATACTCCATATCCAGCTCGCCACTAAAACAGCCACGACGACCGTCAATAACTCTGGTCATTAATAGGCAACATATACCGACCCTGCCATCAAGTGAAGACAATATGTTCTTTGGCCTCTCCAGTAACTACCTTCTGGCTCACCATTACAAATGTAGCGGGGCTGGCTCGCTAGGTGACTCACTAGAAGGCCCGCCATACGATCTCCAAGGACCACGACAGAAACTGGACGGTGGAAAGGTTTATGTTCAGGTTAAACGTTCGACTTTCAAGTTACCTCCCAATCTGGCAACTCCAGTCATCATGGTAGCGGCCGGCACCGGTGTCGCTCCCTTTCGTGGCTTTATGCAGGAACGCAGTCGCCTTGCTGAGTTGGGGAAGCCGGTGGGTAAAATGATTCTCTTCTTTGGTTGCCGTAACGGTACAACAGACTATCTCTATCGAGAAGAGTGGCAGGATTACGAAGCCCGTTTGGGGGACAGGTTCAGGATAGTGCCTGCGTTCTCGCGTGTACAGGGTCAACGAAAGTGTTACGTTCAAGACGTGCTTTTCGAGCAGAAGGACATCATTCTTCCTCTAATTCTTGATCAGAGTGCAGCGTTCTACATTTGCGGCTCAGCGGTGATGGCAAAAGAAGTCAGATCACGGTTACTAGAGATAATAGCCAGGGCCAACAGACAAAGCCTAGAGGAGGCTGATAAAATCATAATGGGAAAGATGAAAAAGGCTGGACTTTACCATGAGGATGTGTGGAGCTAAGGATGTTAGAATCTGTGGTGGATTCATGAAATACACCGATATGCGAACAACCCAGGAATGCCGCTTCTAGTCAGACGGCAAAAAACGATCACTTTCCTACTTACCCTTCCCTTTGCTCAAGTAAATAGCAGAATTTGCTTCCCGGTGTGCTGAATAATGAATAAACATCATAATAAGCTAGGTTGCTCGCTTTTCAGCTCCGCCACATTTTTATGCAACAATTTCTTTTCGCTTTTTCAAAGCCCTTTTATGATTCCCAATATATCTACTTCGAGCGCATCTAGAGCGCCTGAAGAAATATCAGATATCGCTGACTGAGTATTTCGGGACATTCTTCAGCCAGCTGATGGCCATAGTGGAATTCTGCGTAGGTCACGTTCTCCGCCACTCGCTCCATCTGCTTTTTCACCTCAGCGCCGATAAAGCTCCGCGCTCCGACGGCCAGCACCGGCATGGCCAATTTAGTCTGCGCTGCCTCGTTGTTCTGCCGAACATTTGTTTCTGTCGCGCGGTAGATGTTGCACATGCTCCGAACGCCGCCGGGCTGAGAGTACTTGTTCACGTACTCGTCGATCGCATCGTCGTCGATGTTGGTCGGATCGTATGCTTCATTCTTGATGAACCATGTGAAGTACTCGCGCTCTCGCCCCATGAGCAGCATCTCCGGCACGTCACGGACATAGTAGAAGCTGACGTGCCATAGATGTGTTTCGGGGCTATCCGAGCGGAATTGAGCCCAGTCCTCAAGTCCGAAGCCGGGAAGGAGCATCTCCTGGAAGATAAGACTTAGCACTCGGTGGGGATGGCGCACGGCCACTTGGTACGCAGCGGCTGCTCCCCAGTCCTCACCGGCAAGGTGGAAAGTCCGATGACCCAGCGCAGTCATTAGCTCGGCGAGGTCCTCCGCCACCGTGCCCATGTCGTAACCACCATCCGGGTGGCTGCTGTCACCGACTCCGCGCAAGTCTGGTACGACCACGGTGAAGGATGATGTCAGATATGGAATGACCTTTCGCCAGTAGTAGCTGGTCTTGGGGATCTGTTTTGCATCCGTCAGCGTCTCTGAAAGGGAACAAATGTTGCGAGTCTATTCGTATAATTCTCTTACCCCATGCTGAAGCAGCAATGCTGGACCGCTTCCCGCGGTGTAGTAATGGATTCGAACACCCGTCGGTAGACGAATTCTTCCGTGCTCAACGGGGTTCTTTGCATGGTCCAAGATTGTGATTCCCATCGTGGGATGAATATTATGATGATCCTTTTTGACCAGAAATTCGATTTGTCTGAAGAACCACCTAGACAGGAGTCAAATGACAACCATTCATTCTGCGAAATTCGCCTATGTAGCGCCATAAGCCCTTTACCTCCGTCTCATATATACCTCTATAGAAAATTTCTATGCGCCACTGATGGCCAATACTCCATACCGGATGTGTCACTAACGCATGAGCAAGGGGTAGCTCCACCGCTCCTAGTCCCCGAAGTGTCCAATCCTAGCAAGTGCTTAGTTATGGTTTGCCAAAAGCTCCTCTTAATGAGTCGAGAGATCGGTCGATCTCATTCTCGAGCCGGTCTGCCTTTTTTCCTTGCTCGGCTTTTTAGCTTTTAAGCGAATATTGGTACGGACCAGTCGGCATTGATTTGAGAATCCGCCGCCCTCATTGGCCAGGACGTATAGGTCCACCCCCAACTTGCGGGTCAAGAGTCTCCCCTGGCTTTTTTCCCAAGAATGCGGATATAGTTTCTAGGCCGTTTCTGGGGCGACTTGACCAACTGGACGGACTTGAGAGTTTAGTTTGCAAGATGGTGATACCGTATCCTACGATGACGGATATAAATACACAGCCGTGGACTATATCCTCTATATGCACACGCTAAGATTCTGCTTTTCGTGTCCCATTTCTCTGCGCCGTCCAGTACCTACTCATGAACATGGTATTCACGCCGTGGAAAAGCTTTCCCGGTTGGCTTGTTCTCTGGGCCCTTAACCTCTTCTCTGGAATCGCCCTCATCTATGAGGGTTACAACCAGGGAGTTATGGGCTCTGTGAACTCGATACCCGGATACATTGACACGATGCAGATCGGGACCAACGGGAAAGTTACCAACGTCACGAAGCAAGGAGGAATCGTCGCTGTTTACTACTTTGGCGCCATGTTCGGCTGCTTTATCGGTGGTCGTCTGGCGGACCGATCCGGCCGCAAGCTTGCTATTATCGTGGGAAGTCTATTCGCAATCGTGGGAGGATCACTGCAGGCCGGGGCTCTGAACAGCGATATGATCCTCTGCGCTAGAGTAATTGCGGGATTCGGTGTTGGTTTCATCAACACGGTTTGAAGATCTTTTCTTTTTATCTTGTTATTCTCTCCGGCAAAGCGGACTCGCTAACGGGTGCGATCAGGTCACCCCTGCCTGGGTTTCTGAATTGGCCGTGGCCCATACTCGAGGAGCCTCATTTGCCTTGGTGTAAGTCCAAGGTGACGAAATCCTCCCTGTTCTTATTCACTGACCCGGCCATGGTAGATTCTGCGCCAATTATATCGGCATCACCATTGCCTACTGGCTTGGCTACGGCTTGAAAAATCATTCAACATCCTTCCGGTGGCGTTTCCCACTGGCTTGCCAAGTGGTTCCTACCGTTATTCTACTCCTGACTGTGTGGTTCCTCCCAGAATCGCCGCGATGGCTCATGACCAAAGGAAGACGCAGCGAGGCAGTCGAGATTCTGGCCAAGATCCGTGGGGACGTTCCGCTGGAAGATCCCGGCCTGATGGCTGAGATCGAACAACTGGACGCCACTGTTGAATCGTCAAACCACAAACGCTACCGTTTGTGTAATGTCACCTTTGGTCGTCACTCCGGCAAGCTTCACTTGGGAAGGAGAGTCACGCTGGCAGTCGGCATCATGTTAATGATGGAATGGACTGGCATCCTAGCCATCACCGTCTACGCAGGTACGATTTTTAGTCAAGCCGGGTATGATAGCAATAAGGCCGGATGGCTATCCGGCTTGGTCAACTCGATCGGCATCCCCGCCACGATTGCAGGCATCTTCACAATTGACCGGTTTGGACGGCGCATCTCCATGTATTTTGGGTTCTCCATCCAGAGCGTAGCGCTGTTCCTCTCCGCTGGCTTGGGCCGCCTGGGACAGCTCAACCCAGACAGCGCCGCCGCGTACGGCGCTGCGTCGGTGAGCATGGTCTTCATATTCACCTTCTTCTTTGCACAGACCGTCTTGATGATCGCGTTCTTCTATCCGACGGAAATTTGGCCCCAGGAGATTCGAGCGCTTGGAAACAGCTATGCAGTGTTCGGATGGGCAGTGGGTTGCGGTATCACGGTATGGCTGAATCACGAACCGCACCCCGAATCTCATTCTAATCCTGTCACACAGACTCTCGTGATTCCAAGCATGTTTGCCAGTCTTCAGTGGAAGACCCTCATGGTTTTTGCGTCGTTAAACATCGCCTGCCTGCCGTTAGTCTACTTGTTCTTTCCAGAAACTAACGGCCGCACCCTTGAAGAAATCAACCTCCTGTTCATGGCCGAGCACCCCCTGGTTTTTGCCAACGAAAAAGTCTTTGCGGACCGACTTGCTCAAGCTGGAAACGATATTGCTGAAGCAGAAAGACAACTGGCGGCCGAATTGGATGCGTCTGAGAAGGAGGTGGTTCCTGTGTGAGAGCAGCGATACGATTCCTGTATGTAAGTATTGCGAGTGCGACGCTGACCTAAAAAGTTAGGCTTGACTGCTACCTCACAGAAGCACATGGCCCTTCACTGTATTTACTCTAGAGGACGTTTAAAACAGCAAGGTCAAGGGGCCTATGTATAAATACGTCGCTGACATCTAGTTCAAGGACTCCTGAGTTTTAGCTAGTCAGTAGGGCTCACGTGGGCAGAGTATATGCAATAACAAGTGTAAGCCAACCAAGCTCCGTTGGCCACGTGGATTTCATGGCAAAATTTCTCAAAGCTTAGAGGGAAAGCCCCCGATGTATGGGATTATAATGTGGTCATGATGCACTTGTTGGCCAACTAATTGCTGAAAGTGATACTACGGTGAGCCCGCTCTGCTCAGCAGTCAACCACATCCTTCTGCGGTCCACAGTAAACTTCTGAAGAGCTGCGCTACGCTGGGATGTCAGTGCCTGCCAAGTAAAAGAACTGCAAGGCTTTCGATACCGAGAGACAGTGTTATGTGAGTCGATGCGCATCAGTCCTGGTGTCGGTCTGCTTGTCGGGCGAATTGTGCAGCATGGAGGGCTGGGCTCAATTTGTTTGGCAGGAGAAAACAATTGTTGGCATGAACCCGTCTGGATGTGTAAAAGTATATGAGCTTGGCCATTTTTGTCTATTGTTTTGAACCAATTGGGTCTCGCAGAAAAAACGAGTGAATGTCTGGTTGTATTTGGGTTTGGACAGCGACATATTGCGACTCATAATTCTCAATTGATTTCTCGTTCAAAAGAAATAGAGTAGTTCGTTGGAGAAGTAGGTACTCAAAGTCTGGAGTGAGAAAAGTAAAGCAGGAGGCTATATCCTGCAGAGTATCGATTGCGATCAAACATAAACTGCATATATATTGGAGCGGGATAATAGGGCGCACAATGGCATGTCAGGTCAGAACTGACAGACCGACAGGAGAACCGGGGTGGAATTCGGCCAGCACGGGGCCGAGTGCACCAACCGAGTAGCATAATGAAGCAATTGAACGTTGTATATTCTCTTCTGTATATTGAGCATGTGTATGATGATAGAATATAGGATACAGTAGGGATATAGTAGTTCCTTCCTCCAACCATGTCGACGCCCTGTCTGTAAGGCCAGAATATATCACGTGGCAGCCGAGCGCCAGCCCGGCTGCAATGTGTATGCCTGTACAATCACTGACAAATACTCACAGCGGTTAGGTATCCGTCTCGATATCCGGTTCCGACCCGTCAAATCACCAGCCCCGACCTTCTTCATACACCTGCACAGCGAGAACTTCGTTTTATCTTTCGAAAAGAGCGCATTCCGTGCAGGTTTCCGTTGCATCAGACCGGCGCAGCTGTCTCTTATTACCTCATGAGTCAGGCGATTGGCCCTTCCCAATCGGGCACTCGCATGTCTAGGAGAAAATTAAGGCCCAGTCCGTTCCGCAACTGTGATAATGAAACTCGACCATTTCTATTTCATTTAGATTCCACGCTTTCTCGTTTGAGTGCCTACCTTTTGTCAAACGTGTTTCGCGACCGCAATTCACTGGCTAGTCTCCAGCACATCTGCTGGAGAGCAGTTTCAAATATTCACTCGTGAACTGAAGAGGTATTTCTATTGTTTGTTTCTTTTTTTCTTTTCTTTTTTTAAAAGAATTTAGTTGGTTTATCAGTACTGATGGAAGAGATATATCTTTGAAAGGGGGGGAATTATGTAGATACCTTTAGACACTCACTGTATTCAACTACTAGCGATTAATATAAACGAATGGCGACCCGGATGTATCGATGGGATAGGTAATCACAGCGAACCATTTCACAACTCGAAGAAATATGTATCAGAATTGAAATTACACTTTCTTCCCGATGTTGAAGGAAATCGAAAAGATATGACATTAGAAACCAATGGAGCCCGCAGATTGGAGAGAAATTGAAAGCACATTCTTGACAGTAGCGATTAATTAACTAAGTAGGGGGCAAATGCGGGGAGATGATAGGGACACAAAATATTGTATTAGGGACACGACAATCACGTAATCTTCGAGTTACAGAACTAAAAATGTCAGGTGATGGGAATCATGATTATCCAACAACATTGTAGAGGCCCCCCTGTACATATATATTCACGAGAACTGTGGATCTACCTTGCACACAATGAATTTCTAGTCTATTGCGGAGCAATCAAGCTATTCCATTGATATCCAGCCACTTTGGCGAATGGGCTTTAGTTACCCAAATTGGGGGAGATAGGGGGGTAAATAGGAGGCCAGAGGTGGCGGATATCTTCCACCTTGAGCCCCTGATCCCGTTACTAGGGCCTAAGGAACGGAAACGGGATGAGATAGGGCAATAGTGAGGGAGAGCCTAGTCAAAAGCGGAAGAAGGCTCCTCCAAAGTAAACATGTGGTGAAGTTGGGGCATATTTCTCACCAACAGCCTCCAGTGTAGAAGAGCGTGTTCAACCCGCTAAACATATCCGTTGAAGCTGAACATGGATGTTGAACTTGGTACAGTAACTCATTGATTTGCGACAATGAGAATGTAGATCCAATTTTGCCACCCGCTTTCGTTGGTTGATAAACACCTTGTCAATATTGCCCTGGTGGCGGTTCCTGTTATAGCTGACATGCTTTTGTCATGTCAACCCTATCTGTCCCTCATGTTCATGCTACTGTTCGCACGCGAAATTGATTCTATCCTGTTGTTCTTCTCTGTTACCACAATGTCTGTTGTTTAAAACTGTTGATCAACCGCTCTTTGGTTTTCGGAGGGTAGACATGAACAAACAAGTACGATAGGTTACATCTAGCTACGCTACTTCTCTAGTGATACTTCCCCGTTGATGCTCCCCTAGCGCTACCACTTAGTGTTATTAAATTTTTAACCCTACGTTTTCTTTGTTTGTACGCCCGTCTGAACGCTAACATTCGTGGTTTCTATCCTGTTGGTTTGGTTATAAACACTCTCATCTATTTGTCCGAGTTGTATGTCGCAGCTATTTTAGGATGCGCGTAGAAGCTATTATTAGGTGAGTAGGATATGATCTATAGTATCCTGTTGGACTTTACATCATAGAGTATTTGTGACCACACTTGATGAGATCTTAACGGGACTGCGCATGACGGGACCGCGGTCGACAGGTCTGCGCTTGACGGGACCGCGTTTGGCCTCACTGCGTTTGAAGACTGCGTTTGAAGACTACGTTTGACAGGTGACACAGGACATAGACTGTTGTGGATAAGTAGAGACTCTTCTTCGGTCTCTTCTTCCCTTTCTCAACTTGGATCTCCCGTCGACTACGTACTCAAATTGAATTCTTTATTGATTTTCTTTCTTGATCTGACATCCGGTCACAGTATTTGTAGATGAGCTCTATCTTCGAGGTTGTTACGTCACTTTGTTGATAGGCAATCTACCCTCATCATCCCACACGGTTGACAGTGCTATTTCGTTTTCTCGAGTCGAAGGCTCCTAAGTTCACTGAAACGCGGTACTCACATATAGCCCACTTACTCTAAATGTCCATTGAACTGTCAAAGTAGGTCTTTGAAGTAGAGACTCTAATGCCGTTGTTGAAGGTCTATGGGACGCAAATTCGCATCAACACAGTCTGCCACTAAGTTGGCAAAGGTTGTATTACTGAATTTGACTTGGCAAGTAATGGCTGTAAATTTCCGTTTCAATAATATTGAAACATGGAGCCGCAAAGTACTTGTCAAATCTTGACCTGAAATAAAGCTTGATATTTTCAAGGAAATTACAAATACTAGTTTTGTAACCACCTGTCTTAAATAGAGATCACTGTAGTTTCGTGGACCCCTGGGGCCCATACAAAATTAGATGTAAATTACCGACAAGAAGTGTGCTTTCAGTGCAACTGTGGCCCATGGCTCATAAAGAAAGGGGCTGTGAATCTATGATAGAAAATCAGCTTGGCTAATCTCTATAAATACCTTCATTGGCTTCTATTTTGTGATATCACACATCTATCCATAGAAAAGCCTACTATTGAATACTAGTTGAAAAGGTTATCCTCCTTCTTGGTTAGGAGATAGCAGTCTAGGATTCGCTTAGGAGACAATCGAATTAACTAGGCTCGGGGCGAGGCTCTGGTAGCTCTGGGGAAGGCGCTGTTAGTCAATCTAACCTAGACCCATTTTCAGGGCTATTGGAAACTCACCTGCTGGGAGAGACTGTAACTAAATATCCCGTTTGGAAAGCATGTAAATAATAATAACTATCGCCAAATAGAATCTAGTCGCCAAAGGCACATAGGCCCAGGACCTGAAACACTCTCACTGCCTCACACACACCAGGCGTCAGCCATGTCTTTAGGCGGCCCGCACTCTGGTCAACCAGGGGTGTTGGATCGACTCAGGCAGCCATTTTCTTTATTTTATTCCCCTCAAAGCCGACTGAAGGAAAATCCTGCTACCCTAGTTCTAGGTTGTAAGAGGAGTTGAAAGCCATGCGTGTCCTAGGCACTTTGATCGGTCTGCTGACTGGGACGAAACTCCTGGCCCCCGCGCTGGCCATCGAGTTGGACATCACGAATGAGGGTAAGCGCGATCCTCGAACTCATCTATCCTCCCTTTCCCCCACGTCTCTTCTTTTGGCTGATCACTCCGGCGATGGATGATAGATTCGGTCAAGAATGCAGCAAGTATAGCAACGTGGGGCGCAATGTCTTATTACATTGGCAACGAAACGGGCCAGACCCCCGGCGTCATCCCTAATAAATGGTACGAAGGCTCGGTGCTATTTCTGTGCGCCATCTACTACTGGCATTTCACGGGCGACGCCACCTACAACGAGGAAGTCCGCCTCGGACTCGAGTGGCAATCCGGGGATAGCGACTTCCTGCCTGGAAACTGGTCGCAGTATATGGGCAATGACGACCAGTCGTTCTGGGGGGTTGCTGCCATGACGGCCGCCGAGCTGAACCTCACCGACTACGGCCAGTACTCGTGGCTGTCGCTTGCGCAGGGCGTGTTCAACACCCAGACCCAGGACCCGAGTCACTCGGGCTGGGATGATACGTCGTGCGGCGGCGGCGTGCGCTGGCAGCAGCACAACATCATGAAAGGGTATACCATGAAGAATGCCATCTCGAATGGACTGTTGTTCCAGATTTCGGCTCGTCTCTACCGCTACACAAATGAACCGGACTATGCCACTTGGGCAGAGAAGATTTGGGACTGGTCGAATGAGTACTTGATCAACAACCAGACCTGGGAAATCGCCGATTCGGTCAATACTACGCAGGATTGCAAGGTGAAGGGCATGGGTGAAAATTCATACAACTATTCCTCGTTTCTCATGGGGTTGGCCTATATGTATAACCATGTGCGTTCCATCCCTATCTGCTTCACTCGCTTCTTTGATTGATGATGGCCCGAACCAACGTACCGCATTAGACCACAGGCGCTGCCCAGGCGAAATGGGAGGCAGCCATCTACGGGCTTGCCAACAAGACGCTGAATGAATTCTTCCCTACTAAGTATGGCAATGTTGAATACGAGCCGTCCTGCGATCCGTTCCCCACACAATGCTACGACGCAAACAACCTCTTGTTCAAGGGGCACACCTCCTCCTGGCTCGGCTTCACCGCTCTGTTGGTCCCGCAGATCTACGAGGATATCATGACTCGGCTCCAGGCGACCGCCAAGGCCGCTGCCGCTGCCTGTACCGGGCCCGGGCAAGACGGCAATCAGTGCGGAAGTGCGTGGTACCAGAGCAAGTATGACGGCCGCACCGGCATGGAGGAGCAGATCTCGGCTGCCGATCTCTTCTCCGTCAACATGATTCCGTTCATCCGTGTCACACCCCAGAAATACCTGGCGCCGTTGACCTCGACGACCGGTGGCTCTAGTACCAGTAACCCGAACGCGGGAATGAATGATAATACGTATGGAGAGCAGTTCGCGCCCATCACCACGGGAGATCGAGCCGGCGCGGGCATTCTGACTGCTACTTTTCTGGCCGGTTGGATTGGCGGCGTGTTTTGGCTGTTGATGAAATAGTGAAATCGTTTGGCACGAGTGATTTTTCCTTTCTTTATTGTCGGGTATTCAATATTATGAATGTTACATAGTTGGTCTATTAATTGATTGATTTACTTCCTTCTCTCACCGTCCTTACTTTCTTTCCTCCCATTTGTCTCACACATTCTCTGCATCTAGTTTTGGGATTCAATAAGGATGGCCTGGGTCTAGATCGTACAGGACAAGCGTATGAGGAAGGCTTTGGCCTAGAGTCAATAAGTCGTGGAGGCCTTTCTCTTTGAATTGGATTCCCTTTTTACCCCCTTTCCCCTCCACGTAGTCCGCCTGCCTGCCTGCGATCAGCCTCTCCTTCTAGTGAACGACACTATTTTCCCGCAACTGATTAGCTACTGTATATTGGCCCGTGACTGATCCCCACCTGGAACCCGAATTCGCGTCACCAAACGATATAGAGGTCATATTTAACACACTGTGCACACGATGCTTGAGGTTCCATACAGAAGAAAGGTGCCGAGCCCACTAATAGTAGTAGCCCATCCTCAGCCTCACCATCTGGTGACTTTATGGGAGCTAAATGTTGGATGATTCCAGAAGACAAACTACTTGAAACCAGCCGAATTTGTCCTACTCGTCAGGTATTTATCGTATCTACAGAATCACCGTGTGAAATATCGAAGACACAACTTAGATCATCCAACTCTTGACAGAGCTCCTACAATAAGATGGAGTGGTACTTTCTTCTCTTTAGTTACTGACGGTAGAGAGTGGGAGATTCTACGCAGCAACACAGACCCAGTCAAAAATTACAAGGACCTACTCGAAGATCATGTAAATAACCGGGCCTTCCGTATTGGTAATAAAAAATATTGAGCTTGAAATTGGGATACAGGCACGTGATTTGGCAATACTTAACCGTAAAACCAAAGAGTGTTGTATTGTAAAAGTATGAGTGAAGCACACAATTAAATACAGATGTTCGATCATGTGACTGCACGTGATCTGTAAGAGTTCTGTAAGGAGATTCCTGACCTCACATCACTAATTGAAAAGATTACGTAAGTCGTTGTGTCCCTAACAAGGTTGTTGTGTCCCTATGAATTCCGTACCAAGTTAACTCCCCGTAGCTCGGGTCAAAGGAGTTTCCACGAAATTTGTCCCAGAACACTATGATCGGGGAGGTTCTATTCATGTTCTTCGGCCATAGCCCTATCCAACTTGCATGTTCCGCAAAGTAACAACCAGCTGAATGTCTGCAGACCCGCTGAGCATGACGGCAACGTCCCCAGATGGTGTGGATGGAGCAAGCGGAAGTTCTCAGCCTATCAAACGACGCCGAGTGACTTATGCATGCGATCTGTGTCGCTCCAAGAAGAATCGCTGCGACGGGGGAGACCATCTTGTGGGCCTTGTCGCGAGCGGAACCAAACATGTATCTACACCGGGCAAAGAGCCCGGATTTCGGTTACCCAAGAGTGAGCAGCCACGGGTTAGGGTGTTAGCATATCAGGGCTAATAATAGGTTGCAGATATGTTGATGACCTGAAACGTCGAAACCAGATGTTGGAGTGCCGGCTGACGGCCCTGCGGAGCAGTGACGCCTTCAATCAGTACGTGAGTACGTTCTTGTCGGATGACAGATGTCTGATCTTGATTCAGGAGAACCAGTGGACAGCAATCCCCTTCAACTACACAGCTGCAAGACGGAGCAGCCGCGGAGTCAACTATAAATGGTATGGAGAAATCTGACGAAAGGTCAACTGAATATTTTGGGGAGTCATCTACATTCGACTTCTTAGCAAAGGTCGGCTCGCCAGACAAGAACCTATCCCAAAGGTCAACAGCTGCCGTTCCAGAAGTAAACCCTTCACTCACGACTTCGTCGCCCTCGGATATGGTCTTTGAAGGTCTGCGTGGAGGTGGCAGAACTGATGACAGCTTCGAGCTCCCGCATCGCTCGGTGGCTGACCGACTCGTCGATGCTTACTTCAAGCATCGACACCCACTTAACACCTATCTCCATGAAGGGGACTTTCGGCGACGGTACCACCGTCTGTGGCTCAGCCAAGATAGCGGTGGAGAGGAAGCAAATGCACAAAATCTGGCCTGGTTCGGTTTGGTAAATCTCGTTTTGATGTTCGGAAGTGAAGATGCGCCGGGAGCCAGTAGGCCACCGATTGAGCGATCACGATACTTCAAGCGTGCAAAGACTCTTATTTTTTCTTGCATCTTGCAGACCGGTACGATTGAGCTTGTCCAGGCGCTGCTCCTGATGGGCCAGTACTTGCATGGGTCCCTGGAGCTGGAAAATAGCTGGACCGTCGTCGGCCTTGCCATTCGTTCTGCTCAGGGTCTCGGGCTTCACCTCGACCCTGCGAGTTTTACCACAAATGTGGTCAAGCAAGAGATCCGAAAACGTGTATGGTGGGGATGCTTCGTGATCGATCGAGTTCTTAGCACGAAAGTCGGGAGGCCACCCACAATCCAGGACGGCCCTGCAATCCAGATCGGGTTTCCTTTGGCAATCGATGACGAGTACCTTGCCGATGCTTACCAGCCCCCTGAGATTCCATCCAAGCTGGAATATTTTAGTCAGGTTATTGTGCAGTGCCGACTGATCGAGAAGATCTTGGATACACTCTACAGTTGGGGGAGCGCCTCACATCGTTCCAAGCGTAAGTCAGTAACCGCTAATACACCGCAGCTTTTAGCACGAATGATCGAGCTGGATGGAGAACTTATTGCGTGGCAGAATGCCCTGCCTCGGCACCTAAGACCGGGTATCCAGAGCCAAGAGTGGCATTTTGACCGACAGAGGAACGTCTTGCTGATGCGGTATTGTCTTCCTTTGATGTATTGTCCACAGCTGCTAATTGGAAAAGCTTCCTTCACGCTCGCCTCCTTATTCATCGGCAGACACTGCTCTTCTATGTCAGCAGGAATCGCGAATCTGATTCGTTGCAGAAGGAAATAATGCAGGCCTGCCTCAAGAGATGTGTCACGGCTGCGCACGAATCAATCACCCAAATGCGCCTCCTGCACAAACACAACTTGCTCTCTTCGTTCTGGCATAACTCACATTGTATGTTCGGCTTTGAGTTTCCCAATTTATTCATGTTGGCTGAAAAAAAGAAAACCAGATGTCTTCGCCGCTCTCGGCGTTCTTCTCGTCTATCAGACGATAGTAGATCCATACACTAAAGCAGATATTGGTCTTGCCGCCTCGGTCAACATCGATGATGCCATCCGCCAAGGTATGGAGAACCTTGAGCGGGTGGGTGGTCACATGCATCCTTTAGCTTCGCGATATGTCCAATTCTTTCAAAAGCTGCAATCCCGGCTATGGACTATGTCCAGCACATCTGCGAATCCACACCGTACTGGAACAGTAGAGAGCACAGATCCAAATCTGGCTACTTCTGTGTCCATGGTTGAAATACAGCAAGGTTTAGAATACCAAGCGCAATTGCGATCGCTTACCCACGATGATCCTGGTATCCAAGACGAACTCCGACGTGCTGGAGAAGCAGCGTTCCTGACGCCCGGACTCAGATTCGAGGATGAATCTGAACTCATTGAAAATGTTCTTCTTGACCAGGCAGGGTGGACCAATTTATTCGATGAATGGACTCGTCTGTAGTTCCCTCTCTACTTTAACTATCCATAATTTTGTCTGGTTTATTCATCCCTCCTTCACTCTTCCATTCCTACTTTGTGTTTATATTTGAGTTATTCTTATCGTAATGTTGGTGACGGTAAGGCTACCCTCTCGGGAAGCGATCGGCTCTGAGCTAGCTCTGAGCGCTCTCTGAGCGCTCTCTGAGCGACCTCTGAGCGGGACCCGAGCAACCTGAGCGCTCACCCCGTCTCTCACCCCTCTTCCGCTCTCATCGTGCCTCTGGTCCTTCTCCTGCTCCGATGCTAACCGCTCTACTGCTTTTGGATGTTCCTAGGAGTCCAGATCGAAATGACGTTTTGCCATCTCGCTAGTAACTTTAATCCTCTTCTTCGTGAGAAACTCGATTTTCTGAAATCTATCTCAGAAATTAAACAACCCCTCATTTTTACGATCTATCCTTTGCACTGCCGAAATAGACAACTCTTCTTCAGCCCTCGCTACGTAAAACCAATATGGAAATTCTCTTTTCTGTCGTCGTGGCCAGTATCCAAACATCCGGTACCTGCGACCACACTTGATGGTATCTTAACGGGACTGCGCATGACGGGACCGCGCTCGACGGGTCTGCGCTTGACGGGACCGCGTTTGGCATCACTGCGTTTGAAGACTGCGTTTGACAGGTGACACAGGACATAGAATGTTGCAGATAAGTAGAAACTCTTCCTCTGTCTCTTCTTCCCTTTCTCAACTTAGATCTCCCGTCGACTACGTACTCAAATTGAATTCTTTATTGATTTTCTTTCTTGATCTGACATCCGGTCACATAAGATCCAAGTTCATTCATTACATTCTTTCCACCATCGCCGCACAGCTATACGGACGCTACTTCATTGAAGTGTACTATCCAGCTCGCCTTGGTGCCTAACAACTCTTTCGAACCCGACGTGACAGCCATAATAGCGCTAAAGAACCCGAACCGAACAACGAACCACCGAACGGCAGATCGCCGCTCAATGAATAACTCTATCCAAGTCTTTAGAGTTTAGACCTTCTCTTGCATATTCTCCGTCACCTTTTCTGTGGCAGTAAGCGTATCATGAACGTCGAAGACCTCTAAGCCACTCGCCGTACGCTGCTCAACGTGACCTGTACATTGATATTTTGGGAAGTCCTTTACAGATACTTTCTATAGGGAGGGTCAGTACTAATAGCATGTGGCTGGTTATGGATTGACATGCATTGAGGAAAAGCTCATCCAGCTCTTCAAGCGACCGTCCCATTGTCTCCGGAAGGAACCACCAGGTCCAGATGAACCCAATCAGCCCAGTTCCAGCAAAGATGTAACCAACCTATTGTCATTCCTTAGCTGTATCCTCAGATGGACGTCTGTTGAACTAGCTTACCTTTGGACCAATGTTGGCCTCGTCGGTGTTAATGAGATAAGGCAAGAACGAAGTTATAACCATATTGAGACCCCAGCTCACCATGCTAGCTACGCTCTGTGTCTTCGATCGAAGCGTATTCGACGACAATTCTGTAGTCAAGGCCCAGGCCACAGGACCCCAAGAGAACGCGAATGCGAACGCGTAGATGCAGGAGAAAGCGACGAGAGACATTCCTGCCGCGGAGCTGCCTGGAGCTGCTGTGCCGACAATTGCGAGAGCAAGCATGGAAATTGTCTGCATTGCACCGCCCCAGAGCATGATTGTGCGGCGGCCCACGTAGTGAAGCAGAGGAAACATGACAAAGGAGCCGAAGAGCTGACAGCCGTCCGTGATCATAGTTGAGGTGAAAGAATTCGTGATGCCAGAAATTGAGTAAAAGTACGTGACGAAGCTGCTTAGCATGAGTGACTGGTCTGTCAATACTAGGACCTTCTCACTTACGTGAAGATAAAGGTGATACCGGAAAACTGCTGAAAGACTTGGATACCGACGCAAAGATGTGTTCGTCGACAATCCGTCCCTCTGATAAGGTCGCGATATGAAGTCGATATCTCAAACTTCCTCTCCATCTCTATATGTGCTGCCACATCTGCAACATCTGCGTTAACCCTCTCCTGGGGATATAGCGGCCCATGAAGAGTCCGGATGGCCTTCGCGGCATCATCAGCCCGGTCTCTCGTAAGATACCATCCTAGACACGCATCAGTACGGCTCGGCAAATGCCAAGTCTAGAGAGATTGTTCCTCACTTGGAGTCTCTGGGATGAAGAATGCTAGGCTGCTGAGAACACAGGGGAAGAAGATCTGCACGAGGAGTGGAATGCGATAGCTCCAACGCGTCTTCATGAGATGCGTGCCTTGGTCGACGCAGGCCCCAATGAGTACAGCGGTATTTGCACCTGTCTGCCAAAGTCCAATCATGGCTGTTCGCAGCTGGAACGGCGCAATCTCGGAGTTGTAGACTGTTACGAAATTCGAAGCGAACCCAATGCCGCCTGCGTTACATCAGTACAAGGACTATACTACTGAGTCCGATTCTCACTTGTGGCTTACCTCCAGCAAAGAACCTGCCCACGATGAGTGTTGCCCTTGTGGCAGAAGTGACTTGCAACAGCACGCCGATGATGGCAGTTATACCAGTGATGAAAAGACCCCATCGGCGTCCGAGATGTGACCCGATGAAACCAGAGCAAAAGCACGCTACCACTGTTCCAGCAAGGTTGACCAGAGTAATGGCATTCTGTGTGCCAGCCGAGATGTTCAAAGACTGCGTCTTAGTATCATAGTATCCGAAATCCTGCAGAAAGCTTTGGAATGTCAATCGACGGGGAAAAGCGTGGAATTTCTATAAGAAATTATTACCCTCTCATGGCCATGAAGCCTCCATATGTTCCACTATCCATGCCAAACAGAAGGGCACCGCTACTAGCACAGAGACAGAAGAATATGACACGTGAAAGGACTCGTCGCTCCTGACCTTTCGTCATGCTGGACGAGTATGGCGCCATGCCTTGGCCAGGTGACGAGCTCATTAGGTGTAATGATTTTCTAAGTTGCAAGTTAAAAAATGGGTTAAGATGCAATGATAGGAGATTGGAGATGTGTTCACAAAGCTGCGGAAGTTGCGTTCCTTTATAATGATCAAGCTCTACTATGCGGGGTTAACTTCGAAACGATTGATCTCTCCAGACCTTCACAATCAGCATCGAGGTTACAGAAACGCATCACATCCACGTCGATAGCCTATCAGCCGGTTGAAGAGGTGACTTTCAACCGCCCAGGGATGCAGCAGGCTCATTAAGTTCCCCATTTTGTCCTTGCGGGGTGATGACAGACCCTAAGCCACAAATATATCGAGTCCATTAATTAGTGGGGATTCCCCAGAATTAGACAGCTACGTCTCCAAGCTTGGGTAAAGTCAGTATTACTGTGATAATGTGCACTCGGGCATCGGGCTAATGATCTACGAAGGTGTTGGGGTAAGTTGTGCCACACCGCCTTCCGGCAGAAAACCCTGGCAGAAAGAAACCGATTTTACGCCCTCTACAAATATACTCTAATTAATCTAATACTTTGTAAATAACCCTTTTGCAGCTATAACTGCATTCATTCGATCCGGTATACTCTCAATCAACTCATATAGCAGACCAGGTCTTACTACCTTGTTCCAAGCCTCCAAAATCCTTGTCTTTTGCTCTTCGTATAGGCTGTGGCATAACCGCGGTTGTGGTTACCAAACTAATATCCATAACCGAATTTGCGGTTATGGATATCAAATGGATAACCGCAACCGCAACCGCACCCTTGCAGTATAACCACAGTTATCCATGGATAACCGCAAGATAAGTTATGAAACGTGCTTGTTTATAAGCATTTTACTGTAATATTGGTGACAGTAAGTTAGTGACCCCGCCGCCCTGAGCAGCCCACTGAGCGACCCTGAGCTGCTCACTGAGCATCCTGAGCGCTCACCTGTTTCTCACCCCTGACCAGCCCCTTTCATTCCTCATCATATTTTCTGGTCTTTTGCCTGTTCCGATGGTAGCCGCGCTACAGCCTACTTGCTCCTAGGAGCCTTGATCAGGAGACTTCCCTGGATAAAGGACAAAATGCTATTGTGTGCTTTGGGCATACGATAGAGTGGAAAAAATATGAGAGCCATAGTAATAGCAGGGGAAGTAACATGTACAGCAGCAATCAAAAAGCAACCCCCCTCCTTTTTTTTAACCTCCTTCTAGTATCACCCTTCCACGAATTCCTGTTCTTTCCAGATCTCGGTGGCAAGCTCCTCGAGCATGTCTGTACCAATTGTGATATCGCCCTCCATGGCATCCTCTGCCGGCCGAAGGAACAACTTCTCAAACTCGATAACTAACGGACCGCCGTCGACTCTGATCTGCTTGTTGGTGCCCATGGAGATATCAACTCGTCTAATTCGACGTTGTCGGTCGTTCCGGAGCTCCCATTTCTCTAGTGTGATTTGCGGCCCTTTGCGGTTGATGGCGAGCGTCAGGACGACTTTGACGCCCTCATGTGATTGGTTCAGCCAGAATCTCACATCTGAGCTCAGTTTTGACTGCGTCTCAGAAAGGGCCACCTCGAGAACGACGGTGGGCATGTTTTTTGGGTGACCACGAGGTAGGCGATGCGGTGCCCACGAGCCATCGGGTTCCTTTCTGCCGCTTGTGCCATAGACTGCGGTGGTTCTCAAGAGTCGTATAGCACGATGAAGCCCCATTGGTTTAAGAGCACTAAAAAGCAACGTCTCGAAAAGCTGCGGAGCTACTTCGTGCGGGGAAAGGCGCATCCTAGTCAGAAGTAGGCGAAGTGAGCTATCATATGAAGGGCAGTTTGCGGTCCAATCGTCCATCTGGTGAGTATCGGTCGTTGAGTTTAGGAAGTCGCGAGTGAAGGTCTCCTCGTCCAGATCAGTAAATAAGACCCATTCGCTCCATTTCTCGATAGGATTGCTTGACTGTGCTCGTCTTTGGAATTCTTGTTTCATGATGTTGTTAAATTGTCGTTTCCCTTGGTATGGGAATCTCTTAATTGAAGGTTCAAGATCGCCTAGGAAACCCGTGCCATGATCATTTGTAGTTGAATCGATCGAAGACATTTTGATTTTGGCAGGAGCAGGTAGGTCTGAACAAGTTGATATGTTATTCAGTTTGATTGTGGGAGTATATCGATAGGGAATAAGTGTGTGGGATTGCTTCATGGTGATGCGATGACCAAGTAACTTGTCCACACAGGTCATGTGCCACCTGGGCACCACTACCTAGGTGCCTCTTGCAAATTCTCATTGAGCGTCCAGATCTGAGAGAACTTTAGGAGTGAGAAGCCAGCGAAGGTCTGCGGGCAGCTCGCGCGGGGTAGTAAACCCTCCACACTTCGTTCCTCGTTTCAGAGCGCTCGATGAAAAAGGTCATGATATCCTCCTTCTGTGCCGCAACGAGGAACTGGGGAGGGTCTTCCCCTAAGTATTCGCAGTGTCTAAATCTATCAGCCTTACCCTAAGGTTATACTTTGAATAGGGTATTACCTGATCCACCGTCTTTTGATATAATCAATATTGTTCTTAGTTGAGACAGTATGTCGTCTTGAACGATACCTTTCTCAAGCTGTTGACGACGTCGCCGATAATACTCAGGGTTAAGCGCTTGCTTCTTTCTAATCGCAGACAAGTCAAGAATAGACATGGCTTTAATAGAAACAGCCTCAATCAGAAGGAGAAAGAGGAGAAGAAGAAGAAGAATTGCATAGAACAGGAGCTAAGAGTTGACAAGAGTTGACGTTGACGGGGGGGAAGACCTTTTAAATATTAGAAAAGAAGGCTTGAGGTAGTTCAGCACCTAATAAAAGAGCCTTTCTATTTTTGCAATGAGCAGCTACATACGGATTACAGAGAGGACAGGCCATGACGGCATGCCTGATTGTCTGCCCTGAGCACCTGAGTGAAAGGTGAGCACTATGAAAGTGGGTCGAAATAAATCGCGTGATATTTCAATGACTAATATTCTGTAAATAGGACGCTTAAAATGGCGTCAAATGTAGCCGTTTTCGGCGCCCAATTTACCGTCACTTAGCGTTAGGGTGTTATGACAGAGCAAAAAGACAGTATTTGGGGTTGTCTACGTATTTATAAAGTTTTTTATTATAGTGAATTATTAAAAAATACTCATAAACTCACGTTCTAACGGACAGTACACGAAATTAAAACTAGAGCATACAAGTAACAGAAAAAAAAGAAAATCACTATTTGCCGTCATATACCTTCCCACATCCTAGGCACTCACCATGGAAGTATGGGACGTTTCATTAGCTTTGTTATCAGAGGCCGCTGGCAGTTCTTGAGAACTGAGACCAGCCCTGGCCTTGACGATCTCAAAGTCATTATCCAGATCATGTCCCCAAACCCAGCGCATCCGGGTTCCCATCTTGTCATGAACGATAGGTAGGCATTGGTCATAGCTCAGTCCTTCAAATTCTGGTCCCTGCATCTCGTATACGTGACCTGCTTGTCGAGAAGTGATCTGCGCTTTTTGTGTACGCGGCAAACGCGCCGACTCGTATAGTTTCATGTAGGTCGAGAGTCTGGCAAAGGGATTTGAGAGGAATGATTTGACCGTTAGACCGAGGATATAAGCATCCTCAATTGCGTGGCCTGCCCCGGATCCTTTTTAAGTTCAGTCAATCAGACCGCGTTTCTGAAAAAGTTGCGACATAATTGAAAGTGCGAACAAGTCTACATACCTTGGTGAGGTAACATCGCATGGGCTGCATCCCCGCTCAGAACGACCTTTCCGTTCATATAACACCATTGCGATAACAAGTCGCGGTCGTTCAACTTCCACTTACCTGGCCGAGGTTCCATACTTCGGATCACGCTCTGTACGGTCTCATCCCATCCAGCATACTCCCTTTCCAAGTCCTCACGCGGTGCAGAGCTGGTCCAACTCTCCTGAAGATCCCCCAGCTCTCCCTCTGGCTTGGTCACAAATGCAACGACATTGAGAGTCTGGTTCTGCGAGATGGGGAACACGAGAAAATGCTTGTTGGGAGCGAGCCATGACACTGCGTACGATGGGTACGGCCAGTTGTGGGCTACCTTGGAGAGCGGGAGCAGGCCCCGGTACGCAATGCGACCAGAGTAGCGAGGCTTGTCGACGACGAACTGTGAGCGAATGGCGCTATGGATGCCATCACAGGCAATTATGAGATGCGCAGTTTCCGCACTACCGTCTGCAAAATGGATAGTGACCATCGAGTTATTGTCCTGTGATGATAATTAGCGTATATAATTCAGCCCGAGAAAGAGCTGGGAGAAGAGACTCTACAGACATACCGTGAGCCTCATAGCCTTTTTATCAGTCACTAGCTCTGCACAACCCCTGCGCAAGATCTCATCGTGCAGCACCTTGAGAAACTCCGCCCGATGTACACTCAACTGTCGCACTCCTCCTTGTTCGCATCCATCATCGTCCATGGCGCCGATGCTCACGATCTCTTCGCCGTTATCAAATCGCCGCAGGCTACGGTGAATGCCGCAGCGATCACCTGAAATAGCATTCGCCCGCTCGTACACTCCAAGTTTCTTCAGGATCCGGGCCGCGTTCACGCCGATGCCTATACCGGCACCAATCTCACGGTAGGCTGGAGCCTGTTCATAAACAGTGATGTTGTCCTTCGTCAGCTCAGGATTGTGTGTTGAGAGAGACAAGGCCGTCGTCAGGCCGCCGATTCCACCGCCGATGATGGCGATACGTAAGCTTGCCGCAGAAAAGGGTTCAGCAAATGACGAGGTTTGCACCGGCATGATGGGATATTCTCCTCTCGTTGTTGCTATTAAATGCTTGGCAGAATGGATTGATCGAGGTTTAAGTTATTTCATTATTTATGGCGAGCGCTTCCCAAATTATTTAGCTCCCTCGACATTCTCTTCCCGCAAAGCCGTTTCTCCGCTAGTTGGCCGAAGGAAAAACGGGATAGAGACCGGAAAGTCTTTCCGGAGCGGATAGGCGGTTTGGCTTTCCTGCCGGGATCTTTTACCGGGAGGTGCGGGGAATATGTACGCTGAGGTAAGCTAGTGGCCCGGGGAGGAATGACCGTACGGCACTGCGTCGTCCTCTCTGGCTATGTATTTACTAACCGGTGTGCATAATAAGCGAAGCGAAGGACTAAATGAGTATTATTATTGCTATAATTCAGAGCTGGGCGTGGAAATATCATATAGTAATAATGTCTGCATCTCAAAGATACCAGTGGGCGGGTATTTGGGCATAAGTTAACATTTTACATCACGCTATACACAAATTGGTCTGCATACTGCCGAGAGAAGATAAGAGTACTGCGCATCCACATATCAGAGATCTTTGTGCATATTGGGTTCTCCCTGGCGAGCCCGGATCTCCTGTCCTTTCCACATCAGCACGAGCAGCGGAATCCAGGTCAAAAAATTAATCGCAGCAAAGGTGCCCATTGAAGCTGCGAAGCCAGCACGCTCACCAAACGGGAGGGCATAGAAGCCAATAGTGAACGCAAAGGTTTGCCGAAATAGGTTGATAATGGTCGAAATCTCGGCAGCCTGGGGCTTATAGCAGTCGTTGCAATAAGAGTAAGTGAGAGTGGTTCCCGCCTGCACCCCGATCGAGGTGACGACCATGCCAACCGCAAGCGCGATCCAAGGCGTGTCTTTTGATACACAAACGCCGAAGATTATTAGACCTACGGGCAAGAAAAGACCGAGATAGGCAAGGCAGAGACGCACTTCCGGCTTCCGGTATCCATCGTGGAGACGGGCGTAGCGGTTAATTAGCTGGTCGGAGATCCAGCCCGTACACGACTCGCCGATCAGGCACCCGAGAGTCAAAGGCACGCCCAGCAGAAGCCCGGTTTGAGCTGTATCGAAATGATAGAGCTGGTCGGTAATACTGGACATGGTGAGGACGAAGACGATGGACCCGTACGTATTTGTCGTCATATAATAGACGCAAGGGACAACGACAGCCCAGTATTTCAGCATTTTAAAATTATTGGTGAAATCAGACAAGCGTAAATCTCGATTCAGCACCTTCTTGTGGAAGGCAAAGCGATTCCAGTAGCTGTGATTTTCGAGGTTGCTGAATTCTGTTCGGGAGAAGAGTGTTTCCGGGAAGGAGATTATGAAGACAGCAAGGACCCCACCCAGCATGATGGCGTTAATCTTGAATCCGTCAGCTTATCGCCAGCAACGTGCCAGAAAGGATTATTACAAAGAAGATCCATCGCCATCCGAGATTCAGGGCAATAAAACCGCCGGCAATGGGACCAAAATGGGGCTAAAAATATGTTCAGACTGAGTGGTCGAAGAATTCTAAGACAGATTGAAAGAATGCTTACCCCATTCGTCAGAGCGAGAGCGTAGAACCCAATGAAACGCCCACGCTCCCCCTGGAAGAAAATATCGCAAATCTGGGATCCATCGATCAGTCATGCCTGATAAGCGAGGGGAGAAGTCAAGATAAAATACAGTAGCTCCCCCAATCGCCAAGGCTACACTTGAGCCAATCCCTACAAAGCAGCGAGAAACAATCTCCCGTGCATAGGTGGAAGCATAGCCCGACCCAATATTCCCAGCTAAGGCAATCAATGTGAAGACAAGATACGCTGGCCTCCGTCCATACAGGTTCACGTATGGGGTTATAAGAAGTGGTGTCACACCACCAAAAAGGGTATAAGTTGTTGTCAGATAGCTGGCTTGCTGCTTAGTGACTTGAAGATCCTCTGCAATCACTTTGAAAGCGGCTGGGACCATTCCGGCTCCGACTGGGGCTCAGTCAGGACGACTAGATCCAACGAATAGATCCGCAGCAAGACTCACATTGCACAACAAATGCCAGGGTGCACAGCAAAAGCAAGACATAATACTTGTACCACTTGGGCCAGTTCTAAACGTCAAATATCAGCTCTCGAAGTCTAATGAATGTTTTCAATGGAGTCACGGCAGTTTCATACCAATGGGTCATCCTTGTGGTCGGTAGGCTGGGGCTCCAAAGGCAAACCATCCGCCCCGAGCTTCAAAGCCGGTCCTGTGTCCTTGTTTTGAGAGTCCCTTTGATCCTCAACATGCGTGACATCGTCTTTCCAGATGGGCGCCATATTGATTTGGGTGAAGGCGGAATGTTTCCCGAAGCGGAAAAGGGAAGTCCAAAATTGATCTGCATGCTCATGGGAACAGTAGCTAACCTTTTAATATCAATAAGTAGCTTTCTGCCGACCTTAGGAGATCCGGGTGGTTGGGAGATCCGGGGAGCAAGCGGGGAACTGCCGTTTGTGGGGCCCCACAAAATGTCTCATAGTTTACTCACAGGCGGGCCTGGAAGCGGAAGCCGCTTCCCGGAGTAACCCATGTGCGTATTACGATAGTAGGAAAACTGTCGGAAGCGAGAATTCTCGTATGCCTAGTATCGAGCTGGCCGAGTATTACATATGGTGTCTTGACTGCTATTTAGAAAAGAGCCAGGAAGAGAGTGTCCATGGAAGCTACTTAGGGGGAAAGCATAACAGCTACCTAACTGACGACGAGCCACGTGCAAATAAGATCTCCCTGTCAACCGATCCTAAAATTGACCTTGCGGACAGGAGCAAAGAGTTCATCTATCGGAATTATTATCTCGATCATACTTTGCTCATAGAGGTATTGTACCAGCGCCTCCAACGTCTTCCGGTTGTCCGCGACTCCGTAAGGCCAACAATCACCACCGAAGACGTCTCGGATCTCATCCAGATCCTGCGAGAGCCAGGGGAGCATGTAGCGCAGCGCCCCTAAGGATTCCATCCGCTTCCGCGCCATCTCCTTGCTATCATTCAGCGCGTTGAACAGGGACGATGCGGCAAACCGGTTGGCTTCGTAGTACTCCCGTCGCATGGCAACCAGATGCATGATCGGAAATATCCCTGTCCGCTTGTAGTAGTCCATCTCAACTTGCTTAAAGTTGGGGAATAGACGTTGGATATGCGGCGCGCTCGCTTTACCCAGACATTCCGGGATATCAGCGCCGATCGTTGCCTCGATCTCTCCAAACTCCAACAAGTCAGAGAGCGATTTGGTTGGGTCGGTGTTCTGGGTAATTTTGATCGGTTTGAGAGGGGGCAACGAAGATGGTTTCCCGTGGCTTCCGGGCCCTTCCATCTTCCCCTCCACCCATTCAATGCTAGACAAGTCAACGCCGTACTCATGTTGGAGAAGACCTCGAATCCACACCGCGGCTGTCATAGTATACAATTGCACACCCACGCGCTTGCCATTAAGATCCTTTGGTTCTTTGATCGTGTTGGTATTGACGCAGATAAACGAATGTCGGAAGGCCCTTGAGGCGAACACGGGAAGGGCGACAAACGATCGATCCCCAGAAACATAGCGGGTGATGTATTCTGATGAAGAAAGCTCTGATGCATCGAACTCACGATTTGCAACCATCCGGTTAAAGACATCACGGGGATGCTGCACCTCAATGAAGTTGACACCCAAGCCAGCCGGTTGGACCTCCCCAGTCGCAAGAGGCACCATTCGATCGTAGAGTGAGGAGGCGAAGTTACAGGTAAGCGGCGGCATGCTGGACAGATCTTCTCTTAGACGAGCAGACGGCCCGGTTAGTTGATCTATAACATGAGAGCAATATAGCCAGCTAAACTCGAGACTAACACTGACACCGCTGAAACCCCTGCCCGGGGACATCCCACGGCTGATGCGGGAATTTTCCGGTTCTCCGTGCATGTCCCTCCCGGTCTTATCACCGGAAATCCCTGTGACATAATCCTGTTCATGGCAAACGAGGTACGTCTGTACATACAATGGGTATACGGTCACTCTGAATTAATTATTTTCAGATACTCTACTGGACGAAAATATAGGGGCGTAAATCAGGTATCAGAGTATCGTCGCCAGCCTGTCCATGAAAGTATCACTCAAATAAGTCTCTGGTGTTCAAGAACAAATTATTTATTAGGTTTTATTAGACTAGGAAAATCAACTTACAATAACGTCACTGGGAAATCGCTCAAGGGGGCTTTCAAATCCAAGTATTCATGTCTCATTTTCTCATTACAACTTCAACTAGGGCTGAACGATCCTCATTCACACTAGATTCTTATATATCGACTCGTTCGATACCTCATTCACCCAAAGCGGCCACGGCTTTACTGCTCCTTGACCTGTTGTTGAGCCTGTGTCATGTGCCTCCCGTTCATTAAATACCTGTATCTCAGTTCCAAGACTGATTGCTTCCCGCTGGACTCTGGCGTTTTGAGCCGTGTAGATGCTATTAAATATCACCATTTCAAGGCTTTGTGCTGTTGCCACGAAGCCATGGCCGCGCATCAACACCACAGGATGCTTGGGTATGCCCATTGCTTGACCACCGTTACAGCCTAATGATCGGGCAAGCGCCGATCCTAACTTCACATTCTTCACAAGCATATCCTGATTGTCGGCTGGATGATCTTTGTATACAGATGCAGCATCCCAGATAGGCACAGCCGTACCCAAAAATCCGGCCATGTGGAAACAGGCCTGAAGTGGCGTAGCCGAGATAGAGAACGGGACCACGTCGAGAGAATGAGAGTGCACTACTGCCTGGACACCCTGGTAGGCCTTGTAGATTTCGGAATGGATAAATCGCTCCGAGAACCCTAAGCCGCGAGTTATTTGGGTTTGCGCCAATCGCGAACTGATCAAGTATAAAGTGACTGACCTCTTGGCGACTCAGCAGCTACAGGCTGGCCGTCTTTGATCCTGTAAATGACCAGGTCACCCACTGATGCCACAAGAGCAGGGGCGAGATATCTAGACATCAAGAAAGTCGACGCAGACAACCGAACAGAGAGATGTCCATATGCATCAACCAGCCCGTAATGGTGCAGGATGTGGCAACCATCTATGTACCTGTGGAGTAGCTCCTTGGACACCTGGCTGGGCTTCACTGGTTCTGAATCATCCATCTTCGTATATCATTTGGAAGGAAAAGCAAGCAGGCCTGATAATGCAGTTAGCCCCGATATCTGGCGAAATTCCGCGTCACTGGGGGAGATCCTTGAAGAATGAGGGATGGTCAGATCATTAAATCTTACTATATAGATCCCTGATTAGTGGCAGGTCTTCCCCTCTGCCCCTTAGCATTGTTGTCATTTGCAGATCCGGGGAGATGGAAGTTGATCTGTGCCGGAGCGGGAGCCAGTTCCGAGAACCCATGGAGTTACTTTGTATGAAAACGGTCTCTTGCTATGGCTCTGACGACACCACATTTATTTTGGGTATAGAAATATCCATTCCACTGATATAACCTTTTTTTAGAAAATTTTGCGGAATGAACGGGCAATGTATTACTGCAATGGAGTGGGACTTCTGTTTACTCCAAATTCGTTCTTAAAGTGGACACGGACGTGAACCCTGATGAAGACTAAGCTCAGTGCGGACCATCCCTCTACGCTGACGAGCATGGCAAACCTAGTGTCGACGCTATGTAACCAGGGCCGGTGGGGAGAGGCGGAACAGCTCGAGATGCAGGTCATGGAGATTCACAGGACAAAACTCGGCGCTAGGCGGGGTTGGCCAAGGAAGAGAGGAGAGTTTTGGTCTTCGATGGGATCTCGAGACTGTCAAAGCATTCGGGGGTCCATTACACGTCCTGAAGCGCACCAACGGCACATTCCACTGATTTTATTAGCCAGGTAGCCATGTGGCAGCACGTGATACGGAACACCCTTACCCAAGACTCCTTCCAAAGCTTATTGCCCCATTGGCCAGTACTGGTCATCACCCGAGTGACAAATCGGTGAGAGCCATTTTAGTGTCGCACTCGTCCTAGGGGCAGAGGACAAGGTTCTTAGCTGTCAGTGTCTGAGATTAGCACCTAGGCTCCGTCGATTCCTTCTCCTGCTCACTGTCTAAGATAGCGTTAATCGTTTCCATCGGTGTGTCCTTTTGCTCTCCCCATTGCCTCGCTCCTCCCCTTTCCCCTGTCGCTCTTCATTGGATTAATTAGCATGCGCGGACCCTTCCTTCTACGCTTCCTTCTGTCCCATCTGACCACTTGGAAGATGGAGGATTCAAGCCATAGGATCAGCTAGGGGCCAGCAGCAATCCTTCTTGTAGTGGCCGATGCCGCCGCTTAGCACTATGAGCGTCAATGCGCTGTGAAACCCGTCGAGGCTTTGACTCTAGGCATATTAATGAGAATTATTTTTGTCAAGTACGTTACTTTACTCCTGCCACCTTTCTACTAATATATCCCTTGTCCATAATGCGTCTGGTAACATTTTCCTTGATTTTCAGCTTCTGCGTCGGGTATTTAGCTTTTAACCCCTGGGCTGTATCCAATCCAAACATTATGGAATCAACCACGTCGTCTTTTGTGGAACGATCACAAATTAAGACCCCGTGTGTTATTACTCCTAAAGATGGGACGGATGCGGGTCTAGTGCAGCGCCTCGATAACTCCATCAAATCAGTTACTGGACTGTCCGATATTTACTCTTGGACTACCGACAACGAGTTAAAATGGTGGACAGTTGATTTGACTGATTCCCAATTGAACAAGCTGAAAAGGAATAAGACGTTGCCCATGCCGGCGAAAGTCACTTTGTTAAAGATTTCCGAGCCGTGCCTGACCCCGACCGGCTGGTCAATTCGAGCGACCCTTTTCTTCCATTTACCTCTTTGAAACGGGGGAAGTCCAGGTCTACGATTGGCAGGTAGGCGCTAGTCCAGCTTTGATCTCTATCGGCACGCCTGAAGGAGACGATGGTACATGCATTCCTGGATTCGTATATCCCATCGAGGCCGGAATTGGAACCTATATCTATCATCTTGAATTTGTGAGGGTTTCTTTGATCCACTTCATTACTCCATATCCCTTACTGACTCCATATCTACATAGGGAGTCAAGCCAGACTACGAAGATGTAGGAGAATCCCGGACCCAATACCGATCCTGATCGAGCTCTAAATATCTGAATTTAGGAGTTTGCACCAGATCGTTTACAGGAGCCCTTGAAGACCGACATATATAAACATTTGAGTTTGATGGGTACGGCAGAAGAACCTACTGATCATAGCACATGCGTCGCTTCTTTAGCCATAGGTGCAGAATACGGAGCGTCTAAAAAAGGAAACTTAGTGCCTGTTCTCATTGGGAATCGAGAATTGACAAGTGTTGCCGAGGGTATGAAGGCGGCCCTAGATGATGTCAGATCAAAACCAGATCGTGTGGGGAAAAGCCTTCTTCTTATGTCACTTGGGTCTGAATTGCCTATGGCGCTTCTTAAAATGCTCAAATCTCCGGCTGTAAAAGCTCAGGAGGATTACCTTAATCAATTATTTGATCTAGGCGTGCCAGCCGTAGTGGCTGCTGACAATGAAGAGGATGGGGATGATCATTTAGATTCCCTTCCTTCAGGCTTGGCAAAAATCGGCTTTCCATTGATCGTGATCGGTAACGCATTCAGAGACGGCCGTATTTGGCCTGGTTCCCGAGGAGGTGACCAAATCACTGTCTTTTCCTGTGGGACATTTGTCAGATGCATTTGTCAGTTTGGGATAAGCGGGACTTCATATGGTGTGTCACACTTGTTCATGTGCTAATAACTTACTCCGAGCTAATTTATCCTTGTCGTATAGCCGTACCACCAGTCGCCGGAACCTTGGGAGTATTCATGTCCCAAAAAGTGGGTGCATTCGTCGAAACAGTCAACGGCCTGACTGGAAGAGATTATGTCATCGCAGTCCGAAATTTCCTGCGAGATCAAGCCAACTGGAAGCGTGCCGGGGGTTCAAAGATGCTCTGGAACTTGGTCTCCGAAGATGTCCAATACGATATCTGGGAGGAGTGAGTCTTCGGCGCCTCATAGCACTTTGTAAGATAACTCTACTTCATCTGACTTCTGAAGGTCCGGTTCAAAGAAAAAGAAGAAAAAGAAGAAGAAGAAGTGACATTCTACAAGAATCTTCGAACTGGAGGAAGAAGAAAAACAGAAAGGGAAAAGAAACGGGCAGACTATATACAAGAGAGCAACAAAAAGCGACAAACAGATCACATGATCCCGGCTTGTGCCTTCAGATCTTCACAATAATCACTCCAGTCATCAAGTCCTGAATGGATCGGGAACAGATATCCGAGCTTTAAAGAGAAAACACACGACCTCACGATACTGATTAATAGAGGGAAAGATGAACCACTTCAAATATTTCTTGGCTTTGATTCATTGTTTCTTTTGCCCCTTTGCTGGATTAGCTTAGAAAACAAAATTTGAGCTTGACATTATCCTTCGCCTTGGCTAAGCAAGATTACTCTATTTCCATCGCCGGCAATGGAACGGAGGCCATCGTTACAGGAACTGCCTCGTCAATAACCTTCGTCGCCATGCTATATTGCACAAACTCCAACTCAATCTCTTCAAGCGACTTGTTGGCCGTCTCCGGAAAGACGAAATAAATGACGATCGCAATGATGAAGTTGAAGACCGCGAGGATGATATAGAAGCGATAGCCGATATTACTCAGCGCAATGGGGGTAATCTCAACCATCATGAAGTCGAAGAGCCAGTAAAAGATGACTGCGAATCCCATTCCCTTTTCGCGCATGGAGAGCGGCATTAGTTCGGCAGGATAGACCCAGGTGGTGCCGAACCAGGAGCCGTTGTTGATGGCGAAGAAGACAAAGATGAAAGAAAGAATAGCAATGCCGGAGGAGTTGTTGTGGGGACTGGAAGTAGTTGTCATCGGCGGCGCCTTGGAGAATAAGACGGCCACGACGATAAACGTGATGCCCTGCAGACAAGTCGGGAACCACAGGAACACTCGACGACCGAAGCGGTCGAGGTAGAGCACGGGAATAATAGAAAATAGAACCACACATATAGAGGAGAGCCCACTGATCCAGAGAGCCTCCGAACGGGACGCACCGACAAAGTCTGTAGCTAGGGTCGGTACGTAGTAGGAGATGGAGTTGACTCCGTTCAACTGATGAAAGATCATCACTAAGGCCCCTAGGGAGACGCGTTTGAACTTTCCTATAGCACTGTTGGTTGAGACACCCCTAAGAGATTCTGGGGACTCATGTTCTATCCGGTCCACTGCTACAATAGTATCCAACTCTTGCAAAATTGTATCGTCGTCAGGATGGTGCTCTGCATCCCCGAGGTTCCCGTGGAGGCGCCTGATCACGACTTTGGCTTCCTCGATCCGATCTTTCTTGACCAGCCAGCGCGGTGATTCCGGAAGCAGGAGTATGAGGGAGCCCGTGACAAGAATAAAAACGAGCTGAAACATCAGTGGAAAGATGAAGGGCAGACGACCCTCGATGCCATGAAATGCATAGTTGATCCAAGTTGACAGAAGATTGCCGAAACCACCTAAGAACAACTCCATCGCCATGTAGCGGCCACGGACGGTACTGGGTGTCGTCTCAGCCTGCCAGAGGCCAACAGTCGAAGTCAGCACGCCGACTCCGCCTCCTGAGATGATCCGGCCTATAATGAGCTGGACGATTTCTGTTGCGGTCGCTTGAATGATCGATCCAACTCCTCCCACAGTGCAGCCCAGGAAAATTGTCCAGCGGCGACCGAGACGGTCACCAACCAGGAAAGCGATGAAGGCACCCAAGGCGGCGCCGACAAGGAAGATAGCATTGATGGTGCTGAAGATGTCAATGCTCGTGGAAAACGTCTGCAGGAACCAAGGGAGAACATTTATGCCGCTGAACACACCGTTGTCGTATCCGAAGAGCAAAAACCCGGATGAGCTGGTGGCAGTAATGAGGTAGAGCAGCGGCCGGCCAGTGACTTGGCGGAGAGGATTCTTCATATCTTCTCGTTCCTCCCTTGTTTAGTCTGATCTGGTCCTTGGATTGTAAGGGGACAGAAAATGTCCTATACTGCCTATCTATATATGAGGAAGAATTTTTGGGAGGAGAGGCACAAGCAAATGATGAATAAATGCTTTGAGTAGAGTTCGCGGTTGGGGGAAAAAAGCCTGAACGGATCAGTCTTCCTTGTTATCCCAACTTGTCGGTGTCGGATCGTTGGACCTGGACTCGAGATCTGGACTCGAGGGAACAGACTCACTGGCTGAAGACACTTTCACTGTGTAACTAATCAATATATACCGAAGTCAGATGACTGAATGGTGTTCGAGATTCATGATCATCCTCTCCACATTCTGGTTAGGGTTAGGAGCGGGACACGCGTTCCATTCATGACTGGATTTTTATCCGGAGCGCCTGCTAGACCATAATTGTAGTCATTGATTACGACACAGATACTTGTCTCTAGTCACAGTTCACGCACTCTAAAACACCTAACTCTGCATTCAACGCCACCCCCGACTTTTTCCCGTCGGTACATCGGCTTTCCTCCGTCTGTCTCTCGCTCGGAGATGCTGCGACAATAGGGGCCTCTTGAACTTTTTTGGAGGTTTTCTCTTTTGCTATGTGGTCCTACTCTCTTTATTAGTTCTGCATGAACGTTATTTGCTCTTTTACTCTCCTCTCATCGCCAGCTACACTATCCTATATTGTTCGTATGCACTGACCATTGCCATATATCTCCATCACACACCAACATGTCCATCGAACTGCCACCTTTCGATGCGCTACCGCTGGATAAGAACGGTCCTCCTGGTAATGCCTGGGGGCTTTTTGGAGCAGCCGACCAGCTCGGCCGCCTGAATCTGCTCACGAACGAGACGGTGCGGCTCGCAGCATCCGAGCAGATCAAGATCGGCCAGCGAGTGTCACTTGACTGGCCACTCAGTAAACCCGTTCATCCCTTCTTCAATCGACAGATTTTCTACCACCATATCCAGCACAAGGCCCCGCGCACGGTGAACGACGATGTGATTTTGTTCAACACCCAGTGCGGAACGCAGTGGGATGGGCTAAGGCATTTTGGTGCGTCCTACCAAACACTCTTTATATATATATGTTCGTAGTACTGGCAAAGGCAAATGATTGAATTAACCCTGTTCAATGAGACAATAGGGTACCAAGACGCGAAGAAGTTCTATAATGGTGTTACACAAGATGAGATATCGTCAAGCGAGACGTTGGGAATCAATGGTAAGTCTTAATTGGATACGCGAGAAACAAAATGGAGAAAAGAGGTGAGTTACTGATTGTGTTCAACTGCCAGTCTGGGTTGAGAATGGTGGTGTTATTGGCCGGGGGGTGCTGCTTGACTATGGAGCCTGGGCAGCACGACAGGGCATTGCGGTCGACGTCTTTACTAAGTACGGCATTCCTGCATTGCATCTACAGCAGCTCGCCGACGAGGAGGGCATTACTTTCCGCCAGGGTGATATCCTGTTCATTCGTTCGGGATTTGTGGCTGCCTACGAAGCGTTGAGTGCCACAGAGGAGGCTGACATGCCTGCTCGAAAGAACCAATCTTTCATCGGCATGGAATCTTCACAGGCATCTGCGCGCTGGTTCTGGGAGAACGGTTTCGCTGCCGTCGCCGGTGACATGCCGGGCTTTGAGCAAAGTCCCATCTGGACCAATGAATTGCAGCTGCACCAGTGGCTGCTGGCTGGTTGGGGAATGCCCATCGGGGAGATGTTCTACTTGGAGGAATTGGCACAGGTTCTGAAAGCCCAGGGCCGTCACCATTTCTTTCTTACCAGTGTCCCTCTGAAGGTGTGTATATGATCTGGGATATATATAATTGTCACAATTGCTGACATGGGTCGTGATAGGTCCCCGGTGGTGTGGCAAGTCCGCCCAACGCCATGGCAATCCTGTGACCAGAGGAAACTACATATAGACTAGCATTACATACTGCTACTGACAAGTAGATGGATAGACAGGATAGGCTATCGCTTTGATTGGCTGTGGCTATTGTTGGGGTGGGGGTGGGGGATATGAGACTGTATAGCACTTAGAAAAGTCTGGCATTGCACTTTTCTCCACATGCGTGAAGCTGCTATGTCGATATAGTGTATACCCTACCTGATTCCTGCCATTCAATTTGTGTCTAGGTAGTGGATACCATGTGTGAGCCGGAAAGTCTCAGGAGAGAATGAATGATGATGATTCGTATTCCTCTACAGACCATAGGCTAGGTCAGACGATCAGACAAATGCATCTGGTGCTAGATTGAAGATATTGTGCATCAATTGATCTGACTTCGTTGGTTTGTTCATTAGATAAGAAGGTGATTAATATGGTGCTCTGACACTGCGTCCGGAGATATCCATGGTCATTATTGCCTAGCGACTCGTTGATTCGGCTCTGGCCAGAGATCAACCGGATTAGTAAAGTGGAAAGCAATGGATCTCTGTTATTGGTACGTTCATAGGCTCATCAGTGGATGATAGAGAAGCATCTATAGCCGACAAATACGGTATGCAGGAGCGTCATCATGAATTCAGACTCTGCACTTTGCCGAGCTCGAAGATGATTGCATCCTCTCCAGACGGAGTCCTAGAGTAAAAGTGCACTTAATCGAAGCCTATTGTCGATGCTCGATGCGCGGTTACAATTTATCGTTGAACTGGTTGCCTTGGTAGAGTTGGCCGGGAGATCCATAGCCTACGAATGCGTGAAAGATCACTCGACCAGACTTCTTAGAAAAAATTATCGCTTAGAGTGAATTGCCGTTCGCAATGCGAACAAGTTGTGACTTCGATATGGCTCTACGAGACCTGACTAAGGCAACACAGCTCGTCCGCTAGTTCATGAAGAGACAGCGATTGGGGGAATATAAAGTTGCGCTGCAAATTGCTGAGAGCAAGAGCCTAGCACAGTAGGAGAGCGGCGAACGACCGCCGGAGATGGCCCTGCATCGGTGAGAGCCCAAGGCCTCAGATGGATGAAGATTATTTACGGATTTTGCAAATAAAAAAAGGGGGCATTTGATAAATTAACGTTCGGTATCGAAAGCAATAGCCGAAGAAATGCATCGGTCTGCTGTGTTGTCATAGCCGAAATCCGAAAACGAAGTGGGGGTTGAGCGGAAAAGTGCTTGAGAGGTCCCGTATATTTGAGCTGTGCTAGTCGCAATTCCCGCCGCGAACAGAAATAAATAGAGGAATAAAGAAGCCGGAAAGAGGCAAGTGGCTTCGAAATTAGGGGCACAGAAGGAATCATGGCCCAACAAGACAAGACCCTGCCTTCGTATCAAGCGATTCCCAGTGTGAGCGGCATGCCTCATGGATGTACCTGGGGGTTTTGGGATTCCTACAGCAATGGCCAACCCGATGAACTTGGAACTTTGAACCTCCTGACTCCTGACCGCGTCCTGCAGGCCAAGGAGGAGGTCAAGCTAGGCATCAGTGTCGCGATCAATTGGCCCTTGGACAAATGCTCCACGCCTCACTCCAACCGTCGCAAACCAGAGCTTCAGATCCATCCGCTGCCGGACTGGGAAGGCAATGACGATGAGATCCACATGAACACTCAAAGTGGCAGTCAATGGGATGGATTCCGTGGGTATCTCAAATGCACTGCTGTTTCGAAAGAAATTTACTTACGGGACGATTGCTTGTCAGGGCATTGGGCTCACCAGCCCACCGGCTTGTACTACAATGGAGTCACGACCGCCGATATAAGAGACAACCGAAGCAATACGAGGAACGGAATCGATAGTAAATGCTCAACCCGTTTCTTTGAAAAATGGGATCCTCGACTAACCAATGCCGTTAGAATGGACCGAGCGTGGAGGGATTGTCGGTCGTGGAATTCTGCTGGATTACCTTTCCTGGGCGGATTCGAAGGGCATTCATTACTCGCCGGTCGAATATCACGAAATCTCGGTGCAAGACCTGGAGGCGGTCGCTAAGGCTCAGGGGACCGAAATTCGCCCTGGTGATATTCTCCTCATCCGATCCGGCTTTGTCAAATGGTACAATGAAGCTTCCACAAAAGAGCGCGTAAGCGGAACTGCAGAGGGAAAGGCGTGGGCTGGAGTCGTAGGAACTCAAGAAACCGTCACCTGGATGTGGGACCATCATTTGGCCGCTGTTGGGGGAGATGCAAATGCTTTCGAGGCGTGGCCGGCAAAGGATGAGATATACCGTAAGTAGAACATTCTCTACGGATGTTTAAAGGGGAAAAGGCTGATCGAACTAGGCCTCCATGATAATCTTATTGCACTATTTGGCATGCCAGTGGGAGAAATGTTTGACTTGGAGGAGCTGGCGAAGACGTGCAGAAAACACCAACGATGGAGCTTTCTCTTCACGAGCGCACCTCTCAACTTCCCAGGAGGAATTGCAAGTCCCCCAAATGCTATTTGTATTCTATAAGGAGGGGAATGAAAAGTTCTCGTGTGTACGGATTGGCCACAAAGAGATCGATTACGATTTCCCACACAATTATAAATACCTAGATACAAATAGAATTCCTTTCTCAGTTGCCAATACATCTTTTCTTCCCCTTGCCGCAACTGACTATGGTCTCTGTGAAGAGGAGATGACTCTTACAAGCTGGTTCGATTGGCCGGCACGGATTCAAACATGATGTCGAAATCATGCTCGGTCCACATCTCGTCACCAATCAATTCATCCCAGTCAGTGGGATAGTTGACAGGGATTGACATGGTCTCTGTGTCCCAGGAGGACACCCTTGAGCTCAGGCCGTTTGCGTTTGGCTCAGACAACGTTGTCGAGCAGGCAGCTGTTTGCAACATCTCACCACCGCTAGAGAATATATTGTTCACTCGTGGTGTTCGCGTATGCAAATTCGAATCGGATCTTTTAGGGTTGGCCTGAGGTCCGGGTCTCGATGTGTTGTGATCCAATTTGTTTTCGCGCTCGCGTATCCGCCGCAGTATCTTGGAGAAGAGCAGAAAGATCCACCCACTCACAGGCCAGGTGTCCTGCAATTCTCGAAGCGCTATCATAGACAACTCAATTTTGACATATCCTAGTTGCTCACGGACAGTATCCCCAGAGCTTATATCCACAGCATGCATCCCCATCGCAGCGAAAAGCCCAGGTACGATGTGGACCGGGCAGTGATGGATTTGTCCGCTGGACAGCACTTCTTCCGTTAGACGGATTATTTGATCAGCGGCACGCATTGCCAGGTGGTGAGATGACATTTGCGCGTCCTTAGAGCTGCTATTTTCTGCCGTCCGGGTTCGATACATAAGTACCTTGAACCAGCTAGAGTTATGAAGCGCTATATCAGTACCAATTCAACCAGTGGTGAGATTAACAGTCCTAACTAACTTGTAAGCAATATATAGCATGTTGGGCCATAAACATCCATCACGTCTCGCCAGCTGAAGCTCCTCTGGAAGAGTAATTTCCCAGTCCTGTAACAAACCATCGCAAGCCTGAAAAGTACCCACGGCTTCAGTATCTGTCCGGCTAGAGGCGTGGAAGGGGGTTTGAATGATTTGCTCGCCAATTTTGGAAAGTTTCGTGAGATGTAGCATGTAGGAAATCTCAATAGGGCGCGGCGAGCCACATATCTCAGAGTCAGGGCAATCACTTTCTTCTTCAAAGTCCGATTCTTCCAGCGGCTCCACATCGCAATCCTTTAGATGGATATGGACCGGTCTCCCCAGCGCCGCCGCCGCATGTTTATCCTCGGTGAATAATGACCACCAGATCCTTTTCCACAGCCGCTGATCTCGGATGCTCATATCCGAATGCTTCGTGGAACGGTGCATCCCTAATGTGATGGCCAGAGAGATGGCAATTCCCAACCAATGCCAAGTGTCTTTTTGATCAGTGGGACTATTCCACCAGAAGCTGATCAGAAAGATTGATTGTACAATGGTGACCTTGTCTAATTCGTGATCAGCATCATACAATGCCTTTGCGCGTCTATAGAGTGTCAACCTCGCCTCATATCTGGACTGAAAGCCAGCTTCCTGCAGGGTGTCACGGTCACAGTGCCCCACCGCCATCAGAAGCACCGATTGGAGCAACAGATAAGATGAGGGGTTCATTGGATCTGCGAATCGCCAGGCGAAGTCTGCTCGGTCCAGAATGGGATAGTGAGGATGCACGTAATGGAAGTAGTCGCGGAACAGTTGCCGGCATACAGTCGTCGACGGCAGCACGAAGGCACCTTGGGACCGGAGCGCGTATATGATCGCCCCGTCGTCGTCTTTGGGTGGTCCAATTGGTCTCCTTTTCAGATCGAGGGGCAACGGGAAATGCAGCTTTCGCAAACTGGCACGACACTCGGGCTTGATTTGTTGCAGGAGGTACGTCAAATTGAACGTTTCCCCGAGATACATCACATGTCCTCTGGGCCGCACGAGGTTTCGGTGAGATCCAGCTGGCGCAGAATCTTCGAGCATCCTGGCGTACAGAGTTTCTATTCCTTCAGTTGACGGCTGGCTTTTTTCTGCATCCTGACTCCCGGTGACGAGTTCCTCGACGACTGGATAATTGCTGACCGAATCGCGAGAATCGCTATTCCCACCGTCGTTGGGAGCTTCCAAAGGAGATGGGCTAGGCAGAGACTGCCTCTTCTGATTCCTCTTGGAAACGATTAAGCGACAGTCCTTACTGGCTTTCTCGCAATTAGTACATGGGAGTCCCTTCTGCGCCGCATTACATTTGACCCGTCGATTATGACAGGCCTGGCAGGCAATAGACGATCTCTGCCGCTTCCGAGACGGCGGGGCAGATAAGTCAGAGCCTTCTATTCCAAGCATGAGCGCTAGAATCAATCGCGTTGGGATCAAACCCGGCCTAGAGGCAAGGAAAACAGTAACAAGAACTTGAGCGGGAACGGATGGAAGCCACTCGGTTATCGTAGCCGAGTGTCTGGGCTTTTAAGACCCCGGATTTCGGAGCGGGGAACATTGCGGGGAATTTGGTGAGGGACGGAGAGTGTCCGGCATCCTCGGTTACGTACAGGTTACTCCAGCTTGTTAGCCGATCATACAGATCGATAGGCTATAGGGACCAACTAGCTATATTTCGTACTTATATTACTCTGGGATTAACGGAGTGAGAGAGCGCTTCTCATGAACTTTCCTGGATAGTTACAACCACCTTCGCCTGGTTCCGTCAACATGGCGAGAACATACACTCTCTACAATCTTCGTATCATTCTGGTATTGACATTTGGAAGTTTAACCTTCGGGTATGGATTTTCTGTTATCTCCAACACCCTGGGCCAGCCAGGATTCCTCTCTTTCTTCGGGCTGGACCAGAATCCCGCTCGAGCCAACGCCATCACCGGAGCTATCAATGGCCTCTACTGCGCCGGTGCCATGCTGGGGTGCCTCGTGGTTGGGTGGATGTGTGAAGCCAGAGGTCGCAAGGAAACCATGTATCTGGCCTCCGCGGTCAACATCCTTGGTGGAGCATTAGAAGCCGGTTCGGTCAAGCTGGGCATGTTTCTAGCGGCACGATGCATTGCGGGTGTTGGCATCGGCATGATGGTAGTTCTTATCCCAATTTATCAAGCTGAAATTTGTGGGTTCTATAATCAAAATCGTACGTTACATGTCCTAGCTGTGCTGACGCAACATTGTTCGATAGCGCCCCCAGCAGCTCGTGGCTTTTTGGTCGGACAACATGGCACTTGGATTGTTCTCGGATATGCAATTGCCGGCTGGGTGGGAGTGGGAACATATTATTCCCCCAACCTCTCGTTCCAGTGGCGTTTCCCAATTGCTTTGGCATGTCTTCCACCTCTGTGTCTGCTGGCATGCAGTCCGTGGATTCCAGAGTCGCCACGATGGCGTATGTAACGCTCTCTCGAAGACGAGAACCAAGAATGAGAACCATGACTGACAATGGCTGTAGTGCTCACGAGAGATCGGAAAGACGAGGCTTGGGCCATCATCGCAAGGCTCCATGGAGATGACACCAGCGGCGATAGTTATGCAGGCGCGGAATTCCACCAGATGGTTGAACAAGTTCAAGCAGATGCTGCGGCATGGTCTGCAGGAGGAAATCGTCAACTCTTCACAAAGCCTTCCTATCGCAAGCGAATGTGGATGGGCTTCTTCATTCAATATGCAGCTCAATCGACTGGAGCGCAAGTGATCTACGGTGCGTCTGGTTTCTTAACGATATGTGACAAATCTGGTTCTTCAGGCCGCTGATGTCTGTAGTTTATATTGTCTCACTGTACAAAAATCTTGGATTGACAGGCGGAATGCCGTTAATACTTGGTGCTGCATATGTCACCGTCGCGACTCTCTCCAACTTCGGAGGGGCGTTAGCTCTGGACAAGGTCGGTCGCAAACCTCTTCTGAGTATGATGCCTCCCTCTGTTATGTGGATCACGCTAATCATATTCGTTCGTAGTGACTGGATTGGCCGGGTGCATGCTGTCCGTCTGCCTCGAAACGGCAATGATCGCACGCTTCGCAGGAACTTCTAACCATGCTGGCCTCGCCATGGGTGTGTTCTTCTCGTTCTGCTTCATTACTTTCTACGGTGGAGGGATTGATGTCGTTGGCTATGTTTATTGCAGTGAGTTTCTCCCAGTTCTGGGAAGAAAAGTATCCTCTCTAACCAATGACGCTGACGGTGGACCTTCTACCAGGTGAAATATTTCCAACTCACATCCGCTCTCAGGGCGTCGCGTGGTCTATGTTTGGAACATTTCTCTCGACCCTGGTTTATGTTGAGGCTGCTCCCACCGCGCTGGCGACTATCAAGTGGAAATACTACATTATCTTTGTCTGCTTGACCATGTGCAATATCTTGATCCTGTATTTCTGGTGTCCTGAGGTGCGCTAACTCTTCCGTTCTTGTTTGTTTTCTTTAACAGAGACTGACATGAGGCTCCTGTTTTCTATTGCAGACCAAAGGACTATCCCTCGAGGAGATCAACGAAAAGTTCGGGGACGACGTCGTGGTTCAGTTGGAAGTTGGGGCTGCAGCCGAGCCGGACGTGGAAAACCTGAAACTAAAGGGAAAACACGATGGGCACGATATGGTCGAGCACAAAGAAGTTGCTCGCACCGAGACGGAGTCCGGGGATAGCTAATTGAGTGTTGAGACCGTCCGAACGATACTCGCGCGGAATAGGGTTTAGGCCACAAAATCATAAGCTATATAGTGTTCATTATGTCAAATCAACAGATGTCTATACAATACCCTTAGTTTTATTCTATATCGAAAAAAATCTCGAAATTCTTCGGAAGTGCTCTAGGCTTCTCAACTTGGACAAGTGGCTACGGCTCAAAGGTCTGTTGACGGAGGTGCTAATATCACAGTCAGGGATGGCTGGGATAATATCTCATTGTCTTAGGTTGCAGCGAATGGCATTGAGATGGCGGCGAAGCTGCTACTTGAGACTAGGCAGGGGGATATGGAGATTTTCCCTCAAATTGGCACTATCGCATGCACCCAGTCAGATTGGAAAGACAAATGCGAGTATTTATGGCTACGGTGCACTTTCAATACTAAGGTAAACCTCGTCCTCCATTTGCGTGGCCACAATTCTATTACTTCGCAGCCTCCACTTCAACACAAAGAAATGGCCTTCTGTAACTTCGATCTTGATACGTAATGCCTGAATATGATTTTATATCTTCCCCAATTTGCATGCAGGCGCATACCCGTAATAAATACAACACCCCGGAGGCTTGAGTTGGACAAACACGAATATTTACTAGGCACTAACTTGTATTATATATTAGCTGGCCGTATAACTACCACTCGTGTTGTTAATATACCTACACTCTGATTGCCCCATCTTGAGAATCAACGTCCCCTGGTACGACAGGAGATCGGTGTCAATCCATCGCTAGAGCGGTCAAACCAAGCAATGGCACAGCCCCGTTGATGCACGAACTTATTCACGACATGATCAGCAGTGGAGAGCTATCTACATTAGAGAAGGCACAAGCTCCTTCCGATCAGAATATGATCGGTACTTGCCAGCGAATCTAACGCGGAATCTCTTCCCAAAATATATGAAGATCAGGTTGCCCAACATGATGGCGGTAACAATCAAACCGAAGGCTACGTAAAACCAACTCAGGCTGGTTGCTTGGCTCCATGGGGTTTGAATGAAAACGAAAAGCGTGGAAATCACATTACTGACGATTGTGATGCCTACCATAAAGTCGGGGACTATCTAGTATGGGTCAGTTGATGCTGTTCGTTGAGGTGAAGGATGGGTATTCGTACGTCCATGTAGGCGTCGGTGAGGTATGTTAACGCCGCACTGCTTCCTGGGACAATGCCAAATGAACTAATACCCAGACCGAATGCGGGGAGCAACCAGTGTAACTGGTTATTCAGGCCGATTCCAAACATAAATAGGCCAGCGGGCACGAGAGGGGTGCAGACAAGAGCGAGCCAGAGTCGCATCTCGGGCTCGTAGATTCCTTGCCGTCTTTTAGAGAGGTAGAGGACAAGCGAGTCGCTTAGCGGTCCACATGTGAGGGCTCCTAGCGTGGTACCGACGAATAGGGGTATGCCCATTAGGCCAATCTGCTGCGGATTAAAATTATATGGAGGCAGCGTCATGACCGATGAGTATGTCGTTACTGGGATCGTGGTGCAGGCATTTAACATTCCGTACTCGACCGCCATAAAGGTAACCGCTGGGAAGCTGAATAGGATCACAAGCGGCTGGTAGGTTTGCCTCGCCATTTGACTAATCGGCATTGGTGAGGTTGACCAAAGTGCTAATTTCTGCCAGTATGTCTTTTTCGGAATCGACGTATCAATGCGGGCAGCTGTTGATTCCACATGTACCGCCTGCGCCTTATCTGCACCTGATAGCGGCATCTCGGGATCCATTTTATCGATTGGTTGCTCAGGAGTGATCTTGTCAGGCACTGCTATCATGTGAATCGGTCGTGAAAACATTGTTTCCTCATAACATAATATGAAAGCGACCAGTCCCACGAAGAGGAAGATAACCATCCACCACCAGACCCAGCGCCAGCCTTGAGAAGGTATAATGTAACCGCCGGCTAATGGCGAGAACGTCGCTCCCAGGTTTATACACCAATAGTACATAGTGTTGGCAGCTCCTCGGTGATGTACAAAGTAGACATCTGCTACCGTCATCTGCACTAATACTTCCGAAAGGGCTCCAACAATGCAAGTGAGAATATTGCTTAGCATAAGGTCTGCAACATTTTGTGTCCTAGCAAGCCAGACACAAAGTCCGCATTGGGCGGCGCTGCTGAGGATATAGATCGGTCGGCGTCCATATTTGAGTGAGAAAGGCACGAGAATAATGGCTCCAATAGAAAGGGACGCGCAGCCGGCAGCGTAACTATCGTTTAATATCGCATAGCTGAAGCCTAGCTCCTGGTTCACTGGCTCCCAAGTTACTGTAGCCGCGTCGATCCTGCTAGGTTAGCTTGCGCGTACATCCCTCTCGACTAGAGAACTCACAGTGCAAGAACCATCATTGCATAATAGCAGGCGAGCCCGAAGTTCAGATTTTTGCGCCATAGTGGCCAATTCTAGCAGGTTTCGTGCGGTTAGCATTGGTGCTTGAAGGGCCGTAGATAGAAATATTACCAGAGGGTCATTGGGGTCACTGGAAGGCTTTGGTTGCAGGATGACTTCGGCGGCTTCGCTGGGTCGTGACAGTTCTGCCGTAGCACTCAACGATGAGACCCTGTCGGATGCATATCTGTTGGTAGCGCACCATGCCACTCACCTTCAAGCCGGACTGTTCCGGGAGGCCAGGCAGAGTCCACATCTTGGTTATGGCTATCAGACGGCATACTGACATTGACTGAGGCAAAGTACGAAGATGATCACTGCAGGATAGCTTGCAAGATTCCGAACTCTTATAGCATTTGCTCCTCAGCCATCGGTCCAGGTGAACATAAGAAAATGTAGACTTACATCAGATTCATTGGCCTCACCCCTTCATCTGCTGTGAAGTTTCCTCCTTGTAAACCTTCAAAGATCTACTGGAAAGGTTTGTCCCAAAGGGGAAGCTTGAACCAACAGTCAATGATGAAGTCTTATCATGGTCTTTCTCCGGATCTACGCTGTGACCTCGTCCATGCGGGGAAGACTAATCCCATAAAGGTAGGGATCACATTGGCCGTATTCCAGGATCAAGTTTCGAAGCGAAGGAGGCTGCATAAAATTGATATTGCGCGCTCTCCACATATCCGCCACTTCCGAAACAGGAAACTCCACGAGACAGTCAGCCGAATGCGTGTCTCAAAGGGTAAGGATGAAGCAACATCCAATGATGGAGTGTTATTCTGGTGTTTCCCGTGATCTACGCTGCCCAGAATTCGCAGATCGTGGGCAAGCTGGGTCAAGGGGCGACTCAGTACTAATCTAATCTGAATTAATCATGGTTGTGGTTTCAGAATCATTGTCGTTCTAGAACCGTTCAGCAAACCATTACTTATCCACCCCTGGAGCCTCAGCAAATGACCCTGGAATTGGAGGTTTGGCATCCTCTACCTCTGGCTACCAGGATGCGCCCTATTGCCCTACTAGTCTTATACCAAGTAAGAGGGAGTCTTCTATGCATCCACTCCCTGATCGTCTTTCGGAATTCTACAATAGTAATAGGGTTTCTCGGATCATCCTGGCCCCGTGGGGTTCCCCGCCACGATCCCTGTGCCTCCCGCGAAATGCTACCACGGTCTCCACTAAAGGCTTACCTGAAAGGTACAGTTTTTGAAGAACGTTTAGCTCCCAGAAGCCGGTAGCATAGATCATAGATGCGAGAATTACGGCGCCCCTAGCCTAATTCCGCACCGATAGGACCAGTCTCAGATCATGTGAAGAGTTGCATCCATTTGGCCTTCATGTACACAATGATCTCTTACAGTACCTCGAGTCATATGTCGGAGAGTATCGACAGAATGACGATGCATTTGTGACCACACTTGATGGGATCTTAACGGGACTGCGCATGACGGGACCGCGCTCGACGGGTCTGCGCTTGACGGGATCGCGTTTGGCATCACTGCGTTTGAAGACTGCGTTTGACAGGTGACACAGGACGTAGACTGTCGTAGAGAAGTAGAGACTCTTCCTCTGTCTCTTCTTCCTTTTCTCATCTTGGATCTCCCGTCGACTACGTACTCAAATTGAATTCTTTGTTGATTTTCTTTCTTGATCTGACATCCGGTCACAGCATTCCCATATTTTGGCCCCAGAATCTCTATCAAGAATAGCTCCGGAATAGCATTATTCCCGTATAGTTGCCTATACAGCATTTTACCGAAATAAGTCTATGATTCACGGTCTAGTACTGTAAGGCGATCCATGGACGCATCCACGATAAATAACATAACCGGTAACGGCAATTATCTCCCCCCGCTTGAGTCACGATACGGGGTTTATTGCCTCCATTGACAATTGTTGTTCAGTACAGCTCTTGCGAAATACCGGGCAACAGATGCAACATGGCCGCAAATAACATTGTGGTTCTCGGGTAAGACCCCATAGAACCAACTGCAGACTACAGCGGACTGACTGACGATGACAGAGCTGGAGTCTCGGGCTTGACAACGGCTTACCTCCTATCCAAGGACCCGTCCAACAAGATCACCGTGCTGGCCAAGCATATGCCAGGTGATTATGATATCGAATATGCTTCTCCCTGGGCTGGCGCCAACTACATCCCATACGGTATTCTGTCTTGACCAAGAATTAGTACACACGTTGACCTGTACACAGAACGGGCAAAGAAGGCAGTGTGCATCAGCAATGGGAAATAGCCACATTGGCCCCCCTAAAAGAGCTGGCAGAGAAACACCCGGAGGCAGGTGTTCACTTTCTAGGTATGCCTATGACTTCGTTCTCTTGATGAAGACCATGGGCTAATGGGTTGTAGGGACGATTATTTACAACCGTACCAATGACCAGCACTCCGCCATTGGGCAGCTGTTCTCAGAGCTGGTACAGCCGAATCCGTGGTACAAGGATGTCGTGCCTGATGTATGTGAATAAAGAATGAATGAATGAATGCCCGGTCCCACGGGGAAAACACTAACCAAAGGCGGAATAGTTCAAAGCCCTTCCGAAAGACAAGCTTGACCAAGGAATCAACAACGCCCAAACGTTTACTTCGGTCTGTATCAACTCGCCTGTCTACCTGTCATGGCTAGTCGGACAGTGCGCGAAAGCCGGCACGGTCTTTAAGCGAGCCACGCTTAAAAATATTACAGACGCTGCTAGTGAGCATCACTTGGGCCAAAAAGCCGATGTAGTCATTAATTGCACGGGTCTCTCGTCTAAGTTCCTCAACGGGGTGCTAGATGACAAGTTGTATCCTGCCCGAGGCCAGGTTGTGGTCGTGCGCAACGACCCTGGGCTAATGTCGTCTGTTTCTGGAACGGACGATGGCGATGACGAAGCATTATATTTTATGACTCGCGCTCTAGGTAAGTACACTCCATGATAACTATAGGTATGATATTCGCTAATCACTTCTATCACTTCTAGGTGGTGGCACCGTTCTCGGAGGATCTTATCAAAAGCACAACTGGGATGCACTACCTGGCCTGAACCTCGCGAATCGGATAATGAAGCGTGCGATTGTGAGTGCGCCGCAGCTGGTCCAGAAGGGACAGGGGATCGAGGGACTAGATATTATCCGACATGGTGTTGGGCTACGGCCGCTGCGAGAGGGAGGACCTGGTGTCGAGAAGGATAACGTGGGCGGAGTCAATATTGCGCACAACTATAGCCATGGCGGGTTTGGCTATCAGGCCTCGTTTGGCTGTGCGGAGGCTGCGGTATCGCTAGTGAAGGAGGTTCTAAGGCAGAAGAAGGGAGCGAAGTTGTAGCTCTCGAGCTATCTTTAGCTACCTTCTATACTCCGGACTATACTAATTTTCTTTGCGCGATAACCCCGATCAAGTCCAGTTCCGTCTCATTTAAGATTCCAACCTTTCAAGGATCCAAGCATCTCAGCGACGACTAAAGATACACCCCCTACTAGATCAAGATAAGTCTCACTATGTGATGTATCTTATAGTTGTTAATATGACTTTTGCGTTTCACTTGAATAGGGTGCGCTTTCCTTCGTCGCTATCTCAGTCCCGAAAATGCAACTCATTTTGTCTAGCGGTGAAATCAGCTGATTTAGAACGACAATCGATGAAAGCGGTCAGGTGAGATTTGCGAGATCTAAAAATGAGAGTGGAATCTTAACCATGCCAGCCTTTCTCCCACGTCGGCTTGCAAACTAAAATTTCCAATATGTTATAAGAGAGTGATACTGCGACTTCGGGAAGTAATTTTCCAAACCTTTTATGCCCAGATTTTGTTGCATGTGTGCAGGAATTCTTGATATTTACTGAACTCTCTACAGAGGAGGCACTCCAAGGGGAGCATTTTTGGCACTTCCAACCTTCGAATGGCAAAAGCAACCTCGAGGCTTCAGAGTCATCGCCATCGATACACACGGTCATTCGGGCACTATCCTGCAGAATTTTCTTCTTGAGATCTATCGTGTTATGAAAACCCAAAATGAGATGTAAATTAATGTGTTGTCCACGCGAACTGTGAAGAGCACAAACTAATCACTTGTCTTAGACGAATAGTCTCTTATCGCTGGAAAATGGTGCGAGACAATCTTTTATGCAAGATTCGCTCCTATTCCAATGCTTTATATTCCTGGCGGTAGGACCCGGTGCTCGACGTTGATTTTAACCCTCAAGGGTAATTGTAATTGAGACCACTATTCTGGGGAGTGACTGGGGTAGTAACCATCCCATTCGATAGGGCTCTTGGGGTGATTTCCATACATGGGGATAAATGTAATTATGGACGATGCGAAGGGCTTCGAGATGGCTTCAGATGAAGGGACAAACAGGACGAAACGGGTCACATGGATTGCATGTATATGACTAAAGATTTCTTTGTGAATCTTTACTTCTCTCTTTCCGTTCTCCGTACTCGATGCTCTTCGGAAATAGCACAGAAACCTTCTATATTTGAAACAAGGTAGTTGAAAAACGTTCCTAACAACATACTCTATGCCTTCGAATCGTACACTTTCTTTCCCCAGTACAATGTTTCGCACATCTTTCTTTCAAGCAGCTTCTCCGGCGTCCATTTCATATTAACTACGGAAAAAGTCTTAGAAACCATGTTAAGCTGTGTGTTTTCATGAGCTCATTATACATGTTTTCACACTTTGTATTTGGCTAAATTAAAACAGGCCCAAGAGATTCTTGTTTACAGGCGATGAAAAGAGCTCATTAGATAATATGACCAAGCTCGATTATTATGTGGCTTTGGTCGCCGGGGTTAGTTGAATGAAAATTTGTGCATATAGAGAACTGACTTACGAATATCAGAATACCGAAACGGATGACGAGAAAGATGACGATGAGGATGAAAAAAGGAGGAACAAGGAGGACGGTCAGGACGGTAAGAGCGGGAAAAAGAACAAAAACGTCGTTTGAGAAGAAGGATTATGGCTTCCCTCTATTTTCTTTGGTTGACGTTCTGTACATTGATCCTGGATACGAATTGACGAGGCTTATTACTAGATAACCCGGTCCAACTCTGTTGTTCAATACTTTGTGTCAACAAATTTTAATATATTGAATGGCCCTAAGGTTGCATCATCGATGCGACAGGAGACGGGTCAAAAGGCGCCGAACCACACCGGACCCGTTTCTATCAAATAGGATTTGGCTCAAACATTCCACCCTCCTAGATCTCGCGTGTCGCTGTCGCCAAGATACACTGGGCTATCTGCGGTTCTTTGAAAATTGACTTAACTAGCGGCCTCGTCATTATGATGGGCCCCAAAGTGGGTTTCATAGTCTTATGTTTGGCTTGAAAAGATACTAGAGCTTCGCAGGATCCTCTATGAGACAGAAGATCTAGCAACAACTAACACTGGGAAATTATAATCCTCTCCATAGGCGGCGTCGACAGGGGTCGGTTTTCATCCACTTATCCGGGGCCGTCCACCAATCTTTTGTATCCTTTTGGAAAACCAGTTCCGGTTCATGAAAACGCCGGTTCATGAAAACGTCGCAAGAAAAGAAACCGAAAACCGGGACTCAAATTCAGTACAATGCAAAAGAGCCCCCTACTCCCAGCGAGCCCAAGTCGAAAGAACTCTACCAAGGAATTATATTGCAAATATAAAATCGTTGGGATACAGAAAAGCGTTACATGCTTCTGGAGCGGATAGATTCTCCTGGTCAACTAGGTTTGTGTTTCCACTTGCCCACTTGATAGTACAGTTGATATAGTTACAAAGTGTCCTTTACAAACATGCCTTTAGGAAAAGCAAAAGCGCCACCACTGCGATGATATCTGTCGGTGGTCTGCAATAAGAATCCCCTGAAGCCCTGACTCAGTCTCCATCCGCTGAGTGGCTGCACGACCATGAGCGTGTTTGCAGACAATCCTTGAACTCACGACGAGCGCATCGGCCAATACCAGGCGAGACTGCAGAGTTCTCACCACTAATTGGTGCCGCCGTGGTGGCTTCAGGCACACCAACTTAAGAAGAGAGACTAGAGACCGACAATAACGACAATCGGGTTGCCATCGCCGTCGGGAAGACAGATCTATACGTGGGTTATAGAGACAAGGACTTGATCTCCAGACTGATGCATCTCGTATTTCGGGCTATTCAACCCCGGACCCAGTACGGAATAGTCGGATGGCCAGTGCGAAGCGGCACCAATGACACCTCCGCTGCAAAGATCGACGTTGTCTTGGCGCTGAAGATGAGCAGCTATTTCTCCAAGTTTAGCATTCCCCGCGCGGGGGGATTCATGGCAGGGGTACATCCATATAAATACAGAGTGGTGCCACGGCAGAATCTGTTCTCCGGTGATTAATCAACTCACTTCATGATGTTGACTTCATTCTTTCTGGCTGCATTGGCACTCTTACCGTCGGCGAACGCGCTCGTGAGGAAACATGGCGCCGATGGCACGGGCAACTTCCCCAACGGCACTTGCCCCGACCTGACCAACCAAGCCCCTGCTAGCTAATATTGGACCACTTCCAACACCTTCAAGCGCTACAATCAAATGAAGGATGCTCTCCTGAACCAGAACCGCACGATCTTATTCTCTTTGTGTGACTGGGGCAATGCCGATGTGAACACCTGGGGCAATCAGACCGGTAACTCATGGCGCATGTTTAATGATATCAGCGGTATGGTTTGCCAATCGACTCTATGGTGAGGATACTGACCATGAGCTCAGCGTGGTGGACCACTGTCGCCGCATTAGCCAATGCGACCACCTTCAAGATGAACTACGTCGGCTTCTGGGGCCACCCTGATCCCGACATGCTCGAGATTGGCAACGGCAATCTAACTGAAGCTGAGAGCCACTCTCACTTTGCTTTGTGGGTGATCATGAAGTCCCCTCCCATCATAGGCACTGCCGTAAGTCATGCATTTGGCCACTGATTTTGGTTAGCTAACACTATCTCCTCCAGCTCAGCAACCTGAGCGACACTAACCTGGCTATCTTGAAGAACAAGTACCTCCTCGAATTCCACCAGGATGAAGTAGTCGGCTGCTCCGCCCAACCCTACAAGTGGGGATACAACCCAAACTGGACTTTCGACCCTAAGCACCCGCCGAGTACTGGTCTGGTCCCTCATCGGCCCTTGAGGGCACCCTGGTGCTGATGCTCAACTCCGAGAACACCACTGCTACTCGTACCGCAATGTGGAACGAGGTCCCGAGTTGCACGGTGGCGACGCTTAACAGGTCATCGATGCTTGGACTGGTCAGGATCTTGGCTGTGTTAAGTCTCAGTACAGCGCTACTCTGGCTAGTCACGATTCAGCTGTGCTGGTAGTCAAGGGATCTTGCTGAAGAAGAATGGAGTGGTGAAAGGGGAATGGCGGGAGTGATTGGTTGAATATATTCGGCCCTAGAATATTAAATGAAGTTTCAGAAGATCTAGTCTTTGTTTCCCGTACTATGAGACATCCACGGTGGATTTCATTCACTCTTGAACGTCTTCGGCTAATTAATTTAGTCCGTGATTGAAAAAAAAAGTCACTGTTCCTGGGAGCGATGTTAATGGTTTCTGGATGTGGGAGGGAACATTATCACAAATACTGGGGCCGGCCATGATTCTCGGAATCCATCTAAGATCTTATATGGCGTGGAACCTCAAGGGACAGGCGAATATCTCCTGTAATTCAACTTTAGTTTCCGGAAATGAGTGTGAGTAACCCTAACTCGTATTTTAGTTTCAACACCGAGATTGCCAAGAAATCTAATTAGATTTCTTGGCTTTCAACTTGGGCTTTGCGGAAGTTTATTGACTACTACCCTAACTATGAATAATATAATATACTTATTGAAGCTCGTCTGAGATTAGTCAATATTATATAGAAATTCTATTGGTAGCTCGATATAGAAATAGGCTAATAGTATAAGTACTAAATCCTATACCTTAGTAGAAAGCCACCTATGCCCACGGTGCCCCAGGCCTGTCACGTGTGTAGGGGGTTACCTGCGGACACGACTGAACGATCCCTCCAAATTCCAAGTACTATGGAAAGCAGAAAGTCGACTCTGTCAATAGTCAATGGTCTCTCTTACTTCAACTTATATCCATCGTTAATGGCTATGTAAGTCGCAACCAGTTCATCACAACTTCGCTGCTTTGTGGAGTTCAGGGGACACTAAACCCCCACCCCCGGATGGACTTCAGTCCACCATATCAATAGCACAAATAAAGAGATTGTTAGCGAGCATCGTGCCCTCTCCGCACAACACAGCACTCGCTTTCCGGCCTGGGTGGAGAGCGGCATTACTAATGGAAACGAGAAATCCCACTTCCGACAACTTGAAAGCTAATTTATCTGTAAAGTTCGATGACGTTTACGACGTTCCCGCAGATCACCTGATATCCGACAACGTCCGTCCACCTCCCTTCATGCATCGTACTCCCTCTCCCTGCCACTCCACCCTGTGAATTGACCACCATGTAGCATTGGGGTCCGGATCAGGTCCGGTTGTTTATATCAGATCGCACGATTATCTTCCGCATACTTGACTAAGTAACTGTCCAGAAGATGTTGCTCCGGCTGCGTTGTTGCCTTTGGGACGTTACAAAAGTGAAGACGGTCGCGGGCATGACAATGTCCGATCATACAGGTTTTAGCAAGCCGTATTTCATCGTTACGTGGGTGGAGCTGGGAATTTCGATCATTTTCTTGAGTGTCAGGTGCTACACAGCCTTTAAGATTCTCCACCGTGTCGGGACTGATTTGTACCTGGCACTGGCCACATTTGTACGATACTAATGCCAAGCCTAATACTGGAACTAGAAGTATTTATCGCGCATAACTGACAATTCCCTTTCAACTAGGCCCTCGGTATCGGAAGCACGTCGATGATCGCGGCAGGAGCAGCCAATGGCCTTGGAGTTTCGGAGGTATATCTGACCTTGGAGGAGCGGCGCTATGCGCTGTTATTCGGCTGGATCAACCAACTTTTGGCACTACTAGCGATTGGTTTGGGCAAAATTACCATTGTTCTCTTTTTGGAGCAGATCCAAGGATACCGGACGCATCTGAGAACCTTCACGCTGTGGTTCTTGGCTGGGAGCAACATGGTCATCAATCTCATTGTTGCCGTACTAGCGCTTGTTCAATGTGAACCCCCTCGAAGGCTATGGAATGAAGAAATTCCTGGTGTGTGTCCGGGGAAAAAGCGAGTGCAGATTTTCGGATACATTCAGGGCGGTAAGTTCAGTCCTTTCAAGATCCACATGACAATATGTCAATTATGTCTGATTGCATCTGATTCATCACATAGCCTGGTCAGCGTTTTGCGACTTTGCTCTCGCGCTATACCCAATGCTTCTTTTTGTGCGGGTGCGCGCCTTTTCGATAGCGACACGAGTTGGTCTTTGTGGTTTGATGGGCTGCGGCATCGTGTAAGATATTCCTGTTGGAAGCAATCTTGTCCTTGTATTGACATAAACGACGACCAGGGCAGGGGCCTGTGCAATTGTCAAGACTATACAGCTGTCATACTTGACGAAGCCGGAAAACGCAACAAGTGAGTAGTCTCTGTCTCAGTCTTTGTTATTATACGAAACAGCATACGATAAATACTCACTATTATTTCAGGGACCTTAGTGAATATAATCGTTTGGGCTGAGTAATCTATATCTCTCCGTTTGGCTTTCGACCTTACTCACTAATGCAGGACCGAAATGTGGGTTGTCTTCATTGTCAGCTGCATTCCGCCGACCAAGGTATTCTTCAAAAGGGCTTTCACTTTCGCCTTGAAGAAGATTACAAATGGAAGCACCCTCGTCCCATTTGATGAATGCTCTCGGGGAGTAGCGCCCGACCTTTCGATATAGTTGAACACTACGAGAATCGAACCGACCGCGATCTTCTAGCCTGGGCCTAGAACCGGATTAACATCTATAATACACTTATATCTATATAATCGTCTGATAGTCTGCCTCTTCGATCTCTTCTCCAGCACTCATCATAACGAATGTCATACAGGAACAACAGGTCCCTTTCCAGCCGAACCCCATCAGCGGCGACGCCTTGTGCCAAAACAAAATCATACTTGGCACCCAATTGAGCATGACTCTCGAAAGACCCGTCTCTTCTGACTTTCTTAACTTCTTTCGAAATTTCCCGAGATGTCTGTGCGCAGAAAAATCCAACTTTCGACTGCCGTTGCGCCATTCCAACCGACCCATACCTCTGTATCCCCTTCGTTGTTCGAAGCAGCAATCCTAGGCTCTATGCTCAGCATACCATACCTCTCGTATTTATATGCGCGATATATATCGGCGCCATATAGAATACCAAACTAGGCCGAATACACACCATTAGGAAAAATCCGCCTTCGGGTAACAGCCACATCAATATTTCTGAGCCGAATAAAATGCTAGAGTATGGTATTTTGAATAGCTGATTCTAAACTTTTAAACATAATTCTATTTATTTGTATGGCTGTCGAGTTATAAGCCGTCGAAGTTGGGTTATTCTTGGTGTTGGGGGATATAGAAAAACTAAACCCCTTTTGATTTTCGCAGTCAAAACTAAACCTCTTTAGGAGATAGCGTCTAGTCCCTGAATCAGTACTCTCTAGAGGTGATTCTAAAAGCCTAACTAGAAGCATCACATTTTTATTGAATCCCTAAATCGACTTGATCATTTCTACCTCCTAAACCTCTCTTTGTTATATAGAGTAAATCCTAGTTACCTACTACGCGACGTCCTTATACCTCGACTCTCAAGCTAAGAACGAAACGGGGCCGACTACGGAAACATGTTTCTATAGAAGAAAAGCAGATCTACGGTAGAGAACAACGGCGCATAAAGCGACAATCTATCAAGTGTGCACAGCGTACTTTACAATTTGATCAGTAGTACTCGACTACAGAGCACCCGTCCACTAATATCGACCCGTCCCTACCTACCTACCTTCCTCTAGGGGAACTAACGATTCCTAGAGCTTGAGCAACTACTTCCTCCTTTGAGTCCCTAAGGGGAACCATACGAGGTAGCCGCAGATAACTTCCCTCCTAACGATGACCTCCCTGTCAACGATAGCCTCCCCTCCACCAACGATATACCTAGACTTCCGCAGAACCCAGTTCAACCTGGACCCAACCCGGACCCAACCCGGACTGGGTTGGGTTTTGGGTCGAGTTCTTCAACCCAGTACTGGGTCCGGGTTGAGACTCTCGACCCAGTCCTGGGTCCGGGCCCCCAACTTGGGCTACAAAAATTGCAAACATAAGATAGCTTCTGACTACATAAATTATGCAATTTCTAGGCGTAATATTGAGTATTCCCCTTACAAGCAATAGATAGTTGAATTTAGGGTCAAGGGATAGTCCAATATGAATTTATTTCCGCTAAAATAAGTATAATAGAGAATACTTAATGGTACTCAAAGAGGTCATCATCTCGACTCTTGCGCTTTCGACCTGAGCTCCGTACCTGGGTGATATTTCCTGGTAGTGGTGGTTCAGACTGAGTCTGCTCTTCTATAACAACTAATTCATCATGCTCATCTAGCTCTAACTCATCATCAATTCCATCTGTATGCTCCTCAGTGTCACTGATTGGTTCTACTTCAACCTCGTCAAGCTTCTCTTCTTTCTCTTCCTTCGCTGTTTCGATTTCTTCATAAGAGAAGAACTTCTCAAGAAGCTTTGCCTCCTGCTCTTCGGTGTCAAATCGTGATGTACAAAGGAACATCATTAAATCTTGGATCGTCTGAGATTTCATCCTTCCTCGACGATAGTGATAGAGATCCCGAGTAGTATTAAAGAGCCGTTCAACTCCTGCACCAGTTGCTGGGAAAGAAAGTACATCGCGCGCAAGAGCAGCAATTGCTGGAAAGCGAGCTTGATTCTCTCTCTAGAATGTAAGAGGCCCAACCTGAATAGTATCTGTTGTGAGATTAGTATAAGTTCAATGAATGTTGGGTTTAACGGTTTAACTATACCACTATCGAGATATTGTGTCATTTCATCAATAGCCACCTTTGGTTGTGCCTCACTTTCATCTAACATCTTATCGAGCTTTGAGCTTGGTCGAGCTACTATCTGAGAGCCATTTGAGCATTTGTTGAGAGTTGAAAGTTGCTCTTGGTATGGAATCAAAGCTTGTTGGAAGGACTTGCGATAGGTCTCACGCCATTTCTGGTCCTAGTCTTTAGTAAGGAAGAATTTAAACTTATTCACTGGCGCAAGCATTGTACTAATTGCATAGATTTGCCCCCGAATATGATCGGTTTGAGAGTAGTACTCATTAAGCTTTAATCGACTAGCTTCAAGTGCGTGAAGCATCTGTTTCTTCCACGGAACGCGCTTTCGTCGTAGCTGCTTCATTGACTGCTCAAGATGCTCAAAGAGCTTATTGTAGATCTTGAACACATAGTGTGCGGTGATATCTCGAGTCTTTAATAGCTGAGTCGTATAATCAAAGAACGGCTCAGTAATACAAAGAAGATAGTCAACTTGGCGCTATTCCTTATTATGAAGCAACATCTCTTTACAATCATACTCTGCACAAAATGGTGCAAAGATAGCACGTAGCCGCTTTGCCCGACGAAGCATTAAGAATGTCGAATTCCATCGAGTTTTCACATCTTGGATAGGCACTAGCTTAACGTTTGCTATCTAGAGATTATAGAATGTCTCCCAGCGCTGAGGACTTGCGTTCACATAGATTGCGAGATACCGGACCTTATTTAAGGTATAAGATATCTCACGCTTTGGGTGCTTTACATTCACTTGGGCTAATTTTGACTACTTCTCTGTCCACTTTATCTCTACTATGTCGTTTAGTGGAATAGCCTTGATACGATCTAGAAGCTGGTTGAGACTAAGCTGAATAACGTGAGCAAGACATGGAATTCGGACAAGAATAGCGCTATCTAGTAGAGCCTATTAGAGAGACTCAGTAAGAGTCTTATTATTAGATGCGTTATCTACTGTTAACCCAAATACTCGAGTTTTAAGCTTATGCTCTAGAAGTGTCTCAAGAAGGATTCTGCTAAGGTTTGAACCTAAATATGTACCAAAAACAGGTTTAAAGCCAAGTAGTACCTCGCGATAGACCCAATCAGTATCAATAAAATAGCCAGTGATGGCTATAAAAGACTACGAGAATGGAGATGTCTAGCAGTCAAGCGCAATCGATATCTTTGAGCCTATAGGTAGCGTACGAAGGATACCCTGTTGCCGGTCTTTGACTATGCTCCCTAGTCGGCGACGGATTGTATCGGCAGATGGGATTCTTGGAGGTGATAGTGCAGACCGAGCCTTAGAAATAAGACGCTGGAATGTTGAATGTTCAATAAGATGAAGGGGCAGTCGGTTTACTGCTAGGAAATTAAGGATATCTTCTTCCTAGTCTTCTTGTGAGAAGGGTTTGTCGATCATCGCTCCACTCTTATAAGATCAAAAATAAAGAGTATTAGTATAGTAGTATAAACGAAGATAGTGATATACCCCTTTCTTTAGAAATTTCGTAATCTGTGATTTTTTCCCTCCCTCACTTTTCAAACATGCATTTGTAGTTACATGCCTAGTCATTGTTGATATACCATGATACTGTATTTTTTTCCCCTTCGACTTTGGGTTAACAGTATAAGGATACTCAAGAATCCCTCCACAACGTCGACACATAACCTTTGGTGCGCCATCTACACCATAGGCGACCTGGTCAAACTGTTCCCAGATCTCCATATAGTGAGTAGAATCTCAATTGATCTTGCTCTTTCTCCTAAAATCAGTTTGTAGCCACCAGTCTACCCAGTCACTATGTGCCATCTTGTCATAAAGCACAAACGCCTTCCTTCGGTCAGGTCCAACGCGCGTTAGAGCGGTTGGGATTAAAGGTGGGATGGTCGGTCGCAGAAAGTCCGTTTCAAAAACGTCGAGCGTTTGTTGACTATCCAATAGAGTAGCGAGGTGATTTGACGGTGTTGGTGGAAAGTAGTTGAGAGTATCTACCTCGCTATCATATAGAGATGATGCAAAGTCGGATTGCTAGCTTTGGGACATAGTAAAACATAGAAGGATTAGATCACTAGTCCCCTTAAAGGTAAGGGAGGAAGGGGAAGAGAGATACATACTAGTACCTAAAGGTAGTAAGTAGTGATATGAGTAAATGCAATGTGTTAGCTTCGTAGGTAAATACAGTAGTTACTGATTGGCTAGGTACCCTGCCTTTATATGGGTCGGGCCCAGTAAAACCCAGCCAGAACCCGGAAAACCCAGCCAGAACCCAGCCAAAACCCAGCCAAAACCCAGAAAACCTAGCCAGAACCCAGTCAAAGCCCAATCCCCAGCCCAATTTCCCTCAAAAATCTTGAAAAATTTCTATCTCATCCCAGAAATAAAAGAGACCACAGGATTAAGACGACTACTCTATCATTTCTCTGTTTTTCTTTTAACTTTCCATAAAATGACCTACTCAATCAAGGTATACTCATTATTTTAATATACAATTTAAGCAAATAGGGGCTAAATAATCAAATATTATAGTAATTGAATCAATTCATAGAAGATATACTTCCTTTCGCATGTATCAAAATATATCTCTACAACGCCTAGGCAAAACCCCTTCCACAACAACTTTTAATGCTACTAAATCGCTTTATATTTGGATTTCTAATTAGTTATATACTATAAACTATATGTGCTCTGTATAATTATAGAGATATTTCTTGTTTATGGTGCAAAAGCATAGTGATTCAGTGAACAAATTGTTACAAACCAGAACAGAGGAAAATAACGGTATGTTGTTTTGATGACTGATTAGCTTTATGAACGCTAAGACCACGTTTTTATGCAAAGGTTGGGTTGAATTGGGCCTATATTGGGTTTTACTTGGCCCCCAGTACTGGGTCCGGGTTGGGCCCGGGTTGATGAAGCTCGGCCCGGACCCAGCCCGGGTTGGGTTTTGGGTTGAGGTATTCGGCCCAAGTTGGGCTTTGCGGAAGTCTAGATATACCTCCTCACGCGATATCTCCTGGAACTATGCGTATTAAGATCAACCAACGTAACCATCTATTAGGGATATCTAATGACATATTGTAGGCGAACGAGCCGCTTTTGCGTTCAATCATCAGGAAAGAGCCTGCATAACGCAATTCCCAAGCGACCCGCCCACCCTATACATCATAGTAAATGCGATAAATGTAATCTCAATATCTCTACAACAATAGCTTAATATAAGGTCCTCTTATATCCTGGTACTATTTAGATCATATTACGTCTCCTTATGAGGCTTATGAGGTTTCAGAAAGTAATGATATTGTTTATGATTAAGATGTATATATTTGCATCTTATGCACAGTAAGCGTATTTTTTGGTAAAGCTACACAGTTTTTTTTTTTAAATTGAATTAGTTTATATTATTCCTTATACCTATCAATAGAGTTGTACGAATAATAAAACAATTTTAACCTATGGTTGTGAAATGTCGAGTTGTAAAAAGAATGCATTTACTAAGGTGTTTTGGGTGGGCGGGTCGCTTGGAAATTACGTTAGTTGGGCTGACCCCCAGAGCCCCTTCCAATTGGAGACACACATCAACATCAAACCCATGCTACAGAAAGTGGACCTGACCCGCTCTTGGTTCTATTTTCATTTCATGTGCCAATCAAAGTCGACAATTGACATAAAAGTATAGAAGTGAACAAAAATATACATGAACAAACTCGAGGCGAAGGCCGCGGTAAGTGGTCGGGATTAGACCTCGGCATAGCCCTGGGCCGCCCGCTGTGGGCTGTGTCCGTGCCCATCCTTGGGCGGGCCGTGGGCGGGTTTCGTCTGCCCAGCGGACTACGACGCGCAGTTTTGCTTGCCCGGCGGGCACGAACGGGCGCCCACGGGCTGCCAAACAGGACAAACATCATGAGCCCTACTTTGTGTGCTATTCTCTAGTGTCAATGCCACCGATCCCCTCGGCCCGGTAGTCCGCCCCTAGTTTGACCCACCCGAGATCGCCGTGTATGCTCCCATCCCTAGCGCCCCGTGCCCTAACTAAAACTACCTATACACGAGAGATAGAGAGAGGGAGGGAGAGGGAGAGGGACATAGAGGATGGATATAGTCGATAGCGGCGCGCTCTTAAGTCATTCGTCGACGCTATCGATAAAGGGTCATAGGGCTACGCGTCGCACGAAACGAACCCCCCCCCCTTACACGTATACGCTTTACCAATTCGCTCCCCTATCTCGTCTCCTTCGACCTTCGAGCTTAGCTGGCGAGTAGATATAGATAGAGAGTACTCTACGTCCTCTCCTCTCCTTATACATCTTTAAATAGAGGAAGGCGGAGAGACGGAAGAGAGTTCGATCTGAATACTGGAGCTGGTGGTAAAGGAATAAGCGAGTTGTTTTTGTTGAGACATATAACATTAGTACAGCGCAGCAGCCTTCATTAAATGCTCTTTGGTCTCCTCCTGAATCGAACGAACAATGTCAGCCGCAATCTCCAAAGTATTAACCATCCCCACCCCCGTCCCAGCCCACAAACTGCCCATGTCCTTAACGTCCAAACCCTCAGCTTCATGCCCCTTCATCGCGGCGGCTAACCAAGCTCGAACTGTTACTATATCTTTACCACTTGTATACATTTCGTAGAATTTGTTTCTCAAACAACGACCGTCATAAGTTTTAGGCCAGATATTGGGTCCCCAGATTTCATCAAAGATCCTCGATCGCACTGTACTCTGACCACCGTCAGAAGCGCGGAATATAGCGTCGCGGTAGATTTTAGGAATGTGTGCTTCAATTGCGCCGAGAAAGCGTGTGCCTAACACTAGTCCCGTGGCTCCCAGAGTTAGTGCTGCGGCAGCGGCTCTTCCATCCATGATTCCACCGGCGGCGATTAAGGGGATATTTATTCCCTGTTTTCGAAGTTCATCGGCCGTTTCGGGTATGAGGGAAATTATGCTCGCTCCGTTTTGATGCCCATGTCCACCGGCGTCACTTCCTTGTAGGACTAGTGCGTCAGGATGACACACTTGAGCGATGTCCACTGCCGCTTGCACGCTGCCAAGTTGCACCCAAACGCTAGTCTTCGGTGCCACTTTTCGAATACTCTCAGTCCAGTCCTTCATAGTGTTTGTTCCTGCGAAGGAAAGCCAGGCGACGGCGGGCTTGTACGTTGCGAATAAATGCATCCATGCCTCTATAGGCGATCCGAATACAATGACTCCTAGTCCAATCGGCAGCTGATCAGGGTCAGGAAGAGTGGCCATGATATCTTGAAGATCTCTCCTAGTGCGGTCTAGCTCGTCTGATAAAGCGCGCATATCGTCCAAATATCCGATTTGACCCAGGCCGCCGGCACGAGTGACGGCCGTTGCTAGTTCACCTGTGGCTACGCCGCTCATGGGCGCATTGACGAGAAGAGGGTTTTGTGTCCATGGGAGGCGAGTCTTCAATGAAACAAAAGCAGTCATGTTGTTTGTATGTGAAGTGAAACCTGAACGAAGTTTAACGAGGCTCGAATGCGGGTCTTTTTATAGTTGACTGAAGAGAAAACGCCGAGCGGTGGCGGCCGAATGCTGGGCTCGGTGATTGATAAGTATTATCTTTCGGTGATTGATGCGACCGTGAAACGAGTGGCGCATGTAAGCGGGTGGCGCATAGCGGAATGCGTCACCGCGTCGGACCCTACCATCTTCAACCACCCAGTATGCCACCAAAAAGCACTCAATTGAGTGAATTGTCGCGGCGCGGCGGCTAGGCTCTCTCAAGTACGAGAAATGGCAAATCACCTACTTGCTGTCACTTCCGCGGAAGAAATCGTGAATGGCAATGCAGGCGCTTAATAGGACGGAGAGCCAACATGCCGTCTTCTGGGGGCCCATTTTAAACTTTTTCTGATAAGACCTCACCACGCCCCCATGGATCGCCTCGATGGGTTTTTGCATCTGTCAAGAATTGGAATTCCTACAGATCACATACAGGGATTTTACCCCTCATCAGTATTTCCTATTATGTATTAGTCATTTAGTAGTTAGTGAGCGCTCTAAATTGTCGGGCATTCCCAGATTTACCGGAATCAGAGATTTATTTCTTCGTGAATTACACGTCCATGTGGGACTGTCGTACGCCCAGATTTTGACAGTTATGAGCCCGGTTTCGCCGTGATACTGCTTTAGGCTATCCTTGAAGCTATTCACACCTTTCCCTGGAGGGTCTGATTACCTCGTTACCTCTGATTTGGACGAGAGACCCCTACGGATTGGGATTCAACTGAGCAACGAATGTGCGATATATTCCCTATTGCATCATGGAATACGAAGACCTATCCTCCCCTCGAAGCAGCGTTAAGCTATCAAATCAATCACAATGGCAGGCCTGGATCAGGAATATTAAATACGACTGTGAAGGACTACAAATTTGGGGAATTTGTGATCCAGACGGTGATGAGACGCCTATGGATCCCCCTATACAACCAACGGAAGATGATGCTCTAGCATTGACCACCCCTGGACAGAAGTGGGCTGGAACACAGGTCTATCAGGTCTATCAAGTCTATCAGATGATGATGACTAGATACAATGCAGAGAGGTCTAAATTCGACAATCAGACCAAAGGCCTTTATCAGATCAGGAAGAAAATCAATTTTACCCTAGATCCCAGCTTCCATAATGAACTCTTACAATTAGAGAGTGTACGCGAGCAATTGAGGGCAATTCGAGCCCGATTTCCGCCTAAATTGGACCCATATTACGTGAAGAGCATCAGGAAGCAATGGCTAGACATTACAAAGGGTCCGGCGAAGGGCATCGATATGTTAAAATGGCTCCGTCAATGGGAGACCTTGAAACCTGAAATTATTGAGGCAGGTTGGACTACAGTTCAGGATTCAGCCCGTTTAGAATTTCTTGAAGCTATTCAAACAATCGCACCCGAGTTCTACGACCAATGGGACCATGAGTTCACAGTCAACGACAAGCAGACTACTTTCGAAGAGCTAGTCACCTATTTCAGGGGCTATTGGAGCCAAAAGTCATTACAAAACTCCGCGGCATCGACTACCGACGAGACTGGCAATAGACATACAGACTTCACAAGGCAATGCCCATGTGGCAGGAAATTTCATAGGCCTTGGATGTGCTATACTTTGAACCCAAAGGCTCGCTCACAAGGCTATACGGTCAATAAGGAAGCAGAAAAACGGACGAATGATGAGGTTGATCAGGATCCTGATTACCGAAAGTGGCTTGATGAAAAGATCAAGGCATATAATGATGCAAAGGCCAATAATTCAAAGGCCAATGATCCAAAGCCTATGGATCAGGAAGACGACCAGGTCTTGTATACCGGCGCTACTTTCTTCTAGATTTGGAAGATTTGGACAGGAATCCAGCTCAACCAGGATTTCTTTGGGGGGGGGGGGGTCTGTCAAGAATTGGAATTCCTACAGGTCACATACAGGGATTTTACCCCTCATGAATATCTCCTAAAGTGTACTAGTCATTCGTTAGCTAGTACGCCCCTTAAATCGTTGGGCATTCCCAGATTTATCTGAATCAGAGATTGATTTATTCGTGACGTACAATTCCATGTGGGACCCTCGTACGTCTTAATTTTGACAGCAGCTTTAACCACTGCTGACAACGAGATGGGAGTGGAACCTTTTATCCGTGTTGGAATCATCAATATGGCCACCGTGTCCTATTAATCGCTGTCTTTTAAAATACTCTTCCCTGATTTGCAATCTCTGTGTCAGTATTTCAAGGCCCGTTTCTATCGGTTTCTACCACGTTTATCTTTCATCAAGAGTAATGGGTCCGATGGCGAAGCCGATACGGCAAGCTCTGAAATACACCCATCCGGACTATGAGGCGGCTAGACTTGCACTTCAGCAAGAAGAGCAACAGCAAGCATTCGATTTTGCGTTCAAACAAGACCAATCGGCTCTTGAAGTCCAAGCCAACAAGATTTTTGAGAGGATTCGGATCACCGAACATGAACGAATACTTTCAGTATCCGGACCAGAAGCAGATAAAAAATTCTATTCTGCTCTCTCGGCAATCGAAACCAGCGACCTTATGCGTATAGCTCGACGGGCACCCAAAGGAGCATTGCTACACTGCCATTTTGATGCAATGTTACCCCCGGAAACGATGATACCCGTGGCACAAGAAATGCACAACATGCATATCAGGTGTACAGTACCCCTTGCTACGCCCTGCAGTTTTGTGGAAGCCCTGCCCGAAATGCGGCTGTTGACCCAGACGGAAGCCGCGGCGATGTCGCATGTCAATATTTTCCACGAAGATTATTCTCTGGAGACTTGGATGCCGTACAGGAACTTCAGACAGCAATTTCCCACCGGAGAACAAGCAGCAGATAAGTGGCTCGTGTCAAAGATCCTCTTACAGAAGCACGATGCATATTCTCCTGAACGAACTGTCAATAGGTGCGGACTTTTCCTCTTCTTCCCCTTGCAGCATGATTGATAAGAACTTGGAAACCAGTATCTGGAAATGCATGAACAACTCCATGCGAATCAACCGGGGCCTTCTTCGATATGAACGGGCATGGAGAGAATACATTCGCCGAATCATTTGGAATCTGGCCGAGGATGGTATATGCTATGCAGAAATTCGTTTTGCAATGCACTACGGCAGTACAGTCACAACCGACAATGGTGAACGGACTCTCTCTCATGAGGAAATGCTAGAAATTGTCCAGGAAGTTCTTCAGCAGGAGAAGGAAAAGCTTGGCCGGAGGGAGATTCTCTTCTACGGCATTAAAATAATTTATGCCAACCTCCGAGGATGCACGCAGTGGGAAATGAAGTGGTGCATTGACGATGTTATTCATCTCAAACAAAGATATCCGGATCTTATTTGCGGTAGGTAAACCTTCTAAGAAGACGCATCGACCTCTTCTCACATAATGACCAGGTTTTGATCTTTGTGGCCAAGAGGACGCTGGTAAACCGCTTTCCTTCTGGGTGTCGGATCTCGTTGACATGCAAAAGCAATGCCAAAAACTCGGTTTAGATATTCCCTTCATCCTTCATGCAGGAGAGACACTCGATGATGGTGGCGAAGCAGATTCAAATCTGTATGATGCTGTATTACTTGGGACAAAACGGATTGGCCATGGATACAGTCTGTTAAAACATCCTTTTCTTATCGAGATCTGTAAGGAAAGGAACATTGCCATCGAGATATGTCCGACGAGTAATGAGCTGCTGGGCTTGTGTGAACAGATTCAAGCTCACCCGGTCTATGCATTGCTGGCGCGATCTGTGCCCTGCACAATAAACACCGACGACCCGGGCTTTTGGGGGTATTTGGAGACCTTTTACTATCCTGTAGCTTATTATGTGACGACAACTAACCAATATTATAGGTCCTCCAGTTCACACGAGCTGTATCAACTTACTATCGGGTCTAGAAAAATCTCCCTTCCTGGATGGAAACGTCTTGCAGAATGGAGTTTTGATTACAGTTGCATGGACGAGGATGAAAAGATATGCCGCCAAAAAAGGTTTCAAGAGGATTGGCAATTGTTCTGTACTTGGATTGTTGAAAACTTCCCAGATGTCAAGCAAGACGAGGGCGATGCCAGTTAGCACCTGTAGCTGACCTATGCGCTCTATTACCTGCTTGCTATACTCATCAAACCACTGCAATGTACCTTACCCTTCTGCAGAAACCAGATAATCCCGGACCGGACCCGGATTGGTCCGCGATTTGGGACCATTTTGGTCTATCACCCTCAAACATAACCTAGACTAAGCCCCCACTACCCCAAGATGCCCTGACGCTTTAGACCTGACCTCTCCTACAATTGCGTCCTGCACCGCCTCAATCCTGACCTTCATCGCCGGCTTCTTCAACACCGGATACGTCAGCGTGTCGTCCTTGTTTCTGATATAGAAGCTGACGTCGCTCTGCTGAACTTCAGTTGTGCTGTGGCCATTACCCAGGTATGTGTATTTGTTTTTGCCGGCTGGATACTTGTAGCTCCAGTCCTGCCATTGTGAGCTGTTGAGCGTCCCCAAGTAATGCAGGGTGCTGCCTGGCCAGAGGGCCAGAACCTTGCCGAAGCTGTTGCCCGCTTTGTACCATGAGCGGCATTCCTCTGTCCAGACTACGAAGCACGAACGTCAGCTATGTTGGCTGCGCCGCAAGATTATGGGCTATTTGCTTACTAGTGTCTTTCATGAACTCGTCTTTCCACTCGTTGAACTAATCCACCGATTCCGCATTGACCTCAAACGAGTCAAAATTCTGGTTTTGAAATTTTGAGAGCATCTGTATGATATATTCGACTTCGGCCTCGATGGAGATAAGCACTGGTCTATTCCCAATCGGACGGTTGGGAATAAGTGTAACTACGTCTGTGTCAGCATCTGTCATCATTTGGAAGCGACCCATTCGATGCTTACAGATATAATCAGGGAACTTGTCAGCGGCAATACCAAAATATGCTTTTGGGTCATCTGCCATCCAGCATTAGCCTGTGAGAAAGTATTACTAGCCACTCAAGAATCTTTACCTGTGATCTCGCTGGATGGGATCTTAACGGGACAGCGCATGACGGGACCGCGCTCGACGAGTCTGCGCTTGACGGGACCGCGTTTGGCATCACTGCGATTGAAGACTGCATTTGAATACTGCCTTTGACAGGTGACATAGGACATAGAATGTTGTAGATAAGTAGAGACTCTTCTTTTGTCTCTTCTTCCCTTTCTCAACTTGGATCTCCCGTCGACTACGTACTCAAATTGAATTCTTTATTGATTTTCTTTCTTGATCTGACATCTGGTCACATTACCCTTCCAACGTGTGCCCAACTGTTCTCCAGTTGATCCGATCAAGGGAAATCGCGGCTTGAACGTAGTGTCAAAGCCAGTCACACAAATCAGCACCTCGAGTGAGTGCTCTCCAGCACCGTCCTCACAAATCACTCCCGTCTCCGTGATCTGCGTGATCTCTCCATAGACCACCCTGATGTTATCGTCGCTCAGCGACTCGAGATAATTTGAGTACGGCGTCAATCGTCGGCAGCCGACCGACTACTCCGGAATCAACAGCTTGGAGAGCTTCTTATCCTGCAATTTCGTCTCCATCACGCCCTTCATATACTCGGGCGCGTTCTTCTGAGACTCAGTCTCAGTGTGGAAGACCGCAAAATTCCTGTTCATGCGTGCCTCGATCTTCTGGCGCTCCACGAGATGGTACTCTGGATCCTCGGCGAACTTTTGCTGTTCTTCCGGAGAGAAGATTTTGAAACCCTCTCCTATGGGCGGAGCAATCCACGTGGCCTCGCAGATGAAGGTCTTGAGCTCGTTGAGCTCATTGATTGAAGGCAGTATCTGGATGCCGGACGATCTGCACAGCGGCCAGTCTTTGATGCGGGTAATCTCGTGTGTCCGCCTGTGGCATCACCTCGCTGTGGGGGAGGGGGTTGTTAAAGAAGCAGCAACGCCGCACATTTTGCTACCTATCCAAAGCAAAGAAGCTCTTATTAATTCATGTGAGCTTCTTCTTTGGCCAAGATAATATATGTGCCCAAGAAGGTCCAAGATGGGCCGAAATTTCTCTAATTAGAAACTGACCAGCGTCGGCAAAGACCCAGAAATCTCGTGATTCATGCAGCAAAACTGCATAGTACGCCAGTACCGCCAACCCTTCCGCCTTTCGACGCTTCAGCATGTCCAAAAAATCAACTGGTAGAACAGTTGCCCATGCCGACAGAAAATGCACCCTGGTCCGGGCTTCAGCTGAAGCGTTGCACAAATCGAATGCCCACTGAAGGGCCTCGATGACCGCACGGCCAGCTACCTTCTCCGCAGCGCCGAGGTCAGGGCTGCTGTCGATGAGGGCCTTCAAGGGATCGCATTCTCCTTGGCCACCACCACCACCTCGAAGTATGCGATCAAAGACGCGACGGTCCTCGACAATCAGTTCTAGCACAGGCTCTATTTCCGGCCAAGATTGGGGCACAACGGCTGAAACACCACGGTGAATGGCGAGGTAGGTGACGAAGTCGTCGAGCAGAGCCTCTAAGTCGCGGTGCTGGAGAGCGTCAAATAAGGAGTGGATGCCGAGGAAGGACGAATATAGAAATATTGGCAAGGCGTCGCAGTGGGCGACGTGCACCCCGTCGTGGTTCAACCGAGCCAAGCCGCGTGTCTGCAGCTCAGCCGCCTGGGTCCGATAGTTTTGGGCTGACTGCCTATCTCGGCTTACATGGCTCTTGTGTGCCGCCGAAAGTGCAAGGACTTGGTCCATCAGATACGGGGCGGATAGAGCAGACTCGACCGTCATGTTGCAGAACTGCATGGCTTGCTCTGGACCCATGTTCAAGTCTTTGGACAGGACGGACTCGAAGTGATGCAGCAGCCCGAGGTGCGGCAGGGTAAATTCCGGCGTTTGCGGCAGGTCTTGGACTGGCAGGGCGAGGGGGCCTTTCGGTGGAAGTGGTGAGTCTCTTGCTGATGCTCTTGCTGATGCGGATGCTAATGAATACGCTGCCAATTGGGTATTATGGTGCAAGTCGAGGAATGAGCATCGTCGCTCTATGGCCAAGCAATTGCTACAGGCTGGGCGACTCTCGTCACATTTCATGTGGCGGATCTTGCATTCCCTGCACCCATTTCGAGACTTTTTGTGCTTGCGGCGCATGTTACAGTGGTGAATTATTTGATGTAAATGAAGGGGTGCTGCGGTGATTCCAGACAGTGTGGGGACACCACACTTGTTAAGTACAGCCAGCTACAGTAACGAAAGTGACACCGCCCGGGCGCCGTCCTCCCTTTCATCGTTTCTTGGTGGGCTTGGCACGGCTGCAGATGCCATTAGGCAGAACTCTACTGTGGCGCCCTGCTAACTTAACCTCCCAAATTTCCTTTATGTCGAGATGCCAGCATGGTGGATCCATGCATAAAAGTTTGTCAGCACTAAACTGCTTTTGTATTTTCACATTTTTGTTATTGTGTGCTTATTTCGCTTACTATGCACTGTGCACTATTAAAGAGATAGCCAGAGTATCCTTAGAATGTCAGACTTCTTCTATCTTGCGGTCATGATATTACTAGTTGGGTAATTAGTGGCGGATCAATTCTCCACCTGGATTCGACACTTTAACCAAGCAGCATAGCGCGACACCCAGTCATCTTAAAGACGGACTCTCCCAAGATGTCGTTCCGCCGCCTCAGTCCTTTGTCTAAACGCCCCCCACCTCCCCCTCCTCCCTATGAGCCGGTGGTCGCAAGCCATACCGGGGCCGACCGCCTTTACTACGTCTCTTAGACTGTTGAGCCCTTAGGCGTAGAACGAAGGCGGAGGAGACGCAGTCCGTTTGTGTCAGGCTTCTCATCGCGCAGCAGCAGACCAATCTCTCCAGGATGTCTCCAGTGCAGCCAAACGACAACTATAAACATGGGAAGTGCGTCGAAAATGTACAGGAATACCTCATTGGACAGAAGATATCCGTTGTTGCCTTGCACGTACTCGGCGACGCGAAACGTGGATCGAATGATAATCAAGGTGCTCGCCACGTACAGGGTGCTAAGATAGCTTTGCCAGCGAATGTTTGGGTGTGAGGAACGAGGGGTCGGAGTCGATGCAAGGCGCTTGTGGAAAAGTGCTGCAGCAAGGACGAACAAGGCGAACCATAGAAGCTGCATCGCCAAGCCCGCAATGATGACATCGTTACCCGTATCGGCCATGGTTTTGTCGTCTTTGGCCGTTGCCACGATGCCGCCGCCTAGAAAATCCTCATCAGTCAGGCACATGCACATGTTCTCGCGGACAGTGAAGGTGAGCAAGGTAGTGGGGGGCTCTTCATACCCCCAGCAAGGAGAAAGAAGCACACGACATCTCCAGAAACAAATATCTTTGTAAGCCACCGTCGTTTTATCAGCGCGAGTGCCTCTCCTTCAACCAAGAGAATGATGCGGCCCAGAGTCATGTAGATGGAAGCAGCGAATAGGGCAGGAGCAAGCAATATGAACATGCTCTGAATGAGATAAGGGGTCAATGTCCAACAGCCTGCGCTTTGGGACCCCGACGACGCTCGACCGGCGAAGCCGATGAATTCGACTACAGAGCACCATCATGATTTAGCAACCAGGTCTGCATCCCCCTCGCAACGGACTGGTGAAACCAGGAGAGCTTGGGATACTATACATACAAAGACATCCCACAACCAGTGGTGTCAGGTACCAAGTTTTTGTCTTGACCATCTGGAATAGATGAATTGTGGTGAAAGCAAAGAAGAGAATGCAGAAAATGACGGCGGCAGCTAGAGCTGGTACGTATCGGTAGAAAGAGAAACTGGCATGTCGCCAGTTTTCATCACATGAGTCACTCATAGTATTTTGGCGGGTAGTTAACTGCTGTAATAAAAACAGAAAGAACTCGTTATCTAGAGAGCATACAATAGCGCTCAGTGTCAAGTGAGGAGCATGTGCTTCTTTAAATACGAAAGATTTCCTGTTTCACGTATTAGCCAACATAAGCGCCATCTAAGCCACTGCTGCAGTCGCCTTCACAGCCATCTTGGATACGTGTATACGGAACGATGTGAGACGATAATCTCACCATTGCATTTACAAGCAGTGGCGGGGCCGCGTTCACGATATAGATACGTGTATAGAGAGTTCTGCAAGTGGTCAATTTTACGGGTGGGCCTACAAGCATGCGTGGGGTTGTTGGAACCGGATACGTGTATAGAAAGTTCCGCTATTGGTCAATTTTACGGGTGGGCCTACAGGCATCCGTGCGGCTGTTGGAACCGGATACGTGTATAGAAGATTCTGCTATTGGTCGTGGGCCTACAAGCATGCGTGGGCCGTTGAAACCCACCTAAATAATTCGGTGGCTGTGGCTTATACACTAGAGGCAATATACGGCCAACGCCGCAAAGTGACAAGGTGTGACTACTAAAGGATAGAGTCGACGACAGATTACAAGCATTGTGGGCCCGCTACGCGGAAAAGGGCGCCAGTTCCGTAGTTGTGCTAAAGTCATGTCCACTCGTACTTACGCAATTCCCAATTGCCGGTGCCGACGGCCACTGGGCACAGCACAGCCTTCGCCGAAGATAGGTTTACCCCGGTTCCAAGTACGATGGCATATGGGTCGACTCATATAATAGGGATCGGGTAATGCGTGGAGAATATCTGCCATGTTAGGCCTTGAGTTGCCACCTCCAATCCCGCTTTCGGCGCCCGTGGTAGACGACTCCTCAATCATAAAGCCAACAAGCTGCACCACATACCACATCCTCGAAGCCTCATTTTGAATTCAATCAAGTCGTTGCATACTTAGTCTTCCCCCAAAATGACACTGAATTTCCCAATTCAGAAGAGGAGATGCTCCGCTGAGTTCTTGACGGCCTGCTGAGCGTCAGGAGGACCACAATTGGGATCCTTGGAGACTATCTAATTACTTTAGCGTAGTTGAAAGTAATGGACGAGGCATGTGAGATCTTCACACGTTTGTTTGTTTTCGGGGTAATATCGGTTTTCAGCAGGTTACGCGTCGAATAGACGATATTATCGCACGATAATTATCGTCGAGATTTTAGTCCGACGATACGATATGCGATATTAAAAATCCTGAAAATATCGTATTGTGAACACCCCTTGAAACCGACATGTTTATACTATCAACAGCGGTATTTCTGAGACATGGTGCAGATGATGAATTAGGCGCTCTCAGGTTAGGGCGCCAGGCGCGTATTGTAGGGCAAATCGATGTGTCCACACTATGGGAGAAATTAACGGGGCCGAAGCAGATGGCCACTGGGTCAAACAGCCCGATGGAATTTCGGTAAGATTATCCAGTTTATTGAGAAACAGATCAACTGTATTCCACGCGAGTTCATGAGGGTTCACGAGAGTCTCCGACTCCGCCGACTTCACCGCCCGGGGAAGTGTGGGGTTTGGAGCTTGATCCTTGAGACAACGAGAGATAAACCACCCGTGCCCCCTGTACACCATACTTTCTTCTCTTTCCACCTCAGATGCCATGAGTTACTCTTCATATCTCATCCTTACCCATCTAGCCAAGAGTAGTCCCGTGGCTTGGGGAAACCAATGAGTACTAGAGGCGGCAAGGCAACCCGCCTTGCACCAGGTGCCCAGGTCATGGCCCGGAAGCGCGGGCGAAAAACAACATCTTGCTCCCAGTGCCATGCTCGCAAGCAGAAATGCGACCAGGAAATACCATGCTTCCGCTGTATCCAGCGCGGAGTGCCCCAATTGTGTCAGTGGCCGGGCAAGGATGGGGAACCGAAGACAACACCAGGGGAGGGGGCGGCACCAGGTAAGCTATTATACCATCAATGAGGGAGTATTTTCTTAACTCTGCTCACTATCCAGCCGACACCCAGGGAACGGAACTTGGCCAATTATATATAGCACGAGGGGCGCCGACTTTTTTCGGCAATTCATATTTCGGACATCAGGTGGCAGCACGAATGATTCACGAATCCGCCCCAGACCTGCCTCCAATGAGCCTACTATCCACAAATGACTCCTTGCAATCATTCAGAAATGACTCGGGCCCATTCTCACAAGTCTGGGATCTGCTGGGTCTCCTACCACGGAATAAAATGACTGTCGACCGGCTTATTGAGAGATTCCTGACCGAAATCAACTGGACCATCGATACGGTTCATCCAGGCACTTTTAAATCTCAGTTCGAAGAGTTCTGGGGGAGAAAATTTGGATTTGATGAGATTGCCGGTGTAGACCTTCGTTGGCTAGCCCTGCTATTTATCATTCTCGCTTTTGGTGTTCTCTTGGATGGCTCTGAAACACTCTCTCAGGAAAAGAGGAAAGAGAGAGAGGAAGCATCGCTCCGCTTCTATTGGGCCTCTAGGAGAGCCATTGTTATTTCCCCCTCTTTCCACGGAGAGAGCTTGGATCTTGTTAGAGCGGGCCTGATGGTGACCCGCTATCTGCTTTACACTCGACAAGTGGCAGAAAGCTGGCTTACCATCAGCTTCGCTATGCGCATGGCCCAGGCACAAGGCATGCATATTGATGGAGAAAAATGGGGTCTTTCCAGAAAGGCTACTGAAATTAGGAGAAGACTTTGGGGCAACCTGTACATGCTGGACAAAGCGATTGCACTGGCCCTCGGCAGACCATATGCCATATCGGATCACATGTGTCTCGTCCATGCACCAGAGAACATCTGGTTAGATGACTTGACGGATGAGCAGTCCTCAACCGTCACTGTACAGTCATTGAACAATCCTACTCCAAGTAGCGTTACACTCTTGGGAAATGGATTGGCCAAAATCGCAGGAGAAATCCAGGACCGATGCTTTGGGCTTTATCCAGCATCTTACGCTGTGGTGACAGAGATGGACGAAAAGCTTGTAGCATGGAAAAAGCGACTTCCGGCCCATCTTTCTTTGGATGATCCTGATTTCTCTTGGGATGATTCAAATGCCTTCCTGCCTTGGCATCGCCTCTATCTGCATTCCGCATTTCACTTTGCCCGAATCACACTGCACCGACCATATCTCCTGCGGGAGTCTATTACCAACCACTTCCATCTCAGCCACGAGGCATGCATCTCATCGGCATCATCTGATCTTAAGATTCGGCTGGATTCACTCACTTATGGGACCGCAGAAAATATGCGATGGACCTTAGGCACCCATAACATGTTCAACAGTGCTTTGATCCTTGGAATCATTGCCGTTCGTCGTCCGAATGACCCACAGACTGCAGCTATCTTGATTGATCTCCAGAAATACTGCGAAAGACTACGAAAAGATGTTTGGTTGAACGAATTTGCCCTCGCTGAGGTAAAAGTCGTCGAGTTGTGCATTGCCCGTACAAAGGGATTCAATCGAGCAACTGATCAACTTGGGCATGAACCTCACATGGAGTCAATGGATACTGTGCTGGATATAACTTCTCATGGGAGCCATAGTGGAGAGCATAGCAATGGGATGATGGCAGCAGACACAATTCCCGTGGGTTCCCCGGCACTTTGTGCATTCCCCATCAACTCGCCCGGCTACTCACCAAACATGATGTGGCCTGCAATATGGGAGGATCGGAATTTTGCATTCCCACAGGCTACGGATTTGGAAACATGGGAACAAATGATTTCTGAAATTGCATATCATGACTAGCCAGCTAGACAGGTTGGATATAGAATCGCACCTTGTAAAATAGCTTCTGAACTCTACTCGCGTTAAAGTGGGGTGACTGTAGACACAAAAACATCGAAATGTTGATGATTTAAAGAAGAATTCAATTAATTTCCACTATCGATCAAAGGAGCATCACAAGATATACCGAAAATCCGGATGAAAATCCCCTCCTTCTTTCTCATACAATCCAGAGTTAATAGATCTTTCCCGATCCTCTGGAGACATCCTATCTCGTTTGCTGTTGTGATATTTCAGCAACAGATACATGCTAACATTTCCAAAGAAGGAAACGCATATGGTCGCAAGAGAAACGGAATGACCAACAACGTATCGTCCATTGACCGCTGTCTTGTAGATTTGACCAGCCTGTAACAATACTTAGTCCAATCCAATGTACATTAAACCCAAGCTTATGCACTCACAATTAATCCGCCACAGTTTCCAATTGATTGCTGGAGACCAACGGCCATAGTTCGTTTATAGTACCCAGCATGGCTGTTGGCATTCCATGATACCCCAAGACCAACCACACAGTAGATTCTGTTAGCAAAGTCAGCGTCATCCGGCTAAGCAGATATATATCAAAACATACCCTGTCACACAAACATAGGTTGCAAAGTACAGTGGCCCTCTGGCATGCACATTCACCCCCAGCAGCATAGAATATCCAACAGCCGTCACTAGACACAAGGGTACCATGAAGACTGCCCGCATACGCACTCTATCGGAAAAATGGGCAATCGCAAGATAGAAGATAGAAGCCCAAATATACACAGGGACCGTAAGCAATTGCGTCTTCACTGAGTCGTAGCCGAATGCCTTGATGATAGTGGGCAAGAATGTGCTAAAACCAAAGGAGCAGACATTTACGCTGATTTGATTGAGAGAGGTCAGCCAGCTCTTGGGATCGCGCAGAGTTTTCCAGACTTCCCGGATGTCGAATGGCCCGGCATCGGTATATTGTACCGATAGCTGCATGCGCATGCGCATGAGTTCTTTATCTTCTTCATTGAGGAAATATGCTGTTTCATAGTCGTTTGGTAGGAAGAAGAAAGTTGCAAAGCCAACAAGGGCGCTCATCAGCCCTTCGACGATAAAGAGCCATCGCCATCCTTCGAGGCCGCCGACACCATCCAAGCGGAGAAGTCCAAATGCCAACCTAACATTATGTTAGAAAAGCAACGGATAGCAGAAAGGAGAGTCATTTAGTACAGGCCGCCAAACCCGCCACTCAGGGCAGCTGATACGAATAAGTAAGAGATTCTTTGGGCTTGCTCTTCACGTTTATAGAAAGTAGTCAAAAGTACAGTCAGACACCTGGTAACGCATTAGCCTCGATACCAAATTGAAAGCAAAGTATGCATACGGAAACAAGCCACTTTCAAAAACACCGAGAAGCAATCTGGTGATATAGAGCCCGGCAACATTCTTGATAAATCCAGCAGAGAGTATTGAGGCACTGAACCCAATGATCAATGCCGAGATCAATCTGTTTGGGCGCAACTTTCTCAGGAGCATTGAAAATGGAATTTCGAAGAACACGTATGTCGCGTAGAATAAGGAGACGGCATCTATAATTGAAGATTAGTGATGATTTTCCCACCATGTAATGAGTGACTCACTTCCAAGCTGGTTTCCAACCAATCCAATATCTTCCTTCAGTAATGAAGAATGTGTCAGTGGATCCGAAATTGATAGCTTCAAAACTCACCGGCATTCCTGCGACAGCAGCATTCCTAGTAGAATAATCAGAAACCAATCACTTCTCTCAGGATCGCACAATGCTTACCCCAGATTGCTGCGATCAAGGTACGCAACTAAGAAAATGGACATCACCAAGGGACATATGCACAGATCAAGCTTTCTGAGCAGCTTCTTCTCGGTGACTGGGTCGACGGAGAGGTTGCCCATCTGCACAACATGATCCGATGCCGATTCGGCGTTGAATTTGAGGCCTGTTTCCTTGTCGGCCATCTTAGAAGTGAAATAGTTTGTTAACCCCCAAAACATGGAGATTCATTTAGCCTTTAGGCTCTGTCGTCCTTTAAACGCCATCCACTCAGTTGGAGACGACATTGCTCGTCGGGAAAAAGGATCGGCTTATTCAACGCATTGGGGAAAGGAGAGGAAATTTCCGATTAAAGTCTAAGTTGTTATCTTCAATCGGCGAAGTGTAATGGCCGCTTCAATGATAAATGATAAGGATGACCATGACTCATTTGCGTTTTTCTATGATATTTGCACATCTTTCTCTTGGGGTATTCTCTAAGACTTCTGATACGTAACGCCCGTAAATTGTTGATCTTTCCACCTTTTTGCCTCGCCAATGCAGCCCAGAGTCTCGACGTAAATCCGAAAGTTGCGCCCCCATGCCGGAATAGTATTCCCCGCATTCTATCGTCTTGGCATCGGCAAAAGCCTTATCAGGGGGTGAATTCCCCGACGAATTTCCCGACACGCCATGTACTCGACGACGCAATTGCGTAGCCATTGATAAGACCCTAATGACAGTTTGTCCTTTTCACAATATTACTCTGAGAAATTTTCGAATCCTTTGCGTCCTACAATATGGCCATATCAAATGGATCCCACGAAACGGGAACAGTCTCAAAGGCCCCTCTCCGCTCGAAACACCCAGTATGCACTTTCCTACAAAGCCTTTCGACATAAACTCATGACAGGCAGGTTTGGAGACGATGGGTACGATTTAGGGGCAGTGATGGTAACATCTACGGCGGCGAGCCTGTGGACGGCAGTGTTGATGGTAATGTTGATCCGTAAAGTATAGAAAGACGAAGCTTACAAGTTCTAAGTGGGACTCGCCATGGTGGAGCAGAAAGACGTGGCTGTGAAGGTTGTTGCTGGAGGGTCGGCATTGGACTACGATGCCCCCTTTACTGGTGAAGTAAAGTTCGTAGAAGAGCTTCTCTCGCCAGTTACACCAAACGAAGCTGGGACAGTCCGGTGTGTTGGTCTTAACTACAAGGAACATGCGGCAGAGATGAAAATGACTCTCCCCAACACTCCGACGTGAGTATTGGTCCCACGGTCTTAATAAATCTCGCTGACCCAATGCAGAGTCTTTCTCAAAGCGAGTACTTGTATTGCGTCGGCATCGGAACCAATTGTGTTGCCTTCAAACGTGGATCACGATGAAGTTGACTACGAGGTTGAGCTGGCTGTCGTAATTGGGAGAATTTGCAAGAATGTCTCAGTTCCAGATGCGAGTGCTTATATCCTGGGCTACTCTGTCGCTAATGACGTGACTGCCCGTAAACTCCAAGAAAAGACCTCACAATGGTCGTATGCAAAGGGCATGGTAGGTAAAAAGTAATTGTCTACGGTCTTGCGATCCGAATATACTGACATCTATAAGGACGGTTTCTGTCCGCTTGGACCCTGCATAGTCTATGCGCAAGAAATTCCCAACCCTAATGTCTTGGAACTACGCACATTCCTCAACGGGAAGACGATGCAGAATGGATCTGCTAGTGACATGATCTTCAGTATACCAGAGATTGTTTCTTATCTGTCCCAGGTATGGACTCAACCTAATAAACCAGTATCTTTTTGGCCCAATCTCACATGTTTAGGGACACACTCTGCTACCTGGAACTGTAATCATTACTGGAACACCTTGTGGTATCGGAGTCTCGCAAAAGCCACCGCGGTTTCTGCAACCCGGTGACAAGCTTCGAGTAAACATAAGTCATGGGCTGGGCACTCAATTCTGTGAGATCACGCGAGACTGAGCGTAGTTTCAATGTTTCAATTTGATGGTCTTAGGCTTGCGATTTCAGATATTGACAGAAACTTATCAATTGCCTAGATATTTCACGATCGAAATGTTACATTTCTCGCCAAATAGTCAGGGAATGATTGGATAATACCACGTGCTTTCTTCTATCGCAAAACTAAATTTCTTTAGGAAATGACGTCCCCTGAATCCCTGAAGTGGAGCCTAACCATTTGTCAAAATCTGGGTGTACGACAGTCCCACATGGACGTGTAATTCATGAAGAAATAAATCTCTGATTCAGATAAATCTGGGAATGCCCGACAAATTAAAGGGCTCACTAGCTAGTAAATGATTTATATAATAGGAAATATTGATGGGGGTAAATCCCTGTATGTGATCTGTAGGAATTCCAATTCTTGACACCATTCAATATATAGAAGACGTCATGAGGTCACGAGTAAACCCGGTCCTCATCCTCTCAGATCCCTTCATCTATCTCTGTGGAAAGAGAGATGTCACGAGGATCCTCCGCCGTATATCCAGTATTGTATGTTGACGAGTGACAGTCAATAATCGGGAGATGTTAAAGGACATAGAGGAAGATGCCGTCTGGCCTCCAGCACCTTCTGGAAGCTGTCATTGGCCAAAAAAAAGAAGTTTTTCGACGAAAAGGCTTCCCGCCTCCGCTGGGTCAGACCAGATGACTCCGTCATAGTCGTATCAACAACTATTGCGCCAAACACAACCTGACTTAATGATTTGACGATACCGACATTACTTGGACCGTCATTAGGAAGCGGCCTCTAATGTAGTCCGATGTTTTCTCCTGTGTGACCGGATGCCAGATCAAGAAAGGAAGCGAACAAGAATTCAATTTGAGTTCTATTGTCGACGGGAGATCCAAGTTGAGGAAAGGAAGAAGAGACGGAGGAAGAGTCTCTACTTATCCACAACAGTCTATGTCCTGTGTCACCTGTCAAATGCAGTCTTCAAACACAGTCTTCAATCGCAGTGATAATGGCCCACAAGTAATTAAACCAGCTGCCTAAATTCTATTCCATACTGGCGCCAGGCTGGCGCCGAGTAATGAAGAGATAAGGGTTTGACCGCGATAAGCCTGGCGCCATAGTGATTATTTGGCGCCAGCCATAATCTCCCTAATTTTCGGGCAATCGCCTTCAAAATTTAAGGAATTCTAATCAGGACTAGTAAAATGTCTATATTCAAATTTAAGTGCTAACCGACTAGATTTAGGGGCGTGGGAATTAATTGAAAATATAGCCCTGATCCATAATGCCTCAAAGGACCGTGCCCAGGGTCCGGACTTCTCTATGCACCCATTGGTCCTAGATCTCTCCGCGCCCCACCGGTATGCCTCTTAGACGGAACCGTGACGCGACGCGTTCGTTCTTATTGTTGATCATCCAATAAATGCACCATATGGATTTGAAATAACCAAAATCGTAAAGACGCCTTTTCTTTTCTATCACTTACATTACTTCTCTATTATAGACTCTATCCTATGCCAACTAGACAGCCAGTCGACCGCCTGTCTACTAAAGCGATCATTCTTCTCCGTCCTGAAGCCTCATCTGATCAATAATAGGAGTAGGGATGGAGCGATTTTGTTATCTTCCAGAATATAAGGTGCTGATTTGCAAGCCCTGCGGGCGTGCTGTGGCACCCACCCATCTTCACACCCACCTCAAAGGTCACCGGAAGGAATGGCCGGGCTTCGACAGTCCTACCGCGGTGTCTCGGCTACACGAACAGCTAAGGGAGTTTCCTTTAGCTGATCCTTTTCAGTAGACCTCGGCAGAACCCGCAAACGGGTTCCAGGTCAAGGACCAAAACCCGTCGCGGGTTCTGAGGTCTGGACCAAAGCCCAAACCCGTAAACCCGCGGGTTTTTGGTCCAAACCCGCGGGTACCCGCCAAGAACCCGTTCTTGCACAACTAACTCATTTTAGGCCACACCAAGACGCATAAAACTGCTGATTCATTTAGATAAATTACTGTCATCTACAGCTGTTTTAGTCCCTATACTCCAGGGTCTATACCCTAGAGGTAATGTCACTGCGGTCGTCGGGGGGGGCCCAGTGACATTCCCCCCGTCCCCATTGGTCCAAACCCTCCCCGGTGCGTGCCCCCGGCCCCTAGCGTCCCGTGCCCCGAACCCGACCAACCAACGACCCACCCCTTACACTGGACTATATGCCACTATCGATGTTTCCCTTTTCCCTTTGGCTTCTTTGGCTTTTACTTGCTTTTTACTCCCTCTTCCTCCCCTCACTCGGTGCCTAGATCGATCGTGACCTTGACGCGCTCTCGACGCGTCGTAGCGTAGGAGATGACCACGATGCCGCGTCTCACGCACCACCACAACACACAACGTCGTCAATCTGTCGCCGCTACCGCATATACAGACGCGTGTCGTAGTTGGAGCAGTTGCTAGTTCCGTTCTCCTCTCTTCTTCTCTCCTCTGGTTCCTCTACCATCTACTCATCGTCCTTTTTTTTCTTTCCCCCTCCATTCTGACCCCCCCCCCCCCCCCCTTTTGGCCGCTCCCTCCCTACGCCACTGGTTCACAACTATGGACCTATTCGCCTGGAATCAGACCTACCGCATCTGGGTTTGTAAGACCTGCGAGCATGGCGTTCCGCCGCGAGGGATCTCAGGCCACCTCGGCTCGAAGAACCATCGCGACCACATAACTGCGAGAACGGGCAAGCAACGAGCCGCGGCCGCCCAAGAGGCCTGGTCCGTCGACCCGTGGGACCCTCACGTCGAACCATTCCGCCCCCCGCCGCCGGACTCCCTCCCTCTCCCAGAGCTCCCTGTCTACATGGGCTGGGGCTGCCTAGAGGACGGATGCGATTCGTACGCGGTACGGACCCCACAATCGATGCGACAACATCGATATCGAGACCATGGCATCCGCTGTCGTCTAGGGCGCCCTGACCCCTCGAAACCGTCGCAGCAGCCAGCCCTACGTCCCGTCAGCTGCCAACGATTCTTCCCAACGGGCCGGGGGAGTAGCTATTTCATTGTGACGCCTACTGTGCAGGTCCAGCGGGCTCGGCACGTCCTCGAGATGAGCGAGGCGGAGTTCGTACAGACGCAGGTGGCGGACGCGCTCCAGCGCTCCGATAGGCTCACGCGGGCCGACGAGGAGGTCGCGCCTACGCATAGCGACCCGACCGAGTACTCGCCGTGGCTCGAGCTCACGCGGTGGCCGGAGTACGTTCGTGGGCACGCCTTCCGCGATCTGGCTATGCTCGCCGCCCTACCCGATCCTACGGCGGAGCCGATCCTCCAGGCCGTTGAGCAGAGCGTCCAACGGCTAGTCCAGGCGGCGTTCGACTCTATTACTAGCTACCGCATCAACGAATTCGACCAGGTAAAGATCAATAGCTTCCTCCAGCGACAGGGCGTCTGGGACCGCCCCATCCACATCCGCCTCCGTCCTAAGACGTACCGCCGGTATCAGCAGATCTGGGTACGGCTAATTAGCTTCGTCATTCGGACTAGCCGGCCTAACCAGGCTATCGATCTAAAGCACCAGCCTACTACGCGGCAGCTCGAAGCTGTCGACCGGATCGACCAGTTTGCCCAGCAGCTCTTAGGCCTAGAGATCGAGAACGGCCTAGAGTCCCTAGACGCAGTAGAGTCCCCAGCCCAGGAACTCGGCCCGTCAAGTGGGCCCAAGGGCACCCGTAAGAGCTCCCCCGCCCAGCGAGCCATGGCCCAGCTCGACCGTGCATGCCTCGATCTCTCGATCGCGCTCCTCGACCACGAGCTCCGGGGCGATCTCTTCGAAAGCCCCCTAATCGGGTTTATGGCAACGATCGGGGTCGATGTACCGAACCAGACGTACCGCGACCCATCGAGCTACACCGGGCACCTGTCTGGCTTAGTTAAGATATCGCAGATGCTTGTAGCCCAGCGGGCTGTACAGCTCGCGGACGACGGCGAGGTTGAGCATCCGGGCGACGCACTCGACCGCATGCGGGAGCGCTTCCTTATGTTCGGGGTTCACGCCCCCTTTGGGTGGATCACCCGGCTCCGGGCCTACGGCAAGAAGATCCAGAACACGACGACTAGTATAGGGTATATCAACTGGAACGACGACCACGACGCCTTAAGCTATCGGGAGCTCCACCTAACTATGGATGGCCTTCGACGATTCGTCCGCGTAGAGGTCGAGCTCGCACAGTACGACCTCGAACGACTCTTCCTCCTTAGCGAGGACGACGAGCGAGAGGGGGTAGTACCGGAGCTCCCGCTACATCGGCTCGCCGACGATCCGGTGAATAATAAGCGGGGGTGGAATTTCCTCCAGGACCCACGCAATCAGGCCATCCTGCCAACCACGGGCCAGCAGTGGCTCCTACAACGCGTTCTTATGAGCGAGTCGCTCCGCAAGGAGTTCACCGAGGTACAGCGGTCGGACTCGAGCGTGATCTGGCGCCCACATGCCGTGAAGGAATATCTCAAGCTTGTCGATCGATTCCTACAGCGGCTCCTCTTACTCGTATTTATGACCGGAGGACAGCCACCACGAGGGACGGAGTTGCTAGCTCTTCGGCACCGGAACACACCAGAAGGGCGACACCGAAACATCTTTATTGAGCATGGCCTAGTGAGTACGGTCACGGCCTATTCTAAATCACAGCGCGTCACAAACACGACGAAGCTCATCCATCGCTATCTCCCCCAGGCCGTTAGTGAACTTCTCGTGTACTATCTGTGGCTGATCCTCCCATTCACAGAGGCGGTGACTATGCTTTCACAGGGGAAAGATCGAATGAACCAGTCCCCTTTCCTATGGCCGTACGACAAGGGGCACTGGGATCCCGCCCGCCTTGGGATCATCCTCAAGCAAGAAGCAGCAACGCAGCTCCAGACCCGGATTAACGTACTATCTTGGCGGCACGTCGCGATTGGGATCTCTCGTATGCATCTTAAGTGCGGTGGATTTAAGCGCGATTACGGAGTGGAGGATCAAGTAGTCGACCAGCAGGCTGGGCACAGGTCGTGGATGGCGGCTACAGTATACGCGCGGGGGTTACAGGAAGCGCCTGGAGTGATCGAGGGCCGACGGGTCCGGTTCCGTGGGATTAGCCGTGAGTGGCATACGTTTCTTGGCTTTGCAAGGCCACTTAGTCGCAAACGCAGTTATAGCGAACTCGACGTAGGGGGAGAGACCCCACAGCGAAAACGTAGACGGGAGTGGATCACGTTCGAGCTAAGTGATGATGAACGGTAGGCCAGGATCTGATGTAATGCCAATTTCAAACGTCTATAGATATTCAACATATGCTTGTGATAAAGTCTAGAACTGAGATCTACTTTGTATAGCATAGTGTAGTGTAGTATGGCAATAATAGCACGATCGAATCGTCTTAAGTCTACAAATATATGTAATATATAACGAGCCAGCATATATATTTAGCATAACAACACATATCGAACAAACACTCACTCGCCACGTACTAAGATCTAGTTTATATATTATAGTTTGGGCGATTATAAAATGATTCAATTGTCTTATTATGCGAATGGCTAGATTTAGAATAAGGTAGTATCTTAAAGTGGTTGGATCAAGAAATTAGTAGGGTGGTACGCCGTCCTTACGGACTACATATACTAACCTAATTCGGCTTAGTCCCCGCACTTACGCGTATAAGGTTGCGTTAGCGCAATATCAAAACGACTCCATAAGTACATCACGCTTTTGACGTTTTCCTTCATAACTCGACCACTATAGCAGCTACAGAGCCTAGATTTGGATATAGGACTCATATTCGGACACCCTAGCCAACGGGGGTATAAGGTACGGGCACCATCCCATATTGGGCTAAGGCCTTAACTATGGGATCGATTTTGGCGCTAAGGGGCCGATACCTAATGCTTTCGCCGAGTCGCCCGAATGCCTTCCCAGCCCTAGCCAACGGGGGTGGGAGCAGCGGACTCGCCTGGCATAAGGGTGTAAGTCTATACTATAGATAAGAAAAGTGGGGCCATAAGCCTATTTCCGTTAGCAATAAAAGCCCACTACCATAAGGATTACTTGTCCAATAAGTATCAGAGTTTAGTATGTGAAAGAGCGATAATTAAATCATACGCATTTTGAATCGGAGTCTAAAATTCCGATTCGAAGGGGTGGTTGCAGGGATATAAAATGGTCGGGTTATTTTGGTTGGGTAAGATCGGGGCCACCCCCGACCAGCATCACCATACAATAGCGTCGACTTATCATTTTCAAAATTAGTCTAAAGCGGAAGAGATTTTCAGGGGTTTATTCAGGGCCTCGTCGTCGTATCCCATTTCCATTTGATCATAATCTGAGTGGTTTTGGATCTACGTCGATTACAACCACGAGTCAAAGATATACCACGATCAATTACATATATCTCCATATACGATGTCGACTATCCCCACCGCCGACCAGCTATTTGCACGAGCGACGCCATTTCCCATCATTATATGCCGGCAGTGCGAGTATGCTGTACGGCCAAAGCAGGTACTTTACCATTTAACCCACAGTCCGCATCGAATCCCCGTCTCGGTCGCCCGTCAGGTCGCCCAAACGATTAGTAATTGGGATTGTATCGAAGAAAATCCCGATGAACTTCAGTACCCCATATGGGTCGATCAGCCCATTAAGGGCTTACGTACTTATAACGATGGTCTTTTATGCAAACGAGGTCAGTGTGGCTACGTATGTCGGAATCTTAAGACGATGAAGATCCATTGGCGCCAGGAGCATAGTTGGTCTATACACGACCACGCAGGCAAGCCCCAACGATCCGAAATCGAAGCTAGTCAGCAGGCGATACAGGACTCGATGCTTCCAGTCATCTGCCAGCGATTCTTTAAGCATGGCCATGGCTCGCATTACATCCACGTTCGCAAGCCCGGCCCAGATCATGAACCCGTTGGACCGCCCCCCGCGCGGATGTAGTCGACCAACTCATCCAGCAGCTCGAACAGACGTACGTTGAATCGCAGGCCAACAACGACCATACGATCCAGGTCGGCCCGCTCGATGAGGCGAACCCGTGGCTACGACGGACGCAGTGGGCCACATATTTACAAGGTGCGTATTGATTCGTCGATCGTTGGCTTGACGGTAGAGAGAAAGAGTTTAAGCACCCCATCTTAGAACCCGGGTTTTAAGGAATGAGCTTAAAACCCAGGTTCTAAGGTAGGGCGCGCAGCCCAGCTTTGGCGGTTGATCGATTGATCCACGATTTGACTGACCAACGGCTCGTAGGCATTTCCCCCGCGATATACTGAAGTCCATCAAGACCCCCCCGGAGGACGCCCAGGGCCCAGAAGGGGCTATGCGCGCCATCTGGGACGCTATGGATGGGGTCGCGCGGATCAGCCAGCGCATCACGAAGCAGACGGGCCATCTGATCCGTATTGAGGCCGCGCGCACGGAGAAAGACCAGAGCCCATACCAGCCGTTACAGGCGTACATGGATGAGGAGCAGATCCAGCGGCATGTCGAGCCATGGCAGCAGATCGTGATGTTTTTCGCCCGCACCCAGGTCGAGCACGATTGGCAGAGCCCGCCATACCGATTCACCCCCCGCCAGCGACGGGCATGGCAGGCACTATGGCGGTGTGCCCAAGACACGCGTGGGAGCCCCGACCCCATGGACAGCCAGGGCCAGGATCGGGGCCAGAGCCAGGGCGACCACACCGACGAGGAGTATCAGATGACTTCGATCCAGACCGCATGCATGGACTTTTGCATTGAGCTATTGAACCAGCGCATCGGCGCCGAAGAGTACGAGTGTGCATTGGTCTGCGCATTAGCCGTGCTTGGTCAGGGCCGTGATCGATGGCGGGACGCGGAGAGCTATCCCCCGATTTTGTCCAAGATGATCAAGATCAGCCGATTCATGGTATTACACAAATCATTACGATTAGATCCACGGGCCGAGGCGATCATCCAGTACATGCGCGACCGTCGGGAGCTCAGCGTGTGGTCCGTGGAGAGCCCGATGGACGATGTCGACTATACATACGCTGGGCAGGACGAGGGCTACGGGAGCGAGAGCGCACCAGGCAGCGCACCGAGCAGCGCAGCGAGTAGTCCCAGGAGTAGTCCCGGGAGTAGCCCAGCGTTTGAGCCCGTCCATCGTCGGGAGCCGATGCAATTCAGCCAGCAGCAGCGACGGAAACCACGACCGTTTCGCGAATGGCTGCGATTGTTGACGGACACGTTCATGGTCCGCGGCACGCATAGTCCGATGCAGTGGATGCTCGATTTGCGCACGTACGGTTTACGCATCCATTACAGCAGTACGGCCACCGGCCACGTGAGCTGGTCCGGCCAGGACGAGTTGCTTTACAAGGAGGTCCATTTCACGATGGGCGATTTCCGGGGCTTTGTCCACGGGTTGGTCAGCTCCATGCGCCAGCTGCTACACGAGGAGCTATTGATGTGCGACGCCGCCAGCGCCCCCACGATCCCATGGGACCAGATGATGGACGACCCGACGCAGCCCAAGCCCGGGTGGAGTTTTTTGAATGACAGTCGCACGCCGTGGCCCGTCCCCGGGGCACAGTGGCTGATAGGGCGGATCCAGAGCGAGCCCCGACTACAGCAGCGGTTCATCGACGGCCCCGAGCGTCGGTTCCGCATGCGGGCCATCGAGCGATACATGCAGAACGTGGTGGAGTTCCGCGAGAAGCTCAGCGTCGGCATCCATGTTACCGCCGGCCAGCCCGGACGGGCCCCCGAGCTGTTGAGTATCCGTCATCGCAACACCGAAGGGGCCCACCGCAATGTATTCATCGAGGACGGGCTCGTCGTGTTCGCCACGAAGTACCACAAGGGGTTTTATGCGAGCAACGACGCGAAGATCATCCATCGGTATTTGCCGCGCGCCGTCGGCGAGCTGGTCGTGTGGTATCTGTGGTTGGTGTTGCCATTCGTCGAACGATTGCAGGCGTTGCAGCAGCAGGTCCAGGGCACCAGCGAGGAGACCATCCAGACCATTCAAATGCGTGCATCGTACATCTAGGGCCCCGACCCCCACCGTGGCCGCGAGTGGACGTCGGAGCGATTCCGGGAAGCATTGAAACGGGAGACGACCGCCGGCTTGAAGGGACGCGCGTTGAATTTGCTCGCGTACCGGAACATCGCGATTGGCATCAGCCGGCGGTATTTACGGTGGTCCAGTGCATTCCCCGACAACGTCCAGAGTGAGCGAAGTGCCGAGACGCCCATAGACGAAGATCATGAACCGGGGATGGACTACGACCAGTTCATGGGCCACATCGCGGACTTACAGGCGGCGCATTCATCGCACTTGGCGGGGATGATTTACGGCCGCGAGATCACCGAGCAGGCCGGGACGACGGCGCACCGACGGGAGATGTTCCGATTGTCGAGCACGGATTGGCACCGGTTTTTAGGGTTCGAGAGCGCGGAGGACGCACTAGGACGGGTGCTGGGGAAGCGCAAGGCCGGGCCGTGGGAGAGCGAGGCCGACGAGCGGCGACGGCAGCGCCAGTAGCAGCTCCACCAGGCGAACATGACGGAGGCGTTGCAGCGGATGACCAACGACGACCAGAGCCAGTTCCGCGGTATCCAGGGGCCGGCCATGCAGGCGATCCAGCATGGGGTGAGCCCCGTGGTCGTCGTGATGCCGACGGGCGGGGGGAAGAGCATGTTGTTCATGTTACCGGCATGGGTCAGCGGCGGGCTAACGGTGGTCGTCGTCCCATTGATTGCTTTACGCCAGGACTTGCAGCAGCGATGCGCGGTGGCCGGCATCTCGTGCGTCGAATGGGAGAGCCGGCGGCCGCCCGACGAGGCGGCCATTGTACTCGTCACGCCCGAATCCGCGTTGAGTGAGGATTTCATCACGTTTTTGAACCGACAGCAGGTATGTCCCCCCGCGATCCGAGACCCCAGCCGGCGCCCCCAGTTTAGAACCGGGGTTATAAGGATGCGTTCGAACCCCGGTTTTAAAACGGGGGCCCAGGGATTAGGGTTGATGTCCCCATGTCCCACCGTCACCAACTGAGATGCCCCCCGCGCCCGCAGCTTATAAGCTGGGTTTTAAGAGGTCAGCAGAGGTCCGCTTAAAACCCAGGTTATAAGGTAGGCCCGCGCATCGGGCTTGAGGTTAGCATCGACGGAGCATAAGATCCATACTAATGTTCGCCCAGGTCATGAAACGGTTGGACCGCATTGTGATTGATGAATGCCACATCGTATTGAATCAGCAGCGTGATTTCCGGCCCATGATGCAGCAGCTTGGACGATTGATGATCGCACGGACGCAGGTGGTTTTGTTGACGGCGACATTGCCGCCCAGCTTAGAGGACCGATTATGGCAGCGCATGCGATGGTCCCGGGAGCAGGTCAGCTTGTTCCGTGGTCGAACCAGCCGGACCAACGTGGCATATCGTTTGTGGCGTCCGATCATTGAGCGGGAGTACAATGGGCCCCATCGTTGGATCCAGATGGATCATATCGCAGCATTCATCCGGGACCGCATCCGACGATCGCGGGGCGGGCGCACCATTGTGTACGCGCATATCGTCGAACATGTCACGACGATGGCGGAGATACTTGGGTGCGAGGCGTATTACCATGACCAGCTTGATAAGGCCGGCGTCTTAGAGCGGTTTCGCAGCCAGCCCCACGGGGTGGTCGTGGCGACGAGTACATTAGGGATGGGAGTCGACATCCCCGACATCCGCAGCATCATCCATTTGGGGCGACCACGAACGTTGCTGGATTACGCGCAGGAGAGCGGGCGCGCAGGTCGGGACGGTCAGGCGAGCGAGGCGATCATCATCCAGCCCGACGGGGTTGATACCCCCCGCCGTGGATGCAGGACACGCCGTCCGCGGAGCAGCAGCGGGTAGATGCATATATGTCAGCCAGTCCATGCCGGCGGGTCGTTTTGGACGGGTATTTGGATGGCGTGGTAGATGGATACCAGCGATCCCATTGTGGGGATCACGATTATGGTTCGGTCACCAGTGAGGCACGATGTGATGGGTGCGACCCCGATTGGCAGGTGATAGAAGAGCAGGAATCCAGCGAAGCTGCCAGTCCGAGAACCAGCCCAGAAGCCAGCCCAGAAGCCAGCCCAGAAGCCAGCCCAGAAGCCAGCCCAGAAGCCAGCCCAGAAGCCAGCCCAGAAGCCAGCCCAGAAGCCAGCCCAGAAGCCAGCGAGACGGCCAGCAGTATTGATTCCGAGAGCTTACAGTCACAGGCACCATGGGAGAGCCCCATTCATGATCACATACAGACCATGGCGGCCGGCACAGGATCCAGTCATCACATACAGACCATGGCGGCCGGCACAGGATCCAGTCATCACATACAGACCATGGCGGCCGGCACAGGATCCAGTCATCACAGGCAGACCATGGCAGCCAGCGCAGAATCCAATGACCACAGAGGTATTCCATTTGGGGTCCGGCAACAGTTCCAGCAGCAGGAAATTGATCGCGCACGCATGTCCGAGCAGCATCAGCAGGCGCGGCAGCAGGAACTGACAGACGAAGAGTTTTTAATGCAGCAGGCGCGGGAATGGCAGGATCGTTGTTGGATTTGTGCGCAGGAAGGCCGGAATGCTGAGCACGAATTATACCATTGTGCCCAGCCCAGTAGCCAGCAGGCGCGGGATTGGATGATTCGAGTCCGGCGGCGGGTCCAGTACGCGCGATATACCAGTTGTTTCCAATGTGGGATGCCACAGACATTATGCTCCGGGTGGTCCAGTGGGGAATGCGCGCACCGCGGATTATTATACGCGATGGTTGGGATGATGTTGTTTGGAGGCCCCAAGCAGGAGCAGGTCCAGCGATTATGGGAGCAGCGATTAGCTGAGCAGGGGGTGAGTGCACAGGATGAGCCGCAGGTGACAGCGTTTTTAGGGCAACGCAGTACCCAGGGGTGGGAGAAGCATACGGAGTTAGTTCGTGCATTCATATGGTTGCGGCGGATATATCATGAGGTTGGGATGTAGGAGGGAGGGTTTAGTCGAGAGATATATATCCACGATCCGAATTTCCAAGCCAGTTTGGAGGCAGATTCGGTAGCCGATTTTTATTTTGGAGGTCCAGCAGGCCAGTTTAAATACCAGGCCATATTACACACCCGGTTGGACACCAAGTAAGACAACCAGATTCGGGTGTTATAGTTGTATCAATTCCATTCAGGGTTAGGCAATTGTTTAGTAGTATGCCATAGTAGGAGTCAGTATCATAATTATTAGAGCCATAATTCATAAGTCGAGAGTAAGATATATCATTATGAATCCAAATATATAGATCCATATTCCCATTTTGATTACTCAGTGATTGATAGGGATCATAATGGTTAGGGAGATAGATGATAGAGAGGGGATTATATGGAGTATCATCATTTAGATTGAAAGCAAGATTAATCAGAAATAGAATGGTTAGGGTGATAGATGATAGAGGGGATTATATAGAGTTAGACATTTCGATAGATAGGAAGATCAAGTAGAAATACAATGGTTAGGGAGATAGATGATGGGGAGAGGATTATATAGAGTATAACATTTCGATAGATAGGAAGATCAAGCAGAGATACAATGGTTAGGGAGATAGATGATGGGAGAGGATTATATAGAATATAACATTTCGATAGATAGGAAGATCAAGCAGAGATAGAATGGTTAGGGAGATAGATGATAGGGGAGGATTATATAGAGTATAACATTTCAATAGATAGGAAGATCAAGTAGAAATACAATGGTTAGGGAGATAGATAATAGGAAAGGGATTATAGAGAGTATCATCATCTTAATAGTAAGTAAGATTAAGCAGCAATATAATAGTTAGGGAGATAGATGATCAGGAGGGGATTATAGAGAGTATCATAGTTGAGATAGATAGAAAGATTAATTCAAAATAGAATGGTTAGGGAGATAGATGATAGGGATTATAGAGAGTATTATAGTTCACATAGTATGTAAGATTCAGTAGAAATGTCATATAAGGGAGATAGATAATAGAGGGGATTATAGAGAGTATTATAGTTTAGATAGTCAGTAAGATTCAGTACAAATATAATGGTTAGGGAGATAGATGATAGGGAGAGGATTATATAGAGTATAACTATTTAGATTGATAGGAAGATTCAGTAGAAATGTAATAGTTAGGGAGATAGATGATTTCGAAGGGAATTCATGGATATCATTATTTAGATGGTAAGTTAGATTTAGTAGAAATATGATGGTTAGGGTGATGGATGATTTTGAAGGGGATTTATTAAGGATATAATTGGATTAGTGTTTTATGATTCAGGAGGAGGTTTATAGAGAGTATAATGATTTTGTTTGAAGGGGGAATTATAGGGAATCTAATGGTTAGGGTCATAGATGACTAGGGATAAGAATTTGATATATAGGGAGAGTAGAAGGGGGAGAGTAGAAGGATTTTGGTTCGATAGGGAGTTAGTATCTGAGATTTTGATATTGTTAATTAGAGTTAGTATCTGAAAATTTGATGTTATTGATTAGATGATGAGTTCGATTTAATAATCGGATAGGAAGATTCATGATGGTATTCATAGATTAAGATTTTCATTTAGATTTATAGAGAGAGGGGAGATGAATTTTATTATTAATGGTATTCGTTATTTCGAATGCGACTTAGTATTAGTGTTATTAATGATAGGGATTTGTATAGAATGTTTTAGGAGGGGTTTCATTTATTTAGATATTAAGTCGAAGAAGGTAAGGGCGAAAGTCAGAGATTGATTGTGGTTAGGGTGATCAGAAAGAGAGAGATTGATTGTGGTTAGGGTGATCAGAAAGAGAGAGATTGATTGTGGTTAGGGTGATCAGAAAGAGAGAGATTGATTGTGGTTAGGGTGATCAGAAAGAGAGAGATTAGGGTGTTAGGGTGTTAGGGTGTTAGGGTGTTAGGGTGTTAGGGTGTTAGGGTGTTAG